GATTTTCACCAAGCTAATGGCCAATCGTCTCAATGAGCTGCTGCCCAAACTGATAAATTCATATCAACTGGCTTTCTTCCTGGCCGACTAATATCAGATAACGGATGAATTAACCATATGCTCATGACAACTCTTCGGGAAAACAAGTCTTTGGATCCTGAGGTTGCAGTTCTGTTGGATGCTGAGAAAGCCTATGATCGAATACACCCAGAATATCTGCGACTGGTCCTTCAACGATTTGGTTTTCCATCCGTTTCATTGATAGCCTGACTCGATTGTTTTTTTTGAGACGAAAATCAAAATCTCTATAAATGGTTGGCTTGGCTCTCCTATTGTGCAAGCACGTGGGTTGCGTCAAGGTGACCCTCTCTCGCCTTTGCTGTTCAATTTAGCCTATGAGCCTTTATTGCGATATATTCTAGCTGACTCGAGCATCAAAGGCCTATCAACACCGGTCTTAGGCACAGCCGCTCGATATCAACCTAAGCCTCTGAATATGTCTGATCGTCTAGTATCGTCGCCTCCTATCAAATTACTTGCCTATGCTGATGATTTGGAAGTTTTTCTGTCCTCGCCTGCTGAATGGCCTCACCTTTTACGCATTCTTGATTTGTACTCCAAAGCCTCCAAAGCCTCCAATGCGAAGACGAATGTGGCTAAAACTGTCATGGTCTCTCTAAGTGGACTTCCTTTTGCAGAATGGATATCGATTTGTAATTCGTTTGGCATCTCTTGGCATGATCAAACATCCGATACTGCCGCTACTTTGTTAGGCTATCCTCTCTACTCCAGTCCTGCTCAATATGACGTCTTTCTTGAGGACTTGCGCTTGAAAATTCTTCAACACACAGACAATCTAAGGAAAATGCATCTATCAGTACGTGGTATGGCTGTGGCTGTCAATGTACTAATTCTCAGCCGTCTACGGCATATTATGCGAGTCATTCAATTACCCTCTCCTTGGATAGCATCCATCAAACGACTGATGCGAGATTTAGCTATGCCTTTTTGGCATAAACCCAGTTGGGCAGCGATATGCAAACCAAAAAAAAACAAGGTGGTCTCGGTTTAGTTGATCTGGAGGATCAGGCGTTGACACTTCAGATGATCTACATGAAAAGAATTTCTCAAGAGCCTGTTAGAAGTGAATTTCTTACCCCTTGGCTGCTTCGTTTTGTTCAAATCAATACTGGTCATGCCTCAATTTTGCCTATACTGGTAGCTCCTACCTTGTTACATGCAGCCTTCAAGCGTTGTAAACCCATGATGCAGCTACTGAAACTCCTGGAGCGTTTGCCACCTTTGAAGCTATCTAGCTCTTGGCCTGCTCATTGGTTTTTGGACTTACCTTTGTCGATAGTAATACAGGCCAAAATAGGCTCTGCACTACCAGTACCCACGGTCAAAAGGCCCTTCTTGATGTCAGATTTAGTCTGCTACAATGCTACCACCGGTATGCTTGAGGCTCATTAATCCTTCATTAATTACAGGCGTACATCTTTGATATGGATCTTTGATGCCCTTTTCTTGCCCTCTCCGTCTGACACTATCAGCTGCGTCTTGCCTACAGCAGTTCAAGCTAAATGTGCCTTTTTTCCTCCTAGCCCTATGGTGCCCTCTTCGTCACAATACCCAGATATGACCACTTATCTTCCATCGCTTGACCATTGGACGCTGCCTTCCGGCCGTCGACAACTCAAGATAGTTCTTGAATCTACTTCGGGTTCTGTTAGAAGATATTGGAGCGATCAACGCGACCCGGTTGAAATTGGTATCCCTTACCGTACACCACCCGCCCGACGCCTACCACCTTCACGATGGAAGCTCTTTTGGTCATTGGAAATGAATATGAAGGCTTTCACTCCCTGGTGGCGACTTCTGCATGATAGCATTGCCAATGGAGGCAAGATCCATTCTTGGAAAGCAACTACATTTACTTCGTCCGCTTGTAGTATTTGTGGTATGATAGAGGAAAGTAGCTATCATTTTTTTGTCGATTGCCCGGTTAAATGGTCATACTGGCAACAAGTATTGACTTCTGTCCAACTGGATCGTCAATTTGAAAATCCTAGTGATCTATGGCTAGCACTTACTTCGCTGGCGGACGAAGCCAACAAACTGCTGCCCTCAAAGACCTTAGAGATATTAGGAAATGGTTTGACTGTGCTCTGGAGGTACCACTACAAATGCATCTTTGACAAGGAGTTATGGCACCCATCAGCGCCATTCAATCTGTTTTTGACCGAACATCAGTTCTTCAATATGTAGATCAATTTTGATAAATAAAGTAATCACTTAATAAAAAAAAAAAAAAAAAAAAAAAAAAAAAAAAAAAAAACTGAGTTGTCTTCTTCCTCACAATAAACTGATGTGGTCAGTTATCCTCTATGACATTCCCTTTCATCCCACCACAATCCTTAGGTCCACCCGCAATTTTCTCAATTCTTTAATTGACGAGAATCACTTACACAATCGCCTATAGTTAAATCCTTTTCTGTCTCTTTCCCTATGTACCTGTTTAAATTGCGACTACTCCTTGATAGGCTTTCATCCTAGTTTATGTAGTGCAAAATAATAATAATAATAAAAATAATAAAAATGATATTTTGATATAATATTTTATAAAAAGTTTAATATTTTGGTGACAATTTTAGTATTTCTATAACAGTTTGATACCTTTATGAAAATTTCATTAAATGAAGAAAATAAAAAAAAAATAAAAAAAAATAAAAAAAATAAAAAAAATAAAAAAAATAAAAAAAATAAAAAAAATAAAAAAAATAAAAAAAATAAAAAAATAAAAAAAAATAAAAAAAAATAAAAAAATATGATAATTTTTCGACAATATAATTTTTTATAGGTTCATCACGTTTATGAAAATTTTTTTGTTATGCCTTTAATTGCTTTAGCTGTTTTTTTTTGTTGATATATAGTAAGAGAGAAAAAAAAAATTCTACGAAATATTGAAGCATTTCGTTCTAAAGAAATTGTATTTGAAATTACTTACATGTTAAGAAAACCATTTTATAGTAAACAATATTTCAGAATCTTTATATGTAAGCTAGAGAATAGTTTGTTTTCTTGTAGGAGAAAAGAAGTAATAGAAAAAATTATCTGTTTGTGTACCTTTCAGATATAAGGCTGCATTGAAAGTTGTGCAATCAAAGATTAGGCACAATAGCTTACGTTTGTACACCTACTGATTGGCTGGTCTATTCAAGCTAGTTCTCCAAGGTGTTTAAAAGGCGATTTATCGAGATGTACTGCTAGTGTGTCAAGGCTGTCACTCCTTGGTTCTGCTCTGTTTTTGTTGGTAAGCTCCGCGATGACCAGGGTTTATTCTACTTATAGTGGTTTCCTACTAATTAAGCAAATCAACAAACTCTCAAAATAAATATCCACAATGTTTTTTATAATACCAAAACATAATAAATGCACCTTCATAATGTTCTAAACAAGTGCTCACACTTTGATGCACAACATCAATCATGTAGTATATAAAGCTAGAATACACCTCATTGACGACTTTTATGTATAACTCAAGTTCATCGGCTTGTTCTATTAGTGATATGTGTAAGTATTATGATACAAAGTGATTAGAGGTAATTAGAGGATTATTATTTGGCTTCGTATTCAACATCTTCAACAAGCTTTGTGTTATGTCGACCAATAGCATCTTCTTGAATATCAGTAGCATCGTTCTTTCCGTGACAGTAGTAGAAAAGAGGAGCACAGATACCCATAGCAAAAGCAATACCGGTATACATCCATTTCAGTTTAGGATCAATAGCGACAGACACAAGTGCAAAACCAAGAACAGAACCAAAACAGTTCATAAACAAGAACATAGCCATGACCAAGGACTTCATCTTTTCAGGAGCCTTCTTGTAAGCATATTCAAGACCAGTGACTGAAGCAAGAACTTCAGAGATACCAATCAGGACATAAGCAGGAATAGTAAGGCCACCGCTCACATCATTCTTGTTTGCACCGCTAGGACTTTCGTAATAAGGACCCGTATTGTAAATAAGTGTTTGAATACCAGCTGCATAAGCCATAGCAGCGGCTGCAAAGACAAAACCAAGAGTAATACCTATTTAAAACGATGAGACTTTTGTGTGTTTTTTTTATGGTTTAACTTACGCATGATGGGACGAAGAGGAAGACCGATTTTGCGGAAACCAGGGTAAACAAAACGATCCATAATGGGAATAATGATAATAAGAGTCAAAGGATTGATATTTTGCATGATATCGTTGGGCACATCACCGGTCTGCGTAGTAGCTACCATAGAGACCATGTTACTGTTCATTTGGGAATAGCAAAGCCAGTAAATAGGATACCAACAAAATACAGCGCAGGCTCTAAAAGTACGTCTCAATTCGTCTACAAACACATCATCCCATGTTACAGTTTGAGTGAGTTCTGGATTGGTTAGTGCCAACTTAGAAGGTTTGGTGCCTTCAAGACCGTGTTTGAAAGAGAGACGAATGACCTTAAAGACTTCAATAAAAATGGAGCCACGAGGAGGATTCTTGACATAAAACTTTTTACCAGCCAATACAACTAAGGTACAGGGAACAAAAAAAAGAGTAGGTAATAGGAAAGCGGGCCAGAAACCGCAATTCTTTTCGATTACAATAGTTGTAACAGCAGCAAGAGAACCACAGTTAATACCCCAGTAAAACATATTGAAGATCTTTTGATAAGTGGCTTGAGGAGAGACAATCACACGAGTTTCATTTAATGAAGGTGCAACACCAGAAGTAGGAAGGTCACCTTCATCAGCAGTGTATCGAGAAGAAGTTTTAGATTTGATGGTACGAATAAAGGGTTTCTTTACAACATATTGCTCAGCAACAAGAGGGGATACGTTGGACTTGATACCACCAGCAGCAAAGCCAATGATGATAATAGCAACAATGAAACCAGGGAATGTAGCACCTGAATCAATGGCTGCAGGAATTGAGGTCAATGTCAAGACAAGTAAACCAACAAAGTATATGCAAGAAAAAACCAAAATAGTTTTGTATTTGCCCCAGTATTGATCAGCAATAATAGCACCGAGAATAGGTGTCACATAACACCAGAATTGAAAGAAAGTATTTAATGCAGTAGCCGTTTGTTGTCCTCGTCCCATTGCACCAGGCAATTCAGCGGGATCTAAAATTTTCAGTTTATGATTTAAGATTTTACACACTACTTACAGCTTTCAGGAGGTGGGTTTTGGATGTAATCTAACAAGAAAAGTAAGACACATTTGATATTGCTACTTTTATCTTACTTTGAAAAGGACCCGTCAAACCATAAAAAGTGAATCTTTCACAGAATTCAATTAAAATAACCAAGTAAGCAGCTCTAGGAATACGGTCTGCTACTTCACGAAGGTTCTTGTAATCTTCTTCTGTAGGTTCGGTGTATATTTCACCATCATCAGACACTTGTAGTCCACTCTCATAGTCTACAAAATCTGTCTTAATTTCTTTTTCACTCATGGTTGTTACGAAAGAATCAAAGAAAAAAAAAGGAAGCGATGTTTATATGATTTACTATAGGTTCCATTGTCAAACTCATTTGTTTCCATGTGTTCTATTTTTCAGGTTATCCAGAATTCCATGACGGGTGCAGAATTGTGCGTGGAAAGAATTTGATTGACCCTGGGAATATTTGTCTTCCTATATTTGTAAGTTAAACAAATATTTCGCTGTGGTTATTTTTATGGATAAAAGAATGTACGTACGTTATATCCTAAACACGATAAACATAATGAAACTAAAGAGAAAAAAAGTAACACAATCACTGATTTATATAGCCGGCAGTACCTTGGTACTGGGGCAGCACAGAACTAAACCCTGACATTTAAAAAAGGAAAGAATATTCAAATGAAGGCAACCGTTATTGTTTTGATTCTGCACAAGATCACGTTATTAAACAAGTGTCTTTTAGATTATTAGAATCACAAAAGTCTCTATTATCTAATCAAAGAATTAGGATAGTCAATTTGGTAACATTCTTAAATGCTGGAGCCTCTAATAAGATAGTATTTAGCACAATGAAAGAGATAGAGTTATTTCGTTACAGTATCACAGGTTTCTTTATCAAGAAATTTATGATATTGACATGGCACATGAAACAAAAAAAAAAGCATAGTGTTGGTTACACTCAAACTTCCTATAAAATGTTTAGATAGAAGTTTATTTGTAACAAGTAAGAATAAAAAGAACAGCCAGAAGAGTGTACAGAAACAGTAAAGATGATGCAAGCTCATTGGCGACGAGGATGGGTAGTCATGAATTGACTTTTATGCATTATAATTTGAACGACTTTATTTACATATAGATTAAGTGATTTGTTTCAAGGATCTTTTTCTATGCTTGGGTGTACATAAGAAAACACATTGAGTTTCAAGAAGGCCATTCTGGCTCTTACAATATTTATATGATTTGTTTTTGACCATAATGCGATAACGTTCTGCTAGTATACGTTTTGATGAGAAATGCTTGTTTGAAGCTGTGAGTAAATGCTATCTATTTAAAGAATAGACATAGTGTTTGATTTATACCAGCAAGTGTGCCTTGTTGAGTTTTATAGCTCTTCCTACTGAAACATTTTGAGAGTCAGCATACTTTTCAATCCTTGAGAATGAATTTTGAATCACATTGACATTGGCATAATTCCTTTTTTGGTTGTCATGTATTTATTTTGCATAGCAACATACTCCCGAAAGTGAAAACTATGGCAGCATGAATTGCCTTATATTTTCAACCTCAGATCAACCTATGTGCATAAAGAAAACCTGGCTGCTATATACCACCGTAAGAGGAGTTAGGCATTAAAATGGTCTGTGTACAAAAGGGTAATCATGCCTCGAATGATAAAAAGGAGGTGGTGATCAGGTGTTGATTTAAAATGACATTGTGACGTTTATCCTTTTTTTTCCCTCTCACTCTATCTTCTTTATTCAATGACTACAACAATAAACGATACATCACCCAAACAACAATCACGCTTTAAGAGAATAGAACTAGTGATTGTGCCTGGAAGAAGTCTAGGGCCTTTTCGCTTAGGTAGTGTCATCTGTAAGAATGAGTTATTGATTTCTGTTAGGTTCCTCACTATGGGATACAATACAGCTCTTATCAGATAAACCACAGTTCTTTCCTTCTGTTGAATTAAAATATAGTCAAGAGGTATTGATGATATATGCATGTGTGTTTAGCTTATCAGCTGTATAGAGCCCATTGGAATATGACTTCATTATCGCTTTACCTGCCAATGGTCTCAACCTAAGATACGATGGCTCTTTTCAACGATTAAAATCTGTGGAGTGTTATGATCCATCCAAAGTTAAACTTGTTTATCAAAATAGTGATGTTAGGTAAGTTGTATAAAGAGTCTTATGTCATGACTTATATGTGTTTGTCTAGTTCAAGTAGAACTATTCCTACATTCCTATTGATCTACAAGTCTTTTGGTCCAACTTATCCAGGTGAATTTGATGCTCACTTGAGTATTTATACACTTAAATACCCAGGACTTGCATTCACATTTCCTATACCCACACGCCATCAATCCTTGTACACATCTTCAACTGACTTGCCACTTGAATTCCCTGATGGCACAACACCTATTGCATCCAAAGTGATTTTATACAGTAATAGTAATACATGGCAGCAAGCAACTGTGCCTCCTTTATCTAAAGTGATTGCAGAATTCAATGGAAGTAACTCGATTAAATATGGTAAATTAGGTAAACGAGAGGTAGAGCATGTCATTGCCAAAGTAAGTCTATGTTTATGAATGTTGTGGTATTTATTCATTTTCTTTTTATAAAAACAAAGCCTACCAAGGGTATTACATTACGTTTCCCTGCTTATGGCAATATGGATACAGAATTGCAAAGAGAAAACAATAACATCAATAATAACAATAACAACAGCAACAACAACATGAGCAATAACAACATACCTTCCTCTAATCCAATTGTATATCATTCTATCTTTATTGGACTGCATGAGACAACAGCACAGGATATTTTAGCGGATTTAGGTAAACCCTCTAAGATATTTTACAAGGAAGAAGATAAAATGAAGATCCATTCAGTTATGACACACGAATCATCAAACAGTAACAAGCAACAACAACAACAGCAACAACAACAGCAACAACATCCCATTGAATCAAAGATTTCTAATGATATTGTCAATGCAAATGATGATAAAGACAAAGGTTTGTTTTTATTTGTGGTAATCATATGTTAATATTCTACATAGACCCATCTGTGGTTCAGCCAACAGACTATTTCTTTAACTATTTTCACTTGGGCATTGACATTTTAATGGATGGTGCATTACATATCTGTAAGAAAATTGTGCTTCATGGTAACGTGCCTGGTCACTATGATTTCCAAAGGTAAATTGTACGTTACATGCTCTCTATTCATGTCTGTAGATATAAACGATGTCCTTTCTCAATGATCTTTCCAAGGCATAAAAGTAAGTAAATATATAAATTCTGTATAAGCAATAAGGGCTAACATTGATTTGTAGGTAAGAAATCAGATGCCTCCATTCTAGTAGATGTTGAAGACGAGTCTGAGAATACAATTACAGCTGACATGAAGGTAAAAAAAAAAAAAGTAATTAAATCTCATTATGATTAGATCACTACAATGCAAGAACACATTCCTTGGGAATCCAGTCATGATATACAGCAACATAAGCCAGTCATTCTTACCAGAGGATCCAGTGAACAAAATCCTTTTGGATCCACTTATCTGACTGGATATGATGAAGGCGTTGTGATGGAAGTCATGAAGAATGGCCATGTACCTACCATTGTCTTGTTTTAATAAATATCACTCTCATATTCTCTTGTGTTATACTGAATGGCTTTTCCTTAACTCAAGAAACCGTGGTTTTACAATGTCTGCCTTGTGTCTATTCCTCTTTAGAATTCAATGGATAGGGATTGATCAAGGGTATTTATTAGGTTTGTGTGATTGTCTATGGTGTTGTGATCAAGATGAACGCTTTTTTCGATATTCACGTATTTTATTCCATATGTATGGTTCTAGTTTGGCATCGATTTCTTTTGTTAAGTCTAAACTATCCCATATTCTTTTATACGCGGATAACATGTCATTTTCCTGTGTGTCTATGATAACTATAAATATATGCGTGTGTGTTTATATATAGCCATACATACCTAGAGTTTTGTCTATAAGTCCTGTAGATAGTTTTATCATTTTTTCTGGTGGTAATAGTGTTGCTTCTGGCTCTGTTTGTTCAAAAGGTCGTTTACTTGCAAGGTGAGTTTCTTGTTCATAATGTTTTGCAGTCATGTTTGTTAAAAATAGAAGAAAAAATAAAATAAAAATTAGTGCTTGAACCAATAATCAATTAAAGGGATTAATTGGTCTCCTAGTTCTTGAACAGTAGTCTATTTTATCTTGTGAGTCATTGTCTTGATTTTGTTTTGTTTTTTGTTTTTTGTTTTTTGTTTTTTGTTTGTTTACCCTGTCAGAAGGCATAGCATCTTTAATTAAATGCATATGATTTAATAAATCATCATCTGTATACTGCGAAGATGTCAAAACAACAAGACAGATATCATCCAAAATATAGTTCCAAAGTACTAATTTCATTGTATTCAATCCCAGTATAGTAAACAAAGTGTCTTCTTCCTCTTCTTCTTCTTCCTCCTCCTCCTCCTCCTCTTCTTCTTCTTCAGTATCAGATTCTTCTGAATCATGTTGAAAAGGTAAATCATTCACTACAGTAATCAAAGACTGCAATACACCTACAAACATAGGTAATTTTTCTTGCAGGATTGAAATAGGAGTCAAAAATCGAATAATATCAGATTCAAGTGCATTTTCATCATCAAGAGCATGTCTTGAATAAAGACAAAAAGACGGTAAAGGAAACCCAAGATCAGGCTGATTTGTGTGTATTGAGCTGAGTGAGGTAAAAGAAGGAAGAACAGAACAAGATGCTGCTTTTGAATGCCCCATCATGATAAAGAAATAAAAGAGAGAGAGAGAGAGAGAGAGAGAGAGAGAGAGAGAGGAAAAAAACAAAGGTGATATTTTATTTACATGTGCAAAAACGGTCATTGAATTTTATTCAATATCGCTCATTTTTGACATCATTTGTTTGCGGGCATTTCTGATATGAGCAATTTGCCTATCATATAGAATGAACATTGAATACATGCAGTTTCTCTTGTTTACCTTGATTCATCATACTTTCTATCCCTATCATGCTGAGTGGCACACGTTGTTTATATCGAACACTATTGTGGTCTGATCTACCTTCTTGTTCAACTGTTTTAAGATATTGTTGCTTAATGCGGTCTGCTGAAGTGGATGGTTCAGGCACATGAATAGGTGGAATGATGATTTTTTCAGGTGTAGTATAGAACACATAGTCAAATTCAGTCATCAACAAGGCAAACACACCTGAGGGAATCGAAAGTGTAGGTGCAAACACAATACTGAGGTTACGCAGACTCATCTTGTTGCGTTCTGCATGATGCACAATATGAATTAAATGGGCAATTAATGCACGTAAAAGCGAATAGTTGACAGTAGGCAGTCGAGATACCAATCGACCTAATATTTTGATCCGTGAAGGCCTATCTTGATATTCTAACCTTCTTATTAACCACAAGCTACATGATATATATATATACTTACCTAGTACACTAACAAACTCATTCAAAAGTTGCTTTGTCAAGACATTATCAGGTAATTCTCTTAACCAGCATTTGAGTAGACCAGCTACAACATGAAGATCCAGATCTTGCTGTAATAAATCCATATCGCCTTCTTCACCAAACTTTTGCCTTAATTGACTGATCTGGAGTGAACTACCGCTCATACGATAGATGCCTTCTTCATAAATAGCATGACGTGCTTCCAAATATTCGATACATCGATACGCAATAGCAGGTAGGTCAAACTTGTCTGTATAAACTGCTTCTTCCAGAGATACACCAAATACAGGAAACAAGGTACTACTGGCACTGCCGGAGAATGAACTATCGTTATTGACTGTTGTTTCTGAAGTCTGTTTTTTACGAGACCAGAATGACTTGCGATGATCATTCACATCAACACTATCTGGTTTCTTGTCTACAAAAGCTGCTTTTTTATCTTCTTTCGGTTTCACGGACTTGAGCAGCATTTTGACCCATTTGTCTCTTTCTTTATCTGATGCTGCACAAAGAATGGTATTGTGGTCCTTATTTAAAATGACAAAAGCATGTCGGAAAGACTCTTTGACATTTGACCCGCTGGATTGTTTCCCAATCTGAGTTTCAGGAACGAGGCTAATGTACCTAACAAATAACTGCCCATCGTGTCGCTTGTATTGTATTATTAATCTAAAATTGAGTCTGTATATCCCACTTACATCAAAACAAAACAGTCGAGTATCTGTCAAGATAAAGAAATACCGTGTCCATCCAAATTTAGTGCGTTTGGTTAAATGGCCTTGATGCAAATGTGGCTTTTCTAATAAGAATAAAAACAACGCTTGGTCGTCTGTGAATTGGAGAATTTGCTCAAAATACTCTTCAATTGCTAATTTACGCTTCCTGTTATCAACTGACTTGTTAAAGAACAAAAAAGACTTATCATAAAATAGTAGAGTATTGTTTGTTGTTGAAAGTGCTTTAAGCTTTGAATCATTAATGAGTAAAATAAATAAAAAAACAAGAAAGTTTAAATAGTTACAGTTGTATCTAAATCAAGGAATTCAGAATGAAGTTTCTCAATAGACCATAATTCTACCAGGGTTTTCTTGTCCACAATAGAAAGTGTAAAACTGGTTTGTTGAAATAGTTTTACTTTGATAAGAACACTTGTAAAATTGTTGGTTTTTTCTACTGTCTTTTCAGGTTGATTGGTTCGAAAGGGCGAACGAGGTGGTGGTGTAGGTGTTCTATTTTGTAGTTTTTCGAGTAACCCGTCTCTTTCGAGTGTCATGTCATTCAGGGCACCCTGAAGTTGTTGAATAATCAATCGTTGCTTCTCAATCACAGTCCATAATTCTTTATCATCTTGATGGGTATCTTGTATATTGGGTATAAAAGACATGAGTGAGAAAAAAAAATTAAAAAAAAAAAGAAAAGAAAGGATTTTATAAAGTTAATTATTAGGACAAAGAATATCACTATAAATAAATTAGTTGCATGTAACCCTTAACCTTAAAATATTTTACCATAATTTGAGCCATTCTTCTTCACGCGTATTTCTTCCAAGCCAGCTTCTAAGCTCAAGAAAGATCCATACTTTAATCCAGTGCCCATTTCCAATCTGAGTATCCTTCATTTCTAATGCTTTACCACCTTCTTTGATACTATAGTCGCGTAGCACAGGCAAGGCATTTTTAAGTAAATCAAGGTCGGGGTTTAACTGTCTACCGATTCCTTCCAACAACATGATGGACACCACCACATTGATAAAATCTCCTTCCATCTTAACATGATGAGCACGCACCATATTCATTGTTTCATGTAACAAATTTCCAATCTTGACGGCACCTAAATGAAATGTATGCTGTTTCAAATGTTGAATTAGCTTTTGCATACGGAGAGCAAACACGTCAGGTTGGATCACTTTCTCAGGTGTTTTGCAGCGTTCGACCATCAATTCGCCCGTACGATATCCATCAAATTGAGCAATTGCGCCAAACAAATCCAAAAAATTACGTCGGTTGACTGCATTCAGTTCATTCACTAGGCCTAGATCGATAAAAACAAGGCGGGGCGAATAGCCTTCTTTTTTGAGTTGCTCTAGTTCGCGTTGAATGGCTTCTGGGTCGTGCTTCACAGCCAAAATGCGATTAACGGCTGCTTCTCCTTCGTCTTTGAGTTCCCGGCCGAGTAATTTAGACCAAGCTACTTGAAGTGGATGATGAGCAGATGGCTTATAGAATTCAACCATGATATTGCCTGGATGAAGATCTGCATGAATAAAGTTGTAGAAAATCAACATGTGCTTATAAAATAGAATATCAGTCAAATAGTCTGTTGGATTGCATACTTACAAGAAAGGCGTCTAAACCAATATCAGCAATCTTATGGTCATAAACAGGATCAATATCCATTTTTTTGGTAAAAGAAGCTTGATTTAAAAAGATATCTAATGGAATTCCCTTTTCATATTCTTCCAATAACATGTCTTGTGTTGTAAAAGCTGCCAAGGGTTTAGGGATCTTAACTTCCTTTGTATTTTCAAAATAGTCGTTAAATCGCTTTAAATTTCTTGCTTCTCCTCTCAAGTCAAGTTGCTCCTTCATCATTTCTCCAAAAACACGCACTTCATCTGGTAAAGAAAGCCATTCAATTGTGGGTATCAACGTTAAAAATTTAGCTACACATTGCATGATTGTCAAATCACGTTGTACAATCTGTCGTGCGCGAGGATGAAGAATCTTGATAGCTACTGCTGTATGTAATACAACTGGTTGACCTTGATGATCTAATGCTTGAACAGAATCTGAGGTAACTACATTGGATTCAAGCGCTAATTGTTCAGAAGGATGATGCATAAGAATATCAGGTCGTAAGCGTGCCTTGTAGACTTGAGCAATAGCACCTACTCCCAAGGGCTCGGGATTCAGTTCTGAAAACACTTGATCTAGAGGTCTGCCAAAAGCTTCTTCAATTACTTTTTGTGTATAACTGAATGGATGTGGATCGACATTTGAATGTAATTTAGATAAGCGAGAACATAATGCCAGTGGAAATAAATCTGTTCTTGAAGCAATCCATTGTGCCAACTATAAGGGACATCAATATACAATGGCTATATACACACACTTTCTACTTTACCTTGATAAAAGTAGGACCTGCTCTTTCCATTTGAGAAGCAAGGAAATCATACCACCATAAAGTGCCTGTTTTTTCTCCCTCTTCATCCATGTGGCCGAAAAACACAGCGGGAGACGTTAATGCAACCGGCACAAATAGAATTAAGATATGTATCAATCGCCGCAGTGTCAAGACAGGTTCCAACACATGATCGTCTAGCCAATTCAGTATACGTTTAAGGAAGCGCACAATAGCAAAACGTGAACGATGGTTAAGCTCGGCATCTTCAATCTCGGCAGGTGTAGCTGGATTGGCTATGGAGCCAATACGAACTGCTTTTTGGTCTACTGGATGAAAACGAAGTGCAGAGATATTGAGTAAAGTAGTGGTGCTAGATAAGACGGCTGCGGGTCGTGTTGCCTTCACTACTATTCGAGACACGCGCAATGGTGGTGACGGCAGCAGTCTATTAAATGTACGGCAGTGTAGATAGCGTAAAGCAGACCTTTGTAAAGGAAGCCTATACATTAAGATAATTATATGAAGAAGGAGGAGAAAATGGTTACATATCATCACCTCGACATCATTGCATATGCCAATACAAAAACTCCCTGTCACTGCTCTGCATTTAATTTTTTCAAACTCAGATACAAGAATTTGGCAAAACATTGAATGAAATCATATTCCTTGTCTCTATCACTATGCATTTTTTTGTGATTTTATCTAGCTTATATACTTCGATTCGTTTATTTGAGAACGAGAATAGATAATGAGTTGGTTTGGAAGACCTGTTCAATGGCAAAGACGCTCTAATAGTACTCAAAGTAAGATTCTGCACAAGAAAATGTGTCGCTCCTTAGAAATAAGACTAGCTATCATTATATAGTATTGTCTTTGAAAAAAAGCAATCAGACCAATCTAGATCAATCAATAATTGGAAATATATCCTCGGAAATTAGAGCGATTATTATCAAAAAACAAGAAGGCGATTTCAAATTTGGAAGCTTAAGAATGAGCTCTGCGGCTGACAAGCACTCTCTGAACATACTGACAAAAAGCAGAAAGGGAGGTTATTGATACATCGCCATTATTATCAGAAAACAATGAATACAAGACTTGATCAGTCTTTAGACAAGTGAGATGTGCCTGACTCGGAATAGGAAATTCAAAGCAGCAGTCACTCTCTTAAAGTTTTTTCATTGCCTCTTTTTTCGTCTCTTCTTTTTCACTATATTTATTGAAATACGATGGCTGCTGTTCAACGACCCCAAAACATTGCCACCATGATCAATGGTGTTGAGCGCTATAACCCCGAAAATGTTACTGTGCTCGAAGAATACTTGACAAAGCAATGCGAATCAAAAGAATATGATTTGGAAGCTAACTTGGCTCTTTTAAAACTGTAAACTAAAGGATTTTGTACTTTTGTTACGTGTATTGACTATTTTCTATAGCTATCAATTCAACCCTAGTTTAGCAAAGGAACCTGTTATTGTTAAAATCCTTGTGAAGTCCTTGACTGCTATCCCTGCTCCTGACTTCAACCTTTGTCTTTATCTTTTGGCTGAACACGCTGTAAGTCTTACATGTACAATAAAGGGTAGCTGTATTGACCTTTCTTTTCTTGGATAGCATCTTGAATCGATCGAGAAGTTGACTGATTTACAACAACTTTTAGAACAAGCACGTTATGCTAAATTTTGGCAATCTGACTTGAAGCCTTGGACTGCTGTTGTTCCCAACTTTGAATCCGAAATTCGACGTGTGGTTGCTCGTGTGATGGCTATGTCTTATCAAACCATTACTGCTTCTGCTTTGGCAGCCAACTTGGGTTTGACAGGTGATGCATTTGATCAATTCTGTGCTAGTCAACAATGGCAAAAGTCGGGCGACTTGGTTCAAATTCCTATCAACAAGGACAATGAAGCCAAGGCAGTCGTGATTAGAGAGAACATCAAGTTTGAACAATTGACAAAGGTGATTGGTTATTCTAATGAAATGTAAACAACAACAATAACAAAATCCATCACACATCACAGCACGCCTACTTTTTTTTCCATACACCATATATTTTGATTCATCGAGAATGACAGTTACTCTTTTGATATGAAGATGACATGCAGAAAAAAAATAAAATGATCATTGTAGATTAGAACCCTATTTTTTTTTTTGTAGAAAAACATGGATGTTCTTTGTTTAAATTGGATGGCATGAATGTCTTAACATACGAAAATGAAGATAGGCAACAAAGTCCGCATTCTCTAACTAATTTGATTGGATGATATTACAAACTCCAACACAAATTTTGCGTCGTATTAATTCTAAAAATTTTTTTTGGTTGTTGCCCAAATGGCCAAATGGATAAGGCATTGGTCTCCTAAACCAAAGATTGCGGGTTCGACTCCCGCTTTGGGTGCATTTTTCGTTTTGCTTCTTTGATCTTTTATTCAAATCACTCAACGTAAGTCTACCTTAGAACGACAAATTTTGATAAGCGTCTGTCTCTAAAGAAAGACAATTGCACCATGTCAAGTAAATTTAGTATAACATGTATGAGAGAACAAAGGCTATGTAATGTTATGTTTTAAATTTGAGCTTGTTACTGTTACTATTCACTGTTTATTGATAAGGGCAAAAAAAAAACTAAACCTACTGCGTGAAATTTTGGGAGTGTAAAGTATACAAGTCAAGATTAAACTTCTTGGTAAATAAATACTGGTTTTTTATGTCAAGTTATGAATAACCATATAAAGTATCTTGGACTTATAACCAAGGATTTGCTTGTTTGTATGCAATATATATTTGAATGCAAGTCCTCGAGTTGGACGCACAATACTGTACCTGTTAGTATGCGCATAAGCTTACCATTTCTTTTTTAGTTTGTTCAACTTGGTTCCCCTTTATTTTCCCTTTGATAATGCTTATTTTGGCCTTGATCGACAAAAGTTCTATCACACTTTCCTTCTTATCGTCTCCTATCTGTCTATTAAACTATAATTACAGACAACGGCACGTACTTAAATCATACAAGAAAAAACCCACTGAAGGAGTGAAGATCTGTTCTTTTTTTTTCTACGGAGTCACTTTAGGTATTCCAGAATGAACAAAATATTGGAGATGAAATAAAGTAGGATTTTAATGTAAATGGTAAAAATATGTTTTTTTCAGGTTGAAAAGATAGTAAAATACATATAGAAAAAACAAGTTTTTCTTTGGAAAAGCGTATAGATCAAACCACATCATTAATATATGTCTTACAAACCATCAAGAATAAAATGCCTCCTTGAACACTTCTTTTTCCCTTCTTTGAGGAGGACATGGAAAATCATCTAAACCAGCAGCGATTTCAGATGAGCGTTGTGCCTTGGTATGTCTTCTTTGAAGCTGAGGTAGCTTGAAATCTTCTCTGAATTCATTTGCTTCTATTACTACTTGTTGTTGTTGTTGGAACTTTTGTAACAAGTTTTTGTATTGAGTTGTACAAGTGAACTTGGGTACAGATTGGGAAGCCATTAATTTAAACACTTGATCACTTGCTTTTTCAAGCCAATGTGTGAGGGACTTGAGGGTTTGATTAGTAGGATAAGTTGAGATGAGCATAGTTGACCTGTCTTGACCAGGTAAAGACGTATTGACGATAGTTATCATCTCTGTCATGTCTTCAGCCATTTTTTCTCGTAAAGCAGAGTCAATGTTGAGTTCATTATGAGCTTTTGGTTTCAAATAGGTATCCCAAAGAAGATAGGCATCTTCTAAAAGTTGACGTAAGCTCGTGGAAGAAGATGCTGCCTCTGCTATTGCCTTCTGGCGACGACATCGTTTACGAAAATTATCATGGTCAATCCAGAACTCCAAGTTTTCTGCACAGAAACTTTCATCAAGAAAGTCTCTGAACAAAGATCGTAAGTGAGGGTTCGTCAAGATTGATGTGAGTTTGACAGAATTGGTTTGGTGACTCTCATAGGTCTTGCTACTATGAATAGTACTTGTCTCGTCGTTATTTAGCGTGTTAGAAATAGAACTAAATTTATTCCCAAGAGGAGAATTCGAAAGAGCAGAAGGCATTGGAGGTTTGAAATCAAAGTAGCTAGAAGTCGTTCCTGTTTCGGAAGCAGTCGATACTGAACTACTACAGCTACTTGCTGTTGTATACAACGAGAAGAGTGATGACTTTGTTCTAGTGCAACATCTCTCTTTTTCTTCTGTTGCCAAAGAAGAATTGTAGGTTGAGTCTGTGTGATTACTTGAAATAAAAGAGCCAATAGAACTTCGATGATCATAATCCAAGCTCTCTATTTCAAGCTGACAAAGTCGCTGAAATTGTTGTGTATATTGTTTTTGTTGTTGCACATCATTGTACTTTTCTAGTGAAATGTCGATAACAACTTTCATTCCTGCTCTTGTCAGATTGAGCGCAATAGATTTGGAAGATTCAACTTGGTCACAATGTTTGTTTTTCTTGTCGTAGAATGTGATCCAACCCAGTTTCAGAAATTCTGTCATGATACTTTCTGCCTCATCATTTGATGCCACCGTGCAATGTTCCACTAGCCAATTGCAGCATAATAGCGACGTAAATATAGCTCGCATTTGGAATTTATTAGAGGCAGGTTTTAGGTTTTGCAAAAGGTATTCTTGCTGAGGAAAACTTGTTGTTTGACTAAATTGTTGACTACTTCCATACGCACATACAAGAAGATCATTGGGTAGAGTCTTGATATATGGGAAGTAGTCTATGAATGTTAGCTTTCGAGAACTCGTGGATGTTGAATTAATCGAAGCATCGAGAGAGCAATAATCGTCTTCTTCAGTAGGATCAAATGGTGGAGATGGTATGGCTTGTACTGGTACATATTTGCCAGTCTGTTCGTTTTTTCTAAGAGGTAAACTTGCAATCATGATCGCAAAGAGTGAAGATATATATCTCTTTTTACAATTCAATCGGTCGTTTTCTTTAAGTCGTTCAATATGAATAAGAAACATGAGCTGAGCAGACATATCCACATGTCTTGCAAATTTAGCAATGTCTACTTTGGTCTTGACGCAAAACTCTTGAAGTACACATAAGCCTTTTGAACTCAACTTCCAGATGCCTTTGTCACGATATGTACGATTTTGAGGCTCAACTGCATTTAATATCAATCGAGTCCAAAGAAATTGCTGAATTAATGCTTTGGCCATATCTCGGTTCATAGTAAAAGATGTGGTAGGGGCATTCGCAGATATGCGCGACGCAGATTCTGATTCAACTAATTGAAAAGATTGTGCGAATTGCAGTGAACCAAGTTCAGTGATTGCTTCTTCTGAAGTAAATGAGTTGAAGTAGTTACGAAACATATGTCTATGAGAAGAAAATTTGATTCTTGATATTAATGTCGAGAATAAGTCATGAATGTCCTAATAGTTGATTAGCCATCAATTGGGTATCATTAGACTCTGATTACCTCTACACTAGGCCTTCCATCCACCGTAAACTTAAGTATGGATTTATTGGAAGCAGGGTTATAGCCCATTAGTACAATTTGCAAAAATCAAAGAAGTAAAGAAAAGAAAAATGGTTATTTGCATTGACTATTATAAACTGGCATTTATTACTTCAATTGGGCATTTTAAAAAATCGAGTTTCTGTTTATTTGGAACACGGAGACGGGGGGATGGGAAGGAAAGGGGAGGGAAGATCACAATTCTTTTACAAGATGTGCTGTTTATGAAAAGGGGCAATCAGTTTATTTTGAAAATAAAGTGTGTTAACATTTTATGCCAAGTTTAGGTTTGGTTATCGTTCATAAACCTGTACTGTTCTATTAAAACTATTTATTTGGTTATAAACAATCCAATAATTCATTTATGCTATAGAAACAGGCTGTTTAACACGATCCCTTAAAACTTTATTCTTAACCTGTATCCCGTAGGTTTTATACGACATTCATTTACACAAAATCACAAATAAGTATAATTGGAATTTTTGATTGGTTAATTCAACACTTGAAGCTGTCCCTTATATCCTTTTTGTAATAAGGAGAACAATATAACATCAAATAGTTCATGTGCTCTCGCTTCTTTTTTTCTTTCCCTTTTTCTATGTCTTCTTGAGCGGTGTTCATTTAAAATAAAGTTATGGTTTAACTTTCTTAAACATTTCACTATGCTCTTTCACTCAAGCTTAACTCAATTTGACACGAGACAGCAATACCAAATGACTTAACCGAATAAGGTGACGATAGACAAAAATAAACCAACCGCATTGGCAAAAATGCAAGGAGTATATATATAAGTTGCATAATAAGACGATCGATCTATACAATGAACAAGAGAATAACTACAATTATTTATTTATTTAAATTAAGCCTTTTCAAAGGCGGCAACAGCAGCAGCAGCAGTTGAATAAGCAGAGGCAGGGTTAGCACCAGTAACAACACGGCCATCGGTCTTGCTGCAGTCAGCAAAAGGAGAGGAGGGAGCAACATAATGAGCACCAACATTGGCAGCATGTTCTTCAACAGTGAGGACCTTGTCTTGCTTGAGCTTATCGAGAATGCTCATTTGAACTTCACCTTCAGTAGTAAAACCAGTGATGGTTCTACCTTCAATGACAGACTTGCCAGTCTTGGTATCCTTAACGAAAGGTAAAATAGCAGGACCGTGACAGACAGCAGACACAATACCGCCACGGCTGTAGATATCTTCAGCAATAGCAATGAGTCCCTTAGCATGAGGATAATCGTATAAAGTGGCATGTCCAGCAGAACCAAAAAAGATACCATATTGCTTGGGATCCAAGTCAGAAGCCTTGTGAAGCTTCTTGTTCAAAAGAATACTGAAGGGATGGCTATCGTCATTGTAGATTTTCTTATCATCTTCAGACAAGAATTGGTCGGTAACAGAGTGTTCATCGACACCATAAGTGCCAGTTTCAGTAGCAATATCAACTTCGAAACCGGCCTTTACAAAAGTAAGATAAGGGTGGAGTGCTTCAGTATAGAACAAGCCGGTCTTTTTACCATCAGGATAGAAAGGTTCATTGTAGCTTGTGACAGCAAGGAGAACTTTACGAGGAAGAGACATGTTTTTAATTAAAAGATAATAATGGGCAATCTTTACGCGAATCCTTGTATTTATATACTTTTTTGGTTTTCCCATAAAACTATATTTGCTATGACGCTCTGCGTCAAACAATGGGTCTGAGTTAAAGCGAGAAATTTCTTCCATTTTGGTAAGGTAGTTACGTATTCTCTTCTGAAATGAAATGTGCATATTTGATTTGTCATCTTGTTCTTTTGATCCCTTTGCGGCTACAACATGAAGAAATTTTCGCGTCATATTAAATTAACTAGTAGGAAAGAAAGACGTGTTTTTCTTTCTAGATCAATTGCTTGTAATCTGTTGCTTCAAGATCTAAATAGGTTCATAATACGACGCCCAACATGGGTTTGATTAAATAACAACTGAAATATCATTGAAATGTATTCAAAAAATTTTAAGGGGACTGTCTCTGACAGCGATCAACACGCTCATCATTGATAGACAAAACAAAATATGTAGGTCTTTTATGAAAAGATTGAATGCTGTGTGTAACATTGTTACTATAATCAGAGATTAAGAAAAATGTTGCATTTCTTCAAAATGATTACTAGATATGCATTTTTATTACAAACATATATAAATATATATATTTTAAGGTAAAATAATTATCGTTTGGAGGATTGGTCAAGTAAAAAATTGCTTGCTTTCTCCAAGTCTTGATCATAACGATTGAGTGCGTCTTTTGCTTCACTTTCAGCAAATCCCATCTTGACAAGCTCTTCAATCTTATCACCTACAATGCCAATGTTGTTGACTGCAGGCTTTTGTGACTGTTGCTTTCCAAAATCATCACCAAAGCTTGCAAATGCATCATCGAATCCTGCATTATCTGTTGTAGGGACAGAGGAAGAAGAAGCTGGACCAGCAGCAGAGGGAGCAGTATTTGTATTTGTGCCAAAGATAGAGTCCCATTCATCATCATTTGCGGTAGTATTGGTTGGTTTATTTTTTTCGTTGGGAAAGTCAAATTCACCAAAACTAACAGCCCAATTATTGTTAGTTACAGGTGTTGCGGTCGTTGTTTGAGGAGAGACAGCTCGTCCAGTTTGTGGTGGCTTTGTATCAAACGAAATAAATGCATCATCAAAATCAGCAAAGTCATCGTCTTTGGTCACTACCTTGGCTGCATGCAAATCGCCCGAAAATGCAGCTTCAAAGTCGTCTTCTTCATTTTTTTCTTGGATCTGAGTAGCTGGCTTGAATGAGTCTGTGGTATTAGTTGAGGCAGGTGGGGGAGGTGGGGGAGCACGAGCTTTTTTGATACTGCCTGAAGAAGTCAAAGAAGGAGAAGTAACCGATGCAATGGAACTCACTTCAGATGTTTGGCGATGGTGTCTACTTTGTGGAGGGGGTGGAGGAGGAGCACGACTTGTCTTTGTGGGTGTGGTGGCAGAAGGAATTGCCCAATTGACAGAGTCAAATGCGTTGACAGGTGTAGTTGTCGAGGAAGTACTTCCCATAGTGCCAAAGATAGCATCAAAATCATCTTGGCCTGCATTACTTGAAGCAGTAGCAGGTGCTGGTGAAGCAAAAGCGGCATCAAATGTACTAGATGCTGTATCAAATTCTGCAAAAGGTGAATTGGATTTAGGAACAGGTGACTCAGCAAAGAGATTTGTGAGAGCAGGTGTAGACACAACAGAAGACTCAATTTCTGGACTAGCAACTGATTTAGTAGCTTCAATATGAGTATTAGCAGCAGTGTTGGTACTATTAACAGGTAGCTCATTCTCACTCTCACTGCTGTCCTCTTCTTCTCCATTGTTTAAACCGCCAGCGACTTTATAGTCCTCTAAATGGCGCTTGGCTTGAGCACGGTCTTGCTCAGCTGCAGTTACTTGTCTTCTGTTGATATCCAACATCATGTTTTGTTGCTTTGTTTGTGCACGCATATTTTCCAATTCTTGATTAGCTAATCTTGTTTCTTCTTGAATATCATGGACACTACGACGAAGGCTTTCTGTTTCTGCACGTCCATTTTCTAATGTCTGTCTTGCTTGTGCTATTTCGTTTTGAATTGTGTTTAATTGTTGCTGAGCAGCATCATGTTCAGCACGCACTCTGTCCCATTCACCTTCTTCTCTACGGACTGTTTCTTGAAGTTCATTTAGATCTTTCACTGCAGCTTCATGTGCCATGCGTACATTAGTCAATTGTGCTTCTAATTCCTTCTTTTGGTTTGTTAATTGTTCCAATGTGTTTTCAGCAGACACTTTTTGGTTTCCAATATCTTGTGTCTGTAGAGACAAAGAAGAAATCTGATTTTGCATCAAGTTAATTTGGTTTGTTTCATGCGATACTTGATCATTGCCAAAGTCGCCCAACAAATCATTGTTTCCGCTATCATCAATCAAAGAACGGTTGCTTTGAGGAGCAGGTGAAGCAAAAATAGATGGACTAGGTGCAACTGCATTAGAGTTGCTGAAAGGTGATTGTTGTGATTGAGATCTTGAGTTGGCATGAGAAGGAGGAATAAGCGTCTTGGGTAATACCTGAGGCAATGGTTTTCCAGCCAACTTTTGATGAATCAAATGCATAGCTACAGCAAATTCATCGCGAGATAAAGCACCGCGTTGTTGAATATCAGCCAAATCCCAAATGTGTGCTAATTCTGCTTCTGGTAATCGAGAATTCTTGAAGAATTCAACAGCTTCTTTACCCTGAATCACACCTGTTCTGTTGGAATCAATTTTATCAAAATAAGCGTCAAATTGTTGCTTTTCTTGTGCTGTTACATCCCATTGTTGAACTGGTTCATGAATAGGTGCAGAAGGACCAAAGGCAATACTACCAAGCGAATCAATCGTGCGAGCACGTTGAGGTGGTGTCATGACACTTTGATGATGTGCTTTATGGAAGGAAGGTGAACTGATAGTCATGTTGCGCGTAAGGGGTGTACTGCTGCCACCATTGACAGATTGGAATACAGAAGGAGGTAATTTATCTGGCAAACTAGTGAGTGTGCCATCCATTAACTTGGCAATGTAGTGCATGGCAATAATAAATTCAGTCTGATTCAAAGTTCCTGATTGGCGGACATCTGCCAAGTACCTAGCGAAAAAAAAAGCGGTTAAATTAAGAAACACAAGACCTTGCTTTAAATTACCATATTTGACTCAGAATATCCATTGGTAACTTGGACTTCAGAAAGACATTCTTGGCTGTCTCGGCATCAAGAACACCATTGACAGGTTGATGGACTTGGAAAATATTAGCATATTTTTCGCGTTCTGCATCTGTAATGAGCGCATTGGCCAAGGAAGCTGAGTTGTTTGGGACAATAGGACTTGGTGCTACAATGTTTGCTCCATCAAATTGAGGAAGTGGCACAGCTGTAGATAATATGTTGGCAGAAGCTTCTTGCCCGTGTTGAGCACAGGCTATTAACTTGAGTGCAATAGCAAAGGTTTCTGGTGTCAAATAACCCACTTTGTCACGGTCAGCAGCTTCCCAAATCTATGTTTTAATGTTTAGCGCTGTTTTCTATCTTGAATATCCTTAAGCTTACTTCTGATAAGATTTGAGTGGGTACACCAGAAGTTGCAAAGAATTGGACAGCTTCATTTCCTGTAACAATACCTTCTTGCGACTTGCTTGCGTACTGGAATAATTGAGAGTAATATTTAGCTTCTTGTGGTGAAAGTTGTGAATCCCAAAAAGACATGATGAGAAAAAGTAGGAGAGAAAGAAAAGAAATGAAAAGAAAAAGAAACAGTGATAATGAAATTATTGGCTAAAATTAATTTCTTTATTAAGCGCCAACATGTGTTAATTGCTGACGAGCTAAACTATCAGCCAATTGCTCGTCAATTGTCTTATTGCGGGAAGCAAAGTTCTTGCCAGGTTCAGGTCCTTTAGGTTGACGAATAGGATAAATATTGCCTGTGGCAAGGAATTCAGCAGTTGTACTTGTGCTCCTATAAACATGGTTAATCGCTGTATTTAGTTTGCGCATATAAACACTCACATCATGGATTTGCGATACGTGTCCCGCTTCGTTTCATTACTGTTGCTACTAGACATCATATTTAGACGTTCACGGCTTGAACTTGATCTTAAACTGGCTCGAGAACCCTTGTTTTGAAGCTATTATAAATGTAAATAAACAAACATATATATACATTGATACTTACTCTCACGATGGGTGCAGGTGTAGATCCTCTTTTTTGAATAATCACTTGTCTATCTGCACCAAAACCTTCAGAATAATGAGCAAGACCAAGACGATCTGCAATCAAATGAGCATCCCTACGTTCTTTAGCAGAAAGTGTCTTTGGTAGAGCTGTTTCCGTATTGTTTGGATCACCACGGAAAAGTAAAAGATAGCTGTATAATTCCAATACATTGGGATCATTCAAATCCAGGGTATCTATAGTTACCATGAGTATCATTGGTGCCTGAAATCAAAGTACCTTCATCTGGGTTGCTAGGCAACTTGCGCTCCGTTAGCATTGGAGAAGCAGGTTGTGATGATAGGGGTTCTCTCTCCTTCTTTTTCGTATTATCGTTATCGTTCATATTAGGCAACATCTTTTTGTATTCGACACGTAATTTTCTGCCCCCTATTTCAAGACCATTTACAGTATCGACCACAATTTCTGCTTCTTCTGGTGTACGATAATTGGCAAATGCAAGACCACGAAAAACACCATTGTCAAAATGGTAGTTGAAAGCATAAGCAGTGGGTACATCCATAGCGGCCTACACACATATATATATATATGGTGTCAATCTTTTATATTTTTATTCGCTTGTCTTACCAATTTAGCCAAAAGAGCATCCTTTTTTACAGAAAACGGAATGTTTTTAATCACAATAGCTGTAGGAATAATTTGATCTGTGTCCTCAATATAGTTAATGCCTGTAGGAGATACAGGACGAGAAGCAGGACGTGAAGAAGGACGAGATGAAGGACGGGATGAAGGACGAGAGTTAGGCAAGCTGCCAGCAGTAGCTGAGTCCTGTTGTTTGAGTTAATCAGCGCTCTATAATGCTAGTTTCAATAACTTGCCTTGTTTCTACGTACTCTTCGAATAGAAGAAGGTCGGGATCGGGGTAAGTTTTCGGTTGGCTGAGGAGAAGTCATTATCTTTTTTTTGTAGCAAGTAGCTTATTTTAGGTTTTTTAAACAATGAGAAAGAAGGAGAAGGAGAGAGAGTGTGTGTATATGTCTGTCTGCGAGAAGAGGAGGGAGGAAAAAGGAGGAAAAGGTTTAAGGAAATAGAGAGAGTACAAAAAACTTTTTTATGGTAAAATCGGATGTTAAAAGCACAGCAAATCAGACAATTAAGCAACGCATTTGAAACAAAAAGATCCGTTATTAATTCAGAAAAGAAAGTGCCTTCTCGATGTAATTGGGTCTGGGATGTTTGTTCATTTGTTAAGCACCATTAAGCCACACTCTGTGTTCTGAAATATCACAAAAATGAAGCAAAGAAAAAAAAAAGCGCAAAGCCCTGTGAGCAATTTAGATACAATGCGACTGTTACGAATTTATCATCTTTCCTTTAACAGAAAGGCATATTCCTTTTTTTTTTACAAATATTATTTATTCGTATACTAAGAGCAAGTCGAAAGAGAATACTTGACACTCTTTGCTATTCATTGTTGTTATTATTTGAAGAAACATGATATCAAAATACGGAAAGACGCTGTTACACGGAGATGCCGTGTGTATCATCAAGAACACCATACACTCTGCTTGAATGATTTGGAAACGAAACTCAGCATGTTTTTCAAAGAGAAGCATAAAATAAAAGATTTTTATGTGATAGCAATAGAGATTACTAACCGAAAAGAAACACAAGTATACAAAAATCATGGCGATAACCTATTTAAAGAGACCTTTGGTTCATTGCACATCACAAAGAAAAACAAAGTCGAAAAAAAGAAGCAGAATCTTTAGAAAAAAATCAAAATCAACCTTCAACCATCTTATCTATCTAAATATCAGTCTTCAATTAGTATTATGCGAGCGACTAAAAGCTACTAACTAAATATCAAATCTTTTTTAACTAGAATAAACTGTTTAGAGAGGAGTACAATGTCATTTTTTGAGATAGAGTTTTGATTGGCCTGTTTCAGATCTTTCAGTATTCTGCCTGCATATATTTATAAAAAAAAAAAAAAAAAACCCTCCTCTTTTCCTCGTTCATTTTCCGTCTTTCTATCTCAGGATTCTCGTTTATTTATGACAGAGTTTCGTTCGTTTACTGCAGGCGTACCGCAGAATGTAAGTTGAGTCAACGCGAGATGGCACTTATGTTTTGATAGGTCTTCACTTTACCGACACCTACAGATATTACTTTGACACCGTTCTGGACAACCATACTCGAAAAAGATAACTTTTTATTACAAAAGTCTTCTTCACCGGGAAGTCCTCTTTTTCGTAGCCTTATGAGTACTATTGCCAGTGTGTAAGTATTTAGAAAAAAAAAGAAAAAAAGGTAGTTAACACATGACAGGTTCGATACAAAGTTACCACCATTTCGTATCTTGTTTCAAAGAGAAGTCAATACCGTATGTTTACAGATTGCTGTGGCCGAGACAGAAAATGCAATTCATGCTGCTTGGTCTTGGATTGAAAGGAATATGATGCCTGAACTTGAAACCATTGATCATCCTGTAGATAAGGAGCATTGGGTATCTGAAAAAATCAACATGATTGTTACTGCAATAGGTGATAAATAATCAAAGAAATAGCAAGAGTGTGCTCATTTAAAAAGTCACTAGAATCGGGCACAGATGAACTTTCTTCGGATGAGAATGTGAGAAATGCATCAAGAAGTTTTAGACAGATATTTGACATTTCACATTCTGAACGCTTTGTTAGCTGTGAGTATACGCAATGTGCTCATAGAGTTTTAGTTGTTGATTGCCTTGATAGATTATTCATGCGCCTATAAAGGAAGACAAGGATGGATCTATATTAGTGAAAATTATCTTGGCTTTCATTCATTTTTGTTAGGTGCAGAAACTAAAGTTCTAATTGAACTCAAGGACATTGAGGACATTAAGAAAGAGAGATCAAAGGGCATATTTGATGATAGTATTCGACTAACTACCAAGAACAAAGAAGAGGTATTTCAGGTCTCATTTCTTCTTCCTTTATTACTTAATATTATCCAGTTTCATTTATCCAACATGTTTAAGAGGGATGAAGTATATGATTTGTTGGTGCAACTCACTGGTCAGGCTATGCAAAGATGGCTTAGTAATGCTGGAGGAGAAGCTCCTGGTCAGTCAAACAATGCAGAATTCACGGCTGCTCAACAAAACGATAAACGTCATTTACAAGAAATTCGACGCATTACAGAGGGCCGTCCCCACCAATTAGTGAGCCCTCTCAAACAAGATTTGGCTACACAAAAACGAGACAATGCTTATTGTGTTCGGTTTCGATTGCCTGTCAATGAACATTTGATAAGTGCAGTTGACGCTACGTATACTAAAGAGGCTTCGAAAGAGCGCGACCCACATTTCTTATCGCAAGTACCACCAGGCGCTGTCCATTTGATCGGTCGTGTGTATCTATCACAGACATTCTTGGCATTTGAATCAGAAGAGAGACTACCTGCACCTCAGCAACATTTGCCTGTATGCAAAACAGTCCTCCCATTGTATACAATCAAGCGTGTAGAGAAAATCCATCAAGGAGCCTATACTTCCGGTGTAGCATTAGTGACATGGCATAAAATGGAACATTGTTTTTATCTGCATGTAAGCTAAATACGTTTTTTCCCTCCTCTAGAGAATTAATTTAAATTAGGCCGAGAAGAACATATCTGAACAATTCTGTGAAACTTTGAAAGGATTATTGTTGAAGCAGATACCATTGTTTAAAACAGTAAAGCCGTTTATTGTTACATGCGAATCAGAACATATTTTTCGTCAAGTAGACACTACATTGATTGACACAAAAATACACATAGGAGGATTAGGCTTAGAATTCGGATACCCAGAAAATGCTAAAAAGTCTAAAGACAAGAGCAAATTTAAATTATGGAATCTTTACTTTCAAGGTAAACAAGGATTTACTACTGTTCTTATTGACATCTGTTTTTTCTTCACAGAAAATGGTCGAAACTTGACTATGATAAAGTTACCGACATTTAGTAAACTAGTAAGAGTTGGTTTACCAAACGCTTTACGAGGCGAAATATGGGAAGCTTCATCAGGGGCCATCTATCTACGATTTGCAAACCAAGGACTGTATCAAACAATTCTTGAAAAATACAAAAACCAAACATCAATAGCTACAGAAGAGATTGAAAAAGACTTGAATAGGTACAGAGCCAAGCCTCTGTAAAACAATCTAATGAATATTCACATCTATAGATCTCTTCCTGAATACCCAGGGTATCAGTCTCCAGAAGGCATCAACCGGCTACGCAGAGTATTGACTGCTTATGCTTGGAATAACCCTGAGCTAGGTTACTGTCAAGCCATGAATATTGTTGCTTCTGCGCTATTGATCTACACAACAGAAGAACAAGCCTTTTGGATTTTACATGTCCTAGTTGATCGTATATGTCCTGGTTATTACAGCACAAGCATGTATGGTGCTTTACTTGATCAAATCATTTTTGAGAAATTAGTGGAGAAAACTATGCCTATTTTATGGAATCATTTTAGAAAGACAAATGTCGAACTGTCTATAGCTTGCTTACCATGGTTTCTGAGTCTGTATGTCAATTCAATGCCACTAGAATTTGCTGTGCGAGTATTGGATATTCTGTTTATGGAGGGATCAAGAATTCTCTTTCAGATAGGGTAAGAAAATTGTTTCTTCATTGCCTCTGTTCATTTATTAATCACTGTTGTAGCTTGGGTAAATTTCAGATAAGAAAAACCATCATATATCTAACACAAACTTAGCCATTCTCAAGATCAATGGTGAAGAACTCTTAAAATCAAGAGACGATGGTGCATTTCTGGATATTTTTAAGTCTTTTTTCCAGTCCATTGGTATACCAGAAGAGAGCGCTAATGGTGAAAAATACATTAAGTTAACTGTAAGTAGACTTTTTTTTTTACATCCAAAAATTCATTTATATCGTAGAAATTCAACGAGGTCATGCTTATTGCTGTAAGTATACTCAACGAAAATAGAACTCATCTCATCTGTTTTTGACAGTACCGAGAATTCTCTTTGGTAACAGATGAAATGGTGATCGAAATGCGCAGAGAAAACCAACTTAAAGTCGGAGCAAACATTGAATCATTTACAAAAAGAACAGCTATCCGAAACTTGAATGACACAGCTGGGTTCAGTAAAGAAGATGTTGGTGTTATTTATGACAAATACTTTGGTGCGCTTTATTATGCCAATCGAGAATTCGGCGCTAAGCCTGAAATCAAAATGAACCGCGATACTTTTCAAAGTATGTTGGCAAGCTTTGCCCCTTGGGCTAAAGTAAAACCTTCTACTGACGATATCGACACAACTACAGTAAACGTAATATGTAACAGCTTTATTGATCGCTTGTATCGCATGTTTGTTGGAGATGCACCAGATAAATTATGCGATTTTCAACGGACTGTTCTAGGCCTTAGTGATATTCTACAAGGAGTAAGTTTGAACCAAACCTGGCTATTTATGACTGATGCTTTACTGAACAGGATATTATGTCGCACATGGACTGGTTTTTTAAACTCTATGATGAAGATTGCGATGATGTATTGACAAGTAAAGACATCATCAACATGAGTAAAGAGCTTTATTGGCTCTTGGGATTCTTGAAGGACACCGACATTGCTTGGGATGCGGTTACTAGTTTAATCATTCACAGTTGCGAACAATCTGATGTGGCCAAGGGAATTCAGCCCGATGAAACTACACTAACTCATCGCTTAGCAGACTTGACCATGACAGCCACAGGGACATCATTTTATGGTCGTATCAAACAGCTGGAGGATTCAATGATTGCTGACCTTGTTGACATTACTTTACCTTCATTCCGTATGGTCGTCTTGACCAATGAATCGCTTGAAATGCTCTTTGATCATGGATTTGCTAATAGCTTCAAGGTAGTCAAGTCAGCTGCAGATCATCAAAAGAGTCTAGGTAGAGAATTATTTGAGAATTTGTTTGCAGATGGCCAAAAACTTGCAAAGGAAGCACACCCTCAACATCTTCAATCACCTCCTATGCTCAAAAAGTCGAATTCTTCGCTCACCACATCCAGTGATACTTCGCGACAAAGATCTCATTCTTCTGCTTCTGTAAATACAGTAGATATTAAGGCTAAAGAAGAAGCCGAAGTAGATACGCTTATGGAGGATGAATGGGTCCAATTTGATGTGTAATTTTATATGTTTTGCATGTGAAATCTATCATTTGTTTATTGAATCATTAAGGGGTAAAAATAAACAATTTTACATCTTTGATCTCTTTTGAACACCCAATTCAATCAATTTGAGGAAAGCAGCGGCAAAATCGTCAAAGAACTTTTGTTGATCCTTAGCATAAACTTCAACATATTGACGGAAAGGTTCTTCTAAAAGTGCCATATCTGTGGGCAACATCATAATTTCACCTTCATCTTCATCAACAAATTGCTTGGGACCATCCCATTTCTTTTCAACCCATTTAACATTGAGCAAAAGCTTGTAGCTATAAAAAGTTAGTATAACTAAGTATGGATCAAATCAGGAGCTTACAATTGGTTAGAGAAACGAGTAGGGTTGTATGTCCAAGGACCATCGAAGCCAGAACGATCAGCATGACAACGACCAACAGTGTGAGCACCAATCAAAGCAACAGTTTCTTGAACAGTGAATCCCATACGAGAAACGAAAACATCGAGAACGTGATCCTTACCCAAGGCAGCGTCAGGAAGACGGCCAAGAGGAGGGCAATCAATTTCATTGTTCTTATCTTTACGACCACCAGTCCATTCAATGCGAGGGCCACCCATATGTTCAATAGCAACACAACCAGCAAGACTGTATCAAAATTAGCATTCATATCTTATCTAATCATAGATCGTTTAACTTACGTCCACAAATCAGCATAAGTGATCCAGGCATGCTTGGCCTTGATGGGTTCAAGGAAGTTTCTGGCGTGTTCCAAACCGGCATTGGCGGGATCTTCAGCTTCGGCCTTGTAACGCATGGTAGCACCATCACTACCACCATCCTTTTGATTCTTATCATAAGTACCACTTGCGTGCCATGCTAAACGAAGCCTATATATAAAAGTTAATAAAAAAGCTGCGCATAACCTATTGATCTTGATGCTTACACAACAGGTGCAAATGATCCATCATCATAGTCTTCATTAGGGAAGGCTTTAGCAATTTCTTCTCTAACTTGAGCATATTTATCAGGTGAGGCTTGAGTAGTAGACATTATATAGAGTGGGGGGTTGAGAATTGAAAGAAGAAAAGAAAAAAGGCAATGTTGAAGAAAAAGATGAACTTAATAAAAAAAATTGCACCAGTCACTTTATTCTGCTTATGCAATGGATTTGTTTTCACATGGAGTTGAAATGCATACATTCAAGATCCGATTAGTTGGTTTTCTTGCTTTTTCGTTATGCTTTTAAAGTGTTCTCGCCTTGTTTTCTCATTTATATAGACAATTACTTTATGAGAGATGTTGTCTATTGGTTCAACAATCCATAAAGGCCTCTATTTGCAATTTCTAACAAGATAATGTGTAACTAACCAGCAAAACAATCGGGCCACAGCGGAAGATCATTTAGTCCATGTGAAGAAATTTGCAATTTTAATTCTGTCAGCAAAATTAACTGTGAATGGCCCCTATATTTCTCTCCACACTCTTTTTTGATTGGCTGAACATTGCTTTCACATGCTGTACTTCAGCTTAAAAAATATATATTCTCTCTCTTGTGAGCGGCAAGTCACGAATTATTTTCCCTTCAAGTTTTGTTCATGACACATCCTATTTAGCATTTAAATTATTTTTCATCCTCTCTTTTTTATTTTTTCTTTTCTTCTTCTTCTCTTCCATCTGCTTTTCATATAAAACTATGTCTGATAACGTTGCTCATGCCCTTTCTGGTAAGCATACAGACAAATACCATAAACAGAATATAGACGTGTTTTATAGGTGCTGGTGGAGGTATTGTCTCTATGGCTTTGACCTATCCCCTTGTATCCATCAGTTCTCGTCTTCAAGTACAAAAGAACGATACTAGCAAAGATGCTTACAAGGTAATTTCGATTTTAAACAATAGACGGATCCTCAATTTTATGACAAATGGCTAATTGATTCCCTCATCCATATTTAGAACACTTTGGACGCTTTTATTAAAATTCTTGCCAAAGAAGGTCCCAAGGGTCTATACTCGTAAGCTTTTACCTTGTATCAAACTACTTGTATTGACATTGTATTTAGTGGCTTGAGCTCTGGTATCTTTGGTATTGCTGTCACCAATGGTACGCCCCATCTTTTTTTGTTTGATTTATGCATGAATTGAATCCTAACTTCTGTGTACATAGGTGTCTACTACTACTGCTACGAAGCTGTCAAATCTATTTTCGAAAAGGCTAAGGGCAAAGGTAAGCCTATGAGCACATCTGAATCCATGCTTGCTGGTGCTATTGCTGGTTGTGCTGTGGTCATGGCTACTCACCCTATCTGGACTGTCAATGTAAGCCACTGATAGCATATAAAAAGAGACGAATGCTCATCATTTCATTCTATTTCTAGACCCGTTTAACTGTCAGGAAGGGTGTTGAAGGCGATGAAAAGGCTCCCAAGGCTACTGCTCTCTCTGTTGGTTTTCAAATTCTTCAAAAGGAAGGTATTGCTGGTCTTTATGCTGGTGTCAAGGCCGCTTTAGTCTTAGTTATTAACCCCATCATTCAATACACTGTCTTTGAACAAGCCAAGAATAAGGTTGCAAAGCACAAGACTCTCGGTAACCTTGATTTCTTCCTTTTAGGTGCTTTCTCTAAGCTCTGTGCTACTGCCATTACTTACCCTTACATCGTCATCAAATCTCGTATGCAAGTATCTCAACAAGGCGAAGAAAAGTACAGTTCCATCTTAGACGGCTTCAAGAAGATCATTGCTACTGAAGGTGTTACCGGTCTTTACAAGGGTATCTCTTCCAAGATTGTTCAATCTGTTCTTTCTGCCGCCTTCTTGTTCCTTGCCAAGGAAGTTTTGTTCGATTGGTCTGTTTGGGTCCTTGTTCTCCTCGGTGCTCGTAAGGCTCGCGTTACTGCCAAGGTTTAAGTTAATTTGTATACTATAATAATCATAATGATAAAAAAAATCTCGTTTCTAGAAGATAACCTCCCTCTAATGAACAATAATTTATTTGTATTCTATCACTTTATAAGGCTTGCCAGTCTTTTCTAAAAGGCTGTTCCAATAGGCGTCGATTTGAAACTCAAAGTTGTATTTACCACCCAAATCAGCTTCCATTTGCTCCAAAGGTATATAGTCTTCCATGTTAATCACATCGTTTGTAGCTGCCTTAGCATCACCAGAATTAATAAACTTGATCTTATTTCTAGTGACAGGATCGACAAAAGGAGCAATGACTTTGAAGGTGGTCAAAAAGAACCAAGGTGCTACACAAATAAGAAATGAGCTATCAATGAATTTAAGTATAACTACTTGCAGTTCACCAAAAAGGCGACACCGAGTCTTTCAGGGTAATGGTTACTCAAAATTTCCAAAAACTTTTTAGATGTGTTGACACTAGGATTACTAGACATGGAAGAGCCCTTAAAGTCTGTAACAATGGAAATTTTTTCTACATTATCTGGCATTAAGCGAATAGCTCTTTCCAGACAAAATACAATATGCTTGACTTGTCTGTCTGAATCCTTTGAATTTTCATTACGAGGCTTCATAATCCATAAAGGCCGACCGTTCTTGTCATAACCACTAAAGTACATCTTGCCCGTTTCGGCCTATAAGAAGTCAATAAATAAAATAATTTTTTTTGTTACCTACTTCAGGACGAATAAAATCAGGATCCAATTGATCTGGCTTGAATTCTCTTCTCCATTTCACTGTCTTCTCTAGCATAGTCTTGGCTGCCTATGATCAATAAGCAATACATCCATATCACTCATCCGAATCATTATTCTTACCTCAAAATCCCATTTTCTGGCTCTCATGTATCGATGAGCGGTTGCTTCAGACAAGAATCCCTTTTCACTAGGATAATAAGGATCGTCACTTGAGAGCATAATGGTATCCATATAAGCCAATAAATCTTTGATCTTTTGCTTTTGTTCCTCGTCAAGTGGTGTGTTCAAGATAGGCTCATAGTTGGCAGGTAGACTTAAGATAGGTTCATAAGTTACTGGTCCGAGGTCTGTAGAGATTGACTTTGTGCTGTCTGCTGAAGAAGCAGTGCCACTAGAGGATTTAAACTTGAACATGATATTCTGAAGAAAAAGAAAAGAAAGGGGGAATGAAATGAAATATAAAGTGTGCGTTTATCTTTAAGTGACGACTGTTTCCTATTTATAGAAATGGTTGTATGTTGTCTTCACCACTATTCAAGCTTCCTTTTAAAGTATAGAAAAAGATGCAACAAAACCAAGCCTATTTAACATTGTGAAGTTAATTTTCAACAGACAAAAAATTGACTTTCGTCAACATGGTTTAATCTGATAAGGTTAATTGTGGCACCACTGGCTATCAACAGCAAAAATTTGACACAAATTGACTGATATGAGAGAGAGAGAGAGAGAGAGAGAGAGAGAGAGAGAGAGAGAGAGCTCAACTGTTAGTTGATTCATTATTTCATGCTTTTCTAATAAGGCACTCTATCTTACGAATGACAATCTTTAGCACATCTTGTTACTACTTGTTTATAAACTAATTTTCTTAACAACTAAAATTGGAGCAAATCTCCTTTACAAAATTTTTTTTTGAAGTCCAAATCAACTCCAAAGACACTGTGTGTGTTAACAAATATAGTTTGTAAGTGTTTAAAGCATTTATGCATGCATTAAAGATTTACATGAATTGTTGCCTTCACACTGTTGAAGCAATTATTTACCTGGTATCTATATTACATGAGCAAGAAATGTACTATCAAATTGTTTAGCCGAACAAGATGTCTTAACAAACCGCACTTGAAATGCCTAAATCAAAGAAAAGGATGGAAATGTCAAAGTGATAAAAATTCATCTCAACTTTATGATGTATACCATATGAAAGTTGGCTTTGTTAAACACAGCAGATATAATATAAATTGCCACATATTCATAACTACAATGTGATCATACACTTCTTTATCATAAGGATATTTCCAAACTAAAAGGTACGATGTTATTCGCATTATTTAATGAAATTAATAGCATATTATTTATACTAAAAGTGTCCCTATAATAAGTGAAATAGCCTGTATATCACTAATAAAAACATGCTAATAGATTCAAGTCACACAAGCTTTTTTATGCAACAAACAATAAATAGTCTTGTCCCTATCTGTCTTTTTTTACTTTTTTACTTTTTTTTTCTCTCAGCAATGTCTTCCCAAGCTAATTTTCCAGTAGAGCTTTGGAGAGAAATATTTACGCATATACTCAATAAACAAGTCTTGAAAGAATGTTTATCTGTCTGTAAGACATGGAACCTCGTCGCGCGTTCTTTCTTCCCAGAAAGTATTTATATCGAACTTAATGATGCACACCTAGACTTGCTTCACCGAGACCTTGAACGTTTTCCAGGGTTCGGTCAAAAAGTTACAAGGCTTACGTTAACACATTATTCTTCTGGTCTGAGCGAGCCTAGTTTGTTTCGTTCTGTTGTTAGTCTCTGTCCCAACCTGTTGGAACTCTTATTTGCAACCAATGAAATTTATCATTACCTCAATATACTCAACACGCGAGAAGCTTTACTTCCTAATATCCAGAAGATACATGTAAGTCATCTGTCAGAATGTTCGCCTGCCATAAGACGATTTCATGTCTGGGTCAACTATCGATTTCGCAAGACAATCACTGACCTTGAAGTCTTGGATATTGATGCGAATGGTGCGTTGGATAAGTATACAGGCTTAGTGGCATATGCAAGAACATTCCCAAACCTCAAGCATTTGAAAGCACAGTCAAGCTCTTTTCTTGCAATTAACAATGTCAGTCTGGATTTATTAGCTTTACTAGCATCCAACCGAAAGTTAGAGAGCCTGAAATTATACAATATAGGCAAAATCACTAGTACATTAAAAGACCTGGCTAAAAATGAATTTGGTGAGTATCCGTCTTTGAAGAAACTCAAGTTGGATGCACAGCAAATAGATATTGGTACATTGAAGTGTATTACTTCAAGGTTCACAAATGTCAATAACTTAAGGTTGCTGACGTCTGTTATCTTACCTGATGACTCTCTTACAAGCAAAGAAGCCCAAGACATCATTGATCAATTTCAAGAATACAGTAAAAAAGTCGAACGAAACAATGTCTCTTATGTTTATGAAAATCAACACTATTACATTAACAACGTTATAAAGAAATCGATCTGGATCACCAATTTCACAATTTTTGATCCATTTATTGAACGTGAGTTTGTCTTCAATGAATTTGATGAATTCGGTAACGACGATGAACTTGAAGATATGTTTGGTGATGGATTCGATGATGATGGAGTTGAAGATATGTTTGGCGATGGGTTTGATGACTATGAAGATATGTTTGATAGTGATGGATTTGGACAATATGAAGAAGAAGACCTCGAGATTGCGTATCCTTTTGGCCTTGGTTATTCTATCAATACCTACCCTGATTTGATAGATTAAGGATAGCTTTTTTTTTCTTAAACATCTAAAAATACTTGCTTATTTATTTCAAAATAAAGATTTTATTTAAAGTTGAGTAATGTTCTCTATGACAGATTGAAGTAATTCAGAGTTATACATGGGACTATTACTTGTAGGATCAGCCTCAGCCATAACACAACGAATGCCTAATGCTTCTATAGCATCCACATCAACAGGAACCAAAGAATTGGAAAGGTATATCAAATGTGTTATATAAGTAGAAGGCGCCTCATGAGGGACTAGTTCAGTTGGAAAGGGTGTTGTAGCACCTGTTGTTTGTCTAGCTGTATTTCCATTAGCAAAATATCCTTCTTGCTGACCACTTGATGATGGAGGTCGTGTGTCTAGTCTACCAACACCTGGAGGAGGCCAGTGTCTAAACCCATATTCCACTGGTCTTGCAAACACATCCGTTTGTCCGTTTGTCTGTTGTTGATTACTAAAAATCTCATCATTTGAATGCGTATCATAATATTGATGACGAGCATCAATCAGCTGGCTTTCGTTTAATGCATTTGTGATAGTGCCTATGAAATCAAGTGCAGTATAGCCATCTGTTTCACGATCTGTGGAGCCGTTCAAAATCAAAATCTTGTAGCGTAATGACTGTGAGTGAGCAATAGCATGACCCACTTTTCTCAAGATGAGACAAGGTAAAATAGACGTATAAAGTGAGCCAATAGAATACACTAAATGCGAACGCTTTTTCAGATGATCGAGTATTTTGGGATTGGGCAGTGGATATATTTCTTGACCATATTCATTCATGTAATAAATTCGAGAAATAGGTGCTGATAGCTTCTCTTCTGTAGCTTTACTGAAGATCAAGTTGTTATTGACTTGCTCCATGTTGGAATATAAAGGAGAAGTAGGTAAAGCCAATACTGAAAAAGCATCAATTGGATTCATGGATTTACATGACTTGCTTTGTCCTGGATGGCTGATTTCACATTGTCCACGCAGTGTATGTCCATCTTCTAATAAAGCAGCAATAGCAGCTGTATGATTTGTATTGATGACAGGTAATACATAAGTGGGTTCCCGAATAGCTGTAATAGAAGAAAAAAGGAAAATGGCAGCTTCCAGAGATCCAAAAAAGAGACGTGCACCTGTCAAGAAAAAATTACCAATTGATCCATTACGAAAATTAAAATGCTTGTGTGCTCTCTTGAGAATTTCAAAGTTAAATAAAACTAAGAAGCCTCGAATCGTCTCCCTTTTCTCTATAGAGATTTTTTTCCATAATCTGTATTATATCAGCAAGAACCATTTCATGTTACAAAATACCTATGGCGTCCTTCCACAATCATGCTCCACTCGTCACGGATAGCATTGTCATCATCAAAAGGTGTTAGTCTGTAGCTGAGTAATTCTTTGATAGCCGTCTTTTCTTCAGAATCATGTCCATCCAGACTGATAAGTCGAGTGAGTCGGGATCTTAGGTCACCAATACTGGGTCCACCTAAAACTCGAAGTAATTCACTCTATCAATGTAGAAAAAGTTACTCTCTCATGTTGTCTATCTGCGCTAGTTTACAGTGGATCCACCATTATCGGAAACACCTAAAATGTAACACACACTAGGTGTAATGGATTGGAATGCATTGGCTATATGGTGTCAGAATAATCGTTGTAGATTTAAATCATAAGAGATATACCTATAAAATTGCATGCAGATCCACCTGAAAATACAACAAAAGAAGGAGTACTTTGATCTGTCATAATAATAACAAAAAAAAAAAAAAAAAAAAAAAAAAAAAAAAAAAAAAAAAAAAAAAACGAATAAAAAAAAAAGCCATTTTGCAGCTGGAACATATTAATTGGAGCACAGTCACTTGGTATTAACTCCTGAAGCTCCGGTTCAATTAACAATACGTGCTGAAAAACGATAGGAAAAACCGTATACGTGTTCGAAAAATCGACATTGTTTATTTTTATTTTATTGCAAAATAGCAGTTGTTTACACACTGAGGCTTTGTTCTTTTTACATAAACATATCATCATATCCCTATGAACTACATTAGATATGCACTCATTTGTTTATGCTACTTACGGGTGGACGCAATTCGTCATTATCTGGTTCTCCTGCAAAGTTGCGATGAGGTCCTCCTCTTCCTCGGTTACCGCCAGTAGGTCTACGAGGCAAACCGCCAAAAGGCCCAATAGGATCAAATCGAGCACCAGGAGGGACAGATCCTCGAGGCAATGGTTGTGGTCCACCAAATAAACCTGAGGGATCATCTAGACTACTTCCTCCTCTGCCTCCAAATATAGGATGATCAGGTCCCACATACATGCCTCCTCCTCCCCTTTTTCGTTTGAAATAACTGTCAGAATCCCTGATATCATCATTTTGCACAATATTACTTACCCAGGCATGTGCATTCCTTGATCTGGAAGTGGGCGCAGATCAGAGCCACCCACATCATAAATATCTTCTTGATCTCTTGAAGGATATCTTTGTTGTTGTCTTTGAGGCTCAAATCTACCACTACATACATATAAGAAAAGCTTTTATTGTTTCCCTTTATTTTACCTAGATGGTGCATTGTTGCTATTGTCTTCTTGTTCTTCATAGCCAGGCTTTTGAAGCCCAGGTATTAATTTTTGCAGGATTTTGAGTTTGTACGCTTTAATAAAGTCCTCAAATCGATTAGACGAAATAAAGCCATGAACCAAGGGTTTGTCAGATGATGATTCATATGGATAGAATGATGCTGATGTATAGTCTTCTATTAAGAAATCCAACATAGCTGTCTTGTTATCCTATTGTATATCGTAAGCATAATCAGTATCTCATTGACAATACTTGCCCCAATGCCTAAGCCAAGAATCACACATTTATCACCGAGCTTTAGAGTCTTGACCACAAATGTCAAACTTGACTGCGGATGACTATATCTAAATGCATATACATGAAGTCCATTTTCGTTCCAGTTCTCTGGCAAGACCTTTCTAGTACCATCACCCTCTAAAGAACACGTCATTAATGATTTCTTTTATGCATTATTATTATTGTTTTTACCTTGACGTGCGTCGTCACCCAGTCCTGCAAAGCGGAAACCGACACTAAGCATAATAGCGTGTACAGCACCAGCTATAGCGTCGTAAGGATTTTTAAAGCCTGAAGCTATCTGAGACGTAGAGTGTAAAATAGCTGAAGGGTCTAGAGCGTTTGTTTTATTATCAGACATAAGGAATATAAAGAAGAGAAAAACGAAAAAAAAAATATGCAAGAAAATTATGCTTGAAATACAAAAGTGTGACGTACAAAACTGATAACAATAAAAAGATAAACTTGTTATATTGACAAGAGTACAAAGAAAGAAAGATAGACTGGCATGTGGCTCATGATTTAATAGCCCGTTTTATCGACCGTATCATACTCTTTTTCTTTCTTTTTCTCTTCTCTCTCACACACACTTCCTCTCTTTGCCTTTTTTACACCAACAAACTCCGCCTTTTTTCATGCTTAAACCAGTCAATAAGCTATCTAAAATTAAATCTAAATTTAACAAGTTATCCAAGAAACTATCCAATTCAATCCAGGCACCAGAAGATTTAAGGAATATTTTTAATTACTTCTGTAAGACAAATACCCATGATAGATCAATATTTGAAAGTGATGGTTACTATGAATACCAAGCCTTTTATAGAAACAAAAAGAGTACTGACAAGCAGTTGACTGGTATCCTAATAAACGAAACTTGGAACCCTCAACAGTCAACTATTACAGTGAATTCAGAAGATTTGACAGCCAAAGAATTTGCAGACATTGCTGGTATCCGTATTCTGCCCGAAAATGAACGGGAATTTACGATGGATTCTATGCTTGTCACAATGTCTTCTAAACGCACCTCCATTTCTACTTGTTCCATAAAGCAGCCGCACATCTGGGACTCAGAGTTCTGGACACCCCAATCAATAATGCTGCCATTATCTAGAAATAACAGTAATCCGCCAATATTACATGAACTGCGTCAAACGAATAACAAGAAAATCATTAAAAAAGGTCGTTTTGAGATTCAACTAGATGGTTATAGCTAAATAAAAAAGAAACAACCACAAAGACATTGACAGAAGTTGTTTAAGGTTTACTTTTTTTATTTTTTATTTGTCAAATGATATCAGAACCATACAAAAAGAAAAAGCCTATTTACTAGACTTAAAGAACATATACAAAAAAAGGTCATCCCGAAGTTTTGATCTCATGTCAATTTTTGTCCCTGAAATTATACTTTAATCTGATTGAAAGTCTGTTTCAGCTCGTTTTTTATTGTGTACTTTATCGGTAGAGAATCAAATAAAAAAAACTCTCCTTCTCTTTTTCATTATAACATCTTGTTTTAAACACGCTTCTATTTGCATCTATTATAATACTGAATAAATGATTTTATTATCAACACTCTCCCTGTCAGTGTACCAATCGTATCGTTAGAATCAAAGGAATTAGAAACAAACGGACATCTTCAAACCAATAAAACGTGCTCTTGTTGCTTGTGCAGAGATTACATTGGAACAGCTTATTTTGGGAGTGCAAATAAACTTCTCCTATTCGTAAAGAAACTCCTTGCAATATATCCCATTTAGCCTTGTCTCCTTAATTAGTGAAAAAAAAAGCAGAAATCATATTTTTGTGCTTTATTGTTCCTTTATTTTTAATTCAATATGAACAACAGTGATAGTAATAAAAAATTGACAACACATGTCGATATGGTGTTTACTTCTCATATCGAACCAGCCAATCCATTTGCATTTTCGCTTGAACAAATGTCAAGTATTGTAGTTCAGAAACATATTGAATTTATCAAGAGAATGGGCGGTATTGAAACAATTGCAAGAGGGCTACATTCAAATCTTGACACTGGCCTGGATTGGAATGAAGCGCATTTACCATACATTCGCATATATGACATTCAACACAAGCAAGAAGAATACCATGAACCTCAGTTACCTTTGTCCATGTACGATTCAGACACATTTGAGCAGCGGAGACAAGTGTTTGGGTCCAATGTGCTACCTCCTATCGAAAGAATAACTTTGCTTCAGATTATGTGGGAAGCATTTCAAGACAAAACATTGGTAAATACACAACACGATCGACTCATCCCAATCAATAATTCCTGTTTGCTTGTAGATTATGCTTACAACAGCAGCTTTGATTAGCCTGACACTTGGAATTTACGAAGATTTGTATACAACAGAATATGATGCATTAGGAAATATAATTCCCGGTGTAAAATGGGTAGAAGGAGTTGCTATTATTGTTGCTGTTGTCTTGGTGGTGATTGTCACTAGTGTCAATGACTATCAAAAGGAGCAAAAGTTTCAGAATTTGAATGCTAAGAAAGATGACAGAGAAGTTTGTGTAAGTCGTTTATATAGCATACTACATGTATTGACTGCATTGGTCTATAGGCAATTCGGTCTGGTAAACCAGTCATGATATCTGTGCATGATGTCCAGGTAGGTGATATCCTCAAATTAGAGCCTGGAGATATCATCTGTGCAGACGGAATATTCATAAAAGGACACAACCTAAAATGCGATGAATCAGCAGCAACTGGTGAATCTGATGCCGTATCTAAACTTGCATGGGACTTGTGCTGTACAGAACGCAAACCTTCTACAGATTCGATTGTGTGTATATCTAAAAGTGACCTTATTCATCAAGAAGGCTTTGATTCTGACTTGGAAGAGAAAAAGTCTGATCCTTTCCTGATTTCTGGATCCAAAGTGACTGAGGGTATTTGTACTTTTATCGTTACTGCAGTTGGTCCTCATTCTTTTCATGGCCAGACATTGATGGCACTTCGAACAAAAGATGGGAATACTCCATTGCAAGATAAACTGGATATTTTAGCAACAAGCATTGCTAAATGTGGTTTATGGGCAGCTGGTCTGTTACTTGTCATGTTAAGTATTCGAAGCATAGTAGAATACGCCAAAGGATCTCTATCAACCATACCTTCGGATATTGTGTCTCATGTGATGCAGATCTTGATCACAACCGTTACTGTTGTTGTTATTGCAGTGCCTGAGGGTTTGCCGCTGGCTGTGACTTTAGGTAAGAGACAAATAGGTTATATGATACTCATGGATTTCTGATAGCTTTGGCTTATGCAACTCAACGCATGCTTCACGACAATAATCTTGTTCGTGTATTAGCTGCTTGTGAGACAATGGGAAATGCAACTACGATTTGTTCAGATAAGACAGGCACACTTACTCAGAACAAAATGGTGGTTGTAGCAGGTACTTTTGGCTCTTCTTTTCGATTTCTTAAAGACCCTCCAGCATCTCGTACGGATCTGATTGATATCAGAGACTTGAAGCACAAATTACCCATTGCTTTACGTAACTTCATCAACCAAGCCATGGCCGTGAACTCAACTGCTTTCCAAAATACAAAAAGCATTGTAGGTAACAAAACCGAGACCGCCATGTTAAATTTCGCTCAAGACTATATGGAATCTGCACCTTTTGAGTCTTTAAGGAATCGCTGGCCTGTACAAGTAGTTTATCCATTCAGCTCTTCTAGAAAAACAATGGCTACTGTGATCTGTATACCTCTTGAATCAGGATTGTTTATTTACCGAGTGCATATCAAAGGGGCTTCTGAGATGTTGTTGAGTTACTGTAGCCATATTGTCTCTCTCCATGATCCTTACTATCAACAGCATAATCCAAACGATACGACTAATTATTCCATTGCCACACGCCTAATGACTGAAGCCAATCGTGAACGTATGGTTAAAGTCATCCAAAGTTATGCTACACGATGCTTAAGAACACTTGCTGTTTGCTATCAAGACTTTGATCACTGGCCAGATCAAATAAGACTAGAAGATATATTGGCAGCTGGTCAACTGACATTACTAGGAATAGTAGGCATTGAAGATCCACTCAGGCCTGGTGTAACTAACGCAGTAGCCGCATGTCAGCGCGCTGGTGTGTGTGTGAGAATGGTCACAGGGGATAACATGTTGACAGCCAAAAGCATTGCACGTCAATGTGGTATTTACTCTTATGGCACGCTTGCTATGGATGGTCCAACCTTTAGGAGCTTAAGCAGAGAACAACGATTGCAAGTATTGCCTCAGTTACGCGTTTTAGCTAGATCAAGTCCAGAAGATAAACGACTGTTGGTGCAAACTTTACGTGATACGGGAGAAATTGTCGCAGTAACCGGAGATGGCACCAATGACGGGCCAGCATTAAAAGCTGCGGATGTCGGGTTTAGTATGGGTATCTCAGGCACAGAAGTAGCCAAAGAGGCTTCTAGTATTATTCTGATGGACGACAATTTTTCAAGCATTGTCAAGGCCATTTCTTGGGGCAGATGTGTCAATGACTCTGTAAAAAAGTTCCTACAGTTTCAATTTACGATCAATGTAACAGCAGTCATGCTAATGATGATTACATCAGTTGTTAGTGATAAACAAGCTTCCATTCTGTCAACAGTTCAGCTACTTTGGATCAATCTGATAATGGACACTTTTGCAGCCCTTGCACTTGCTACGGATGCACCTTCACCCGATTTGTTAAACAGATTACCTGAACCCAGAACTGCACCCTTAATTACCAGCTGCATGTGGAAACAAATCCTTGGTCAAAGTTTGTACCAGCTTGTAGTCATTCTAGTAATGCTGTACACGGATATAGTCAATCTGTCCAATGACAAGGCTACTTTACAAACATTGATCTTCACAACCTACGTGTTCTGCCAGGTCTTTAATGAAATCAAGTATGTACAAAAAAGGATAAAGTGGTGGCTTTTGATTGGTTCATTGTTTTAATTGTTTTTGGTTTCATGCAATAGTTGCAGGAGAATAGACAATCAAATGAACGTATTTAAAGGGATTAGAGAAAACAAGCTTTTTGCACTTGTGTTTTTCATCAGTTGTTTAGGACAAGTGTTAATAGTACAGTATGGTGGTACTGCATTCCAAACTGTACCACTTGATCAATATCTGTGGTGCTTGAGCCTTCTGATTGGGCTGATCTCAATACCTATTGGCGCCACTTTAAAACTCATACCAGATAACCTATTACAATTGAATTCGAAAATGGAAACAAGAGCCGTACACACAATGAATCAAAATGTAGATTGTTGATACTAAAAAAGTAACATTTGAAATCTTATGTAAGGAGTAAGACCACTTTGACAATAAATTTAACCACAAATATAAATAAACAAATTGATGACATCACAACTGGAAAATTTTCCTTATATTTTATTCAGCTCATATTTGTACATTCTTTTTCTTTCAAATGTCTTTGGAACTTACAGAACTCGTTAAGCGTCCAGGTGCTGGTAAGGCTGGTAAGCCTGTTCGCGTCAGAGCAAACTTCTTTGAAGTCACCACTTTCCCTACTCAAAACATCCACCACTATGATGTAACTATTGATCCCCCTAGTGCTCCCCCAGTCTTGTACCGTAAGATTTGGAAGTCTTTTGAAGACGTCAACGGTCAAGGTATCCTTACTGGTATCAAGGCTGTCTTTGATGGTCGCAAGAACGTCTTCTCCCCTAAGCCCCTTCCTTTGGGTGAAGAACAAGCTAAGCAATTCGAAGTGAGTATTTATTTTCCCTTTTTGTAGTTAAAAATAACTCACGAATTTTCCTAGGTTGAACTCCAAGAAGGTAGCGCTGGTTCCAAGCGTTCTTCTGGTACTTTCAAGATTCGTATCAAGAAGGCTGGTGAAGTCAATATGGAAGAACTTCGTCTCTTCTTGACTGGTCAATCTGCCTGTACTTCCAACTGTCTTACTGGTATATATCATAAAATAATCTATCATTTTTTTTGTTTAAGCTGACCACTTTTTTACATGTCTTTAGCCATCATGGTTCTTGATGTCCTTATCAGACACGTTCCCTCTACTCTCCACACCACTGTTGGTCGTTCTTTCTTCACTCCCAATGACAAGAAGCCTTTGCCCAACGGTGCTGAAGTCTGGCAAGGTTACTACCAATCTGCTCGTCCCACTATCGGTAAATATAGACACATCATTATTTTTTTTAAAAGAAAAAACTTGCTAATGTAACCTACAGGTAAGATGATGATCAACATCGATGTAAGTGCTACTGCCTTCTATGAATCCGGTCCTTTGCCTGAAGTTGTTGCCAAGATCTTGGGTCGTCGTTCGCTTGATGAACTTAGACGTGGTATTCCTCATCGTGAAATGACCAAGCTTGAAAAGATTCTTAAGACTTTTAGAATCCAAGTTGTTCACCGCGGTGAAAAGAAGCTCAAGTACAAGATCAACAAGTTGACCCCTTCTTCTGCCGACAAGACCTCCTTCAAAGACGTATCTGGTGCTGAAATCAGTGTCGCCAACTACTTCGCCAAGCAATACAACAAGCGCTTGAACTTCCCCTTCTTGCCTTGTGTTGTTGTTAAGAAGGATATCTTCTTGCCTATGGAGGTCTGTGAAGTCATCCCTGGTCAACGTCACCAAAAGAAGTTGAACGAAAAACAAACCGCTGAAATGATCAAGTTTACTTGTCAAAAGCCTAATGTTCGTGCCAACAAGATTAATCAAGGTGTTTCTCTCTTGCAATACCGTGATAATCCATACATGCAACAATTCGGTATGTCCGTCAAGCCTGAAATGGCCGTCGTCAATGCTCGTGTCTTGCCTACTCCCAAGATCTCTTACCACCAATCTTCTCAAGAAGCTGAATTTGCTCCTCAAGGTGGTGCTTGGAACTTGAGAGGTAAGAAGGTCGCTCAAGGTGCCAATCTTGGTTCTTGGTCCGTTGTCAACTTTGCTGGTAACGTTCCCATGCCTGCTCTCCAAAGATTCGTTCGCGAATTGTGTCAAACTTTCGTCGATACTGGTTTGAATGTTATTAATCGTCAACCTCCTATTATGTCTGCCGATCCTCAAGGTAACATTGATCGTACTTTGAAGGAAGCCTGGTTGAAGGCTGGTAACGCTGCCAAGGCTAACCCTCAACTCATTGTCTGTATCTTGCCCAACACTGGTGTTCCTCTCTACGCTGAAATCAAGAGAATCTCTGATACTGTTATTGGTGTCCCTACTCAATGTCTCCAATCTAAGCACGTCGCTGATGCTAAGAAGCAATACTGTGCCAACGTCTGTTTGAAGGTCAACATGAAGTTGGGTGGTATGAATTTGTTCTTGAGCTCTCCCCAAATCCCCTTCATTGCTCAACGTCCTACTATCATTCTTGGTGCCGATGTCACTCACCCTGCTCCTGGTGACATGAACCGTCCTTCTATTGCTGCTCTTTCCGCCTCTATGGATGCTCGTGCCTCTAGATACTCTTCTGCTATCCGTGTTCAAGCCAACCGTACTGAAATCATTTCTGATTTGGCTAACATGATCAAGGAAGTGCTTAAAAACTTCTACCAATCTTGTGGTCAAAAGCCCGAACGTATTTTATTTTACCGTGATGGTGTCTCTGAAGGTCAATTCAAGCAAGTCATGGACTCTGAAGTCGCTGCTATCCGTGCTGCCTGTGCGTCTTTGGACAAGAACTACAAGCCTACCATTACTTTCGTTGTCGTTCAAAAGCGTCACCACGCCCGTTTCTTCCCTATTGAACAACGTGATGCTGATCGTACTGGTAACTGTCAACCTGGTACCGTTGTCGATACCGACATCGTCCACCCCTTCGAATTCGACTTCTACCTTCAATCTCACGCTGGTCTTCAAGGTACTTCTCGTCCTACTCACTACCATGTTCTCTACGATGAAAACAAGTTTACTTCCGATTCTCTTCAAGAATTGACCTACCGTCTCTGTTACATCTACAGTCGTGCCACCCGTGCTGTCTCCCTCGTTCCTGCTGCTTACTATGCCGATTTGGTTGCTGCTCGTGCTCGCTTCCATCGTCGTGGTGAAAACTGGTCTGACACCGATGCTACCTCTGAATCTCTTGACCCCGAAGCTCAAATGGCTTCTTTTGCTGTCGTTAAGCCCGAATTGCAAAAGGTCATGTACTTCATGTAAATAGCTCAACATAATTGCATAATAAACAACAAATATTGTGAAATGATATGTTTATTATAATAAAATATTTGCGTTGTCTTGTTACAAGAAAAATTACTGTTTTCTTTTACCGGGAATCTTTTTATATGTTTTTTTGCCAGAAAACAAATCTACATAGTCTGGTAATTCAGGTTGCTTTTCCTTCTTTTCCTTCTTGGGTTTTGATGTGTTTTCTGTCATGTCAATGTCTTCGCTTGCATTTTCTGTCTTTTGTGGTTTAAACATGTCGGCTGGAATAGAGATCGTCTTTTCTTTCTTTTTTGAGATCGTAGAAGGTTCAACGAGCTTCTTTAACACAATGCCTTCCTTTTCTTTCTTTGAAGGACGCTTATAGAATTTTGCACTTTTGCCCATATCTAAAAAAGTTTTATAGAGTAAAAGAAAATGGAAAGAAAAAAGTGTCATGAACATGCTTTGCTTGAAGTTCATGCTCGAGACTAAGCCACCAAAATAACAAGAAGTAAAAAGCACAAGATCAATTGACAGAATGAATGTATCATTGATTTAAGAAACAGGCAAAAACTATCTACTAAAAAAAAATAGGCTTGTTTCTATCAACAAAAGCATACTTGATCTATTGAGAAGAATACGTTGGCACTTTGATTGTTTCCAATATGCAATTGGCTAACCAAATAAATAACGATTTTCAATTTGAACAGCGTGATATGCTTGGTCTTGTACATACAACAAAATAATGACAGACACAGTTGAACTAGGTAAATAGATATACACACTTCATCTTCTCCTTATCACTTAAACTATGGGAATACATAGATCTTGAACTAGATGCTGCTTTAGAAGCTGAATTAAACGCGCCTATGGATCCTATACCGCTAGACAATCCCATTCTAGAGAAAGAAGAAAAAGAATATCAATTTGAGGCTATTCCTCGACGCAATGCCATCTATCTGCGTGGTGTTGATGAGATGTCAACAGCAGATATCACATCTTATGCCAACACGCCCTTGTTACAAAAAGTACAATGGATAAACGATTCGTCATGCAATCTTGTGTTTGACAATGAAGAGCAGGCTATGGAAGTGGCACAAACTCTACTTCATGAACCAACAGCTTCATTGGACCACCATACATTGTTACCAGCCAAGCCCTTTACACACAATGATCGTTCATTTGAATTGTTTATTCGTGTAGCTACTGATGAAGATGTCAAGGAGAAAGGAGCACGAGCCAAGAGTCGCTATTATATGATTCATGGTACGGATGATGAACCTCTTACTTCTGAACGAAAGGAGGTACGCAAGGAACATGTAGAACGTATGAGCAAGAACGGTGGTGACGGACGTGATGTCTTTAGCCGACTAGGCAGCAGAGTTCAAAGAAGCAGAAGTAGATCTCCTTCAAGAGAGGCTACAAGAAGTACAAGAAGAGAGAGATCGATAGAACGAGAGATTCCTCAACATTTGAAAGATAGACTAGGTCCAAGAAAAGAATAAAATAGTTTTTTATGTTTATTAAAGTGTGTGTGAGTGTGTGAGGGGGAATTATATATGATTACATTAATGCTTTGACTTGAATTTAAGTAAAGGTGCCAATATTTCCAAAGGACCTGCCTTCTTAAGGAACTCATGATTCATTAATTCTTCTGCAGTTGCTCTTGATCTAACATCTACGCACAGACAAACAGCCAAGAAGCCCTTGAGTTCACGAGAGAGTTTTTCAGGATTCTTGAGAGTAGGTGTACCATTAGTAGCAATGAGATACAATGCTTTCAAAGGTTCCTCATCCAAGTAAGGAGGTTCGTTTTCAATCATTTCAATAGCCATGATACCAAGAGACCAAATGTCAACCTTGGCACCATATTCCTTTTGCTTCACAACTTCAGGTGCCATCCAGTAAGGAGTACCTACCATTGTAGCACGCTTGTTACGTTGATCACTCAACTTGGCACAGAAACCAAAGTCACTGATCTTGACTTGACCTTGAGCATTCAACAAGATGTTATCAGACTTGATATCTCTGTGGAGAATGTTTTGAGAGTGCAAATGCCAAAGACCAGCCGTAGTCTAGATTATAAGAGTTAACTTGCGCACTATGGTCAAATAAAGCAACAAACCTCGTGACAAACAGTAGCAATTTGTTGTTCAGTCATGGTATTATTATCAATCACATCAGTTAAAGCACCACCTTCCATGTACTCCATAATCACCCAAAGGTCACTGTTTCTAACAAGGAAACTGTCGAGATAATTGACAATGTTGGGGTGTTGAGATTCCTTCATTACCAAGATTTCAGTCACAATTAAATCCTTACGGGGTTGATGAGCCAAATCCATTTGCTTAATGGCCACTTTGGTATTGGTAGCCAATGATTGAGCGACATAGACAGATCCAGAAGCACTATAGAATGTTGAATATAAATATAAATATGTGTATATTTAGCTTACCCTTGTCCAACACGTTTTAATTTCTTGTACAAGTCATTTGGATCGCCGGAAGTAACAACACTTCCTATAAAGAGAGAGGTCAAAAACACAGAGAAGGAGTTTATGTCACTTACTGAGTTGTTCCATCACTTGAGCTTCTGTCATTGTACTGATACGCTGTTCAACCTTCTTTTTAGGAGCAGAGACTTGTTGAGCAGCCTTTTCTCTTTCGCGTTCACGGTGCTCTCTTTCTCGCTCACGTTCACGCTCACGTTCACGCTCGCGTTGACGTTCTCTTTCACGCTCCTTTTGTTGTTGTTGATCACGTAATCTTTCTTTTTCGCGTTGTTGTTCCTTCAATTGACGCTCTCGTTCACGTAATTCGACTTCTAACTTTTCACGTTCGTACATGATACGTTCATCATACGTGGAAATACTAGAGGTGCGAGCAGGCATGATTTTTTGAGATTTGGATGGTTCTGGTCTAGGTGCATATTTGTTGTCTTGTCTTGGGTAATTCTGCTATATAAATATATGGCATTAGCTATACTTGTAGTATCATAAATCACTTACAGGAGGTGTGCGATCAATAGGTGAATGGTGACGAGGATCAATAGGAGACTTGGGCTAGAATACATATAAATATATATGTAAATATCAATAAAAAGGGTATTTACACATCGACACTTACAGAACGAATAGACAAATCGTCCATCATTTCATTCATGTTTCTTTGAATAGGTGGTGGGGGAGCAGGACGAGAAGGAGCAGGACGATGAGGAGCACCGCCGTTCGCTGAAGATTCGTTAATCAAAGCAGCCCAGCGATCATCACTCATACGCTCCACAGCACCCTTCAGGTTTGAAGTACCATATTCTTCTGCCTCGCGTTTTGTTTGCTCGGTATAGAACTCCAAGACATCCAAGACAGCTTGAGGATTCTTAGCAGCATCTTCAGCAGTAATAGCTGAACCTTTCAAGAGTTTTGTCCATTGATCAGGTAGACCCTTATTTTTGATTTTTTTTAATTACACGAAATTTTGCTTTGTGCTACACTTACTGTAAATGCGCCTGTGTTGGGATCAAAGCCTACATGAACCTCATGAACGAAATTGGTTGGACCTGATGCACCCACTGTAGATCTCTAATATGGCCCATTTAATCATTGACTCACGACATAAACCAACTTACATTGTAGATTTCATCCATCCAAGAATAAAGATCTTCATCATTTTTACATGCAATATAATAAGTTTTGTCCTTGGTAGCTATTTCGAAACAATAAGGCTTCAAGTCTGTTCTTGTTACTGATGTGATTTCCTTTAGAAAAATCAAGGCTACACACTGCCCTGATTGCTAAAAAAAAAAAGAGTCTGAGATGAACAAGATGATGAGTTTGGGTTACTTACTTCATTACGATGAAAGGTCAAGGCTTGATCTCTCAAGACACAAAACCTTTTAGACCATATCCAGGCTCTAAGCCCATCTTCCTTGACAGACAAATAACCATCTTTAATAATTTCGGTCATAATAAGCGTATATTTTTAAAAAGAAAAACCTGTCAAACTAGAATTTGAGCCTTCTTTCTTTCTTTCTTTCTTTGACTATAAGTTTATATATTTATAAGAAAAAGTACGCGTAAATAGGTAAAGACAAAGAGGACAAGTGAAAAGAAAGGTTGCAAAAAGAAAGAAAGAAAAAAAATAAGCTCTTTCGATATATTTATATTCTAATGGCACTAATAAATTCATTATCATGTTAAATTATATAAATATTCAGTCTCCTTTTTGATGTACCACTGAGTTAGGCTAAGTGTAACATTAAATATAGCAAATGTATCCCGACTTCATTCTTGCTCTCTCTCTCTCTCTCCTTTGCTTTGTATTTGAATTGAGGAAGTGCAAGCTATAGAGAAAAAAAGCCAAGACATACTGACCATGAATGAAGGACATTGTTTATTGCCAGGATAATCAAATGCTTTACCCCACAATCGTATAAAATGGTTTAACAATCATCGGGTACAGGTCACATTGTAAGTAAGCATTTCTTTGTGTAATAGTTGAACACGGAATAGAAACAGGAGTCTATCTATGCCTTGAAGAAACTAATACATGCCATTTCTCAATGCGCTTGTCTGAATAAGAATTGCTTGCATTAAATTCAAGCAAAGGGTCTTGATCTTACCAATCAACTGCATTTAAGAAAAAGAAAGTCAGTTACTGAATGCCAGAATAGTACTTGTACTTGTAGTTTTTTATCAAGATGAAATAGTACTCAATGCATCGTTTACTATCAATACAAGTCAGTGGGATTTTTTACTGCTTAGATAAAAGCATGAAAGAAAGAAAGAAAGAAAAAAGGGAGAGAGAGAATTACGACTATGACTACAGACATGAAACGATCCATTTTTATATTATGCATCTTTTTTGATATCATTTGTATTGATTTTATCATCAAAAGTGTTGTCTATATCAAAGTTTACTTTATTTTCTACAGAAAATGTCAAACTGCTCTTTAGTGTTGTTATTATTTTTGAAGCGTGTTGCACACTTTGTTGTTATTATCATTCAAGAATGTTACACGGAATATGCTTTTTTTTTTTGTCCCTGAATCTTCAAAGTAGAAAAAAAAAGAGGTGATGGCTGTGTTTAACATGATCAACAACAACAACAAAAAGAGAATGACGGAAATATTAAATAGATAATAATAACAATTGTGCTTATAAGACCCCCCTTTTCTTTGTCTTTTATGTTTATATACACCTCCTTCTACTTTTAGTTATTCTCCCTTTTTCTGTTCGTTTCTTTTTTCTTTCATTCCTTTCATCCCTTATTTAAATTCATTTCGTCTTGTTTTCTTCCTCTTTCTTCTTTTCTATACGATGTCACTTTTAAAATCTGGCCAAACTATTCAAACTACTGGCAATAATTTAGTGGGTCTGTGGAGACCTTCATTTGTCAAAGTAGATCATCGACTGTTCGTTTATGGAGGTGGAGGAAACGTCACGAATGATTTACACGTCCTTAATTTATATGATATGCGATGGGAGACAGTTCAAGTAAGCCCTTTGTATACATCATTGCGTATTCATGTCTCTTTTTATAGACTGCTAAAGGAATACCTCCATACAAAAGGTATGGCCATACTGCGACACTGTGGAACAATTGCATCATTATATTTGGTAAATTCTATCCTATCAGTCTATAAGTTTACTGATTCAACCATCAGGTGGATGCAATGAGTATCAAGAATATTGTAATGACATTCATATTTTTGATATTGAAAAGTCATCCTGGTTCCAACCTGAAATCGATAATGTCGTACCTGCAAGATACTTGCATAGTGCGTCCGTGTACGACGACAAGCTGTTTATTTATGGAGGATTTGCAAAGAATTCGAATTGTTCGTATCTAACAAACAACTTTTCTTCCCCCCCCTCCCTCCCTCATAACTCATGTATGATATAGGTACTTATGTGTTGGACGAATTAAGCGTATTGGATCTCAAGACGTTCACTTGGACAAAATATCACGGTGTTCCTCCTCGTTATAATCATTCAGCAACCCTGATAGGACATAAAATGTATATTTATGCCGGTAAAGACGAACATGGTGATACGATTTCCGATTTGTTTGTTATCAATCTAAACGCACCACCCTATACACCACATTTGGTCTTTAGTGGATCAACCTACTCGCAAATGGTATTATTAAAATCACAACATTTCTGTGAGGCTGTTTGTGGTAAATTACTTGTGTTTGGAAGATACTTGACTCAAAACACACCCCATGAGTCTATGTATGGACTATGGATGCTTGACTTGGACACGTTAACATGGGAAAGACAAGAACGCAATGCTCATTTTGAAGTTGGAGGCTGGAACTATTTCACTGTGATTTCTCAAGACGGACTAAACAACTTGTTCTTTTTGGGCAACACAGACCCATTTCGACCTCAAGGCTATGATCATTTCAGGTAAACAAGAGAGCAAGCGATTCGGAACTTATCATTTTATTAAAAAAGGAGAACTATAGAGACGCACTTGTAATTAATAGTGAAACACTGGGTCTGTATGATATTCCTGCCCTCAGTGTCTCTTGCGAATTTTCACAATTGTTGAATAATCCAGAATTATCAGATTTTGTGATTGTGCCAGCCAATGGTCAGGCTTTTCATGTGCACCAAGTGATTCTTGTTACGCGCTGGCCGCATTTTAGGAACATTTATAAATCCGGAATGATGGAAGCTACACAAAGACGCATGGAAATACCAGAGCCTTATGAAGTCGTCTTGGTCTTTCTCAAGTATCTCTACAATGATCGACTGGACGAAAACGAATCTTGTAGTAATATATGTCATGTTTTAGTGCTAGCCAATATGTATTTACTTCATCGACTGAAAAAGATCTGTTGTGAGCAACTCTATCGCCAACACCTTACGATTGAAAACTGTGGTCTCATCTTCGAAAAAGCCATCATGGCAGAAGAAACAGGCTTAAAACTATTGACACTGGACTTTATGTTCCGAAATTTAGGCTATGTGCTAAAATCAAATATTTTACTGCAAATGTCACCGAATATTCGCATGGAATTTCTGGATGCAGTGCCTGAAGATGCGGTTTTGGAAATACATCAGCGTTCCATTCATACCATAAATCCATTAAGCAGTCCAACCATTCACACTAAACAATATCATACCCGTCATTCTAATGCATCCTTACCGCATAATAATAGCAGTAATAATATCATCTTAAGGAACTCACAATATATACCTGTTGAATCTTCTTCTACAACCACTCCTCCTACTTCTTCTTCTTCTTCCTCTAGTAATCTAAATACCTCGTCCACAACTGCTGTAGGTGTTCAATAATCTTTTTAAAAAAGAAAAAATAAAATAAAAAAAGGCTTCATAAGACTATGATTGTATAAAGTATATTTAAATAGATGTATGTTTCTACCAAGCTGCTTCTGTGCTTGTGCTCATTAAAAGAGGGGGAAAGTCTAATCAAAGATTAATGATGCATGATATAACACTAAAACTTACTTTTTCATTTGAAGATACATGAACCATGGCATGATTTGAGTCTATAGAATCATCATCACTGCTACTATTACTGACATGTTGCTGCTGTAATAAGCTTGGAGGTTGAAATCCATCAAGATATTGATAGCTTGATTCTTTTGGTGACTGGACAGCCTGTTCTTTCAATGGTTTTTGAATAACATGTCTATAGAGTAAAGTAGATCCTTGTGAATGTGGATTCTGAGCCCAATACAATATTAATAGTTTGTACAAGTTGTATTTCTTCCTAGAGAACAAGAAGAGATCTGATTCGATCCAGTGATCCAGCACTAAGTTTGATCAGTCACAACAAAGCACAAAAGTATAGCTTACCTTGAAACGAGCCATAGATGAGCCAATATGTCAACCAAGATTCTAGTTGGTCATTGTGATCTTTTCGATTACTTTTGATAAGTTTCCAACATTGATAGGTTGGATACAGGACACCTAGTAAATTCAAGGCAAGTTTTGTCTGTTTGTTATAGGCACGTACAAGGCCATAGCCTAGACCACTACTGGCACTGGTAAATAACAATGTGGGATATACACCTTTACGAATAAGAAAACGATAGATTCCAAATGAACTATAGACATCTTCCAAGGAGCGTACGCGGCTACTAACAGCCTTGGATACAGGTTCAGTTAGAAATGAAATGTTGATGGGTGCCATGTCATTCAGACTCGCTAACCAGTATTCAATTAGCTTTGAAGTAGCATCATGCTTAAAGGACATTATGAATACTAATAAAAAGAAGGGCAGTGTGTTACTAAAAAAAAAAAATATGAATTTATTTTATGATGACATGTGATTCTGCTAGTTTCCCATACTGAAGTATGTCTATCATAGTTATCATGCCTTTGTCTATAGAATGTGCCAAAAGATAGCCTGTTGAAATCAAGGCAGCAATTATGGCTGCATACATTACAAGAATAGAAATAGCTTGCTTTAGAATCAACAACATGGCATCAAAGGGACGCAGATTTAACTGGAGTCGTTTCACATACACCGGATTCAATGCCTGACTCAAGACATCGATATCTCGATAAGAAAGTAACAAGGTATTGCCTAACACCTGCCTTGAATGAAGTTGAAATTCAAGGTAACTAACAAAATGACTATAATTCAGTTCAGAAATATAGAGTTCAAAATTCATTTCGTTTAGAAATCGCTTCTCAAGTGCATTGATCTCTGCAGTCGAATAAGCGAAATGAGTCCATTCTGACCAGTCTGAATTCAACCAAGTGACATCCGCTCTAATCGTATCATATGTTAGGACAGCACACTAGTTCAAATGTGGTATACTTGCACAAATTTATCAGCTATCACAATACTGGCTATAAACAAATCTCGAGAATTCCAGGCATGAGCAGGCTTCTTTTGTTGAAAGAATTGATCAATATACCATAGACAGCAAATCAAAGAAGAACAAGATATTTGCGCTTTAGACAGTGTCTTCCGAATGAAATTGACATTCCTTCTGTAGTTTGACATGTCTGCTAAATTCAGAGTGATAAGGACTAAATCATTGGTGACACCATTCATCCAACTCGCAATAAACGAAGCAGTTAAATCTATACTTGATCAATTTCAAACTAGAATAAATAGCTTGTTTTACCAATAAGTTCATAAGGAATAGGAATATAGTTGCCATGCATGCCTTCACTTTGAACGAGTCCTAACCAACGACGAAACGCAGTGACTTGTCCGTAGATCTACTTTACAGTAAGCAAAGTGCGAACACACACACACGATGACTTACAGAGTTATCTGTTAAATACTTTAGTCTGTCTCTTTCAGACTGTTCTTTTCTCTGTAAAGAGCGTTTATAGTTTTTTCTTGTCATAAGTGAAAAAAAAAAGACGAAAAAAAAAAAAGAAAAAAAAATTAAGTCCAGATTAAAGCAGCTCAAGTGTGACAAAATATCACTTTACTTTTGTAAACTTTTAAGAAATGATTCATGCTTCTCTACTGACTCTTCTAGCCTATCAATCACTTGCTTGTTTAGCAGAAATAAGAGCTGTTTACTTGCTTCTTCACATTGGCAGACATGTCTGTTGATTTGATTGTCATAGTATTGATAAAGACTGTTGATTTGAGAAAGTGAAGTTATTTTATGTAATTCGAGATCATTTCTCAATTGCTCTAATTCTTTCATGATGTCAGTAGTCTTGAGTGAAGTGAGTTCTGTCAACTTTTGATTGACATCATGCATATGTTCATTCAGTTGCTTTATGGTGTTTAAGTCATCTTGCTTCTTTTTCTGTTGACATTTTGATATTTTAATGATACTGTCTATAGATATTTCAGTCGAGTGAATTCTAACCTGCTACTTACAATGCAAGAAGAATAAACCAAATACAAAGAAACAAAGCAAAGGTTTTTGATATAATTCCCAACAAGAAGAACACAAGGATTTCATAAAGAAATACGAAATAAACAGCGTTCGTTTTATATATTTGACCAACAATGAACATGCTGCAATTTGATTGTATTCGTTGCATAATATAGCTATACACACCCCTTGCTACGCTTTCACCAACCCCCGTTTCCATTTTACTGTGTGTTTTTTCATTCTTTTTTTTTATTGTTGCATAAACAATATGAATACACTTTTAACAACACGCGGCTTAACAAATAAAAGACTATTGAGTTTAACTAGCTCACACTTTATCAAGGTAGCAGTTTTTTTTCTTATTAGAAAACAAGTTTTTTATACTGATGCCAACCATTTTAGTCAACACCTATTTTATACAAGAGTATTAGTCCTTATGGTGGTTATGGTTATAATAATAATGACTATGATAACACATATGGTGGCTCTTCTATGGGCTCGAGTGGTTGGGGTTCTGGAAGCGAACGCCAGTCTTTGCCCAGAAACACGGTACATGAATTACAGATAAACTAGGGCATACAAGCTGACGCGTACAATGTTATATAGATTATTAAATTTGTACCTCAGCAAGAAGCATGGATTGTTGAACGTATGGGAAAGTTTCATAGAATGTTGGAGCCTGGTTTAAACATGTTGATTCCTTTTATTGATCGTATTCGATATGTTAAGAGCTTAAAGGAAACTGCTATTGAAGTTCCTAGTCAAAGTGCCATTACACAAGGTAAGAGGAAACACTTGGCATGCTCCAACTTATAAAAAAAAAATAGATAACGTCACATTGGAATTGGATGGTGTCTTGTATTTTAGATGTGTTGATCCTTTCAAGGTAAACTGAAGAGAAATCATCATGGTATTCATGATAGTACGTTAGGCTTCTTATGGTGTAGAAGATGCAGAATTTGCAATTACTCAACTTGCTCAGACAACGATGCGTGCAGAAATTGGCCAAATGACATTGGATCGTACTTTGGCTGAACGAGCTCATTTGAATGCAAATATTGTGGATGCAATCAATTCTGCTGCTGAGGATTGGGGTATTCGTTGCTTAAGATACGAAATTCGCAAGTACTACAATTCTAAAAAGAAAGGAGAACGATCCATTAACTTGTTTTTTTTTTCTTTTTAGGTGATATTCATCCTCCTTCTAAAGTTGTCGAGTCAATGCATCAACAAGTTTCGGCCGAACGAACAAAAAGAGCACAAATTCTAGAATCCGAAGGTGCTAGACAAGCTGCTATTAATGTTGCTGAAGGTCGTAAGCAAGCTACTATTTTAGCATCTGAAGCCGAAAAAGCAGAACGAATCAACATGGCTGCTGGTGAGGCTGAAGCTATATTATTGCGCGCTAAGGCTTCTGCTGAAGGCATTGAACGTGTGGCTCGAGCCATTGAATCTAACCATGGCAACGACGCTGTTTCCATGACAGTGGCCGAGAAATATGTGGATGCCTTTGGAAAGATGGCCAAGGAAGGAACAACCATGATTGTCCCTGCATCCACAAATGATGCTGCTTCTATGGTGACACAGGTACCGAATGATTTTATATTTGGCTTTTGTAACCCCAATTCTATTTTTACTTTTAGGCATTGGCGATCTACAACACTATCAACAACAAAAAGAGTCCTCCTCGTAACGCACCAACCACTCCTTCTTCGTCATCAGAACACTTGAAAGAAACGGTTGCTAATATGTTAGAACATCCCGACAAAGAGAACATTTCCAAGCATTTGCATGATCAATAAAAAAAAGAAGAAAAAATTCCTTTGTTAGCATAACAAACCGAATGAACTAAAGTGGCAAAATTACACAATAGAGCTTTTTTCATCAATGAGACGGTTTTGCCTTGTAAAGGCTAATTGAGAAAAAAAAAAGCGAGAAAAAAAGAGACGTGAGTGAGTGAGTGAGCGATAAACGATTTAAGCTCAACCTATGGTTTGCGTTCATGATTACTTGTTTAATCTTGAAACTTGTATGGGTTATACTTTTTGAGTAATAAAAGCTTACAAAATTTTATGCGTTTCTCCTCTTTTGCCTGTTATTTTAATCACAGGCTGCTTTAAATATAATTCCGCTAATAAAAGACTCGTAACACATAATATATGAAATCGAAACCTCCAAGGATTGAACAAACCAGTAAAAAAAAAAACTGCTCTTTGTGACTCCTGCTCTTGTGTTATTTATATGCATTTCAAGAATTTAGGTAGGCTTTTTACGCTCTACTCCTTATCATCTATCAAAGAAGAAGTAGAAGAAATAAATCAAAAAAGAAAATATCTTTATGCATGTCATTTGGGATTATATATTGAATAGAGTCCGACTATCGTACTAGAGAGAAATAAGCAAGATAGAAAGAGAGAGAGTTTGCAATGATCATGTTTGCTTGTGCGCACAAATAGAACATTGACCACTTGTTAAACCCCTCTTTTTTAGTTTTGAACAACCCCCACTCCTTCTCGTTAAACAACCTCCATATTTGAATCTTTAGACAACATTGGAACAATCTTGCTTTTAAACCTTGTCAATTAACATAGTGAGAAAATAATCTACTTTCAGATTAGCTACTTTTTTTAACATAAAAAGGTCGGGGTAAAGTAGAAACAAGAAAAAAAAAAGATGTTGGTAACACCTTGTCAAACAGTAAATTAAACAGATATGAAAAAAAAGAATGCTGTGCCTCTATGGAATCATTGGTTTGTATTATTTAGTCGCAGCTTTGGTTCTTTGGCTAGCAGGATAAGGTTTTTTTTTTCTTATAAGAGTCCTCATTTTTCCTTTTTCTTTTTTCTTCTTCTCTATATTTGAATGCTTTAACCTCTCTCTTTTTTTTTGTCTTGTAAAGATCTATACTACTCACTCCTTATAGTACATTCGCACTTACAAGACCCCCTTTTCCTTCCTTTTTATACTATACAAATAGATTATACATACACTCTTTTTGACAAACAATCTATATCAGATTAGTCTTTTCTCTATCTCCTTTCAATCAGTGTAAAATCTTTCTCCTTTTTTATTTTATATATTTTGCAGTAATTTAGTTTCAACATGAGTCAACAACATATACCTTCTTCTGAATACCAAAACAACTTTAATATCGGTTCTTATCCTTCAAGCAAGCTTGACATTTCGGATCAATCGATTGTTTACCCAGGTATGGAATATAAAACTGCTCTCGAATTCCCTTTAATCTTGTTTTTTTTTAAACAGGTTCATCATTCTACGTTTCTCCAATGACAACCACTCAACCTTCACCTTCTGCTTCTTATTATTACGATAATCATTATCAACAACAACCCCAATTCATTCAACAAGGCAGTCCTGACTCTTCATTCATGTCTTCTTCTCCTCCACCTCACCAAGGTAAAATGAGCACTTGCTCTCCATCTTCTATCATGATCCAAGACCCTCCCATGTTGGTTGCTTCTTCTTCTTCAACTACTACGGCATCCACTATGTCTTCTTCATCGGTTGAATTTTTGAATGAAGCGTTTGCAAAGGCTTCTTCTTTACCTGAATCGTTTTATCCCGAGTTCCTTCAGTACTCCAAGGAGACTTACGAACAATCCACTGGTGGTGGACCTAATCGCAAGAAGCAAAGAAAAGCAGGCGACGGCAAGGATGAAGAGGGTAAGCTTCAGCAAAAGAAAGATGAGTCTGATAATGAAGAAGAGAACAACAAGTAAGTAAACACATAATCCCCAATCAGCATGGCAAACTCACATAAATATAAAGTAGCAATTTGTCATCCACTGAACTTCGTAGACAAATTCACATTCAATCTGAGCAAAAAAGAAGAGCTCAGATTAAGGATGGTTTCGAAGAATTGAGAAATGAATTGCCTGCTTGTTTAAATAAGAAGATGAGCAAGGTTGCTTTATTGCATCGCAGTAAGTACAATGTTGACTTTATGTTCTCAACTGACTTGGTTCTTAGCTGTACAACATATCCAGCACTTGAAGGAAACTCAAATGTCTATTCTGTCTGAATTAGAAAGACTTGTCCACGAGAATGAACAACTTCGCAAGTAAGTTGATATATATATAAAAATAGATTGTCAGTTATTAATAATTTATTTAGGTTCCAAGAAAGTGTCCTTCAAAAGCAAGCCTTGGAAAACATGTATACCATGACGAATATGTAAACTATATTCGCAAACAAAACTTCACTTGAACATACTTGACATTATTTATACAAAGGCTCTTTTTCTTCAACACAATCACACACACACACACACACACACACATATATATATATATACATAGTATATTCTTAATTTGCATCTTTTCAACTGTTCTTTCTTTAGAAAATTCACTTTACTAATTAACACATTAGCATTTCACTCTTCTCTTCCAACGTTTTTTTTTCTGTTTGACACAAGCACATTCCCCCCTCCCCCTATTCTTATAGAGATTTCTACACAATCTTCTCACTTTCCCCTTTCTGTTTTGCTCCCCTTTTTCCTTTTTTTTAAATAAACTATTTCTGTGGAATTAAATGACATAAAGTGTGCCACCTAAGAAAAAATATCATGTGCTCTAGAGATGATACGATTTGTGCTTCTTTTTGACAGATATCGGTCTAGAAACAATTTATGTGGTGTTGCCACGCTTAGTACAATAGTTGTAAACAAATGAAATTGTATTCTGAAACGTGCGTCTGTGTGTTCAAGCATGTACAACCTTTTATTTTGCAACTAAATCAGTCATACTAAATTGGTGCATTGAAATAAACTTTCTAAGCATGATCATGAATAGACTCAGACAGAGAAGGACTACGGTTAATTTGAATCGAAGGCGACCTTGCAATATGAGTCGAATGATTATCTGAAGATACGGACGAAACAGTAAGTGCAATATTGCCATGGCTGGGAATATCTAATGGTGATACACTCTCGTCTTCTGTAGGTTCTACAATAGCACCATAGTTCTCAAAGACCCAAGCATCTGAACCATTGGGGTCCAAGCCTCGTAAGAAATGCGCCTTGGTCTTTTCCCAAAACTCAGTAAGCCATTCAGCATCTGCACAATGCTCTTGGAACTTGATTCTTAATGCGTCGGGATGACAAAGTTGCTGAGAAGAAGGTTGTCTTCGATTGGCTATCAAAGCGGGCGTATGGTTTGTGTAAAGACGATTATTGACCCAATAGAATCCTTGCCCTTCAGGCCGTATTTGAACAAATGCAACACCTGATTGATGGATATACTGGTCGTATTTGTAGACTTCTTTGATATAGGAATATTCTAGATCCACGTTTTCTTCCTTTGCACGTTCAAAATTGAAGTCAGCCTCTACGTCTAACACAAATTGTAAATGGCGCACGAGCGCAATCTCATAAAACTGCGCGGGAACATTTATCTTGGATTTGGCTAACAGTTCATCGACCGAAGGAGGTGGTACAGCCATCGAAATAGGCACAGGGCATTGAAAAGGATTGTCATTTTCAGAGTCCTCATAAGCCTGATCCACTGAACCTTCGACAAGTTTGAGTCCACACCGTTCTGCTTGTCTACTCCAGTTCTGCAAGAGTTCTTGAACAAGTTGGGCTGTGCAACCTAACCAATTCAATTGAAAGTGGTAACAGTTATTGGGATTGTGGATAGTGTCATAATGTAGAATAGCCGTTTCTCGACGGTCACTTTTTTTGTACGGGTCAACATCAATGATCATCGACCGAGACATGGGGAATTCGATGCGCTTGACAGACGTGGTGGACTGTATGCTGGGTACTTGGTGCAGTGTATGGTCACTGTGCTCTCTTTCCTTATTGGCTAAATCATGATTACCCATAAATGCTTTACGACCCAACTTTGATTTCTTTCTTTCGACAGCAAATTCTTCATGTAGAGCATAAAAGTAATTGCCGTCTAAAAAGTTATGTCGCTTGGTTGCTGAAATAAACAAAGGTGGTTTGCGTTGCATTAGGCTATTACCAAACTGAACTGCTTGTTCTCTAGTAGAAATGTCCTCAATCTGAGCAATAATCCAATCAACGAATTCTGTGCCTGTAAAGACATCATTGAATATTCTAAAATGCCAACGACGGTCCATGATTTTGATCCCAGATTTAGGATCTTGTAACGCAAGTGCAATATCCCGAGATTTGGAATCGCGCGTCAAGCCTTGTCCAACGATAATGGAAGACAGAAGGTTGTTGTGAGATTTTAAGTCTTGCATAGCATTAAACATAGCTAGTTTCATCACATCACTTGCGACATAAGCAGAAGGATCCATGGTTGTTAGCTTGACACCTAGATCAGAGAAACCAATTTCTTTTTTACGTCTTTTTTGCAGCTCCTCTCGTTCTTCGGGCGTCAGCCATTTGGCTTTTCGAATATTTTGAATCCAAGACTCAAACAGCGCAATTCGCTTTTCTTCTTCATCTAAATGATCGTGTAAAGCACCCGTAAAGGTAATGTTATTGGGAAGTGTTTCTCGAGGAATCACAATAAACCGCGCTCTCCAGAAACGTAAATTATCAGTCAGCTCTTCTTGATAACCTGCCACAAGATGATCAAGGTAGTTCCATGCATACAACAGACTAGGGTAATTAAATACAATATTCTTGGGCCGATAGGTAGGCATATTCTTTGGCCAAATAGCACATTTGTAATTGACTTTGCTTACATCAAATTGAATCATTTGAACATAACGACGCACTTCCACATTTTGACCAGACGAATCAAATGTCAATTGATGGACTTGATGACCCATAGATAACCACCAAATCATATTCTTCCATTTCGATTTCTCCTCATCTTGGTTTGTCTTTCCAACAGCAGGAACATTATTTCCGCCTGTAGACACAAGCTTAGTGCTTCCGCCAATAGCCATGGTTGTAGCCAGTGTGGTGGCTGCATTATTATTATTCGATGGACTTCCGCTAGATCTCATCATGGTGATGATATTATCTGCCTCTTTAGCTACAGCAGATGCACTTGAGCCATCCTTATTTAAGCCTCCACCCAAGGCAGAAATCAGGCTATCTCCCTTGACAGCCATGGGCTTAGAATATGTAGAGCTTCCGGTATTATCCACAATGATTTGGAAACCTTGAGCTAACCGTTGACTTAACATTTCAATCAAAAGATTCTCTGTCTTTTTGTGTTCAGACAAGTTTCGATCACCTGCTTGATATAAATTGGTATCTTCACTCGCAGATACTGTGTACATATAATGGTTATATCGTCGAGCCAGTTCTTCGTTGGAGGGGAAATAATCTGTAGTTAAGGGCAAACAAGCAGGCGTCGTCAATGATTTCCAATGAACTACAGGTCCATCTTGTTGTTTGGCTTTAGGCAAAGCATGCTGCCAGCGTCTTAGATGAGATGTAAACAAGTTTTGGTTTTCAATAGGGTTGCAAGGATTAAACAACATATGCTTGTATGGATTGCATCGATTAAAGTTGTGTGAAGGCGATGATCGATTCATGTTATTTGCTCCTGCGCCTCCAAAGCTTGTACGCATAAGATCGCTATTACCAGATTGTTTGTGGATAGAGGGAAGACTGCCAGAGATCATGCCCTGTCGTGGTGAATGGTTCAGAGGCTTTCTGCTGAATTCAGAGCGGCTACTTAGTCCTTTGTTATTAATAGGCACAGGATCAACCGTGCTTGAACTAACAACAGCATATTCATCTTCCTCAGTATTAATCGCATTTGTGATTTGTAAGCTTTGTTGAGGTTGGGATTGTGGTGGTGTTTGCGATGGCAGTTGTCCTTGTGCTTGTTGTTTTTCTTGTGATGGTGGCTGCTGCTGTGCTTGTGCTTGTTGCATTTGTTGTACTTGCTGCTGTTGTGCCTGTGAATGCTGTTGTTGTGCATGAAAATGATGGTTTTGTTGTTGCAGGGCAATATTGTTATATTTGCCACCATCCATACTATTCATGGTACCTCTACGTATAGATCGAAATCTATAGTTTGCTTCTTCCCTACCATTGAATGTAGGTGAAGCCTTAAAAGAATCCCACATATTTCTGTCCTCTTTGCGAGGAGGCACATTATTCGTGTCAAAAGGTCCTTTACCACCAAATTGTTGAGAATGAGACAGGACAGAAGGAATACGACGCTGTTCTCCAGGATGATGCCAAGTCTAGCAAATACATTAGAATATAGAATAAGTATACATTGACACTTGCCGTTGTTGATTTATGCCTTGCATTCACGTTTTGCCAAGTATCGTTATTTATGTTCTCAGGTTTTTCAGGACTGTCGAATGAGTTCTTGGAAGAATGAATTCCTTTGGTTATTTTTGATGCATTAGGTGGTGGACCGGATAAAGGACGCTTATTAAATCGAGGCTCAGATGTTGTCTTGAAAAGAGAACTATCATAGTTTTCATAATGACCTGTTGATCTTTCAAATACGTAACTCTGTTTTTGTTGTTGTTGCTTTGAGTCGGCTGTCGTTGTAAAAAAAGAAGGACGTCGCATACTACTCGACATGTTGGCAGACTTTGAAAGATAAGTTTCACCATTGCTTGTTTGCGAACCTGATTTGACTTCTTGCGGTTTCTCATTTAGACTACTACTGCTGCTTTTTTGTTGCTTATTCGTTCTGTTAGGATTGCATGCTTTCGAGTCAATCAGATAAGGAACAGAAACACCTCGTAAATCATGTTCCATAATGCCCATCATTTGAAGTTCATACATTTTGCATCTTGTCTTGAACTTGTCTTGTTTCAAGAAGCGGCCTGTTTCATGATGATAAAAGCTACAGTCAATCCAGTGAGGTACTGCATAGTATTTCTGAGTAGGTGCATCTTCCGAGTCTCGATAAAGAGGATCAACATAGCCAGTTTTTTGATTCGAACCAGTGTACATGACAGCCTTTTCAGGGGAATTGCCTGCTAAAAAAGGTTTTCTTTGAGGTGCTAATGTATCTAAAGATGTATTCAATTCTGTTTCTCCTGTCTGAGGTGCATCCATATAAGACATCAATGGAGTAATATGGAGTGGTAGGGGCGATAAACAGACTAAATCCATGGCTATACCATTATCTGTCATTCTTTCATTTGTCAGTCGCAACAGTTTTTTGTTGACAGCGAATTTGCCTACACCAGGTGTAATGAAAATGATAGATAAACCTGTACGCATAAGATCTCTGTCTACATAGTGCTTATCGAATGGATTTAAAGCCAAATTGATTGCTTCTAACACATTTCCATCATAGGCCAAGGATATTTGACCACTGACTACTTTGCGTCCATCTTCGGAGCGAAGGAGTACATCTGGTTGAAAATTAAGCTGCTCTTTCTTGAGTGGCCCTATAATTGACATCCAATCATCTGTTGTTTCCCAGTCTGCTAATACTTTATAGAAATCTTTATAGTATCGACCATCTGTAGTTTGGTTAATTAAAGGATCATCAATCTTGGATTCATAATAAATTCGCGTAAACAGCACAATAGACACAACATGGTTTGTTCCTTCGTCTTTCCAACGAGTAAAAAGATGTGGTAAAAAGTTGCTTACAGCTTTTTCAAAGTAGAGTTCACCATCTTCATCAAATTCCCACATCTCCCTTGACATTTGAATAAACAAAAAGAACTTGGCTGAAGCAGATCGAAATATCATTTTTGTTGTTTCTGTAATGTAGCCAGAAGTCATTTGCTCATCATTTGTAAACAGCCTTTTGACAGTTGCCTTAATGGCGCCTGCAAATAGAATTTTTTTTTCATGATAAACACATGTCCCTTTCAGATTTTGTTGAAGTCGCCACATATCACTTCTTCCAAGATATTGTTCTTTAAATGCAAGTTCAACATGATCTAAAGCGACTTGAAGTGGGTCGATCTAACTCAGTTATTAACATGCTTTCACTATGCTTTTCTTTACCAGCTCAACATAGACTTCTTGCCTTGATCTCAAGTTAAATCTATCTGCAATGTCTTTTGAAATTGAAAGCTACAACATATTTGAAAATTAAAATTTATGCATGAAAATAGAAATATAATTCTTACCTGAAGTTGTTGTTGTTTAGCTAAACTTTCTTTGTCAGCAGCATGTCCTTTGACAATAATAGAGTCAAGCTGTAGATTAGGTATATTATCTTTATATTCATCAAAAGATGGTTGTAACTGCTCTGACTGTTGCTGCTGTGCTTGTTGCTGTTGTGATTGCTGCTGTGCTTGTTGTTGTGCTTGTTGCAATTGTTGCTGTTGTGCTTGAGATTGAGATTGTGTTTGTTGCAAAGGGCTGACATGATCATGCTTTTTAGGATCTTGATCTTGTTTCAAGTTATTGTTTGTTTGGGACTGCTGCTGTTGCTGTTGGCTTTGTTGAGTTTGTTGTTGTAAAGCAGTACGGGGACAGTGGATCCGTAAAAGTTGCCCATCCCGAAAGTTTGAAAACATCTCGGGATTGACAACAGCATCATGGTTATAAGTGGATCCTGGATCGTGTATCCATAACACAATAGGCTTTTGCGACAACAAAAAGCCCCGAGGAAGAGTGTTGTTTGTAGCTGTGGGCATCAAAATACAAAAGAATAAAAAAGAGAGAAAATAGGCTTATTTTAAGCTTATTTTATTTATGGCCTGTTGCTATAAAACTCGGAAAATAAGGTACTAAAGACAACAATGGAAATGACAAGTAACAAAATTATCAAGGAGACAAAGCCAATCAGAATGCGATTCCGTCTTTCTCTTTGGCGCAAAATGGCTTCAAAGTCAATTTGTTTACCTACTAGCGTTTGTTCAAGTAAGTTGAGATCATCATCAATCACATAGACCAAGTTGCCTTCTTTTACTATGACAGGCCATCTTCTTCTGTATCGCTCAATCATAATATTCACTTCGTTTCGCATTTCAGATAGTCTTGCAAACGTTGTAGCCAATTGCCGTAAATCTTGGTGAATATCTTGCACAATTTTCATCAAGTCTTGTGTTTGTTGATCGTTCTTGCGAACACCTCTTTGCATTAATATTTGGACGAAGATAGAAGGAGAATCATCTCCTGTAGAACTAATAGCCCTCTCCAAATCAAAGGGTGTGGCAAGTGGATTGACAACTTTGATCTGTCTTTCAAACAAGACAGAAGTAAAGCGCTGACTTTCCAGTGTCACATTAATGTATTTTTCCAACAGATCCTTAAAAGACCTCAAAAGCATCTTGAACTGTTGGTTTCGAAGGTCCAGATCAGATAATGTAGGTTTCGATGGTTCAATCATGGCCATTGCTTTTCGGATATAATTTGTACGTTCAGTTGCCCTTACTGTTTGTGTTTCGAGAATGCTTCGGTTTTTCTGAGCTATTGAATCTGCTTCGGATGCATGTTCATACACGGCTTTTTGTGCTTCTTGTATTCTTTCAATGTGCTGATAACACTCTTCAATATTAAATCGTATATCGCTTGCAATGTGCTCAAAGTTTTTATAGTATCTCACGTCCAAAATATTGTCAATGTCTACCAATGTTCCATTACTGCTTGTGGTTGTGTGAGCAGTGAGTGGCGGAGTGAGGATGCTATCGTCACTGTGGTCGCGCTGATGCATATTGGATAAAGTAAGAGGCTGTCTTTCATTGCTGGTATCAATCATTTATCAAGTAGATTATGTGTATAAAAAGAAAGAAAAAGAAAAAAATGAACAAAAAAAATGGTCTATTCAATACATGCTGTTTATATATATATATATATATAAAAAGAAGTGGGCTTAGTTTCTTTATTCAACAATTACCAAATTTTGATTGTTAAATATCTGAAAATACACTACTGCTACCATCAGACAATGGGGAAGAAGGAGCCATGTTTAACATTTCTTCGCCTGCTTCGAAAAGATGCATAACATGCTGTAGTCCATATTCTATCTGAAGTCCCAAGGGCTCATGTTTCCCTTGACTCTTTTTGATTTCATTATTGATAAGTAACGGTATTTGTATGATTGTTTTTGCTATCCTAAACGATAAATAAACTCGGCGCCACACATCAAAATACGACAGACTCCTGATTTCTTCTTGAAGTTCGTATATTTTCAAAAGCTCAAATTGAATAATGCCATAATACTTTCTTGAGGCTGATAGCGTTGTTAGTGTGATATGACTTGTCTTGTTTGACTTACATAGTATAATGTCTCTTATTTTCAAAATACCTGCTTCGACAATAGACAAAGAGTCATCATTCATCTGAATAAATGTATTTGCTTCGTTCATTGCGCCTAAATTGATAGCGTTAACGGTTTTGTGTAAACATTTATAATACTTGCGTATAACTGTGCGTAACGTCCGGAATTCCCCATCCATAATTTCAATATAAAGCTTATCATTCATTTCAATAACAGAAAATATGCATACTATAATTTACCTGTTGAATCACTTGCTGAAAGATATCAATAGCATTGTCTTCCGAACAACAAGGAAACTGACTCAACTGTCCAGTTTTCTGTTGCGTATCATAAGTAAGTTTTTTGGTAGGCTCGCTCAAGGTAATATAAGCTGTAGATAGGACTAGAATTCCATGTGAGTCTACATATCCTTCCTATACTTTTGTATATATATATTTTTGTTCTTTTTCATGCCTTAAGTATTACTTTGAAAACTCTTTGTTGCATTTGGATGAGGTGGTACAAATTTGTCTGGATGACAAATCCTACTTTTCTAGTTGATTTGAGCAAAATAAGTATAGCAAAAGTTTCTTTTTACTCTAATATATGCCCTTCGAATGTCGTCTATGGTTGAGTCTTCTGTTAAACCTAGTACTCCATAATAGCTATTTGCAGATAGAATAGCATCTACAAGCGCATACTTGTCTTCTGTTATTACCGTCATATTTCAAGTAAAAGAAAAAGAGAAGAAGCAGGATAAAAGAGAATTTACCTATCGTTTATGTGTTTTAATCTATTCGAAAATGGTAACGACAATCGGAAATTACTACAAATTCCATACAATTACTCGGAGATTGAACCGTGACAGATCCGATACTATTGAATATGAATTGCAGTAATTTTTCTTATTTGTCTTGGTAGTATGCATTTACTTTTTGACTGTAGTGAATTATCCATGGTATACAAATCAATTAACTTTGTTTTTGCGTTTAATGCACGTACCTTTTTTTTTATATGATTTTTAATTTATCTAAATATGGTTGCACATTATAGACATTGTATATCGATGCTTAGCATAGTTAGACATGGATGCATCATATCAAACTTTGAAAAGGAGAGAAACGTAAAGGCTAAAAATACATTTCTATAAAAAAAATTGACTCCTATATCATTGTTGTCGTGTACATGGTGGCTCAAAAAGGGGAATAGATATGTTTTTATTATGCTTATTAAATGTTGGTATAAGGGAAATATAAATGTAATTTTTTTCCAGAAAACAGAGGGTATGCTATAAATTATTTTACAATATGATTTCAGGTTGAATCCAACCATTTGTTTTCGTGACCCAGTCAGATTCTTTTTCATATGTTTTGAGACAATCTAATAGACTTTGAATGCTTGATTCTAATCTGTACAAATCACCTAAAGGTAAAGTTAGTAAAAAAAAAAAAATCAGGAGAAAAAAAAATACTTGCCTTGTCCAAGAATAAAATGAACTCGAATCCTGGGTTTCTCTGTTTGATGAATCTTGGTCATATGGCAAACAAATGTGAGTGGCGAAGAATCAATATTCATAAGACCACTCCAAACAACTTTTCCATGAGGATACATTCTTCCTGTAAGCTTGCCATGAAAGCACTAAAAAGACATGTAAATAAATGATTATGAAAAAGAGAGACTCACTTCTTCGAGCACTTGATGTAATTTGCCAGCTGTTTCATATTCATGTTTAGCAAAGCATTCAATAGCAATCGTCTACCAATATGAATATAAGGGAAATAAAGCAAAATAAAATTTACCTTTTCAGGGATTTTTCTTTTAAAATAACCACAGGTTTTTGTCCACCAGGTTTCCTGTTGTTGTTGTTGTTGTTGTTGTGAATCATCTTTTGAACATAGCCACCATGTACTCCTTGTTGTTTTTTCGTCATGCATTGCAAAGGTTGTTTCTATATTTTTTGTCATGATAAATACATCAGCTGCAGATTTAGAACCTCGCGTTTCTTCGGTCTGGGCCAATACACCATCGTCCGGGACCCAATGACGAGGCGAAGAAGAAGAGAATGAGCTCATAGGGCGTTGATGCATGATAGGACTTAAAATGGAATAAGAATCATTGTTTTTCTTTTTATCAGGCACCATGACGGTTGAAGAAGACGAAGAGGACAGTTGTTGGAACGTAGTAGTGCTTTTAGGTGTAAGTGGCATATCGAGTGTTCTGCAGCATGACATGGTATCGACAGAAGATTCATAAGGTGTTGAAGACAAAATGTAAGAGTCCAAATCTTCATTACCATGTCTTAAAGAACGAAGAGGAGGAGTCATAAGAACATCATCTGCAACAACAGATGATCTACGGAGAGGTAGACTGAAAGAACCTAACAAAACTATATTAACTCAATGTTTTACAAGACCAAGCACTTACTATGGTTCTCTGGTGTTTGTTGTTGTTTTAATCTTTTAGATCTTTCTTGTAATAGTTTGCATGTCAATTTCTGCACATTGCATCTAATACAGAATGAGATTCATATATTTATCTGATAAACAGCATACCCATATGTAGACAAAGAATTCAATAATTCTTCTTCTGTCTTTTCTCGCCAAAGCACCTTGAGTGTTTCCCATATTCTGCCGTCTAGTTCAAGTTTTCTAGTAATCATGGACCTAATAATTCAGGGTCTTGAAGAGGATCATGACGAGAATAAGGTTGGTGTAAGAATCTCAATTCTGTTCCTAAAAAGGATTTGTTTGTCAACCAAGGATGGTCAAGTATTTCAGCCATCTAAACAAAATGAGTAAGCTGCGTATTTGTATATTTTTAGCATACCGTCATTCTTTTTGTTGGATCAACAACAAGCATACGCTTTATCAGGTCTCTTGCATCTGCTGAAAGATAATCGGGCAAACTTCTGTATCGACCTGTTTTGATTTTTGCCAACAATCTTCCCATATGTTCATCGTCAAAGGGCAAATGACCAGTCACCATAGCATACATGATAGCTCCACAGGACCATACATCTGTTGCTGTACCGTCGTATCTTTTCCCCTAAAACAGGAAATATGTCAATACATAAAAGGGAATGAATGCTATAACCTACTCTCACAATCTCTGGACTCGCATAATGCGGGGAACTAATCAATAAAAAAAATTAATATATAAAAATATATATCTTTTGTTTTTTTTTTTTGTTTCGCTTACCCGCAACTTGTTCTGAGTAACGTATTGGGTGGCTGCATAACAGCCATACCAAAATCTACAATCTTTAGATTCTTGCTCTTGTCCAACAAGATATTCTCTGGCTTCAAGTCACGATGACTGATATGATGTGCATGACACCAATGCAATGCTGAAATCAATTGAGCAAATAATCGACGAGCCTCAGACTCTGGTAGACGGCCTTGCGTGGCCAGCATGTGAAATAACTCGCCTCCTTCTAGATATTCCATCACAAAATAAACATAAGAGCTATCTTGAAGTACTTGACAGAGATCGACAAGGTGTGGGTGATGTAGTAATTGAAGAACAGCCAATTCTCTTTGAACTGATCTTGCTGTTGTACTGGAGACTGTTAATTGACTTCTAGAGATCATTTTGATTGCAACTTTTTCACCCGTTTGTTTATGAATACCGAGTTTAACACGACCTTGAATATGCAATTAAAGTTTGTTAGTAAAACACACACACACACACATACATATACACATATCAATTTTAAACAGAAAAAGATGTAAAAAAAAAGGGGGATATTAATGAGGAGAATGATGAAAATAAAGTTTATTTTTCACTTTCGAGAAGGAGAAGGGAAAGGGGGGGAGGAGGAAAGCATAGGGATCATTTCAAATAAGGAAAAATCATAAAAAAGGAAAAAGAAAAGGGACATGAATATACTAAGCTTACCCGAAGCACCACGGCCAATGGTTTTACACAAGATATAATCACCAATTTCTTTCTTCTTTTTGGATACGATGGGTAGTGTTTGTGATCGTTTATTTACATGTTTACTGCTATTTTCTTGTTGATTTGTATGGCGTGCTAAATAATTGATGAAAGCCATTGTGTTGTTTAAAAAAAAAAATTAAAGAAAAGAAGAGAGAGAAGGAAAGAAGAAATAAGGGAAATTATTATTTATATAATACATGAGAGTGGCTTTTTTTGTATGTACATACATACAGTCTATATGCCCATATAAAGCGCCACTCTTCATTAGAATGCAAGATGACTAAAAATAAAAAATAAAGGGGAAGAGGGGGAGATAACTTCTGCAAGCATTGGTTTAGATGTCGATTGACTAAATTATACAAATTGTATAAATTTGTATAATTTGTGTTTTATTTACAAGATGTTTTTTTTAAACGATATGATATGTACGATGAATGCAAAGTTGGGTATCATTTAAATGGAGTGAAGTAAAGAAGATAAACCCACGAGGAAAATGCCAATAAAGAAAAACAAAGGTACGCATTGGTGGCTTGCATCTGATCGAACTGCTTGAGGAATCATACTCTAATGACAATTAATGCTTATATATATATATATATATATATATATAAAACTTACCTGTATAGCAATGTAGCACATCATGCCACTGACAATGCCAAATATAATGCCAAATAGGAATTGTTCTTGGAATTGATCTTTATTGTGAATCACTAGTAGCCCAATCATGGCACCCAATGGCTGTGATAGACCACCTAAGAATGATGCATAAGTAAAAGCAGAAAGGCGGGATCCTGTTGCATAAAACAAGGGCAATGCGATCAGAAAGCCTTCAATAAAGTTATGAATACTGATTGCAGCAGCTACACTAAGACCCAGTTGACTTGATGATTTGTTGGATATAAACATAATGAGACCCTCTTTGGACATGTCAGTAAGGTCAAATTTGTCAATCACATGACTTACCTGGGAATTTGTGAATGCAGATAGCAATAGCAGTTTGAACACCAATAAGGAAATAGTCGGCTCTCTCGGTTGAATGATCACTGTGAATAACCATACTACCATATCCTCGTTCCTCGTGATGATGGTGTTGATGAGAAAATAATGGTTTAGAGCTATCTGTGTTGGACAAAGAATCGCATGTATGAATAGCGTGAGGTGTACACCACTGAATAAAACGTGTTAGACAGACAGTGAAAATCACACCAATAAAAAAGCATAAAAACATGTAGAAATCAGAATTGAGTTTCTGCTGTGAGGCTGGCAATAGTGTATATAAGGAATTGAACACAAGAACTCCTCCTCCTAACGCCATAGAGGCTGAAAGAAAATGCTGGTTTTCTAGTATTTGTCTACCAAGAAATACGATACTGGCACCGGATATACAGGCTAATGAAGACACAAGCACCATAAGCCAGCCTTCTTCAATCATTATGTATTTTTTTTTTAATAAGATAAAAAAAGAAAAAGGGAAAAAGAAATGAAAAAAAACGACAGCTTTCTATTTCTTATTTCAAACAGCGTGATTGGATTAATTATTGTGAAACGTTTTGAGCAAGATTTATCTGATACAGCGGTTACGGGCTTGAATGACGGCTTAAAGGAATCCAAATAGCAAATTTAAGGTACCAAAATAGCACGAGAAATAGTCGATCGGTAAAAAGAAAAAGCCAAAGGATTTTATTATTTGAGCAACAACTGTTGCAATACTTTTTTTCTTGACTGACCGATTAAAGTTGTAGGCGAGAAAAACTATGTTCCTGAGCGACATGCTGTAAGAAGCTCAAAATCGATCGAAACTCTGCATGCAAGCTATCAAAAGCAAGGATAACTGAAGTTTTGGTAATCTATACACGATAAAATAAAGAAAAGCTATTATGAACCAAAATTCATTGCCCAACTCTTAGAAAGTAATATACATTTAATTGAATATGAAAGAATGCTTGCTAGATAAGAGGTTTAGCAATGGACCTCCTCCTTCTCATTTCATTTGCTATTTCAAGTAAAAAATGCTTACAGATAAAAGAGAAAGGCCAAGATTTGATTGAGCAAGCCGAAAATGTTCATAAAGTTGAGATCGTGGAAATCAACTTTTAGAGCCGGTAAAACCTAAATAACTTGACCCTTTCCGAACCGTACAAGAAACTCACGGAAGAGTAGCACTTCAAATCATTCGCCTGATTTTTCTCTTCTCGTCGTAACTACCTCTAATTCTCAGAATATTATGCAACCCTCTAGCTCTGAACAATTTTCGCTTCCACACTCTAGCTCATATCTTTGGTTTATATTAAATCACAAACTGACTTTTTTCTTGTGAATTTCGCTAATTGTAAATCCGCTGTTTCTTAACAGTCATTTGAGACCCTAAGCACTGAACATTTAATTTTTTTTCCCTTCCCCTTTCAACTCCTTTTTTCTCTCTCTTGTTTTTCTTTTCTTTTATACTCAAGATGGCACTTTTCGTTGCAAGAATTCCAAAAGATTTACACACAGTAGGCTATTTATGAGTTACTATATATGTATCTAAACATTGTTTACAGCGTGATCTTGAAGACACGTTTTCAAAGTTTGGCAAGATGACTCGTTTTGATATAAAACAAGGTTTGTTAAAATAGACTTTTTTTTTTTCTATTTGTGTATACTTATGTTAGGCATTCTATATAGGTTATGGATTTGTTGAATATGAAGACAAGCGTGATGCTGAAGATGCTATCAAAGCCGTAAGCACAAAGGGAGTACGTATATCATATATATATCTGTGATGGGGATATATATTCAACAGAATCTTTTGTAGGATCTTGTTGTAGAATGGGCTAAGAATGGTGGAAAAAGACCTGGAGATAATGAATGTTTTCACTGTGGAAAAAAAGGCAAGACTTAACCGCAGTAGCCCAAAAAATACCCCTTTAACATGGATTTTATATAGGTCATTGGGCTAGAGATTGTGCTGAAAACCGTCGTCATGGTGGACGTGATCGATCCCCTCGTCGTGACGGTGGACGCGGATATGATCGCGGCAGAAGGTATTATGAAGTCCAGTGTGTGTAAAAAGATTGTGCGCCTACACCTTTTCATATCTACACTTGATTGATTTAAACATTCAGTATCTGACCTATTTTTATTTATGTTCTCTTGATTGCTTTGTCTTTTGTTGTTGATTCAAGTAAGTCATTGTCTTTGCTGCATTTTTCTGATTTTTTGCTTTCTTAGTTTCAATTTCAAACAGAGACTATGATCATCGCCAAGGACGTGACAGATCCCCTCGCCGTCATGGTTACCGTGGTGAACGACGTGATTTAGATAGACGCGACAACGAGAGACGCGACAACGAGAGACGCGACAACGAGAGACGCGATTTGGATAGACGTGACGAGACATACCGTGATCGTGAGCACCGCCGTATGCCTAACAGAAATTAAGATGGTAATTCAAGAGCCAATCATGTGAAAGCTACCGGTGCTTCAATTTGAGCTATTATTTTCCCTTTTCTCTTGTTTCTCAACTTTTCCATTTTATTATGTTATAAGCCCCCTTTCTTTTGATATATATATATAAATACTTACAAAAAGAAGAAGAATTCATAATATTAGTTGATAGTAAATGGTATTAATGGTTCGATCCTTTAGGAGTCCAATGAACTTGTTCAAATGGCTCCCTTTTTCACTTTTGATTTTATTATCTCTGCTTGCAATTTATTGTGTCGAGAGCAAGCCTTCATTTCCAAATGACATGATTCTATACCAACAAAAGCGCAATATGCTTATAGAAGCTTCACAAAAGGACTCGAAAGACGGTAGTTCGACGCCTGCTCCTGCCGGCACTTTGATACCTACTAACCTCGTTCTTGTCTCGACACTCGACGGATCTATTCGTGGCATTGACCGTTTTCAAGGAGACGTTCACTGGACTTTGAAAGGTGGGCCTGGAAGCTCACTTATTAAAAGCAACTCGAATTTTGAGACACACAAGTTATACAGACCAGGTCCTACAACTGAACGACAAGACAGTGAAGATGAAGAAACCAATCCACTCTTTCTCGACACACTAAACGATATCATGACTGACAATGAAGATTCAGACGACGATTTCAACTTGCAAGAAAGTTGGGAAGACTCTGAAGTAGAAGACCCTGATATTTACTATATTATTGAGCCTCAAGAAGGAGGCGTTTTGTATCTTTATGGTGATGGTAGACCTCTAGAAAAGCTGCCCTTTTCAGTCAAGGAGATCGTAGATAATTCACCCTTCCGTACGCCCGATGGCACCACTTATATTGGAAGAAAAAACACCTTGATGATTGAAATAGACCCAAGAAATGGAAAAATTTTACAACAAATTGATTTGAATAAGGTCGATAATCAGTATAGAATGGCTACTACTCAGTCTCAGTATTCTGCCAGAACCATCTTTTTAGGCAGAAATGGTATGTAACGCTTTGATTTTCATTTTTGTTCTAACCTTTTTTTTTAAAATGTATACAGAGTACAAAGTTACTATTTATGACGACCATTACAAGAAATTATGGAATGTTACTTATAGTGAATATGTTCCCAACAAATTGGACTGGGACTTACCAGCCAGTACTGTTCCTTCTGACATTTACATTGCACCTGATGCCACGCGTGCTATTACAGGTATCAATGTACAAAACGGCAACTTGATGTGGACAAGAGATTTGCCTTACCCTGTTGTCAACGTATTTGATGTCTACCGTAGAGAAGATTATAGTTTTGCTTTAACTAAACAAGATCCTCCCAAGACATTATCCAAGGGAGATGTAGGTGATATGCTAAGCATGATTTTCCGTAAACATGAAATTGCCACTGCTTATGTGGGTGTACATGAAGGCAGTCTGTACGCACTTTCTACTAAAAACTATCCTCTTGTTCAAATCTCTCAATGGGCTTCCATGTACACAGGAAGACGTCCTGGTGACACCAGTCAATTGATCGAAGATGGTACCAATCATTCAAACAAGACCACTCACTCATTTGAATGGACTCAAAAACCACATGAAATGTGCTGTCATGGCTGTGAATACCATATCGACTGTATGATTGGACAGCATGTTGTTCAGTCCGTCATGGACGATATGGACGACGAAGACCACCCTCTGTATCACCATTCCAAACTCTATTTACCCCCTTCTACACCTACATCTACAGCCACTTCTTCAGGTGCTACAGGCACCGCACTTTCGTCATTGCCTCACTATACACATTTAGAAAATTTAGAAGACTATGTTGAACCTAAGAGTGGGTTCTTCCATGATGGTTTTGGCAAGTTTTGGAAGAGTTATATCCTTGTTTCGTCCGTCATTGTCTATGTCTACCGTGATCGTGTACAGACATTTTATCAAGTCAAGGTCCTTCCTCGCTGGAAACAAATGCTCAAAAAACGAGCCAAAGCGAAAAAGACAAAAGCTAGAATTGCTGCTGCTGCAAAAGCCGAGAAGGAGAAAATTAATCGAGAGCGTGCTGATTCGTTGACTTCTTTGGATAGTTTTGATGTAGATGGATACATCAAGGAAAGAATGGAAGAAAGCAAGCGTGAAAAAGAAGCTGCTGTTTTGGCTATTGTTGAACGACGTCTCAAAGAAGAAAGAGAACGAGAAAAGCAAGAAAGAGAAAAACAAGAAAAGGAACGAGAAAAAAAAGAAGAAGAAGAAAGATTGAAGCGAGCTGCACAACAACAATTGATTGTAAAGAAGCAATCCACTGGTTTGGATCTTGAAAGCTTTAAGCAATCAAAGTCTCGAGTACTGGAAATATCTGAAAATGTCTTGGGATATGGTAGTCATGGTACTGTTGTCTATAAAGGCTCATTTGATGGTCGCGCTGTTGCTGTTAAGAGGCTCTTGCTGGACTTTTATGATGTGGCATTGAAAGAAGTCAAATTACTACAAGAAAGTGACGATCATCCCAATGTTGTACGTTACTTTTATAAAGAAGAGTCTGACAGATTCTTGTATATCGCTCTTGAACTTTGTTTTGGTTCTCTTAATGACTACATGGAGCGTACACTATCTATACCCGAGATGCAACTCTGTGATGCAATGAATCCTGCCAACATTCTCTCTCAATTTACCTGTGGCCTTCAATACCTTCATTCTCTCAAAATTGTACACCGAGATATCAAGCCCCACAACATTCTACTGGCACCTAGCAAGAATCGATTTGTGAAAGATGCACCTCAAATGCGTGTACTCATTTCTGATTTTGGTCTTTGTAAGAAATTGGATGGTGAACAAAGCAGTTTCAATTATACAGCAGCTTCACCAGCAGGAACCTCCGGTTGGAGAGCACCTGAATTATTGGCGGGAGCACTGGCTGCTACTTCTTCTGACACCAGCTTTAGTAGCACTAGAGACTCTATATCAGATCCCAATACAATGGTGGGACATGTCAAGGCAACACGGGCCATTGATATTTTCTCAGCGGGCTGTGTATTCTACTATGTATTAAGTGGTGGTGATCATCCTTTCGGTAATCGATTCGGACGTGAAAATAACATTTTGAATGGTGATTTTGATCTAAGCAAGTTGGATTCTATGGGTGAAGATGGTGTTGAAGCCAAAGATTTAGTAGAAAGAATGATTTCAGCAAATCCCAAGTCAAGGTAACAACTAGAATGATCAAGACAATAATACTAAACTCAAATTATAGACCTAATGCAGATACTATTTTGTCCCATCCCTTCTTCTGGAGTACCTCAAAACGACTTACGTTCTTACAAGATGCTTCTGATCGTTTTGAAATTGAAGAGCGAGATCCTCCTTCTCCTCTTTTACAAGAGCTTGAATCAGATGCACCCAAAGTGATAGGTGTAGATTGGTACAAGCGTATTGACCGTGTTGTGGCCAATGATCTTGGAAAGTTTAGAAAATACGATGGAAAACGTGTCCGCGATTTACTTCGAGCTTTAAGAAACAAGGTAATACGCATAAAAAATACAGGAGAAACAGAATTGACATCAAACTATAGAAACATCATTGGCAAGATTTACCTGATGCAGTCAAGAAAGTCTATGGTGAACCACCTAACCAATTTTTATATTATTTTACTGCTCGATTCCCTCATTTACTTTTACATACCTACTATGTTGTTGCAAGCCAGCCTAGTTTGAAAAAAGAAGGCTCACTTGGACAATACTTCTGAAAATAACATGCATTTACCTCCCCCCCCCTCTTTTTTTTCTCATTCTGTATACTTTTTCTTCACTGTTAATAAAGTTTTTCTTTTTTTTTTCTTTTTATTCTACAACAGCATTACTGTGGATTTTGACAACATCATCTAAATTCTCCATATCTTCTAAACACTTTTCAACCAGTTCAATCGTTTCCTTGTCTTCAACTTGTACTGAACTTAAAGGAATATAAGTAGCTTCAATTTGCTGTACTTCGTATTGATGGTCCATTAAAGCTTTTGATACATTATTGAGCTCAGAAAACTCGCAAACAACTTCAACCAAGTTTTCTTCAGGGTCTTCTTCAATATCTTCAGCACCACAATCGATAGCATTGTCCATGATTTGTTCAAATGAGTGTCCAGATTCTCCAGCAGAAAATACTACTTTACCCTTCTTTTCAAACAAATAACCAACAGAAGTGACAGAACCGCTATACATGGGATGTTACTTAACTGCTTTATCTCACTTACTTACCCAACACGGTTTAACACTTCTTTCACTTCTTTGACTGTACGAGACTTTTTATCAGTCAATGCTTCACTATCTCAAAAACATGAGCATTAAAATATAAACCATACAAGACATACACAATCAAGGCAATGCCTCCAGGACCAACACATTCATATAAGACATTTTCAAGATCATCCTTGTTTTTATCATTGGCCTTTTTCAGTGCATTTTCAATATTATCTTTGGGCATGTTGGATGCTTTTGCTCTGTTTAAAATGGCTTGCAACTTATTATTTACATTGGGATCAGTACCGCCCGCTTTGTTCAAATGTTAGTATGGATTTGATTACATAATAAGCATATTTTATGACAGACCTCGAGCAGCGGATACGATTTCTAAAGCAATTTTAGAGAACATGATACTTTTTTTAGCATCTTTGGCGCCTTTTGTGTGCTTGACTTTGCTCCATTTATTATGGCCCTAAATCATGGAGAAAATATGTCAAAAAAAAAGTGTTTGATAAACAAGGTCATTACGGCAAAACGTTGTTGCTGTAAGCAAATGGCTGTTGGTTTATAAAGTGTTTGTGCTTTGATCGAATTCCCTAAGGTTGTCAAATTCAAAGTTGAGATTCGACGCAACATGGTAGATAGCAAAAGGGAAAGAAAAAGAGAAAGGGTTTTGTTACATGGGCGACAGCTTTTTTTTTTTTTTTTGATTAGCCAATTAAAATGTTAGGGTTCTTCAGGACATAGAATATGACCCTTCTTTTCTTTAGCTGATCAAAAGCGATTCACTTTAGCCAGAAATTTTCTTCATTGTTTAAAAGGACAAGAAAGGGATCATTTTGAACGAAAAAAATGCTAAGATCATCAAGCCAAAGATGTATTTCTGATAATATGCGATTGATATGTAATGTCTTCATATTTAAACTATAAGAAACACAATCGAGTTATGTAGGTTGTCTCGAGGAGCACTCGAAAGATAGACAATCTTTTATTGTTGCAGAGGTATAATGGGTATTTAAATGCAAGATCTACATTCGATGATTGTAAATATTTCTCTTCTTGGGCTTTTACAAATCAAGTCTACTAGAGATTTCGATACTTTATCTTCTGAAGAGTTGAATAGAGTAACCATTAAAAGGGAAACAAAATCATTTTTCTCTGATTTTTGGAGACTAGAAATTACCGTATGATACGCTATTTAGAGATGGTGCCTCTTTTTTACGCATATCAAGTTGACACACTTTAAATACAATGGACTTGCTTGAAATTCATCCACCATTCATCTATTAAAGTATAATGATGTTGTCTTTCATATGCTATGATGCCATTTCTTGCTTTTGTGCACACAAAATATGTTTGATAGTCTTTTCATGCTTTCTTTCTTTTTCTTTCTGTCAACTCAATCAAGATGTAATTCCACTTTGCAAGTGTTTGTAAGAGAAAAGAATAATACTCAAGCAGAGAGTAAGAAAAAGTAGACCGGAGTTTGAAAACAAACTTCTTTTGCATAACATTTATCATTTGGTCAATGTAAAGCTGTTCTTTTTGGCCTCAAAAGTGTTATTCATTGTAGTATAAAGTTCTTTTCTATACTATGCTGATCTAATAAAGTAGAGGAAAATACCTATTTGCTAAGCAATATCTACTACAAAGGGTCTCTTTTCTACCAATTATAGTGTACAATGAACTTTGGATGCATTTTTGAAGGCAATGCTCAAATCAAGTCAACCTTTTGGTCTTAGTAAACTCAATTTATTTTCATTAGAAGTACCTAGATATGGTCTTACCTAATTTTGGTTGGATCAGATTTTTTTTTGGTAAAATATTTTTATGTTTTTAGTTGCACATCACAGAGGGGTGTAACGTGGATAAGCTGAAAAAAAAAGAGTGCACAAAACTAGTCATTGAGAGACTCAGAAAAAGTTTACGAGCAAATAATGTTGGTGTAGTGAGATCAAAGTCTGACTAATAATGTCGGAAATGACCCACTCAGGGTTGAAGGGTTGATTGTCCAAGGCGAAACGCCAGTAAGCGGACCATAGTTGCCATTGGCAGACAGATAGAACCGTAAATAGATGACTGTCAGGCAGTAGGAAAGGAGGGCAGGTTGGATCAGACCTACATTGGGTCATTCCAAAAAAAGATTCTGATCGAGCTTTGTTTTTTTTTCATCTTCACGGACCTCCGTAGATCCCCCATAGATCAAAAACATAAATTTCACTTAACAGCCAAACCAATGGTGTCATTCGATTCCTGAGCTCGAGAAAACATGTCTTAAACAAGAAGACAGCCTTGTTAATAATCTAGTTGTCGAGTAATGGCGTATCAAAGACTGGCATGTTTAAGCTGTGTTTTGAGCAATTTCAAGCATTTTTGGTCTAAACGTCATATATAACTTGCCAACTATTGGCTTTCAGAAGATAGCTTATGCTATATAGAGTAGCAAGAAATGTCTAAAAGTGAAAATATGGTCGATTTATAGTGCGAATGTGGGGAAAATGTATCTAGGACATACAGAATGGATGTGTAGCGAAGAATAAGAAATGGAAGACAGCTCCAATTCTTCTTACCGCCACATCATAAATCGAGCTTTTCAGCAGAAATCACTATATTACCATTGGCTTCATCCTTTTTTGTGTCCTCAAGCTGAACGTTCTCTGATACAAGACTTTTTAGCAGCACATACCCGTGCTTTGCTTCAGACTGAACATCTGCTCTTGGGTCTGCTCTTTCCTCGTTCTCGGCTAGGCCAACTCAGGCAATTGTCAAGTAACATTGTCACGATGTGCTGCCAGACAATGGATGCTATTCATAGGAAACAGTACTCATACATGCCAAACCCTATCGAATGCCTTTTACTGCCATTACGCTCAATTGTTTTGCCATCTAACACTTTTGACTTGCCTCTCAAGCTACGTACAGTAGCAGTTTCCTATCTATATGAGTACCATCCACAGGGTCACTATTTGGCACCAATGCCAGTTTTTTTCTTTCCCTTGGATATCCGTCATAGTGTTAGAAAATACCTTCAAGCAGTGAATCAAAATGATTATCAACTGGAGCCATTCTTTGGTCAATGCATTGTTCGTACTTCATTAGACTTATACAATCCTGTGCATATTCCTGCAATCCAGCGGTCTCTTGGTTTCTTTTCTTTTGTGCGTATGTTGAAACTGCCTTTTGACAATGAAAATTTTGTTGCCCTCAAAAATGGTAGCTATACTTTCCGTAAGGCCATCTCACAAGCTGCCTTGTCTGATATCATTGCCCGGCAAGAAGTTTCTTCTGCTGCTTGGAAGTACTTTTGGCGCATACCTATCACAACATTGCAGAGAAATGTGATGTGTTGATTTCTGATTCACAAGATTCCCACTCGCTTGCTTCTATCCAAGGTTTTTCCTGCTCGCTTCCCTACTGCTGCCTGCATTTTGTGTGGTGATCAGGAGACTGTGTACCATTTCTTCTTTCGCTGTCCCCAAAAATCTCCGTTCTGGGATGCCTTGATCAGGGAATTTTTGTGGCCAGACACCTCTCTGGATCTAGTCTCTGATGCACTTGCATCTTTCAATTTTTCTCGGACTCGGGCTCAAACAAACTATCCTCTTTCAATAGCCATGGTAACCTTGATCAGCCTCTCTGAGATCTGGAAGGCCCATTGGACCCATACCATACAGAACCAACCATTCCATTATCTCTCTGTTCTTCACAGCACTCGCTATCAAATTAAGCGTATAGCTGCTGAAAATGACCTTTCATTTTGAGAGGTCTTTTCTCGCAATAGCTGCTCTTCTTTCCTTTTATATTTTTCTACTTTCGTACTATCGTACCAATTTTGTTTTTCTTTATATTTTCTTACAATAAATAATTGTCGAGCACCTCTTGTAGTGGGTCCCTCCCAAGATTATTAATACGTGTGGCAAATAAAATCATTAAAAAAAATCGAGCTTCTGCTTAGAACTACATAAAGACGCAGTTATTAGGCTTTGGTGTAGTCATAAAAGTTGTAGATATTTGCTTTCTGATTCTATCTATGCAAAGAACGTAGCAACTTTTGTGCCAAAATATTGAGCAAATAGGCAAAAGCATATGTGAGGTTTTTGCTTCTATCCCATTATTTTTATAGTACAACTGTCAAGCAAACACATTCACCAAAAACTAGAGTGTTTTGCACACATTTTGGGTATTTAAGCTTGTCAGTAGCTTAATTTTTTGTTATGTAGCATCAAATAGAAGACCGCAAGTTGTAAAAATGAGCTTTTTCCATGAGTACTACCCTTTAGTCGAAAGGCCATTTTGACCATTTTTTACAAGTCGTTTTTTTTTTTTGGATCCAAAGAGACTGTGTATGGTAAGTATTTAGAGTACTTATGGGTGTACAAACAGACTTTGCAGTGCCTTTATGTGTCGAAAAAAGAAGAAGATTTGCATGGATTATTGTCTTTTTTATTATTGAAGCACTTACTTGCCTCGATGCTCTGCTTCAGGGACAAGTAATACACTAGCAAGCTGTTTATTTAAATAGAATATCTTATTGAAAAGATTTGATTCATTAGGATGGTTAGTTTGAGTAAATTGAATGAACCAAATTCAAGTGATAGTGAGCTATTCGATAAACATTCAGGTGAGATTTATAGTTTAAGCATCCTCCTTCAAAATATATGAAGAAATGAATCAACCTCCCCCCTTAATATATATAAATTTGAATGGATGTGATGCTCAAACTAGGAGTGTCAGTCAAAGGAAAATTTTAAAAATACTCAGTAACAAAGAGAAATACACTTAATCTTAACATTGCAATCAAGGACTACTTGTTATCGAGACTAAATGAGCAAAGCTGTCTTTAATTAAAAAACTATAAGGTAGATCGAGCGAATTTATTCCAGTAGATATTTTACAAAGAAATACAAATATGGACTCACTTCACCTTACTACTGCAAGAGGAATATTCAGTACTTGTTATATTAATAGAGTTCATTACTATGCTTCAATTGAAAGCCATGGTTTGATACAGTCTTGATGTGACGACCTCAGATACTAAAAAGTCACATGAGCAAATAAAGTACTTTTGACTTGCACTTTTTTTCGTTTTCTTTTGTATATAGAATGACAGAAAGCAAGAAACGCACAGCATCACCGACGCTTGATAAGAAAACAAAAGTAAGAAGATTAGCGCCACCTCCTTCCATCACAGGCACAAAAGCATCACAAGCACGCGCAAAAGCCATCAATGCTCAATTACATAATAAACCTGACGGATCGACTGTCAAAAAGAGAAAAACAGCAGAAGCACCTACTTTATCAAGTTCATATCGTATGGCAGCAGCAGGACTTAAAGAAAGGCCTGCATGGGATCTTCGTGTATGTACCTGATTCGATCCCCATGTCGCTTACTTATTGGAAAATATAGGGAAAAGTAGCTGATATGACACAACTGATCGAAATGAACAATCAAAAGTGTAAGTACGACTCTATAGTTCTGCAAAAGACTGACATGCATACAGTGGATGAATTACGAAAGTTTAAACAAGAACTAGAGATTGCAAAAGACGAAAAGGAATCACAAGAAAAAGAAGCGATTCAAAAAGCAGCACAACTAAGAACAGAACTTCAGGTAACTTTTATTTGAGTCACCATATATGCCTATTGATGAATGGATTCAGGAAATGGAAAGAAGACATGTATCGAACATAGAAGACATTCATGCCAGTCAGCGTGTTGAATATCAAAAATTAGAAGACGATAGTCTGCATTTTTCTCGACGATTGACTACAATAGAAATAGAAGTAACAGATGCTCGCCGTAAACTAGAGAATGAGCTTGCTCAACTGGATCAAATCAGGCAAGAAAATGATATACTTAGGGTAGATTTCAATGCCAATGCCAAGCATGTTTCTCATTCTGCATAGGAATCAATCGAACGTACATCCAACCAATTTGAGAATGCAGAGAGTGAAAGTAGAGGATTAGACAAAGACATTAAATCATTAGAAAATTCACTTTTACAAAAGGAAGACGAAATACAAAAGAAAGAAAAGAGTACCAAGACCATTGATGTGTCTGTTGAAGAACTTCAAACAAAATTGACAGAAGCAGAAGCAGACAGAGAACGTATTTTAAATAAAATCAAAAACTTGGAAGTAAAGAAAAAAAGGTAAGAAAATAGACTGAAGCAAGGGTTCTTATTTTGTTCAAATACAGCAAGTCAAGATAAAGGGTTTTTCCCGTCTTTTTATGTATAAATCATTCATTCATCATTTTGTATTCAATAAAAAACATATCACTCCTCATGAAGAATGTGTCTTGTTACCTGCTTATGGTTACAAAGATCCAAAAGGTAGAATGAAGACAATGATCAGTTTGAGATTCAATAACACTGTATTCTAGATCCCTCAGTATGGATAGTGCGTATCAAAGGTTGGACTGGTTGCTTTCGACAGTCTACTACAAAGCAAAAAATACTCCAATACATCACTCAAAGAATAGCTGGTAAAGTGAAGTGCAACAAAATAGTGCAAGGCTTGTTTGAAGAACGATTTCAATACTTTTTAGCGAACGGCAAAAGCAATAGACAAGTGCATATCATGAATCATAGGCTAAGGTCAACCACAGCCGGTCTATTGTCTCATCAAATTCGCTTAAGCAATCAAGAAGAGGATCGTTTTGTCGAGGTTTTGAATGATACACATGTAGAACTGGTGAAGCCTGCTGGTATTTCTATTATCAGTGATATTGATGATACAATAAAGCAAACAGGTGTATCTTATGGAGCTAAAGCAATATTAAACTATACATTCTTCAATCCGACACAATGCATAGAGGGTATGGCAGACTTATACATGCAATGGGTAAGTACGGTCCTAGGTCATAACTCAACTTATACTCTTTCTAGTATCATGATGGTGCTTCATTTCATTATGTGTCCAACAGTCCTATTCAATTGACACATAACTTGACTAGGTTTATACAAGATCATCGTTTTCCACCAGGCAGTCTTCATTTAAAGCACCACCAGGGTGTTATGTCTCAATGGTTACAGGCAGCAGGTCAATCCAAAAAAGAATCTATTCAAACAATCTTGAAGGATTTCCCTCAACGGAAATTTATTCTAGTGGGAGATTCAAGCGAGATAGACTTGGATATCTATACTCAGATAGCCATGGATTTCCCTGATCAAATCCTAAAGATATATATAAGAAATGCCACATCTACACCTAGCATTGCATTTCATAGACAACTTTCGCCTGAATTTACCCAATTGTCCTTTTTTACTTGCAATAACTTGCATGGATATATGAAAGAAGAAATAGATCAAGAAATAGCGCAGCATGATGACAATCATCACAACACTGATGAGGAAATAGAATATAGACATGCTGCTGTCACAGATTTAGCAGGATTTGTCATTGAACCCTCATTAACAGGACACCTTGACCCTATCAAGACATTGAATCAAGAATCTCTCTCTCAAGACAAAGCAAACCGTCTTTCAAAAGCACAGAAATCCATACCTCATGTCAAGATTGTCTTTTTTAATCATCCAACAGAAATAACTTGATTGTTGCATTAAACACTGAATGAAACTCCTACCCAAGGCCTATTTTTTTTTTGCGGTTTTCTTTTCTTTTTTTTGTTTCTTTCTTTTATTTAACCATGTCTGCCCGTACTTTTTTAACTACTGGTAAAAAGATTGTAGCTATTGGCCGTAATTTTAGGTACATTAATCAAACCAATACATAGATTAACCAGACTTTTTTATTATTATTATTAGTGAACACGCAAAAGAACTCGGTAACGCTGTTCCCAAGTCCCCTTTCTTTTTCTTAAAGCCTACTTCTTCTTACTTGACCAATGGTGGTACTATTGAAATTCCTTCAGGTTGTGAAGTTCACCATGAAAGTAAGACAAATAAGCATATCATCTTTTTTCTCACGCTTTACATAGTTGAATTGGCTGTAGTTATGGGTAAAGAAACACGCGATTGTCCCGCTGCCAAAGTAATGGATCATGTTGCAGGTAAATTAGGTGGGATGCATTAGGTATACTAAATTCAATACCAGGTTATGCTTTAGCTATTGATTGTACAGCTAGAAATCTTCAGGTATAAATATGTATGTTTTATCTATACAAATCCTAAATAGCAAACAATAGAATGAAGCTAAAAAGAAGGGACTTCCTTGGAGTACTGCTAAAGGATTTGATACATTCTCTCCTATTAGGTAAGCACACACGTTAAATAACTAGGAATTAAGCCTTGCTTTAGTGACTTTATTCCTAAAGATGCCTTTTCTGATCTTTCCAACATTGATCTCTGGCTCAAAGTCAATGGTGAGTATCGTCAAAAGGGCAATACCAAGGACATGATTTTTGAGTAAGTAGCATGTTCTATATAGGCTTATGTTGATGGGTTTCAATAGTGTGCCTTCCTTGATTGAGTATGTTTCTTCTGTCATGAAATTAGAAGCAGGCGATGTTATTATGACAGGTACTCCTGCTGGTGTTGGACCTATTAAAGCAGGCGATGTTGTTACGGCTGGCATGAAGCCTGGAAATGCTCAAGAAGATATTGTCACTTTAAAGTTCGATGTAGCTGATAGACAAGGATTATTTAAAGCTTAAAATAAAGGGAATATATATTTAAATCTTTTTTCGAATCGAACCAGTACTACTTGTAGGTTGATGAATAATCACAGAAGGTAAGGGCTCAATCGTGGATTCATCTGTAATAAGACGAAGACGACGAGCTGTGGTTGAGAGTGAAAGGCGATCATCCAATAGACTAGGATGCATACTGCTATCACTGCCTACAGATTCAACCGTACGAAACTTGTCTGCTCCTTCCCAAGGGAAATTCAAAAACTCTTGTTCAAGTTGATCTGTGTCTACCAGATCCATCCAATAGTGTTCATTGGCATAGTGCCATGGCTGTTCTATTTCGACTTTGTTATAGCAGAGCGATAATCGCTGGGTATCATAATGAGAAGGTAGTTCCTTGATATTTACTTGGCCATTTAAAATATCTTGGTTACCAAGCCAAAGCCATAGGGCATAGTAAAACTGTTGCAATGCACCTATGTGAGGGCCTGCATCTGCCATGATCTTTTGCCCATAATACGTCTGCACATTGGCCACATAATCCCTTAGTTTGATCAAAAGATCTTGCTTTTTGTTGAAAAACAAAGCGCCCAAGGTGAACTTGGGATTCAGTGGTTGGTAATACAGACTAAAGAACATTTGGAAATACAGTGGCAAAAGTGGGTGATCCATAGGGACCACTAAAATATGCTGTAGCCATCGATAGATACTGAAATATTCTATGGGTTTCTTTGCATTCGATAGTGTTTGTTTGTATAGAGTTAAGATATCAGGTACTGTCTTTTTGTCTTCAGAAGAAGGTATCAAAACTTGCGTTATTTCATCACGAAATACACTTTCTGTCATTGTCTCCACAATAAGCACTTGAAAAGCAAACCAATGCATACAAGGTTCAACACCTGGTGCCTTGTTAAATGTATTTGCTTTCAAGTTAAGCATAGACCATTCACCAATCAACAGACTAACAAACGGGCTGTCAGTGACAAGCATCATATTCTTGATGAACCTTGTCAGCCGTGGGGAACCCGATGTGTTGTTCTGCAACTTAAGAGTCTCCATACGCTTATGTTCCTCAAGCAACATATGGTGTATCAATGGATGACGGTTCAAGACAAACGCTAGTTTACAGAGCATATCAACCATACTCACATACGCATTCTGCCACATCCAATCTGGTTTTCTAAACACAGTCTTGAGCCAAGAATGCATGGCTAAATCCACATAGGAAAACCCTTTACCACTCTCATCCAACAGATGACTGACAGAATCGATCAGATGGACTTGCCACATGTGCGAGCCCATCATGAAACCCACACCTGTCATCGTAGGTTGTTTGACCTTGTGGTGCTTTAGAAAAGATTGACTTGCCTTTGTCAACATGGGATCTGACTTGAAATGAACCAGATGTTTGAAAAAGTCAGGTAGACTTTCATCATTAAAGAAATCATCACCATGCATGTACACAAAAGAAGGGATGATTTCACTAAAGATCTGAATGACGGCTTCTGGTTTGCCTCGCTTAAGAATCGTTAACAACTTCATCCAGCCATCGTTGGATTCAAATCTTAGAAAATGACGGCTGGACACAGACAGTAAAAAGGAAACATAGACAATCAAGGCACTATGGGATGAAGACACGTGATTAAAGCTGTTGAGTACTGCTTTCAAAAAGGGCAATGTGATGGAGGTGTCAATATTTGTTGCTCGAGGTGAAATAGGGCAATCATACAGTTTGAGACGAATGGCAACAGACCAAGCCCATTGGATAAAGTCATTGGCCATACTACTGATATCTTTTGAGTTTTGTATTGTTGTAGGAGCATAAGCTGATTTGAGTAACTGATCGGCAATAGGTAGATAAGAAGAGACCATGTCCATAGCACCACTTTTGTTTTCAAGATTATCAGGTATCGGTTGGAATTTTTGGCAGGCATCTAATAAGATGAATGCGATTTCTTCGTGGGTTTGGTAAGGTAAGAATGGCATTTGACGCGGATGCCAAGGTTGTGATTTGGATAGTTGTGTGTCGATACCATGTCTGTAGCCATAATTCAATTGCTCAATGATGTATTTTGCAAGTTGAATCTGAGCTATCTGTTGTGTTGTCAATTGTGAACTGGAAGATGTAAAAGTCAATAGTTGATGTAATAATGTCAAATCGTCCTTTAGGATAACCCATTGATCCAGTTTGATAGAATGAAAGAGATAGAGTGCCATTCTTTCCATGACAGCCATATGCTGTACAGTCCAGCGAAACACAAGGGAAATCACAAAAGGATGGTGTCGACAGATTACACATAAATTATCGCGTACATCTCGATAGAATATTTCCCTTAATGTCTTGTCAATAAAAGCAACATGAAAGAGCGTAAAAGATAAAATGGTTATAATATGGGCTGAAAGGACACTTTCGGGATCATTGATGGTATTGACTTCATCTACGCCTGGGGGTATGCAGGTAACAATATTAGTTAGACAGCTTAGCATAAAAAATCCCTGGTTTTGATTATCATGCAATTCATATTGAAATCGAGCCAAGTTGGGTAATTGTTCATTCAAGACAGATTCAAGTGAGGTGGGTTGTGTTTTATCTTTGTTCTGTAGTAGATAGGTGGTGACTTGCCATAGTGCATCAATAGAAAGCGCTTTGTAAGGCATATTGGGCAAAAAGAACCAACCGTCTTTCTTTAGATCATGAAAACGATATACCATTTGACACAAAAAAGAGTCGATCTTGTCTTGACATGTCCAGCCTTTATCATGAACTGCATCTACCAACAACAAGGCCATCTGAATGACTGTCTGAGAAAGTCGCTTGACAAGACTCTTCATGGCTGTAAACCGGCATATAGCATTCATCAGTGAGTCAGTCATGTTTTGACTGTATTGAAACAACATGAAGGGGTCATCATCTGGTCCAATGGAGTCGAGTATTTTACTGTAATTATAATCGATTGCCAGCTGATCCAATACTCCCACAAAATCATCTTCTGTCCAATTCGACTCTTCATTCTCTTGTTTATTTAGGAAGACAATGTCCAATATATCCTTATAATTATCCGTATCAGTTACATCATGCACACTGAACTGAATGAGTGGAATAGCCCAGGAAGAAATATGGCAAGTAGTCTTTAGGAGTTGTAATACTTTTTTCTTTTCGTGGATTGAACATAGACGGAGATAAATGGTGATCAGTTTAGTCATCCATTGATGCAATTGAGACGAATAGTCGTCTTGTGTGTCTTCTTGATGTGCCAACTGACATGCTCGGTCAAATTTAAACAAGGTCGTTATTAACTTGAGCAAATGCTTTTTGTCGCTGATTCTCTTTTGATCATTGTTAAACAAGAGTTGATCGTTTTGTAGTTCAGTACGAGAAAATAAATTCCAAATTGTGTTGTCTATAAACAGATCCACAGCTAATTTGGATGCACTCATTTCTGCTTGGCGTTTATTGAGCAAGGAATTCACATCCAACCTCAGTTTACTGATAATCTGATTCAGTTTGTCTTCATTGTCGTGTTTGTCAGATAAATGATTGGCTATAGCCTGTTCAGAAGTGTCTACTTCTTTTGCTTTTGTGTTTATCTCGGATAGTTGTTCAAGGCTCTCTTTGTATTTAGATAAAAGTGCATCTAGTTCCTTGTCCATACTATGGATTCAATAAGAAATTATTATTTTCAACCTAAATTTACCTCGTCTATATTAACCAAATTCAATCGAAATCAGAAAGAAAAAGAAAAAAATGCCTTTTTTTTAATTGCGTCATGATCAAACATTCGAAATAAAAAAGCTCGATTTCCAAATCAAGGTAATAGAAGCCCAAAAACAGTGTCATAGCAACGTTTTGTCGACAGGAACGAAAAAAAAAAAAAAAAAAAAAAAAAAAAAAAAAAAGGCCTTCTTTTAAATCTCCCCTCCCTCCTTTTTTTTTTATACATCTCTTTCTCTCTTTTTTTTTCATTTTTTTTTTTACTTTTTACTTTTTTTTTTTTTTTTTATTTCAACAAGTAAAACAAAGGATAGTTTCATGTTTATAACTATACTTGATTATACCATTTAATATGCCTCACTTGACGACCTATTCCTTTAGCCTTGACAACTCAAAAGACACTTTATCAAGTGTTCTTTGCGACCGTATAAAGGCACATTACCCTCATTTACAGTCCGTCTTTTTGACTCGTAATAAATTTACATGTATCACTATTTCAGGAACTGCGGCTGATGTTACAAATGCAAAAGCAGACATTTTAAAGTTACAGCCTATTCAAGTAAGAAAATGATGATAATGATATAAATATAGCAACCTGACTCACCACCTTTTATTAGATCACACTCTTGATTCACTCTCTGTATCCAGGACTAGCTTATCGACCTATAGCAAGAACCAAGTTACATGAGCAATTAAAACTGATTGCTATCAAGCAAGATATTCAGTTGACTGTAGACTACAATCAACTTTCTATCAGATTGATTGGTCCTATCGATAGAGTGGAACTTGCTCGTATTGATGTATTAGTATTCTTTGATCATCTTGTAAGGCAATTACTGTGTATATGTGTATACTTACTATTATTTATAGTTGGGTCTGACTTCTAATGTTCTAAATATGCCTCTCTATGCACATAATATTCTTGGCAGTAAAAGGCATTCAAATATACTAACTATCATGGAGGAAACTGGAACAAATATCTATTTACCTTCTCCTTGGACTAAGCCTTTACTAAAATCAACACTAGCTGAACCCGAAAGCAACATTCACGTAACTGGTAGCACAACAGAAGCAGTACAAAAAGCAACCACTTTGCTTAGAAAATTACTTCCTCAAAAGGTACAAGAAAATAAATGCATGTATGGATATTGATCATTTCTATATATACATTGTAGATCAAAACAATGTGTAACTCCCAATCTGTACTAAACCCACGAAAGAGGGATTGGTTGTTGCTTTATAAAAAAGAAGAATTGGATAAGATCATGAAGGATAATGGTAAGTGTAACGACACCAAAAAAAAAATTTTTTTTTTACTCACACTTTTCAGGTTCTTTTATATCATTTCCAATTTTTGGGTCCGAAAACTCAAGCCAAATTCAAGTATATGCTGAAAATAATGTAAATGTTGAACGTACATTAAGATCTTTAAATTATTTGGTAAGACACTATAACCCAAAAGAAAGAGAAAAAATACTAATTTCAATAGACAAGCCATATATTCCAGGCTGTGATTTATGTGAACACAGTTCAGTCACCAGATATAGTAGCACGTTTATCACAAGATTCCGGCGCTGAAGTCATCTACAGAACAGATTTTAATCAATTCGAAATTACGGGTTCTAAGCAACAGATCCAATCGATTGTGCAGATCATACGCACATTGCCTATTTCTCAAGTAAGTAAACAGATAGGCATTTACTTTTACTCACTTATTCGAAAACAGGAACATCATAAATCTGTCACTTTCTCAATTGAATTGGCTTTAGACCAAAGAGAGTTTATCTCTGGTAAAAAGAATGGCAAGATCAACAAAATCATGAAATCATGCGATGCCGATATCCAATTCCAAGCCTTTAATGACTACAACTTTATTATTACGATCGAAAGCGAAGATTTCTTTAAAGCCAAAGATGGGCTAGAATCGCTTCAGAACGAACTTCCAGCAGAGATTTCCTTCTATGTTCCCGAAATCTGCCATCGCCGTATCATTGGTGTTGCAGGCAAAAATATTCAACGTGTCATGAAACAGTACGGTGTCTACGTCAAATTCTCAAGCAATGAAGAATTAGCTACATTTGGTGGTTATTTTGAAAATGAACACAATGTGGTTGCAAGAACACCCGAAAAGAACATCCAAAGTCTACTTAAGCTAAAAGCAGCCGTCATGGAATTCATTACATTTCAAAAAGACCGTGATTACATATCTCGGCCTGAATTTGTACCTTTCTATATCCAACGCAACTTGCTTCACCACCATGGAAAATATTTACGCGACAAAGGAAAGTTGTACAACTCTAGAATTACATGGCCCGAAAGAAATGGTACAGACCATGTGCTGATTACTGGACCGCAGTCTCATATTGAAGAAATGCAGTTACGCGTACAGAGCCTGTTACCACAATGCCTTGATATTCAAGTACCAGCCTCTGTTGTGCTTGAAAACATTCTCAAGTCGCCCGATATTGAAGATTTGCAACAAAAGATTCATCAAAAGACAGGCATTTTCTTGATTTTACCAGACGCTTTGATCTTGACTACGAATGAAATGAACGATTTGCCAGAAAACGACACGCATTTCAAGATTGAACCGCGTCAACTCAATAGTGCATTGTTTAACGACTGTAGGGTATTGGCTTTTAAATTATGCTTTGACGCCAGTTCAAAAAATCAACTTCAGAAGGCTCGACAAATGTTTGATACATTTATGGGAAGTCGATTTGTACCTGTAGACGATACACTTCATAACAATGCACTCAATGGCTCTCCTAGCCCTGAAGATATGCGTCATATTAGTCCCTCTGTAATGCATCATATTGATCACCCAGAATCATGTAAGGTAAATGAGTCTTATTTAATCAGAAGGCTAACTTGATTTAGATGAGCATGCTACAAAGAACTCAGACTTGATGGATCATGCTAACAATAGTTTCTTCCAACCTAAAAAGCCATTGTCTTCTAGAATAAAGAGTTCTGCATTACAACAACAACAACAACAACAGCAACAGCAGCAGCAACAACAACAACAACAGTCTCCTATTGATTTCTTTGTACCCAATAGGAATATTGGATTTGATCAACAACAAGAAAAGAACTCTTCTATTGAAGACTTTAGTGTATGGGCAGAAAACCCTGTTAGTCCAACTGTAAGTCTCCCCTTTCTCCTCCCTCTTTTTTTTAATGTTCTATATACTCAGTTTTTTTTTTTTTTATCTTTAGAACTTTCACCATCACCATCATTTGAAAGCATCGAGATCCAACATACCAAAGACAAGCACTCAATTCTTTTATCCTAGACCTGAATTAAAACCAAACTATTCTACTAGTTCTATCAATTCTTCTTCAAGTCATAACGATACCCAATTTAGTACACTGAGCAACTATTATCAGTTTGGTAGTAGTAGCAGTAGTAGTAGCAACAGTAATGGTATTCGAAGCCCACAACAGCAACAGGCAGACTATTTGCCCTCTCATCGCAACAGCAATCCTTTTGCTCCTATTGGATATTCCAGACAACGTAGTACTTCCTTGATTCCACCTGGTGTAAGTAGCCAACATTTCCCTACGCACCCTATTGTCTCCAGCAGCCTTAGTACAAGTAGCACACATAGCAATACCAACAACAGTAATGTTGAGATGAAGAGCTATTTATCCTCTTTTGGACCATACCCCTTTAGCATGACCAACTCCAACTCACGATTAGGTATGGAAGGACCCACACCTACTAGTTCTTATGAATACTATACAGCTAGTTCTCGATTCTATCCATTTGATAGTAAGTAAACCTTATCTCTTTGTCTATACTTACTTTGAATAGGAAAAAATCCTTCCAATTCATTGAGTACACCTATTCCTGTAGCTGTCAATAGTAACGACAACAACAATTCAATCAAATCAATTCATTCACAGAGATTCAACTATTATTAAGTAGAAAACAGATGATACCCCTGATTTTATATATATATATATTTATATATATATTTATATATATACACACACATTTAATGATTATACATTTATTCTCTCCATTTCTATATACATTATACATATCTCTTTAAACACAAAAAAAAACACTTAAAAAAATACCCCCCCCTTCGCCCTCTTATTTTGATTATAAATATAATATACATATATATATATCTATCTATTCTTTAAATAATTTCCAGTAATCGATGATAATCTTCTTCAACTGCTAAGTATGTCTGGTGAAGCTTGTCTTTTCGTTCTTCTTCTTCCATTTCTCGAAGAACATCCTATCATCATGAGTGATACAAATACTCTACAGATAACTTACAAAATTAAAAGAATAAAGACGCTTTTTCACTTGCAGTCTGTATGCTTTATATTCTTCTTCATTCAACTTGTTTACGTTGGATAACAAGTACATTTCAATACAACGCTGAGTTTGTCGATTGGTCAATTTAAATATGCTACATAATTGTTCAATCTTTTCTGCTGATACAGGTGCCTTGAGTCCCTTAAAAGCTTCGTGTTCCAACAAATATCGAATGTCATTTTTATCTCTCATATCTGAGAATTCTTCATTAGGATCCTCTACTGTAATTTCGCATATCTCTGTTCTTGATCTAAAGAGTTCATAGATTGTTTGATAAAGTTTACTTCCATGTCCCTTCTTTTTATAGGGTGGCAATATCAAGAATTGACTATGGACACTAAGTCAAGTTTCTTTTGTGTAATTGTTACCTTATTCTCATTCTTGTATTTTCTGGCCAACAATAAAATGGATAAGTAGTACAATAACCCACAAAATGATAAGCAAACGATTCGCTTGCTTTTTCACGCTTGTATCTATGACATGATGAGAAACAATAATGAGTTTCTGTAGACATTACACTGTATAAATTTCCCATTTTTGATCATCGTCCTCTATATAACTCATGCCTTCAACAAATAACAAGACAAACAGTTGCATACGAGCATGGTATTCTCTAAACTTCTCGTTTGAAAAAGAGTTCTATACATGCTAATAAGTACATGCCAATGTCTCCATGGATCTTTACCTTGTATATTTCAAAATATTCCATTGTGCCATCATTGGATTCTCGAGTGTATTCTTGGACTTTTTCACCCAAAGGTCTAAATGTTTCATAATCGTGCTTGACAGTACTTATAAATTGATCTTCATTTGTCAAGTAGTGAGCGGGTAAATGTTCTGAAAGTGTTTTTGATAGGTCGTCGGCATTGGCAGAAGCCAAAGAAGGATATTTTTGTGAATAATGTATCTTTAGATATGGTCGTAAAGAGCCAGACGTGTATTTGATCTACTGATATCAATCCTGTTATGAGCAACAGCTTTTTTTGAAACAAATAACTGCGTACCTGAATGGAAAGGTCTTTATAGCCAAATGCAGTTTCATGATCACCAAAGATAGGATATGTAAAGTCTGGGTGAAATGTAGTTGAATGAACAGGTGCTAAAGAATCACTATCACCCCGTTGTGGTTCAACTAGGCTTATTTGAGTACACTCGTTTGTATTGCAAGCCCAATCAGAAAAGTCGACCACAGTAGCTGCTGCAGGATGAGGTTGAATTTCAGGTTCCATTGGGATAAAAGAAAAAGAGAAAGAAAAACGCGTCTATAAAAGCCACTGGATTCATTTTTCTTCTTTTCTTTTCTTTTTTATGCATGATTGATTTTCTTGATGAACACTATTTGGAAGGGTTCTATCAGACCTTAGGCTGTTCATGTATCTATTGAATAGGTCGAAAAGTACTTGTTCATATCGGCTTGGGTGTTGCCTTTAACAAGTATTGTGGAAGGATTGGGTGTATTATTGATTATTTTAATGGCAATGTGATATGAAAACTAGGGCTTCTATACTGTCAGAACATCAATAATTGATTAATAGCTTGAGAGTTGTCTTTTGCTCGTAGTAGTAAATGTTCTAGAGAAAATCGATTCATTTTATCGAGCATGCAGAGGGTCTAATTTAACCATACCTATGTTGTCTTGAACTCTATTAGTTTGGATCATTTCTTCAGTTACTATTCACTTTTTTCTTCGACGCATAAAGGTACTGCAAAGCCTGTTTGTACACTCACAAGTACTCTAAATACTTACAAACCACGTTTGTTAACATACACAGTCTCTTTGGAGTTGATTTGGATCCAAAAAAAAAAAAAACGACTTGTAAAAAATGGTCAAAATGGCCTTTCGACTAAAGGGTAGTACTCATGGAAAAAGCTCATTTTTAGAGTACTTGTGGGTGTGCAAACAGGCTTTGCAGTACCTTTATGCGTCGAAAAAGAAGAAGAAGAAGATTTGCATGGACTATTGTCTTTTTTTATTGTTGAAGTACTTACTTGCCTTGATGCTCTGCTTCAGGGACAATTAATCCATTGATAAATTGCAGGTGTAAATCGGTGTTTTATTTCGCCTACTCTTTTAGGCCAGAATGATTTAATCATTCTGATTTTTACTGCAAACAATGACAGAAACAAGTACTCAGGAATACGTCGAGAACGTCTGTCAATCTCAGTTGAGAGACCAACATATCCCCTTTATTCGATCAACTGTGAGTAGAGCGCGACTCTAGAATTCATCTAATCACTTTTGTATAGCTATACACCAACTCATTTAAAGTTTTTCAAAAACTTCACCAAAAGTAAACATTCTACATAGCCTTTAGGTTATTGATCCTTCTTTTTCTTCTAGCCTTATAAAAGACAGAATAGATGAAGCTGTTAAAGAATATGGAAATGCCCTACAAGATTACATTGATGTGATTGAGCAGGTTGAAAAGACGAATGTAAACTATACCTTGTATTAACGTGTTTCTAGTATCATTATCCTATAGAAGCACAAGAGCGCGACACATATAAACAGCTATTGTCGATCTGGAAGTTAACTGAGCTCTTACAATTCAACACAAGCACACCTAAACAACTCATGACTTGGTTCAATGAAGCCTATAGACGTAAGTTAGACGTGATAACAGACAACATGATTGATGTTTTGATCATAGCTCTTTACTTTGAGTATAGTAAACAAGCCATTCTATATGACGGCATGCTTAATCGTCATGATTTCTGGCTCTATGCTATCCGGATGGCTGTTCTTGGTCAACTACAACAAATTTCATTGCTCTTTCAACATGTCCTAAAGAGTAATGCATTCTCTCAATTCAATGATGTATTGACGTGTATGCTTGATGTTCGAAACCATATAAACAATGATAAAATAGACTATGGCAACATGCAAAAAGCCTTGCTTAAACTACAGCATATGAATTTTACAGATTCAGTCTGTCAACACCATGCAAATCAACTAGGTATTGTCATGTCCATCTTATTGGGTTATGAGCATATCATCCTTCAGCATACAAAAAGTGATATTCATGCCTTGATTTGTTCTGCTTATTATCAACCACAAACACCAACATCCATCGAGTCATTTGCTACTGCATTTTATACCAAGCATTCGCAATTCCCTTCCAGTATGATTCGATCCTTGATGATAAATGATCTTTATGCAGCCATTGAGCAAAGCCTTAAATTGGACTGGTGGTTTTTGGCGCATTGGACTGACTTGTTGACCTTGAGGAATATGCTTGATCGACCTATAGAGATACAGACAACTAAAGGCATTTTGCCATTAGATATAAAACATCATTTTATATTGCATTATGCCTCTTTTCTTAAGAATCAACTTGGTCAATGGAAAGAAGCCTTCAGTTATTCATTGGATTGTAGTGATATTGGAAGACGAGTTGTTATCAAAGTATGTGGCTTTATGATGCTCTTATTTACTCATGTTATTTTAGCATTTGGAACAATTGGACTTGAAGATGGAAGGAGACAAACTGCAAGATGTTATTGAGTTTTGCCATCAACATGCTCTTCAGCCTAATGGACATGAATTGTACAAGGTACACATGAAGAAATTTAATAATACGTTCTAACCATCATTAGAAAAAAGCGGCTCGCTGTCTAGAACAAAAAGACTATAAAAACGCTATACATTACTATAATCAAGCGCAACAATATGACTTAGTGGACAACGTTTTTTACGAGGTTATCAAAAACTATGCTATCACTGGTAAACTTGTTGATGTAACCAATCATGGTGAGCATGGCATGTATTACAATGTCTATTGCCAACTGGTCAAAATGACATCGCAATATCAATCCCTAGACTTTAAAGCAGCAGTCACTTTATTTAAGCAGTTTGTACAAACCAGTGAATCTATTCCAAGCTCAATACTGCCCATCATTATCTGGGAAAATCTTATACTTGTGGATGGTATGATAAACCAAATGCTTGTCTTTTGACTCATTCTTTATAGACATTGATCAATCGTACATGACTCAACAAGAACTGTTGGAACTCAAGAAAGTATGTCAGAAATTAAGCAAAGAAACTGGCCCAAAAGACTTTGAGCTGTTTCATTATTTCCTCACTCAAGATACGCAACCAACACAAGATCAGTTGCACCACAGTATGAATGAATTCTTGGACACAACTGCTGTTAAAATTGCAAGGGCAATTGAACGTACACTTAGACAATCCTTATTACCACCTTTTGTATCAACCATTCCTCTGTAAATAATAAGTATACAATAAAATGTTTATTACTATTATATTAAGGAACAGGGCATAAATGAGGTATATCTATAAGATAAAGTTTTATATACATTGTTAATCCATATTACTATGGATTGTTTCTTCAACAACAGGGTCAATCCACCAAAATCTATCATGTGAGGCCAATACAGTCAAAGGTGTAGGTCTCAAGATCTGCAAACCTTTTTTAGTTTGTTTCTCCTCTTGGATGTTATCGCTCAAGGCCGTTAGGGAATCACGAGCCTTGTATCGATTGCGTTTGGCTCGAGGAGGAGGAGGTAAAGAAAATGCATCAGCCTTAATAGGTGAAACAGGTTCAAGAGAAGCCGAGTCCATTTGTTCTCTAAATGTGCTCATGGGGAAATCGGACTCTTTTTTATCATCGCCATAGGCAATTTGTTGTTGTTGTTGTTGTTGTTGTTGTTGTTGTTGTTGACTGTACATTTGTTGTTGAATCATAAAAGAAGGAGAGGCTTGAGCTTGAAAACTTGCTTGATAGATGTTGGCTGCTTGATCTGTAATATAGGTACACATGGCCTTGTAAGCCTCTAATGGAAGACATTTCATGCGCTCAGAGAAAGTGTGATTGACAGCAGTAATAGCACCAGGCGTATTAATGAACGATTTAAATACAATCAATTGACAAGGTCCTGTTGTCAATGCAAAGGGAGGCAAGTCCAATACAGCTGTATGCAGCTTGGATGTTTGATAGAGAGCTTTGCTATAAGAAGTAGCCTCCAAGAGTTGTCGAGCTGCATTTTGAATACTACGAATAAAACCTTCTGTGATTAACGATAAGTCTTCTCCTTGTTGTTTCTTGAGGGCAACTTGTTGATGAAGATGAGCCATGTCAAACAAGGACTGACCATGAAGGCTATTTAGGAAATCCACTTGCTGAGGCTCTAATTTGACAGGGACGAGTTGTTCCATCTTGAGTTGAACCATAGGGAAAGCAAATCGTCTGGACTTATCGACCAAGATTTGCATATCGTTCAATTCTTTGGTTTCGTCAATCAAGACAAAAGCACCAACATAAACAGAACCTTGAGTAGAGCCCTTGAATTCGGTAGGGTTAGGAGCAGGTTCGATTGTAGAAGGAACCCAGTCTTGATGCGTCAAGGCGCACAAAGAATCTGCCATTTGTAACATATCTATAAAGTATTGACGCATATGGTCGGCTGGAATTCTCAATTTGGCAGCCATGGTCTTGGCAATAAAAACAGGCTCAGCAAATCGATAACCTTGAGATAATAAGCGTGTCACTTCATCTTCGTTGACGAGTTTGCGTACCATAAAGATGTGTTTGTCTTCACCATCAGAATCTTCAACAGATAGACGGTCATGGGCTAATTTAGTATCATCTGGTTGTGAGGCTTCAGAAGAAGAGGGGCGATCGCCAATAATGGTGGTACTACCAGAAGAGCGTTTTCCAGGGGAAGTTGGGCTTCCAATGACTGTTTCTTCGTCTTCTGTAAGAGACTTGGTGCGTGTCCAAAGCATTGATTTTCTAGACTTCTTTTTATCTGTACGTAAAGCAGGTTCATCATCTTCAGACAGAGGCGACTGTTTATTTTTTAAATCACCTTCTGACATGTTGTTTTCGGCCAAGAATTGGTTTGTTAAGCCTATTGTATTAGAGCCACTGTTGCTTGAAAACGTCTTGAAGAGTCCTGGGCTTTTAGAAAAGATGTTGACTTTGGAAATAGTGTCAGTGGTCACAACAATGTCACTCAAGATACCGAGATCACCATAATCAGAGAAGCGAAGTTCATTTCTTAATTCACGACAACTGTCAATAAATTGGTAATTGATGGTGTCGTATACGTCTGTCGTAGATGCAGTAGATAGTCCAGAAGGACGAGTATCGTGGCTGAATCGAAGCGATGCTTTGTGAATAGAGGTTTCGAGCAATCGAAGAAACAAGGGATGATTGGTAGAGAAAACTTGTTTTGTTTCCTGTCAATGATGTTAGTCTTTGGTGTGTTATCAAAGAAGGGTCTTTACATTAAGTTCTAAATTATGAGCAATTTCTGTCATTGGCAAGGTACCGTCGGTCTTGACAAGTAAATGGCCAAGAGGGTCAAAAATGACGGCATCTAAAATGAGTCTTTTGTTAGTGTTTTTTGTGTACATCGGCAGATTCTGAATGTTGGCCTTGATACTGATGTACAACAGACCAATGCAGGCAGAAACAATAATAGCTGAAATGATACCAATTAAAGCGGGTGTCTGGAGTTTGGGAATAGGAACAGTTCCATCGTATTTGGGCTTATAAAAAATGGTTCCCACAAGGGCAGTGTAATGCATACCTATCGAGATATTAGCAAAAAAAATTAGATAACAACAAAAATTAAATTACCACAAACAGCAATAGCCAATAGCATGGCACAACCAAGGCGTTTCCACCATTGATTCATCCACTGTTCACGCAATTTGAAAAAGATGTACAATGCCACAGTAGCAGCAATGCAGGCAATAAGAATAGCACCAATCACATAGCCCACTTTGTACACGGCGATGAAATAATCAATGGCAAATTGTCCTACAGTAAATGCGGAAGATGAATAACATGTAATTTATCATTTTATATAAGGTATTACCCATATAGTGCATACAGACTATGCCAAGCTGAAATAGAAAATATTTAGTTTACAGTAAATTCATGGTGCATTGATATTTACCCCCGCAAACACGCCACTAGGAATAATTCTTGCAATCTTAGCTTCTTCCGAGATACCGACAAACGTAAAAGCAAAGAACATGCAGGCAATAGAAACAACCAAGCTACCAAATGTATAGCCTGCTTGATAAGATAGTTGGTAGTGATCATCGCCGAGAATGAGTGTCATACTGTTATTACCAATAAAATGCATTGACCAAATAGCCACTGCACCCATGGTAAATGCTGCTGCTGCCAACAGAAACCTGCAGAAGAAAAATGAAGGTCAATTGATTGAATTATGATTTTTTCTGTCTGTATTGCTGTACCAATTGTATAAGCCACGAATATGTGTTCTTCTTGTCAACAATTCAAGTGTTGTTAATGCACCTGCAACAGAAATAAGATAACTGACAAAGATAATGCCACCATTAAAGTTCATTTGTGCTGCTTCTCCCAATACGCCCATTGTATATAATTGTATCTGGTGCGTCAATGAAAGGAATAATGGCTCGTACTTTTTTTTTTTTTTATTGAGAAGGTAACAACTTTAGAAAAAGTAGAAAAGAAAGAAAAAGAAGAAAAAAAGGGGGGAAATAACGCCGCCTTTTTTTTTTGCTTTGTGCTGTCAAGATACCTCATATTTGTTGATCGATAGCAATGTACATGGTCTCAAAGCAATACAGAATTACCCTGTATGGAAATCAAAACACCAATTAAACATTGTTTGATCTATCTTTCTTTCTTTTCTTTTTTCTTCAATTATGGCCGTTTGTTACATGTGTGACAATTGTGTATACACAGAATGGAAAACCTTAATATTTAAACCGTTATCTCCACTTACTATAGTGCTTTATACACATGGAAAGCAAAGCAGATATTTTCACTAGACAGAAAATTTTTTTTTGGAGATCATAATGGACCAAGAATAAAAATAGTACGTTTGTCCTACCTCAATCAGTTCACTTTCCTTTTTTGTATTATACAGACACACCATTTCTGGAAATAGATTCCACACATAACTCGCGCACAAGTAAAATGTTTGGATTTAAAGAGAAAAAAAAATAGTATAAAGTCCCTTGCTTTGATTATGTTTGTCATCTCAATCTGAATAACAGCAGAACTTCTAAAAGCCCTTTAGAGAAAGAAAAAGAACTGTTCTTAGCATCAATGAATGACTTGCTGGATCACAAATCAAAATTGCTTTTTTTTCTTAAAGTGAGGGACGTTTCATTCGAGATATATGCTTACGTATTTATCTTCATTGAGATTGAAGGACTGCTACTGTGAACTCCAATCAAGTTGCTTTTCTCTCTTGTTACTTTTGATGCTCCTCTACAATGATCAAATGTCGTCATCTTTGCTATGCTGCTTCATAAAAATTAGGGGTAGGTCAAAAAAGAATTTCAAAAACTGTAAATTGCTTCTTATTTCATATAGCTCACACGTTGCGATGGGGCCATTAGACAATTGGTCGCTTAATTGAAATTTCATGTGTGTCAGTTGGGTTATTTTTGGTTTTGTGTGTAAAAGTCCTTGTGTTTGTGCAATCTGTTTCCGCTTATTCCGGAAATGATGTATTTTGAAGGAAGTCAGATATTCAGGACTGTAGCTTTATCATTGGACTTGCAAGAAATATAGCCCTCAATACGATAGGTAGGACAGATATTTTAGGAAAAACATTAAACTGACCAATGCGATATGGTAGAAGGTAAAGGAAGAAATAGACTGTCTGATATTAAAAGTAGATGAACCATATGGTTTATTTTAGGAATCTCTTCATCTCTTATTGTTCCTCGATTTTTTTCTTTTTCACTTGCTCTTTCTCTTCCTCTTCGCCATTTGAATCGGGCAATCGCTTGCTGGGATTGTGCAATCCACGCAAAGTGATGTCGTACACAACCTCTTCAATCTTCTTCACATCATACTTTATACTGTCAAACCTATTTATTCATGCATAAGTTTATCACGATCTTTATTATCACTAAACTCACCTTTTACGTAGCATATCGTTCTTCAAATTGAGGATTTGGAATCCTGCACTCAAGTCTTTGACATGTCTGGAAATGATCAAAGGACGTTCATAATCACCTACAGTAACAGAATTGATACACAGTCTGGACTGTATCCTATTGAGTTATATATATGTGATATGCTGTGTTATCTTACCAATTCATTGATAAGCGAAATATAAGCATGAAGAATATCTTCCAATTGAATATGGAACTCATTCAAATCATTGTGAATGTCCACTTTCACTATCAAGAGCAGAGTTTGTCAAAAGAATCTCTAGCCTATCTTTTACCTTCCAATGTTTCTTCAACAGTAGGAATGATATTCACAATTTCGTTTTTTTCAAGATAAGACTTGAATACAATAACAAACACAAGCTGCTGTGTAGTTCTAGACCATAAGTCGTTGTATTTATAAAACTCATTTTCAGGAATAAGCTTTGCAAGTGCTTTCAGTGTTTCTCGTACTTCAGTAAAATCAATAGTAGGCACTGAGAAAACTAAGTATACGAGTGTGTGTGTGTGTGTGTGTGGCTTTTCTTTTTTCTTTTTTTTACCTGGTCCTTTAGGGTCAGCATGAACTTGGTTCAAGGTCGCGTTTAATTTTCTACAAGCTCTATCAAGTTCCTTGACAGTAGAACGAATTTCCTAAAATTATGATTTATACTTGTTATTTCTCTCAACGCTTTATTTACGTCTTTTCTATTGGCTTCTTGTTCTAAAGACTGTTGGAGATTACTAAAAAAGTTGAGATCCATTTCTAGTACGTATATAAGAGAATAACGCGAAAATGATTTACGAAAAGGACGCGCGAACTTCCTGGACCAGACAGACTCCGCTTGTTTTTTGAAAATTAGGCGTGATCTTCAAATTTAAAAAAGACATAGCCATGCGTTTTTTTCTGTTATTCCGAATTTCTAGCTACAGTCTAGTCATTCCTTATTTGAATGAAAAACAACGCCCTTCTCCCAAGTACTAAAAGTAATATGCTTGATAAAATCATGCAAAACTTTGCCGAGTTTCTATCAAAAAGCATGCTTAAACGGTTCTCTTTTACCCGAACTTAAATGATCCATTTGGCGTTTAAACTCCACTACTGCTTTTGTTTTTTTTCTCAAGAAAGAATGATGCTTGTCGTAAGAAAGGACTGGCATTATCCATATTTTACAAAAATAGACCGTAAAACAACATGTACAGCTAGACATAAAAAGCAAGTCGATCAGGTCAAAGCTCTGCATTGGATCCGAGCATCAGCATGAAAAGGGCGTGTCTATATCGGCGATTGAAATAGGTCTTCAACAATGTGCACTTCCATACGTTTATACAGATGTGTATTCATATGACGACATATTGAACTGTACATAAACCAGTAAAGACAATGGCACTTTATTCAAGAAAAAAAGGAGAGATGAATTTATGTGTATAATGAGCATTTGAACGCTTTGCTGGATACAGACAGCATATGCCGTTTAAACAATAAATAAATGAGTATGTACAATAGAATAAGAAACGACTTACCATGTATGACAACGCTAATCTTTTTTTTTTTGTTCGGGGGAAAACAAGACATGCTTACCTATATAAAGATGCTTGATTTCTATCCTCCATTGTTCTTAACTTTTTCTTCCTCATGTCGATTAGAAGCGATACAGGTTATCATATGATTCATTCTTATCCTTTTATTGAGGATGGACCAAAAAACAATAAGCACTACGCAACCAGTTGTACAAGACAAGTGCCACCAGCTGTCATGCACATCAATCCAACTTGGAAACCTGTCAAACTAGATGAGAAACCACCATTTTCGTATGCTACCATCATAGCGCATGCCATTCTATCAAGTCAAGAACGAAGGCTAACATTAAGTGAAATCTACCAATGGATTTCTGAGAATTATCCTTGTTATTCCGACAAAGATCATCGTTGGCAGGTAAGCATAGTTCTGTTGAGGATTTGGTTTTGCCAACACATGTTAATAGAACTCCATTCGCCATAATCTATCGCTGCAGAAAGCCTTTGTGAAAATAGAGCGCGATTCGAGTCTACCATCGTCTCGAAAAGGATGTTTCTGGACCATTTTACCTGATTATGAGCAACAATACATCGACAACCTACTTAAAGGAGGAACAAGAATACAAAAGAAAACCAGTTCCTATCAATCCAAACGATATGTGCATCATAACCATCTGTTTACCATCTTTCGAATGAGTCCTACTACCCCAACTGCCAAGAGAAAACCGAGCAAAAAGCACACTAGTTTACGATACGACGATTCTGACTGTGACAGCGGTATTGATCTAGACTGTCCCTCAAGTACCAAGAGAGAAGAACCCAATCATTTGGTATACCCAAATAACAGCAGGACTGTGTTTGATGATATCCCTTCTTCCATTATTTTGGATAAAGATACTATCTTTGGAGACCCGTTTTATTTGCCCACAACGTCACAGTGGTACGATGAAGCCTGTTTTTATAATTATGCAACAACCACATCATTTTATTATTAAATAAAGATTTTAAACAACACTACTCTCGTCAAGATCTACTGAAACATAGGAATAATCATGTTGAGAAGAATACCAGTCAAGTTGTTCCAAGAAGTGCTGTTTGTGGTACTTGGTATAAAGTTTAACGATGTCATGGACAATCAGATTAAATTCAGCAGGGGATATTTGAAGTTGATAGTCCAAGAGTTGTAATAACTGTTTTTCCATCAAGTTGATTTCAGAAGCAGAAAACAATTGAAGTGCATAAAAGACCCAGTATTTGTTCTTGATAGCTGAATCATGAATATATTTACAACTGATGATCAATGTCGCTAAAAAGATACGGTGGTGTGTACATTCCATACCTAGATTGTGTCAGAATAATTCAATCTTTTTTCTATTATTATTTTACCCTTGGAAGTACGTGACAGTTTTAGCTTGAGTCGACGAGCATAAGCTAATGATGCCAAGAGTGTGCCCGTGCTTATACGAGATTTCTTGACAACGGCTTCAATATAAGACCGTAAAGACATGGGAGCATCAGGCGGGGTTGGAGGGTAATCCACATTCGCCTTATAGGATTTTCTCTCGGGTGAAGCGGATAAGGGAGGTGAGGGGAGTCCAGAATGATCAAAATTAGATCTACTCTTGTCATTAAAATGTGTGTCTTTTTTCTTTTTATTAGAAAAATAATTTTCCACTATAGCATCTGTGATGTTTCTATGATGTCTTGAGGAAGGGCAATGTATAATGGCTTCATATTCACTTGTTACGAAATCTATATCATAGGTAAGATGTCTTTCGATTTTCTCAATTAGTTTACCTAGAACATAACTAGTAACCACCTCATTCGAGATTTGATCAAATAACACAAAGTCATCATTAGATAAAGAGATCATAATCAAATAAAAGAGTGAAAGAAAGAAAGAAAGAGAAAAAAAAAGACTAAAGCTTATTTTTTTTTTAGTGTATGCGCTTGTATATATATGTGTATGTGTGTGGGAGGGTCTAAGTTTTCTGGTTTGTTGTATTTTACATTATGTGGATCTTACTCTTAAATTAAGGCTCCGTTAGTTTCTTAAACTTGAATACAACATGTCTCTGCATGACGTTTTTCAACAGAATTATATGCGAATTCATCTATTTTTAATTAAAACGATAAAGGGTCGAGAACATAATTGTATATATTTTTTTTATTGTTTCAGTTGATACAAAAACAAAAAAAAACCGGGATGCTCGAGCGAAGATAACACAGCATTTGTCAAGTTGCAAAAAGGTAATTGCCGATATTTGTTATTTGTGGTGTTTCAAGTTATTTCATGACAGGTCTACCTTGTGGACAACGATTTGCATAATGACCTTGTTGTCCACATTTATAACAAGTCACATCTTCCAATTTTCTAAATGTGCCTGGTTGATGATGATGATGAGGTGCTTGTTGATAAGGCTGTCTAAAGTTCTTTTGTTCTTCATGGGGTTGGGTATTGCTGTTTGATGATGATGATGGTGGTGGCGCTATATCGTCATTTTGTATATTGTACATCAAAGGAAGTTCATATTTGGGATGACCATTAGGGCAATTCAGACCATCTGGGCAGAAGCCTGTCAAATAGTTTTGACATACAAGTTTCCTGACATGTTTGTTTCTACAATTAGGCCCGTGCTTACAGAAGCCACGGGCATACCATGGACATTCTTTTTGCTTGCTTTCTGGGTCAATATGAAGGTACATACACTCTTCACCATTACAACATTCACCGTACTTGGAATAAAACCAACATTCTGGCATTTTTTTCATATTGAACACATGAAGAAACTCACAACTATCCCCTTTTTTACATAGACCACGCAACCAGTGCTTACATACAACGGATTTGTCTCTATCAAATCCCTTGTGTCTAAATTGACAGTTGGATCCTTTTGTACAGCTTCCTTTTAAATAGTATTTACAGATAGGTTCATCTAAACATCCGTAGTTAGTGCATGTAAATATATATATATATATATATATAATGTCTATTGATTACCTTCTCTTCGTGTCTGACTATCTAATTTTAAACCCAGTTCATTCTTAATAAACTCTTCAAAGTCAAATGTAATTGTAGTATGGTCTGCATTAAATATAGGTGTAAGAAGCATAATAACAGAGAGAAGAAAGAAGAAAAAGAAGAAAAAAATATTAAAAAATCTCTTGATTTGGAAGTGAACGTCATCGTGACTGTGCCTTAACTTTCCAAATGATGGCAGAGTTACACGCACATCAACATTGTAAATTCAAATCGCATACCTTGGGTAGAACAGACGATAGGCCTTGATTTTCGATTTTTTCTTTTTTCTTCTTCTACTTCTTATATTCAATTACAAATATTTTTTGTCTTCTCTCTTTTTTTGAAAAAATATCTCTTTTTAAATGCCTACAAGAACAAACAAACAACTTAATGTGGCAGTAATTGGATCAGGACTTGCTGGTCTTTCAGCTGCTTATTTACTAAGTCAAAATAATGACGTTGAGGTCCATTTGTTTGAAAAGAATACTTCACTCGGTATGGATGCTGCTTCTATCTCTATTGGCCCTGAAAAAGACATTCGAATTGACGTAAGTTATCTTTCTTGTTAATTTGTCTGTTAATCCAAAAAAAGGTCCCCATGCGATCCTTTATGTCTGGTAAATGAAAAAAAAAAAATTTTTTTTCTATATATTCATTTCAACAGGTTACTATTCTCATCTATCAAGATTATATGAACATTTAAAGATACCTGCAAAAAAAGCCAAGTTTAGTTTTGGTTGGTATCGAATTATGCAATCTAAAAATAAGGTGAAGTCGATTCCAGCCAGTGAAGTGGCCACTTATACAGACAATAATTCATATCTTGTCTACAGTGGTTCTCGTACTGTAGGTCGCCTTGACATGGTCACTTCTTCCGATGGTTTACTAGGGGATATTGGCAGGTTTATTTGGAGATCATTGATTGTGGCCTATTCGTATGTGTGGATCATGCTTATTTCACTATGGATGCATCACAAAGGTCATTTAAAAGATCATGATCATCCTATTTGCAATATGACCTTGGGCCATTTCTTCAAAAAGTATTATGTACATCCCTATTTTGCTCATGAGATATTTGTGCCTTTGTTTGCTGCCGTTTGTACAAACTCATATCAATCCATGTTAAACTATCCTGCTTCTGACATTTTAGGTAACTAGTTGAGGAGTAAACAGGTTATGCTGATCCATATACTTGTTTAGAATACATGGCCATGGGCTTATTTCAAGAATCGTATATCGCTGGCTGTGGTGTACAACAAGTAGTGAAAACCATGTCTGCTCCTTTAAAAAATGTTCATCTTGAAACACAAATTACATCTATTCGTCCTAATCCCAACCCCAAATATCGCTTTCAACTAGTGGATGAGCATGGCACAGAATACAATGTGGATCATATCATCTTCGCTACACAGGGAAATCAGGCCATGTCCATGTTGGAAGGTTACTCAGACGCGATTCAACAAACAGAATCTACATTTGAAAACTACAAGCTAATTCAAATAGTTCAAGCACAGATAGACGTTCTCAAGACATTTGAATACGATACTGCCCTTGTCATTAATCATACAGACACGCGTCTTTTACCAGCCAACCCAAATAACTGGAAAGCACTCAATCTAGCCATGGTCGATAAGAGTGTGGATCCTGGTCAGAGTGAACTTATTGTCCCTTATCCTCACGATACAACCATGACCACGCATATTTTAAATATGACACACAATGCCATTAATACCAAGTCAAATGATGCCCTTTATATGCAGACTACCAATCCATGCATCTCTGTGGATCCTAAAAAAGTACTTTCAGTGGCCTGGTTTGAACGGGCTACAGTCACACTCGAATCCAAGAAAGCATTGAGCCAATTATTCCAACTTCAAAAGGAAACAAATGAATTGATATTGGGTCCTTGTCAGGGTAAGAATGGTATCTGGTTTGTAGGTTCCTATTGCTGGAAAGGCATTCCTTTATTGGAGGGTTGTGTTGCAAGTGCTGAACATGTTGTAGCCAAAGGTATTGCAGAAGCTGAACATATTCAGATTCCTGTACCTTGGTGATTTGTTCTATTTCTTTCTAAATAAAATATCATCTGAGTTAACAGTAATCTGCTCAACATGTTACACAATAACAAATGCATTGTTCCTGGATAAAAGCCATTTTCTTTATAACTCTATTCAAAATTGTCAAGAACGCTGACCTATCTCTTTTCAGTTCCGCTCAGTCAAAAGGAGGAGGAGGAGCGAGACTCATTAATTTTTTTTTTGTCTAAAAACAAGTGATGAAAGTTCAGCTTGTATTTATCATTGTTGCATGTATTGCACTTTGTCTTGCTTCAAGTGGTGACCGTCAGCCAGAATATATAGCTTGCGTAGAACACTGTACAGCAACCACTGCCATTACACAACTCCCACTCTATTTGCGTCTATTGCGATGGACACCAAGACAAGATTGCAGTTACCATTGTATGCAGAAAATAACCTACCGAGCTATGGCAGAAGGCAGCCACATTCATCAGTATCACGGTAAATGGCCTTTTCAACGCGTGTTTGGTATTCAAGAACCAGCTTCTGTTATTTTCTCTATCCTTAATGGATGGATGCATTTGCGCTACTTTAAAAGAATTAAACAACAAGTCAGTGACGCGTATTTTCTGAAGCCATTCTATTTAGGTATCGCTGTCGTCGGCATGAATGCATGGCTCTGGAGCACTGTGTTTCATACACGCGATACATCCATCACAGAAAAATTAGATTACTTTAGTGCTGGTCTCTATATCTTGGTTGGCTTTTGTGTGGCCAATCTTCGTATCTTTTATTTGCGTCAAACAAAGGCATGGGTACTGTCTGGCGTATGCCTCATGGCCTATTTAGCCCACATCACCTATTTATCTAGTCTAGACCGATTTGATTATGGATACAACATGTTGGCTTGTATCATTGTTGGTTCATTGCAAACGCACCTTTGGTTGTTTTGGTCTGTTGCTCAATACACACCCTGGGGCAAACGTGAAAGAAGACCGTTTGCTTGGATGGCAGGTGTCTCTGTCATTCTGGTGAGTTGTGCTATGGCATTAGAAGTATTTGATTTCCCTCCTTATCAACAAGTCTTGGATGCTCATTCACTATGGCATGCTGCTACCATTCCTCTGGCTCCCTTGTTTTATCGGTTCTTATTGCGTGATACAGAACTAGAGACATCCGTGTCCAAATTTGCCAAGGAAAAGAGATCTTCATGAACCAATGTGTTACCTCGTAATAAATTTTTGTTCAATATGACGTATCGTTTTTTAAGGCACAATGTGGTCCTAATAAGGCAACCTGCTATTTAATTGATGCAGAAGTCAGAATCTTCTTCTACCCTTGTTTTTATTCATGTGAGCATAAATGACAGCTTATTTCTAGGAAGACCATAATAAAATAGGCATTTGCATTCGACAGTATCGAACTCAAAGAAACCAAAAAAACAAAATAAAAAACAATCCCCGAAGGCACTAAAAAAAACTCATCAATGTAACAGAGCCTGTTATCAAAGTATAGCGCCAAATAAAAATTACTGTTTGTTCATATTCTCTCTGTCTCTCTCTCTCTTTTTCTTTTCTCTCCAAATCAAGTTAATCCTATGCGGATTGACTTGGTATCTATTTAAGCTCATTGTGATCCCCCTCCAACTCCCTTTTTTTTTCTCTCTCTCTCTCTTTCTTTTTCTATTTCTTTGTAAATGCACGAAACAAAAATTGAACAAGTCAATCATGATGAACCATTAGAATCACATGACCAACAAGCAAGTACACCCGATACTATAGTGGAAAGACCACCTCATCCTAGGTCAGCACCTTCTTCCTATTCTGTTGCTAGTACAGATGATGAAGAATTGCCTGATCCTTTATTGCTAGAAGAAGGCATTCCTTCTACAGTGCCCTGGAAGCACTTGCTGGTCCAGCACTTATTCTGCCCACAACAACAGACATTGATGGCCGCACACTGCATGAAGAATTTGACTGGGATGCCAAAGACGAAGACGAAGACCTAGACAAAAAAGAAGACGATGACAACGATAGCAAGAAAAAGAAACGTGGAGCATTAGAAAAAAGTAGTGTTATTATTTGCTTTAATGAAAACTCTTCTTATATTGCCTGGAGTTGTATTGTTTTGTTTGCATTGATCTTTATTGCTATTGACATTGCCATCTTTGTGGCTTATAATAAGCGTGAGCAAATCACAATGACTTCTTATGGTCTTCAGCTCTGGTTTACTTGGATTGCATTCATGTGGTGTATTGGTTTTATGTCACAGATCTTGGTGGAATTGATTCCCTGGGCCATCAAGAAAAGTATGGGCTATTTGCGACCTCAATCGACAGAAGTACTTCGTATGCGATTATCGGTAAGTGTGTAAACATTCTGTATTACAATAGCTCATTCGAATGGGGCATGATAGTATTATATGGCCTTGCGTATCTATATCAAACTGATTCTCATCTCCGCCTGGGCATGGGGGTCATGGGCATTCATTCAGGACCATGTACAACTGCCATTGATCAGTTCTTCTCCCGATGCGGGAGACCAATATGCTTCTAAACCTCAATATACGAGTGTGTTTTATAGTATATGGGAATGTTGTTTCTTTGCCACACTCTTTCTTTTTGTAGAAAAGTTTATTTTACAATTAATAGGTAAGAAACAATAATCCTACTGTGACACTTAAAAACCTTAATTTTATTTTAGTGACCTCTTTTCACAAGTGAGTGAATAACTCCCATAACAAAGAGAGAGAGAGACTAACAAGTAGAATAGGAAAGCCTACGGTGATAGAATTAAAGAAAATGACAAAGCACTCAGAATACTTGACCGACTTAAGAAGATGAAGAGAAAAAATCCTCAAGAATTCCTATTGAAACGTATTCGTCGTAAGCCCAAGACAAACTCAGGTACAAACACAACAGTCCCGAGTCGATCGCATTCCATGGACGAAAACATACCTCAACAAGGCAAATCCATCATGACAGGCAACCAACAATATAATGATGGTAAATCCAATGTCAAATTCCCTTCTCAGAACATGGACACCTTGATTGCCATTCCTCCCCTTGAAGACCGTGTTAACAAGTCAGATGATGAGAAACAAGACTTTCAGCAGATACAAGAACCAGCACCTTCCCATGAAGAGAACAAACGAAAAAGCTTCTTTAACAAGCTTCCTAAAATCAAAAGAACTAACACACATAGTGCTGAAGCTTTTGTAGATGCGCCTCCTCCCCTTGTCAGGGACAATACATGGTTTTCCAGGAACAGTCAAGACGAAAAAGGGTTTTTTAGTGCTACACGTGATTTTGGTCTGAGTACAACCGCTATCCCCGTCAAGCTCTTCAAGGGCGGATACAATAAATTCGTTTCACAAAAGAATTATGGTAAACAAACGGGCCAGCCTTCTCAACAAGCAAAATATCTTGCCAAAAAAATCTACAGCAATGTGCTGGGCCCAGACAGTAACCGAGACAAAGTGATCGAATCGGATTTCTATCCCTTTTTCAGAACGACAAAAGAAGCTGCTTATGCTTTTAGTCTGTTCGATGCCGATGGTAATGGCGATATCACCAAGCGTGAACTTCGATCTGGCTGTGTTCGAATCTATCGTGAACGCAAGAATCTAACAAGATCTATGCGTGATTTATCTCAGGCCACCGGCAAATTGGACATTATCTTGATGATTGTGTTTGTAGTTATCTGGGTCATCATTGTCTGCGCTGCGTTTGGTGTCAATGTAGGTACCGATCTCATGCCTCTCTGGAGTGCCTTTGTAGCTGCTAGTTTTGTTTTTGGTACTTCTGCTAAAGATGCTTTTGAAGCTATTATCTTTGTGTTTGTTACGGTAAGATGAAAAAAAAAAATTATTTGTATTACATTCTAAATTATGTTTAGCACCCTTTTGATGCTGGAGACCGAGTCTTGATTCAAGGTGAAAATTGGGTAGTTCAAAATGTCGGTTTGTTAGTCACGACTTTTCTGTAAGTAACACATTGTCAAATTCTTCTTGAATGACTAATTTTTTTTATAGTAAATGGGATGGTTCTGGTAAGCTTTTATGTCATTCAATTCAATGAGGTATTAACTTTCTTCAGTTGTCTATGCAAAAAATTCTGTCCTTACATCTCAATACATTATTAATGTGAGGAGATCAGGAAGAACAGGCGAAACAGTTGGTAATGGCATATTTTGATCATTCTATATTGTTTTGTGGTTTTAACAACAAATATATAGAGCTTCAAATAAGCTTCTCGACGCCTTCGTGGAAGATCCGAAAGATTACAGAACATATGCAAAAATGGTGCAATGAATACCCCAAACTCTATACTCCCAATTCAGCCTCTACCAATGTCACAGGCTTCCAAAACCAAAACAAGATCACACTCTCATTTTACTTTGAACATACACAAAACTGGCAAGATCCTGGAGGTCGTTGGTTGCGTCACAACAATTTCATGTGGGAACTCAAAGAAGAATGCGAGCGTCTTGAGATTAATTATACGTTACCCCCTCAGCCATTTGTTGCTGAATCTAAACCGAATGATGCTCCTCCTGAAGCTTATAATATGGGTTCAAAATCTGGTTATGGGCTTGAAGGTATGCAGCAAAGAAGACCCTTTCAAGACAATGACGATGAAATTAAGAATGTACCTATTGGTGCAGAATCAGGGGGTCATGCTGGTAATTCAGCCTCTGATAACTCGGGTGCTGCTGCAGGAGCTGCTTCTACCTTGATGTTTGCTGCTGATATGTAACCAAATAAACTTTATTGCTTATTTAGGACATGGCAACGAGTCAAATGATATCATTTGTGCGTTTTGAACCCAAGCTTTATGTATATCTCTCATTTTGACATATACAATAGAAAAAAATGTGCTACTCTATATGCTAGTTTCTTGTATGAAAGCTACAGCTTGATTTGTATACACTTCGCCATGTTTTACTTGAAAGGAAGTTTAAATCGGGGATTAAATTCTGTCATTTAAATTTGGATTTTTTTTTGTCCAAAAAACAAGTTTGCGATCAATTGACGACACAGAGCGCCTAAAAACGAAACGCTACCAAAATGAGCTACTAGTAAAAGCTATGAATATTTAAGAGGCGCCTCTAATAACGTAAAGAAAACGTTATATCTACTTACAAAATGTCGAGCTATGTTTTAGAAACCATTTTTACGTTTTTGGACCTTCACTGTCTATTTTTATACAGTTTTTACACTTTAAATTCAGACGATGTTAGTTTTTTCTAGACGAATCAAAATTAATCTTTAGACTTTTAGGTTACCTTTTTCGGACAAAACAAAAAAGGAAATTAGACAAGATGGAAATTAGTTTTCAGATGCAGTGAAAAATAAAATTAAAATAATGAACTCACCCTGTATCATGGATTGAAAGCAGCGATAACTACTTCGGATTTGTTGTTGTCTTTTTCTACTGTCGTTTTCAATAGAAAGGGGTCTTTGTCTTTTTTGTTGTTTTTTGGTGTTTGCTTGGCTGATCTTTGGAACAGGGACTTACTCGCCACCCTCAACTTTTGTGAGATTCTCTTTAGTTTACGTGACCACGGTGCAAGACCAATTTTTTTTCAAAGACGACGACCTTCCTTCAAGCATTGTTCATTTTTACACCTAGATGACACACAAATGTTATCAATAAACTAAGCATAATTAAAAGTTTCATACCTTAAAAGACCATGACGTTTTGCGGTTGGATATTTTTCCCTTCTAAAGGGCCTTGGATTCACGAGTTCTTTGAAAGTTTCTACATCATCTTTACATACTGGGCATATACTGGATGTTTTGAATTTATCAATCAGGTGTACCAGAAAACCTTCTATTTGAAGCATTCTTCTCATTCCAACTCCTCTAATCGGTTCATGGAACTTGACATTCCCCGCAGACCAGTTACCAATAACAATAACAGTATCGTTGCCAAAATGTTTTCTGATATTCTTACAAAGACGTTTGTCAGATTGCTGTCGATTAATGTAGCTTGATAGTTTTAGCTTTCGAAATGGTAACATATTAGTATTACGTTCTTCTAGAGGCAAGTCTTCATTCGAGTAGTATTCCTGAAGAACTTGAGTCATGGTAGATTTCTGTCTTATATATTCTGCGTATTGATCTTTTATGACTGTAGATGACTTTAAACGTGAAAGAATTGCTTCTGCATTGCTTACGGCCTCTGGTTTCAGTCTTTCACAAAGTTTCATGAACTTTCTTGTTTTTGTTTCAATGTTCCTTTGATTTCTCGTATTGCGGTAAATTCTTTTCTTTTCAACGGTACTGCTTTCGTGCATACAGAACAACCCATCACGCCGTCTGGGGTCAATCAAAACACAATTATTTTTGTAAGTTCTTTTTTGAAGTTTTTCTTGCGACAGACTTTCTATATAAGCAATGTCTTCTTCTATCTTCTTATCATTTCGCATGCCGCCTCCAGAACCTTTCTTCTTACTGTCATAGGTTTGCCTCAAAATGGATACAGCAACACCATCTGTGTAAATAGTACCTCTAAACTTCATTTGTTTATTGTCTCCTTGAGGCTTCATAGCTTTGGATTTCATGTTCAGTACGGTTCCCCAGATTACTTCTTTGTCTAAGTGGCTAATGACAGAGTTTCTTAAAATTTGAGTGTTTACGATATATGTGTCTATAGTCATATAACTAGGTATGAATGTTCTTCTCAGAGGAAAGCAGTTGAACGACTTATTGTAGAGAGATTCAGAACATCGCGTCAGATAATAAAATGCCTTCAGATGCTTCGATGGGTCCGCTTTACAATCATAATAAATAGAATTCTTCTTGACGTGAGTGTCAGAAGGGTAGCAATCAAAAAACTGTTGAAGGATGCCGACTTCATGTGGGTTAAAAAGACGCGATGGCAATTCAGTGATGTTCCTCAGAGAGACATTCATTTTTACTTTGGTACACTAGCTTGCTATGGTTTTGACCGCAGCAGAGATTTCGCTTTCTGTGCACTTTTTCACTTTTCAAAGCGCCAATTCTTTTCTGCTTCTTTAACAGTAGGCTCAAAAACATACGCAATCTGTTCCCGAAATGAAGAGCGACGCCATTCATGTATGCAATGTGGATTTTCGTAGCTTCATAGCTTCCTATTTGTTGCGGATATTTCAGTTTGATTGGAACATAAGAGGCGAGTTGGCAATAGTTATCTCGATGCTTATTGATAAGTTTCTTGTAACTTCTTGCTTTTTCTTTTCGTTTTGCTTTATACGGTTTATAGCTATCAAGTAATGAAATAAAGACTTCTCTGAAGAAATCAACATTGGCAAGGTCCTGTAAAGCAAAATCCATGTTGTTTTCAAGTTCTTGCGTAAAAATATACTTCAAAAGTGCATAAGTATGTGTTACGAGAGTATGTACTTTAAGTACAAGAGATTTGAGACTTGGAATGTATCTCGTTTTCCACTCAATGCCAGTAATAGAACTTTTAACTGTAGCTATCTTTAGAGAAGGTTCCATAAGGAAAAAAGAAGAAAGAGTAAAGCTGACAGCTTTTTAGCCTTTTCTTTAGAGTTTCAATCACTGATATATTATTTTTATTTAAGGCCCTTCAGATATTTGTCTATTTAATTGTGCGTATTTTATAATAATTGAAAATAACTCTGGCTTTTGTCCAGTACCTGAAGAATACAAACATGCTTTGCTCAGTAAAAAAAAAAAAAAAAAAAACAGCCTGAGTAACTAAAAGTATGATTTGACTTGTATCTAGATTTTTGTGTTCACCTCTCTGCTAATAATCATCCTGCATCGTTATTTAAAGGAGGAAGTAATTTTTAATTTCCTTTTCCATTTTGGCATATCAGTAACTTTTAAAAAAGGTTGGTCCATATACAAATCTCTGATTGGCTGTAATTTGTCTAATTTCCTTTCTTGTTTTATCCAAAAAAGGTAAGCTAAAAGTTTAAAGATTAATTATGATTCGTCTAGAAAAAACTAACATCGTCTGAATTTCAAGTGAAAATACTGTAGCACCTTTGCGGAACAAATTATTTTGATGAATTCTACAGTCTTAAAGGAGCATTTCATACTGAAGATATGTATACCTCAATACTGCTGTATCGTTCACAAATCAAGAATTTATGAAAATTAGGAAAACCCTTTTTTTTTATGGATGAAGATTTAGTTTTATTAAACTCATCAAAAAGGGAGATATAAGGAAAGAGAACAAGTGTAAGAACCAGTGACTTGGCTCAAAAAGACAGAATTTACAAACATTTGAAAGCGGATAATTTTCGGATAGCTTTGATGGCGTCGTCAAGTATAAATTGACTATCATAGAAGCGAGCATCAAAGTGGTGGCGCCAGTGCACATTCCAAATAGAGGAGAAGACAACAGAAAGAACTTCAAAGCAATTGAGGCGAAGATGTGTATCTAGTTGTTGGTAATGATCAATGTTCAAAGCTATTACATAGGAAAATCATAAAGGGAATCCTAAGGGCAAAATAACAAAAAATAAAGATCATATTTTGACCTGGATGAATTTTTTTTTTTATGCATGGAGGGATATCTCATTATTTGCCTGTACTCTATACCCAATGCTTGTTGTCAATGTCACATCATCCATAAGTGCTTGCCATTTCTGGCACTTGGTTGTGACCGTTTACTGATGCATTTAAGCTAAATGAAAAAAAAAATATATAGAAAAAAAAAATAGTTTTGACAGATAGAACATGAATATCAACCTATACCGAAGACGACGTTTACGTTCAACACAACCTATACTTACACGTGTTCAAATTCGTGATCTCGGTCGACTGATGGGCATCACCTCATTTCGACAGTCGGTTGAGTTTCTTATGGTAATAACCATACCAGCTCTATCCATATACTGATGATCTTTTAGGATCCTTACAATTATTTTAAATTAAGCAAGGTCAAAATGGCCGAAATCCATCAATACCTAATTGAAAAAAACATTACCAACAAGAAATGTCCCAATACGCATATAAGACAAGGCGATCATGCTCGTCTTTTGATCTCGATTCTGTTTCCTGGATATCCAATCATTCGGGCAAGTGAACATCATTATCGAGATTTAAGAGAAAAGTAAGTGATGCTGTCATGTATCTTGGCTGATGCTTCTTAGTCGTTCACCTCATGCCAAATCAACCGATCTTGCTTATGATCAATTGCCTACCACAGATAAATACGAACGCTTAGATGAACTGTTTCGTGCTGATGTAGATTGGTACAAGCATATTGATCAATCTAAATCCCATACTGTCGAGATTCCTTTAAAGAGACTGAATCGATCTGTGGTTGTGGAGGGACATGCTTCTTCTAATTTAAATGTCCGTCTGTTCTTGTATTTATGGACGTCTGAACGTATGGCATGGAATCCTGCTCCTGTTCAGATGTTTATTGATGATGTTGACTCTTTTAATGATAAAGAAAAGGTACCCTAATCATTCACGTTTTATACTAACTATTTCTACAAAAGGAATGCAACCAAGATGGATTCTATCATATTGATCTGACAGACAAATCCAGTGCAATTCAGAAAGCCAATCGAAGAAGTACGGGTACAGCATCCATTCGATTTGAATTCAAGGACCAGAAGCGTCCTTCTATTCGACATGTCTCTGTCTGTGCTGTGGTAGAAAAGACACCCGAAGAATTAGCCAGTCAATTGTATGTCCAGACAGCTGCACTTTACATTGGAAGAGCCATGGAAAGATCGAGCAAGAACTTACCATTGGCTCAACAAGTACAAGAGAAAGTGATTGAGCTATTAAATCCTTATGATACCAATGATAAACTGATTTTATCAAAGACAGAAGACTTGCTGATTGCTTGTGGAGAAACATTTCTGAATGATTGGAATGGTAATTTTATCCTTCATTTTCGTTTACTGAACCTTGTCTATAGATGCAGCAGGAGAAGAACAGGGCGAAGAAGAAGAAGAAGAAGTGTTTGCGGGGGGTGAAATTGTGTCTATGCTTGATCCTATCCTTCTCTCAAGGATTCAACATCCTACACGATGCATCTTTTGTACACATAATACATGTTTTGATGCTCAAGTATTTTTTGATCTTCAAGTGACTTCTATGCAATGGAAATGTCCTGTTTGTTCTGTCAAGATACGTGGCATACAGGCAAGTCAAATTAGTTGGTTAACTGTGACTCATAAGAGACAATACTAGGATCTCTATATTGATTATCAAACTAAAATAGCCTTAAAGCAGTATCCTAACGAGGAAAAGTTTTTGAAAGAAGGTCATACATATCTGCCTGTTTCTGGAGGCAACACAGACACAAAGACTAGAAAATACAGTGTGATATCCTTAGATGAAGACATAGAAGAACAAGCCAAAAAGAAGTTGAAATAATAATAATAAACAATCACATGTATTCAACAGGGACTACATTTTGATTGGGCCATGACATAAAAACTTTTTTTTTCTCTCTTTTTCTCTTTTTCTTTCTTTCTCCCCTCTTTCTCCTTAGTATCAGTATGAAGTGGTTCAAGTCAACCCATGATTTTAAATATGAATGGAACTTAGTATCAGCAGCACAATGGCAGAAATACCCTAATGAAAGCTGCCCTCATGTGGCTCATGTGGACGTATTAAACCGTACTGTGGATCCTGAAACGGGTATCTTGACTACTGAACGCTTAATTACTGTTGACCAGAATATACCCACTATTATCAAAAAGGTAGATGATCACAATACATACATATATATATACCAAGTTGATTAAATAGTGTTAGATTCTTGGGTCTGGTTCCAGGCAATACGTAAGAGAAACATCTGTGATTGATCCTAAAAAAAGACATTGACGATGCATTCAGTCAATTTAACATTATCCAATATCTTGAGTGTGGAAGAAACGATTGTCTATACAGAACACCCTGAAGATAACAACAAAACTCAATTTACACAACAAGCAGCCATTTCAGCAGGCAGCCTGGTGTCCACTTGGTCTAATGTACTTGAAGAGTTTTCCCTTAGAAGATTTCAACAAAATGCTGCTGTGGGTCGTGCTGGATTTAATAAAGTGTTGGAAAGATTTGTAGTGATGGCAGAAGCACAACAATCCAACAATTAAAAAGGCCTTCTATTTATTATATATTTATTTAGAGATAAAAACACTGTGTACAAAAATAAAAATAAAAAAGTGTTGCTGACACATCTTAAAAGATATTTTCACACTCATATTTTTTCTTTTTCTTTTTCTTTTAACTTATGAATTACTTTCACTTGTATCAAGATTTCTTATTAAAAAATGCATCTCAAATCACTAGTATCGAATCATCCCTTAGATCCCTGACTTATATTCTACCTGGTATATATATATATATAAATGATGAATTTGTATGATTTATCTCTATTGGATAGGTCGATTTCATGACGCTGAACTTGCTTCTCAAGCACGTAAATAGAAATACATTCATACGCGTACTATATACTCAACTTCATATCTAGTTTATGCTGCATTGAACTTGATAGGTCTTTATCATACTTCCATTCTAAAGAAAGCAGCTCAAGAAAGCAAGACAAAAGTAGAAGAGACTGCTTTTAATAAATATCTTGATTTTTGGTCAAGTCAATCCAGTCTCAACAATATTGCTTCGAAACTATTGTCTATCATTACTTATACACAAGTCCTTATGGAAATGGCAGTATTAAAGAAGTTGGGTAAAAGACAACAATGGCAGTTAATTACAGTATTAGAAGCACTCAAGTAAGGTTAAATATGTGTATGACATATATTGATGGTAGAGAATAGGGTTGTGTTGAAACTGACCTTGTTCCAAACCACTTCACATCGTATGACACTGTATCCACCTCATTTAGAGCGTGATGTAGATCCTGCTGCTCTTGCCACACTACCAAAGCAACATCAGCAACAACAGGAGGGTTGGGTTGGTAAAAGAACAGGCGTGGCTGTTCCTTCTTTGTCTAGTTCAATTGACCTGAACCGTGGTCTTTCTAACAAGAATGCACACACAGATGTCACTGACTATTTGATGTCAAAAGTATTAACACCAGAGAAATTGCGTAAACCAACACAAATGGTGCAAGTACAAAAGCATATCTCTCAACTAGGTGAACTACTCTATATTATACGACCCCTTCTTTATGGTAAGTGTTGGTCGTGTGAATGTATTCATGACGTTGTTAGTATTGTCCATGTTGCGTTTTGGTAAACGATCATGGAAGCCTTGGGTTCTGTCTCTTTTGATTGAATCCTTCTCTCAATGGGCTGTTCGAAAGGGATATGAAAACAAAGGCAGTAGAAACCAAATGTTGACATTAGAGCAACAAGAATTTAATCGTCGCTTAAAACTCATGTTGTTGAATATCATGCGTGGTGCTTTTTACCTTAAAATCACACGTCCTCGCTTAGAAAAGTTTTGTAACAAGACTGAATCTAAGCCTATCCTGTCTATGGTCTCAGGTAGGAAAGAGCCATTTAATCAAGTAGCTAAATATTCTATAGGTGTCTTGCGTGATTATCTACCTTTATGGGAGCAAATCTACTTTTATACTTCAGCCTCTTGATAATAAATACCTTTTTTTTTTTCTTATGTTATTCAAAACACAGATAACAGTACTTGCATTGGGTTTATGTGTTTTGCTGTATTGGTTCTTGAGTGCACCCAACACAACGCATGCGAATCAGTGTCTGGCAGGAAACAGTACACATGATCCACTTTACTCTTACATCAATATGAATCAAGACAAGTCTGTTCGAGGTGAAAAGGGACATGTGCTGATCTTGACACCATTTAAACAATCTGTTCAGTTTATTGATCGTTTCTTTGATAATGTCAACAAACTCACTTATCCTCATCATCTCATCTCTTTGGGTTTCCTTGTATCTGATTCCACAGATGGTACGATTGAAAAACTAAGAGAGCGATCCGACATTGAATCCAGAGCACCTGAATGGCGTCGATTCAACAGTATTGCCATCTTTCAAAAGGACTTTAAGTTTGAATTGGCTTCTAATGAAGACCGTCATGCATTTGAAGTCCAAGTTAAACGAAGAAACATCATGGCCAAAAGTAGAAATACCTTATTATCAGCCGCATTAAACGAAAAGCATGAATGGGTACTTTGGCTAGATGGTGATGTGACAGAGTACCCAGAGACCTTGTTAGAAGAATTGATTGGGTTAGATAAAGATGTGCTTGTGCCTAATTGTTATTGGCATTCGTATAACGAAGAAGGTGGATATGATAAGAACAACTGGCAAGAAACAGAAGAGAGTATTGAACTTCAAAAGACACTCCAGCCTGATCAAGTCCTTGTTGAAGGTAACTCTATATTAATTGAATCAATACATTTAGACTCTCTTATAGGTTATCCTGAATTGATTACGCATAGAAAACTCATGATTGATATGCGATTTGAAAATGACAATACAGACTTATTTTACACAGTTCCCTTGGATGCAGTGGGTGGTACATGTACACTAGTGCGTGCTAGAGTGCATCGTGATGGTGCTATTTTCCCTCCTTTTCCTTTTCAACATCAAGTAGAAACAGAAGGACTAGCCAAAATGGCTAAATCACTAGGTTATCAAGTATGGGGATTACCCAATTATTTAGTTTATCACTATATTTAATGAATTCAAGCAAGTTACACAATTCTATGCTTCACATGGATTTGTCATGTCATTTACACTATCGGGTATAAAAAAAAACTTTTTTTGATTATAAAGCAGTTTTCTTTTCTTTTAAACGATGAAATCATACACTGTTGAACAAGTAGCTGAACATAACACTGCCAAAGATATTTGGGTCATTGTCGATGGAAAAGTATTTGACCTGACGAACTTTATCAATGATCACCCTGGTGGTAAAAAGATCCTTTTGAAGAAAGCAGGCAAAGACGCCACCAAGGAATTCAACACATTTCACAATGATGCTATCATGCAGCGTGTGGGTCTTCCTATGCAAATTGGTGTGATTGAACAATCAAACAAATCCAAGTTATAAAAACTTTATTATCAATAAAATAAGTGTAAGCCAAAACAGGCAGGGTTGATTGAATACTGCACTTGATGGGTACAAGGCATAAATACCCGTTGGAATGTTGGAGTCTGAATAAACAGATTTGCCCATATTTTTGTTTTCTTGAACCATATGAATCGTGGGGTGATAGACAGGTTCCTCGTCTGTGTCATTAAAACGTAATAAATCTGTGCCTTTGATCTTATGTGTCGTGTTGGCGGCATTGTACTGAATAGGTTTATTGAACATGAAAGCATCGTCTGATCGAGGCACAATCATGAATTCTGGACTGTATTCATCAATAATGCCTATCTGAGAAGGTTGGCTCCAAAGACGTAATTGATAATTAGGAGATGGTTCTAAAAACACAGGCGGTGTCCAACTAAGATAGATCAGTAGGATACTACAGAAATTTGAGTGTACCTTTCTGTGCCTATATTAAAAGGTACATCTTTAAAGACAGACATAATCATTTTTTTACCCAGATACAAGTCGCAATTCTATCCAACATATCAACAACAAGATTTATCTATGTTGTAGTTTATACCATGTATATCCGGTTGGCTTTGGATACAAGGTAGTTGGAAATAGCCCATTTGATAATACTAACAAACGTCAAATCAATACTTTGAACATTTTTTTTTTTTACCTTTCTTCTCTAGCAACCCATCGTTCACTGATTTTAGGTCGAATAATCAACAATGCTTTCTCAATAGGCGCCATTTGATTAGGCACCTCTTCTTTCTCTTCTTTAGTCAAATTAGAACCTAACTTTTGCTCAATGGTTTCCCAGACTGTACCGAAAATCTTTTTCTTGTCATGTTCAGGTGTGCCTGTTGGAATTGTATCAAAAGCAATGAGGGGTGTAAATCCCACATCTCCATGCCCATCGAGAGAGTCGTCTGTATTATTAATGATAGCTAAAGCAAACGTAACAAAAGGTATTAGGAACGCAATCTTCATTTTTATAGATTGATTAAAAAGAAAAATAAAAGATTTTCTTTTTGCTTTTTATGTTCATTGTTTTGTTAGTCTTAAAATCAAAGGTATGCATTGCATATTTTGTTGTTAAGTTGTCATTTCTGCAGCATCTTTGTTTTATTTGGCATATCCGCTCTTGCTTTATTTTTTTTTCTTTTATACCTCTTTGACGAAATAAAAGTCCTTGTCGTTTATTCAATTCTTAGAAGAAACGCAATCCAAGAACTCTCTTGATTCATATAGAAAAGAATAGAAATAAGAATAAAGTTCAAGATAAAGAATGTCTTTTGGATACAAACTTTTGTCTAAGCATGAATTCACAACATGTTGTGTGCTTCCAAACTTTATTGATTCATAAAAGAAGGCATCGATCATGCTCTTTACTAATCAATACGTTTTATGCGGAGAAACGCCATAGCGATGCTAGATCTACTTTTAGATATTGAGATCAGGTACAATTGACCTTCGTTTGTGTTCAGGTTTGCATCAGTATGATCTTACTTATTTGTACAGGATGCCAATGCCTCAATTTATAAAGTTCAACCCATACTAATCAACTATCTTCATAAAATCATTAGGCGTGTCTATCTGTCAATTGTTATAGATACACAAGATATTTGAAGGTGATGTTATGACATCTCTATCTACGATTAAAAAGAGATGCAGATGTTACCAATCGATACTGTTTATCTATTTAATGTTGATCAGCAAGCCCTTTTAAGTTTTACTTTAAACTACAGCCTCAACGTACAAGTATGAAACGCTTGCATCTATCTGGCTCCTTGGCTAGAAACTTTCCTTGGTTTGAAAGCTAACGTGTTTCATGTTTTTCGAAACTATTGTACTACCTATTGAAATTCTGAATAAATTAGATGCATACATTCGTGCAACTATTTAAGGTAGAAAGTAGAATTATAGTCTATCTTTTCTCGGTTTATTGTTTAAACAAGATAGGCTGCAAATACATTTATTCTCGGTATGTGCATTTCGTTTGACCATATAACCAATAGCTAACAATGCCTTCATCATTAAGACAGCAACATTGAATGGAACTCGAAAAAAATAAACAAAAGCTCTTTTTATAAATAAAAAAAATATAAATTAAATAGTCCAAAAACACGAACGACTTGTTATGTTGATTGTGATATCATTTTCTTCTCAAAATTCTTCACATTGGTATCCGTTTGAATAGGGAACTTGTCTACAGGACCTGATGCAGTTTGTCATCTTGTATCTCTGTCTATTACCATGCAATTCACTTTTATTTCTGTTTTCTGTTTGGATTCGGGTCTTTAATTGTTAATAAATGAAATTGCAATTAGGCTGTTGATCCTGATTATCGTTCCATGACCAAACAGCTTTCTGTGTCTTGCTGACAGTTTAAGCATCAATTCAACAAAAAAAAAAGGAGGTGAATAAAAAAAAATGAGCTGCCTGCTCTATATATTATTGGTGATTGACAAGAGAACCAAAGCAAATTCTTATTTTTATCTGCTCAGATAAAAAAAAAAAAAAAAGTTTACCAGGTACACAGGCCATAATTCATAAAATAAAATCCTGGTCACTCTTGTAACATCATTCCGACTAACGTCAAAGTTTTATTGCACCTTCATCACTACATTTAATTACCTGTCCGCGGTTTTTTTTTTTTGAATGAGCTAAAGTCATGCAAGATTCACAAGATATAAAAATCAAGTCCTTTTTTTTCTTTTATTTACTCAACCATGGTCTACATTCGTTCACTCACATCTACTTTGGCTTTTTTTACACTTATTATATCTATTGTTTCAGCAGGCAAGACATGCACAGTAGCTACTGGTGGTGATGCTTCCACAGCTATCACCAACGCTTTTAAGAGCTGTGCCAATGGGGGCACTGTTGTCTTTACGAAAGGTGCTACATACAACATGAAGTCCTTGATCAGTATTACTGGTCTAAAGAACGTCCATGTCCAGTTCTACGGCAATGTGAACCTGCCCTCCTACAACACTAAATACAATGGTAAAAGCGCTTATCTTTTCATCAAGGGCGACAACGTCTATTGGGATGGTGGCAGCATTGGCAAATTCAATGGTGGCGGTCAAAAATGGTGGGATGCCAAGAATCACAAGGCTCCTACAGTCTTGAGAATCACTGCTACCAACTCTGTCTTTAGAAACTTTCAAATTTTGAGTGCTCCCCGTGCCCATGTTGGTGTGACAAGTTCTAGCAATCTTGTTCTTGAAAAGGTTTACATGCACAGTGTATCCTCCAGCAGCAACTTGGCCAAAAATACGCAAGTATCTATGGTTGATTGAATCGTTTCACTTATGTCTGTTTGTTCATAGGGATGCTCTTGATATTTCGAATACCCATAACTTTGTCTTTAGAGACTCCAACATCACACCTGGTGATGATTGTACTGCAATCAATGGAGGTAAAGTATACGTGTACCACCTATTGTCCAATCTCACCCCTTTTTATTTCTGTTCAGGCGTCAGCAATGTCACCATCTCTAATATTCAATGTACTAATGGACATGGTTTTAGTGTCGGTTCTCTCGGTAAGAACGGCGCCACTGATTATGTTAAAGGCGTCTATGTGACTGGAAGTACCTGCACAAACTGTCAAAATGGTCTTCGTATCAAAACATGGCCCGGAGGCAAAGGTTCTGTCGACAACATCAAATTTCATAATAACAAACTCGTAAATACTAAGAATCCTATTCTCATCACCACTCATTATTGCGACAACAACCAAATGCAATACTGTAATAACAATGACAACGAATCTTTATGGATCAAGGATATCACACTTAGTGCTATTACAGGGTAAAACTTTGGATGCTTATATATAAAAAAAAAATAGTATAGATTAAATAGCTTCAAAATAGTTCTGTCTCCAAGGATGGTAAACCTATCATTAGTATCAATTGCTCCAAGAATACTCCCTGTAAGAACTTTTCTCTTAGTGGTATCAATATCTCCAAAAATTCCAAGACAAAGTCCAACATTTGTAATTATCTTGATGGTTCTAGCAAAATTTCTTATTGCAAATAAAAAGTGCCTTGTTTCTTATACAAGCAAACTAAAAAAAAAAAAAAAAAAAAAAAAAAAAAAAAAAAAAAAAAAAAAAAAAAAAAAAAACGTATAATTTTATCAATGATGACCTAGTTTTTTAAGGCGTGTAATGACAAGTATTGCAAACTGAAGCCAAACCTCAAAAAATACGCAGCATGATGGCTGCGCTTATTTTTTTTTCTAAATCAAGAATGCCGTATGTATTAAAAACAATTTGATATAGCAATGGATATTACAAAATACATTACCCTTCTTTTATTTATCTCTTAACAAAAGGGCAAGCTTATTGCTCAACAAAAAAAAAAATGCGTAGCTTAGCAAAAGATATTCCTATCTACGATTTGCATGATTTCAACAAGAGCAAAGGTGCAGTCGATCTAAGAACTATAATCACCAATAAACAAATAAAGCAATTCTCAAAATGCTTAGACATTTTCTTGACCAATTACTTCAAGCCGGGCTGTGCAGATTTCTAGAAAGTACTAAAATGTTTATCCTTTGTTTTTTTTTAGGTTGATTCTGGTAGCCGATGCGTACTATTGTACAGCTGAAGACATTTGCTCGAATTTCCATGATGAACAATGAGCGTCATGCTTTAAATAAAGAAGCCTTGAATTATGATTATTGTCGCAGTTAGCACATTCAGGAGTCGCAGTTGCACAAGAATCTACGAAACAAAGATCTTGGTAATACAATTAAATTTTAGTTGGCGGCTAAAACATACTTTTCTTTTGATAGGTAGAGATTCAAATTCAAGGTATCAAACGACTCTCTTTTTTCTCTGAAAAATAAGAAAGCAAAACGAAAAGCCTAGTTCTGAAACAAAATAGACTGAATTAGAAGGCTTCATCATCATTTTTCTTTTTTTTACACGCCTATTGGAATCCTCTTGCCTTGAACTATTTTCCACTCAAATTGTCCAATGAACAATGAACGCTTTGTTCATTTGAATTACCGAAATCAATGGCTTTTTTTATTCTGATTAGTGTAACAGTCAAAGTTTATGTTAAATAAAGTGTTATGCTTCTATTAGGTGATTACCCAATAAATTCATGCATATCAATACAGCTTATTTGCACAATAATTACAGAGCTAAAAACGAAGTCTATCGCCATTCAAAATCTCTCTTTACACTTGTTTTTATTCTTCAAAATTCTCTTCTTTTTTTATTCGGTCTTTCAAAAGTTGTGAAAATTTTTCCATCTCCACTTTTTCGATGAAGGAAAAGTTCTATATAAACTGCTGTGCTTTCTTCCTTTCTCTTGTTCTTTCTCTCTCTCTTTTTTTTTTAAATTATTTATTTTTAATTACGCGTTCCTTTATTTATTTGTGAGCAGCTTCATTTATTGGAACATTAATTCTATTATTTGGATTATATCGCTCGAGAAAAAAAATCTATCAATAGAACATAAATATGTCAGAATTATCAACACCCAATGCGCACCTCCAACTCTCTGTCAATGATCTGCTTCATCCTACCGAAAAATCAGAGTCATTACTTGAAGCATTAACATCATCTCAACTTGAAGAAATAGAAAAAACCTTACTGAAAATCAAAGAAAAGAAGCAAACATTACCACAAAAGCTAGGTAAATTCATAAAAAAATTTTATAAATTGTCAGCGCAAGAAACTAAAAAAGAAAAAATCTGTCATTTTAATTCAGCTACTCCTATCCCTATTACACAGACCGCTAGTCCATCAACTTTGCATCATGATTGGACTCTTGTCGCAGCACAGATAGCCAAAGCTCTTGCCGATAGCATTACAGGTGTCAACACATCCACAGCAAATCTAAAGACAAATGCTAAGCCACCAACTCATACCGGAACAGTTTCCGATAAAACCTCGTCGTCTACAGCCAGCTCACCTCACACCAAACCTAGCAATGATACAAAGAATGTAGCCATCAGCTCTTCAAGTGGCTCTGTTATTCCTAATCATGAACCCCGTACAGAAGTTCGTGATGGTGTTGAATGGGTCAGCTTTGTTTATTCCCACCATCGAGTGCTACGAAGATATTCGATTCGTACTGATGTTGATAAAGTAGACCTTTGTATCTTGGGCGACCAATTCAAAAGTGACAACTGTGTAAGTCTTATTTCTTGGCAATATACAATTGAACCTTATTCTAACTCTTATTGAATCTTAGGTTTATCCTCGTGCCAATTTACCTCGAGAAGAATACAAAGGCAATCGCTGGGCCTACGAAACTGAGTGCAATACATTAGGCTGGAAACTTGCTTATCTCAACACCGAAGAAATTGCTGGCAAACGTGGTCTCATTCAACGTGCTGTCGACTCTTATCGTAACCGTTATCCTAGTATGCGTTCCCGCCGTGTTGCTCGTCAAGAAAAATTATTAAAGGGTACACTGCGCAAACGTAAGCAGCAACGTGACTCTGAAGAGCCTAATGACAACACTGATCGTCCTGTCAAGTCTGCCAAAACTGACAAAACAAATTCAAGCTCCGTTGCCGCGAATACAAACAATAAGCATCATGACTTACCTAAAACTGTCTCCATTGATGATGGCATTGGTGGTACCAAATACCGCATTCGCATTAATGTAGATTCAGTATCACTTGATTCTATTGACCAAGAATTTCGTAAGGCCAATTGTGTTTATCCTCGTGCCATGGAAATTAATACCATGTCTCCCTTTGCATCCCAGCGTCAACTTGAAGAAGCTAAATGCAACGAACTTGGTTGGAAGCTAGCCTGGTTGAACCCCAAGCAACTTGCTAACCGTAAAAGCTTGCTTCAACGTGTTCTTGATGTTTACCGAACCAAGTTCTTACCTGAACTAAAGATTCGCAAGAACTCTTTGCGCACACCTAGCGTTCCAACTGGCCTTTCTATAGATACAAGCGTATTGGGTGTCAAGGCTCCTTCTACACCTTTAACAGTAGATGCACTTGCTACGCCTAAGCGTGACAGTGTTGAGGATAATGAATCATTTTACAGTGCTTCAGCAAACCCCATTGATTTCCATGATTGCTTCTCTCCTGACTCCAACGATACAAACCATGATGCTTGTATTTCGCCCTCCACTTCTAACTCTCCTACCTTGTCCCCCAATGCCTCCAAGAAGGATTTGATGTTACCTGGTTCTGATGACCAGTTAATTTTGAGTGCATCGAAGCACCCTTTATCCACTGATGACGATGATGCCAAGCCTTGTCGTCGCAGTATCAGCAGCAGCAGCAGCAGTGCTGGATCTGACTCGGCTTCCTCACCTTATTTCAAGACAGAGCAAGTTGATGACGCCTTTTTCAAAGACTCTTCCATGTTTGAACTGTATGCTGAGCCTATTCAGCTTCCTTCTGCTGGTGTTGACTTTGAACAAAGCGAGTACACCAAGAATGAAGATGAACATTCTATAGATCCTCTTATGAGCCAGTTGTTCCATATATAACAACACTCCATCCTCTATCATTTTGTACATACAGTATATACCAAGTTACTTTCAAGCAATTCTTTAATATTTATTAGCATCACCACCCCTCTCCTCTTATGTAAATTTCAAATAAAACGCACGTATTGGACACTTTCCAATGTGCTTGTATCACCTTAAAAACGGTATAATAGTTTCTCCATTTTTCGTTCTCTCTCTCTCTCTTTTCTTTTAAGTATACTTACTATGAGTTTTGAACTTGATACTTTAAGTTATGCATTAATAACTTCTATTGTTGGAGCAGCAACACTCTTGTCTGTTCGCAACTCTAAGTCGCCAGATATTCACCCTTTACTGTTGAATACTCAATCTGATGTTTCGCGTCTTCGTCATCCAGAAGAAAGTGCTATTTATCGCTCTCGAATGTATCCTATGGGTACACCTTTATGCTCTACTTTTGATCGGGCTATTCGTACTCTTGCTGATTTTTATAAGGCTGGTGCTCTCGAAAAGAATATTTCTTGTGCATTCTTACAAGAAAATTCAGAATATGTAAGTCATGATTGCCCTTGACAAGAGTATTCTCTAACCCTTTTGATTGTCTATTTCTAGTCAACTTATGGTAATAAAAAGAGAAACTATAAAACCAATTCTTAATCGAATACAGGTGATATTAGCAAAAGAGTTCCTCATGTATATCAAGGTCTTCGCACTGTTGGTAGTTTGGAGCCTAAAAGTGGAAAAGAGCATTCATTTGTAGGCATTTATGCCAAGCACTCTCTATGTAAGTACACTTGGTTTCTTTTGTGTTGTCTAATCTTTTATTTAGATACTGTTCTTACAGAAATTGGTAACTTGAATTTGAAAATGTATGTATTTTTTTTTACTAACAATAGAATAAGCCTGTCATAGTCATGGTCTTGTTACTATCCCTATTTCTTCTTCAGCAACCTCTTCTCATGTGTCACACATTATTGAGAAGACCTCACTCAAATTGTTGGTTGTTGATTTAGACTGTGTTGATCGTGTCTTGACTCTTATCAAAGGCTCTTCCTTAAAGCAGCTTGTTGTATTGGGTGATGTATCGATTGAGAAGAAGAAACAAGCTCAAGAAGCTGGTGTTGAAATTCTTTCTTTTAAAGAAGTTGAAGACAGAGGAAAATCTGTCAAGCTTGAACCAGTTACTGTTGGCAAGTACCAAGTTCATTGATGGAGGTAGATTCTTATTCTAGATTTATAGTCGCCACGGATATCGCTAGTATTTACTTTAGCTCGGCGAATGGACAAGTAAGTCATTTAAAAGTGAAGGGTTAGTCAATTTAATCGTGGCTAGGAGTCAAAGCATGGTGCTGTTTTAACTCATAAGGTATGTTTGTCTAGATGATTGAATAATTGATTGATCTTGTCTTTTTGAATAGAATTTATTGTCGGTTATTTGTAAGTTTCATCATTACTTTCCATTATTGACATCATAAACAGCTTCCTATCTTTTGGTTGTGCCTCCTCAACAAAAAATTACACCAAATGATCGTTTGTATCTGAACTTGTCAATTGGTGAGTAGCATACAGATAGAGCATGCATAGATTGACATAGTATTAGATAATGTATTTGGTCATGTATTGTTTGCTGCAGTCAGTTTATTAGGAGGCTCCATTGCTTTTGAACAAATTTCTCATGATGATACAGCAACTGCCCTTTCATCCATTGCAAAAGCAAAGCCTACTATTTTAGCAAGGTGAGTTTTGCTAATCAGTTTTCTTACGGTATTCTTATTTTTTTTCTCGTGCAGTGATTCAGCCTTTTTATGTCAAGCCAAACATTTGATCAGTTCTCGTTATGGAAAGTCATTTTTGTTTAGACGTGGTTATGATATCAAGAAAAAATATCTCGAAGAAAGTCGTTTAGTAACTGATTGTAAATACGACATGCTGGTATTTAGAGATATTCGTCAAACCCTGTTTGGTGGAAACTTGAGATTGATTTATATTGACAATGGTAGCTGCGTTGGACAGCATCAAGGATCATATTAACATTATTTCTTAGATAACAATGATGATGCAGAATTAGCTACCTTTTTGAGAATTGCTTTGAGCACTCAAGTACTCCAAACATTCAACTTGACAGAGACCTCTTCATCTATCGCTGTTTCTATGTTCTACGACTATAATACAGATCCTCAAGCCAAGGGTGCACCACTGCCCTCGAATGAGATTAAGCTCATAGATGTCCCTGAATTTTCCCTGTCAGCTGAAGATAAACCTAATCCTCGAGGTGAAATTTGGGTGCGCGGAAACAATGTGTTCTCAGGCTACTATAATGACGAAACTGCTACTAGTGAGGTACTCGATGCTGATGGCTGGTTTATGACAGGATATTTTGGTGAATTCTTGCCTAATGGTACCTTGAAGGTCAATGGCAAAAAACAATAAAAAGAGAATATTTTATTTCAACTATAGAAATGGGCGTCGAAGGAGTGGATGTGCTTCGGTATTGAAAACAAATTTATCAAGTGATATGACATCTGGAGGACTAAAGAGTAGATAGAGATACTTGAAAGTTTCAGCAAAGAGGAACCTTATTTATCAATTAGCATGAGGTTGACTACAAATGACTTACGTTTCCATACTATCCACTTGATTAAATGAAGACCGAGTGTCTTCACTCAGTACATCTCTAATCGATGCATATGCTGTAGGTGTCTTGCAGTGATTTTCTATGGCCTGATAGATTTCCCACCCATACTCTTGGTATCTGGGGTCACCTGTTGTTCTATAGAGTATATATAAGCTTTCTACAGTTTCTGGTCGTAATAAATAATGCGTATCATAGTGTGAGACAGTGCCCTCAGGCAAGTCAATCACTTTGTCTAAGGTTCTATTTTTTGTATTCTGAGTATCTAGCCTAAAGCTAGGACGTTGAGCATGCAACCATTTTCTCCAACCATTGCTATCTCGTAATTCTTCTTTTGTCTTGCCATACGTTAATGGATTATATCCAACAACTTCATTGAATGACCAGACTTCGGGTGCTAATTTAGTTGTAGTTGATCGATACATATAAATACATGTGTCTAAAAGACCTTTTGCTATCATCATATCTTCCGGTCTGTCAAAAGTTTTGGATCCCATTGCAAGCATACCCGGTACAAAACAGGTCTACACAGTTGAATACCTATTTCTGAATGAAAAAGGTGACTTACAAGATGATCCATGCTATATCTTCTTCTCTTTGCCTGTGGTTCATAAGGTGGTAAAAACAAGAGCTTTTGGCCTGGAACTTGAGCCAGCATACGTGACTTCATATTGTCAATTGCTTCTTGATCTAATAAAATGATAAGCATGAAAGCATCTTTATCTCTTACGTACACAAATCGGCGTACAGAGATGTTCTTCCGTCTACAAAGATGTGCTCTTTCAAGAAATACTATAATTGCTATGTAAATTACAGGATTTTATGAATGCTACCAAGAGTAAAAAAACCTCATATGCACTATCTCCCATTGCACCAAAGCTGATTTGTGCTAAAACAGGTTCGGTTAGCACTCGTTCCTTGTACTCGTTCTGTATACAAACATCTTTTAAAATAACCATTTTGTATATCTATATTGTTGGGGAACAAGCCAGGTATTATCTTTCCATGTGTATCGTTAGTTGATCTGAGGAAATCAGTGATTGCTTGAGCCTAAGATATATCAAAATCAATCCAAAGTCTTGCAAAAGACTGCTATACTTTTTCTGCAAAAACAGGATTTTCTGTGTGTAGCGATAGAGCGAAAAATTCTAATTGAATTGACGCAGCATCCGCAAGAAATGTGGTGTTACTAGCTGAATGGCGTCTATAAATATGAATATCATTAGTGCGTGTCTGTACTACATATTTCGTATCTTATTTATTACCTTACTGGATTAAATCTATAATGAGGAATACCATATGGTGTATCAAATGCAGGTAATAGAGCAAACCCTATCTCCTCTGCTTTGTTTAAAAGTATGTGTCTTGCTGGGTGATTATAAAGTTCATAAGCGCTTATAAGCCCGCCCATGTACCGAATGATTGTCTCGAAAACACTAAGGGGTTCATTTACCATGACTTGAATCTTGTCAATCAAAGGCAACATTTCATGTACTTCCTCTTCTAGCCCCATAATAAGCATTGTGCTTAGGCTATCAATCATGGTTGCTCCTAGTCCACCAAAAGGGTTGTTTGGTTTGTTGGTTAAAGGCTTTAGTTCGTCTGCCCCTAGCGCATACTTTTTATAACCACTCCATCCGTGCATAAATGATTTCTTAACTGCCTCTTGTCTAGATATACGAATTTCCATTTCTTCATATGTCTCTGGATCAAAATCGAATTGCACCTTTGGTAGACTAGATTCAAAATTGTCGATTCCAAGAATAGGATTTGTTATCTCTATTGGGCGCTTTTCGTACAAAAAAGATAGATCAATGTTATCTGAACTTGGCTTCTTTATATCCGGACGCTGCTTATGATGAAAAGTATAAAATAATACAATGCAAAGAAGAGATAATAAGACGACGATACGCCAGCGGTATGGCAGTCGCGTTAACACTGTAATAATCATGAAAATTAAATAGAAAAGAAAGAGAAAAAGGGAAGAAGGCAGCCTAAAGTTTAGTTCCGTCTTTTTTAATTCACTTTATGGCTTATGGATGAGCCTTTCAGGTTCCGATGATTGCAAAGACTGTAATCAAAAGGATCAGAATTTACGAAAAACAAGTTTGTTATCACAAACAAAGAAAGGAGAAAATCTGGATAGTTTTGTCGCCAACAAGAACTGAAACTTATACAAATAAATAGATGGAAACATATTAGGAAGTTGAACTAAATGTCTCAATGCATTACAAAATCAATACACACCGACGGGGGTTTTCTAACCGTAAATGGTGAAACAAGCTAATTCTTTTTTTCTTCTTCTTTTTCTCTTTATTAACTAAATAACTCAATATGCGTTCATCCTTATTTTTGATTATTACTGCTGTACTAGCCGCCACTGTCTATGCTTCTCCTTTACCTCAAGACGATAGCAAGACTTTTTCACACCGAAGAATTTCGGCTAATCCAGATGACTTGCTTTCTCACCAAAACTTCAATGAATTTAATATTGACAAGCATTTTGTCCGTGGAAACAAAGAGGAAAGTGCTTTCATAAAGATTGAAGAAGGCAACGAAGGGTATGTCATATATACGTATTTAGAAAATGTTTAACATTGCTTCTGTAGATTGCTCAACGAAGCCTTTACAAAAGAGAACTAAACATATAGTGCTATAACAAATTCAATCTCTTGAATAAATTTTCTTGTACAGATGATGTATGATACGGAAAAACCAAATTAATGCGACTTTTTAAAAGTCATATTGAGGAATTACAAACATTATTATTCTTTACCGACTGTTTCTGTAGCGTAATTTTAGTCAATTGTCGCAAGTAACTTTTAGAGTCTAGAAAAGAAATAGCAGCAAGATAGTAGCTTAGTTACATCTTTACAAGAGTTATAAATATTAACAAATCTTCTGAAAGTATAATGAAGCGAATTTTGAAAATGCTAAGCTATTTTAAAGTTACAATTTATTGAAGTGGTATTTAAAACTGAATGTTGTATCAGGTTTTGTATGCATTTAGTTTCTCTTACAGCCAGAGCGAGAGACCAATTCAGCAGGACAAGTGACTTCCTTGAATTTCATGGTTGGGTTGTCGGCGTTCTTGAACCAGTTGAATCTGAACTTACAACCGGCCTGAAGAGCAGAAGGAAGTTGAGAACATTCTGAGGCAGAGCTGACACCACCGTATCTTTGACCCCAGCCATCAGAAGGAGCACCCCATTGGGATTGACAACCGTTGAAGATACCTACACCACCACCAGGCAATTGCAAGTCAAAGTGGTTGCTTCCGAGGTCACCACCAGTGTTGGTAACTTGAACAACCATCTTCTTGCCAGAGACAGCACCAGAAGTGAAGGTAAGTTCATAACAGCCACAACACCAGCCAGCTTCATTGGAACCAGCAATAGAAGCAGCGGCAAAACCGTAGGCGAGATCATCGTTAACAGCCCAAGGTTGGTTGTTGTTACACATGTAGCCTTCACCACCATTACAGCCACTTTGAGTGTTGCTGTCCAACAAACTGATACCGTTCTTACCACAAGTATCGACGGGAGCAGAGACGGAAGCCTTACCGGGCCATGAGCAAGAAGCCTTACAACAATCCCAGTAACGAGTAGTTGTACCATCACCAGAAGCACCGCTAGAGATGACCTTGTAGCCGCTGCCGGAAGAAGAGGTGGTGGTGGCTTCAGCCTTCTTGGTAGTGGTGGTTTCGGCCTTCTTAGTAGTGGTGGTTTCAGCCTTCTTGGTAGTGGTGGTTTCGGCCTTCTTGGTAGTGGTGGTTTCGGCCTTCTTAGTAGTGGTGGTTTCAGCCTTCTTGGTAGTGGTGGCTTCGGCCTTCTTGGTGGTGGTGGTCTCAGCCTTCTTGGTAGTGTTGCTGGAATCGTTACTCTTTTGAGCTAAATACAAACAATTGAGTTTAATGAGATCTAATGCAGATTTTTAAAGACTTACAGTTGGGGAGACATTGAGAGTAGAACTTGTTGTCAGGGTAAGTGTGGCAATAAGAGCCTTCTTCACAACAGGTAGGGCCCTTCCAGTTTTCACCTAAAGAATAATTAAAAGGTAAGTAAATTGTCGACTCCAGTAGGCTATTAGAAACAATAAAAACCTCCAATCTTACCACCACATTGATAATAGGCCTTGCTACATTCAGCAGCTTCGACGGTCTTGCTGAGAGCAAGAGCAACAGCAATGGAAGTGATAGCAACGGTGAACTTCATTTTTACAAGGACTGGTAATCAGAAAGGATTGTGAAGGGTTGAGTGATAATAATTTTTTTTGTCAATTGATCCTTGAGTATTTATACTGTTTTCCGTTGCTTGTAATGACATATAATTCTTGTGCAAGGCAGCAAGGTAAATGCTCCAATTTCATTTATTGATATCAATTTGTTGAAAAATCCTCGGACTAATGGAAGCATCACTGCAATTTCCAAGTTACACATATACTTTTTCTATACATTTGACAGACTAAAATCTGTGCTTGTGGAAGGATGTCATTATTTATATCGTGTAACATCATTCAGTAATTGCGAATGTGTAACCTTGATTTGAATGGTCGAAATTCAGGAGGTTCATAAATCAAAGTTGGTATAGACACAAAACTAGTCTTTTTTGTCAATGTTATGTATGTTGAGGTGTACAATTCCAGTTCCAATGCATACAAACCACATTTTTAAACAACATTTGCATTTTTCTAACAATCAACTAATAGAAAGAAATACTATTACCCAACATCACCTCATATTCGTGAACTTTAAAAAACTCGGTGTGAAAGCAATCATGCACTTGTGTGCAACATATAGTTTTAAGGCTCAATATAAGAGTTGGAGCTCAGTAATGCACAAAGTACTTGATTCGGAGCAAAATGTATACATTCAATTTGAATGGCTAAATGAAAGCAGATCCACATTGTATGATAGTACAGCAAAAATACCCCTGACATTATTGGGCAATTTCCCTTTTCATTTTGCTTTGGTTGATATGATATGATATGATATCGTCTCAGCCATGATATAATCCTTTTCTGATGCAATTCCTTCAATTCTACGCAAATGTTATCGTAATTAACTCCATTATAGTTGCCAATCTTCCAATATCGTACATAAAAAAGAAAATAGATGCCTAAAGCAGCTTTGTGATCCCAAAGGGATGAAATCCCGCCCCGCCATCACAACTGAATATTTCACCTTCAATTTATTTTCAATTTATATAAGGTAGTGCATCATTCCATTTTAAGCATTAAATTCACAGACCACTCTAGTATGTTTTTTTAAATAACAACTCTAGACAAGCTAAAGAAACAGGTTGCACAGTTCCTCAATGATTATACAATCAAACAAGTTGGTTCTAGCCTTGACTGAAACGATTTGTAAGTTGTCTTTATCAACCATAAAAGCGAAGAAGTATATGCTTGTGTTGTAAACACAGAATAAAGTTCCACGTTTTTTTTCTTTTTTTGCTAACATCCCTTGTCTCCTGAAAAGGATTATAATGACTGTCAAATGATTATTCCAAAACAATATGAATATATCTGAATAGTAGTTTTGGTTAAGTTGATCTAGACTTGCATGATTCTTTCAGACTAATTTTACAACGCCATATGAGTTGTTTTGCTTTGCATAAATTTGAAAACTTACAATTTTGTAACACTCAGAAAGGAACCCTTTTTTTTATAAGATGCCCAAGACCTGATTGAGAATCAATCAATAGAGACTGATAACCATTGCGTCTGTAATCAAGAAGATTGTTATAAATAGATACTGAATGTTCTTGTCAAATCTGTGAGGTCGTCAAATAAATCATAATGTAAACCTTACTTGGTTACATTAAAGAAAATTTCAACCTTATTAAGTTTGAAGGCTATATTCAGTAACAGCTTCTGTTAAACAACAATAGTGCTTGCAATTAATCTAATATATTGCCCGGCTTGCCTTTACTAATGTTAAATGTCCTCTGTCTTCATACAGTTTTCATGGTATAATTGATATAACACGAGGAATTTAGTACCACCATAGCAGTTCAAACAACGCGAATTGTAACGGCTATGATCTTCATTAGCACGAGAGTCATTGAACCTCCTTTTAGAATACTCGGTATTTTCAGTTCAAAATGTCCAAACATTCACTTTGATAGTTTATATCTAATATTGAAACAAAACCAAGACCAAAAAGTCATTATTGTCCTTGATACTATTGACCAAAAAGTGACTAGCAACCCATTCATTGAAAATAAATCTCTTTCACAAAGATAATGAACATGAAATTGCGGTTAATTAGGCAAGAAAGTGTTTGCCTCGAACTCGATGATGGTACATGTTATATTTTTATACAGAATTGCAAAAATAGTTGCTACATGTAGCTACATGATGTGGTGTGACTGATGATAATGAAGAAGCAAAAAGAGAAACGCTTAGCAAGTGGTTGCCCTGGAAATGCAAGATTAACAGTCTCAAGTAAAAGAGAAAGAAAGACCATACCTAAATTTCGAAAAGTCCAATTTAGCGAAACCTCGCTATGTGCTCATTAGCCATTGAATTTATTCCGAAAATGAGTAAGCCATTGAAACTAAAATCTATCCAGCGTAGGGACCTTTTTTTCCTTTCCACTTCTCCATTATTTTGCTTGCTGCCTGGCACGTTTGTGCACCGTTACCTAGCGAGGTAGAATCTTTTTAGACATAAGGTTTACATCTTTTAAAAATGGATAAAGGGTTCTCATTCAATTGAGCTGCCTGCTTAATACAAGTTCAAGCCATCAGTGGATTGACAAGTCGCAATATGTCAAAGTATTAATTCAACTGCTGCTCGCGCCATCTATATCAGACGAAGCAATTTCTTAATGTCAGTGATCGTAGTGTCTTGATTGTTGACCAGAGAAGAGGAAGGTACGAAGAGCTGTAATTGTATTCTTTCAACAAACATAGTGCCATATTCGAAGCATATAACTGGCACAATTAAATCAAACAATAAATAAATCAATTATAATCTCAACGTCCAAAATGTTATATGCTTTTGCAAATGTGCCTTGCATTTATACTTTTTGTATTGATAAGACGACTATCCATATTAATAAGGAAAGCAAGACACTTTTTTTTATTCATGATTTTTTTTTATTGCTTGCTTCTGTACTGATGACTTCAAATAAAGTAACCAGAAACAAGGAACCAGAAATCAAAGTCAAAACCTTACATCCGTCTCTTCTTTTTCAAAGTAGCGGACTTTGTATGCTTGTACGAATGCAGTCAAGCTTTTCATATTGCTCAAGGACATGTCTATGTCTTATAGGCTTATAGGTACTTTGAAGCTGTAAAATTCAGTCATTGTAAAAAAATTGTTGTAAGCTATCTTTACCATAAATGCTTTGGTTTTGCCACCATCTATTTGAAAGCATAGCACATTTTTGGCCTTGGATTTTGATAACATTTCTTTCCCATATAAGGCAAGCTTATACAGGGCAAAATGAATCAAATGCTGGTCTTGAATATTTGCCAGCTTCACCTCACCATAAGCATTAGTAAAAACATAGCAGTCTTTTAACAAACCAGAAAACCCTCAATTAAATCCCTCTTGAGCACTAACAAAAAAGCAGATGAGAACCAGAATTTTTATGGCTAACGAAACAAGTGCCTGATTGGGTAAAGAGGATGGATTTCGTTTGGTCAACCCGACTATTCTGTTGGCTAGTAAAAATATGTACATAAATGATAGTCTAGTAAAAGAAATGATGCTGATATATACAATTATGCTTGTTGGGTATCAAAAATAAGACAAAAAACTAATAAATCCAAGAAATTTGTATCCCTGTTTGGTTAAACAGCTCTTGCAGACTACTTTATCAGTCACTTACGTATTCTGATTGATAGATGAAGCATTTAAATAGTGTCATAATCTTTTCTGGATCCATATTATCTTCAATCGATATATGATTAGCCTGAATCTATCAGTACAAGCTTATCATATGACCTTTTTGTTTACGTTTTTCAGTTCATCGATTAGAGCTAGTTGCTCACTTTCCATATCTTCGCAATCTACAAGCAAGAGTCAGAAACCACATAACATAATAAAAAGACCCACCTAAACAAATCCTGAATGTGCCTGCAACCATTTGCAAGTAAGTCCAATAATTCTCTTTTTTCCATTCTTGATCCATTTGGAAGATATGGAAGCAAGTATCTTTTACTATGGATGCTTAGCTCTTATTTATCTTAGAAAGTAATTACGCATAGCTAGTGCCTTCATCTTTTGTCTCTCATTTTTTGTGATATAGATGTTCATTTCAACTGTCAAATTCCATAATTCAATACCTATGCATGTATAATCAACGTCTTGTTCTTGAAAAAATAAGGATTACCATGTTGAATTAGCTGCTTTAGCTGTAAAAAATAGTCAGTTGAATCATGATTATCAAGCAAAGAAGTGCTTTCCAGTTGTTTTGATCTATTCCATATAATCTCAATCAGGCCTTCATTCTTAGCAAGTGTTGCATGATTGATAAATGAAACAAGCTCTTTTACTAGTACTGATGTCTTTTTAGCATGCTTAATTGTACTACACACTCTACCTGACAGTTCTTTTGGCAACATAGTCTTTTGATAAAGAGAAAGAACGGTGCATATCAGGTCAATGCAGCACCTTCAAATATGGCAAAGCATATCGGACTTAGAACACCCCACCCAATAAGCCACACATGACAAGGGCTTTTAACGATTTCTTTCTCTTTTATTATAATATGGGCATCAAACTATCACCAGCAGGAAGAAGGTACGAGTATATATCAATCGTTATATCTAATGCAGCAATTCAAAAAATTTACTTAGGCTAGCAACAATTATCGTATCTGCACCTTTTGCAGTGGTTACTACATGGATTCTTTATAAAAGAGGTATTCATGAAGCATGTTTTTTTTGCATATTCATTTTTTGCATAGTTGTTCTTGGTGAGGAGCCTCGTGCATTTGATGGAATACCAGTTCGTCCTGTAGGTGTCAAGGAGCGTGACGAACGAGACAATAAGGTTGTGTAAAGCAGCCAATACCATTGTACAGGAATAAACAGATTTTCTCTTCAACAACAGTAGCATTTCTTTTTATCAGATTATTCTCACTAACAGACTTGATAGTACTCGTCATAAATGCATGAGCAACTGTTCCTATGTTGATCACAAATAATGACTATTTTGGTTAAACAAACGTACTTTCGTTCATCCCTGCTTCAACAGTTATACTAGTAACAGAAAAGCCAGATTTTGTAGCAGAACCTGCTTTGTATCGTAACGTGGCTACAATAACTGATTTTTGAGCGAAGATTATTGATTGAGATAGACTTTATTTCAGATGAAAAGAATGCTGTAATAATACGGGACACATCTACATTAAAAATATTTCGCAGTTAAAACGAAATAACAAAGTAATTGCAATAATAAGGACCACTGATTTTTCACAGTTTCCAATCAACATCATATTGTTCATTAGATAGAAAAAAAACAAGTCGGGAAGCATATTTTTTATTGATAACAGCGTGTGTGTATTTTGTTTGAGGCATTCTTTGCTACATCAATAAAGGCAAGACTTTAGAAATGCAAATACCGAAAGTGTATTTGACAGGGCACCAACTAAAATATATCTTACGCCTTCTAGTAGCATCTGTAATATAGATAAAATTCGATGTACCTGTAACAATGCAAACGCAATAACAAGCAGGAACAACGTTGCAAATGCCAATAAGACGTATATTTGGTTCGAATTTAAAGCAACAAGGTGGTGCATTATTGAACTAGAAGTTGGTTTTTCATTATGACTGTCATAATAATTGTTGTTTACTGTAATTGGTATCGTCACAGATATATTCAACGAGTTACTGTTTATTTGTTGAGAAGGGGTCTTTTTCCATAGTCTGTAAAAGTAGTTTTTTATTCTTATCACTGGCTTCGAGCTCAGATGTCTTTTGTTGTGTACAAGGCTTTTTTTATCAATGTCTTTTGAAGCAGGATAGGCTCCAGGGGTTGATACTTGTTGGCGCTTATGCAACATAGAAAAAGAAAAAGAGGGGCGTTATAGTTACATTGTTATGCGGTTACTTTATTGCGGGAAATGAAAAAGAAAACGGGTAAAAGGATTCCAATTCATTTTTTGAATCATATTTGTCTAAGAGCTTTTTTTTTTTTTGAAATAGTTGTAACTTGAAAAGTCGATTCTTTTATAGGTCTATAGCTATGGTGTAGTTAACAAGTAGTGTCCATTTCATTCAAACCAGCACCGCAAAATTCTTTTATTAAATTACAATCAACACTTTCCGACGTTCTTCAATCTATTAAAGAAGCTTAAACTAGAATATATGGTCTCTAGGAAGTTTATAAAGTACAAAACAGACACTCTTTAATAGCCTTCATGTTCAAAGAGCAAAAAAAAAAAAAAAAAAAAAAAAAAAAGGTGACACAAGCATGGCGAAGCCAAAATCATTCTTTTTGTTAAAGTATCTTTTCTATTTGAAATGTCACAAGAAATAATCTCTATTATTTACTGGACAACTTGGTTTGGTGAAAAGCAATGGGAAGGTTACAACATAGACAATTGTGGCTTACCTTACACTTGCCAGTTTACTCATGACAGAGATCGGGCAACAAACACATCTGTTTATGTGTTTCACGCATCTGACTTGACAAAGAAAGACATGCCTCCAGCAAGGCATGACCGTGCTTGGGTCTACCATAACGCAGAAGCGCCTAAAAACGACCAGGCGGATTTGATCAACCAAATGCAATACAGTATGACTTATCGCTTAGACTCTGATTTTCCTTGGGGATATCTCGAGCAGAAACAGCTGCTGCCGTCCATGACAACGCCCATAGTCGCTGCTAAACCAAAAAGAAGGGCTTCAGTAGCATGGATTGTCTCCAACTGCAAAGCGTCAAACTATCGACATCATTTTGTTCGAAAACTAGCACAGTACATCGATATTGATATTTATGGCCATTGCATGAACAACCAGCCATTTCCTGACGATACAAGCACTGTGGAACTCATGTCTCAGTATCACTTTTATCTGTCTATTGAAAATTCAAATTGCAAAGATTATGTGACAGAAAAACTAAGCAATGCGTATCTTGCAGGTACTGTGCCCATTGTGGATGGTCCAAGCGATTATGGACCTTTTATACCCAACACACACTCTGTCATCAGAATTGACGAATTTCCTAATCCTAAAGCACTGGCAGATCATTTGCATAAGGTATTGAATAACAAATCACTTTATGATCATTACTTGGATTATCGCAAGACAGGACTATCAGAAAGATTCAAGGCTACTCTTCAAGCCTTTGAACAAGGACGATGCAACCTATGCCAATTAGCACATCAAAGACATCAAGACATGGCAAACAATTATTATCCAGGCAAAAAGATATACCTTGATAATACATGCATTGCCCATAAACATTATCGACCCTATTATTCTGCTACTTGGAGAGCTTTTGTGCCTCTATTTCTGCTAACGTGCTTATTAGTCCTGTATTTTTTTAGAAAGAAACTGATGAGGTTTATCAATAAAAAGATATAGTGCTTCAATGCAAGTCAAGGTAGCCGTGTTTTTTTATTATTGTTGCACATTAAAATAAATAAACCTAGTCCCAGAATCGAACGCATGTAGGTTGCACATGAGATACACTTGAGATTTGTGTCAAATTACCTGTCTTTTGGTTGATTTTGAAGACAACAACGTTGTTAGTATCCTACAAAAAAGAAGAATAAGTCGATGTTTTCTTCTTTCATTTGGTTATTATTACCCTGTTTCCGACCAACAAGAAATTACCAGTGGGATCAAGAGTGAAATGACGAGGATGCTTACCACCTGTAGGTTGGTAACCTACCAGAGAGAGTTTGCCACTCCATTCATCAATTTCAAAGATCGTGATTGCATCATAGCCACGCATAGAGGCATACATGAACTTGCCATTAGGCGTAATATCAATTTCTGCGGCAGTGTTTGAACCTGTAAAATCCTTGGGAAGTGTATCAATTTGTTGAAGCATCTTAAATGTACCCTTTTGATAATCAAACGTAAGCAAGAAGACCTCGTTCGACAATTCACTAATAACATAAGCAAACTTATTGTTCTTAGGTGAGAACTTGAGGTGACGGGGACCAGTGCCGTTAGGGAACTTAAAGGTAGAATGGATAGCAAGGGAGCCAGGATTTTGATGATCAAAGTTATAAGTGACAAGCAAATCACAACCTAAATCATTGGAGAATGCATACTTCTGAGAAACAGGATCCAAGTCAATTGAATGAACATGGGGCTTTTCTTGACGGTCTGGAACACCAAATGTAGCATTGAAATATTTGCTATGAACGATTTGAGAGGAAATCTCACCTAAATTAGACTTTGAGGATCCAGAATTTTTAACAGGGAAGAGAGAAGCAGATCCACCATTATAGTTAGCAACAAACACATGGCTACCAGTAGCGTCGGTTGAAGCATAGCAAGGGCCTTGTGCGCCAGAAGATTGCTCATTAACCAATTTTAGTTTACCTGTCTTCTTGTCACGAGTATAAGCAGACACATAGCCAGATTTCTGACCTTTATACTCATCAACTTCGTTGACAGCATACATATTTCTTCCTGCCTTGTCTACAGTCAAGTAAGTTGGATTAACAGACTCAATAGCCAGGCCTTTAGATGTCAAAGCACCAGTATTAGTGTCAAAGGTGTATTGGTAAATGCCAATACTTTTTTCGTTTGTATTTCCAGATACATAGACGGGGAGTCTACTTGCGATTGACATCACGCAAAGTTGTGATAAAGAGAACAGAAGGATTGCTGCTTTGTATGGTACATGCATCGTTAGTTTGACAGGACAAGCAAAAGAAAAAGAAAAAAGAAAGAAGACGTTAACAAGTGTCGAAGTTAGTTCCCCAAGAATTTGAGCTTTTAATCTTTGTATGTTTAAAGCCAGTAAAACCAAATGAACTTTAATGTCGATAAAGTGAAGACCGCAAATGCAATGCATGCTTCCCGAGTTACACTTTGTTCCTGATTAACCTATCAATCTAAAATCACTTTGCTCCTGATGTTTCTTAGCCAAAAATTACAGTACAGTAGCAAATCCAAATCTCTTTCCTTTGAGAATTATTATTGATGTAATGCTTACTAACAATACAATTAGGATAGATTTACCAAAAGGCGAAGTCATGCATCACACTTTCGATCTTCGTTTCGTCAACATCAGGATTATTGTCGTACCTGAGTTTATCCTAATTGGTTTCATTCCAATATCCGATGTGCTACGTTGCTCCGAATATTTTGAGGTAACAATCAGTTGAACCTGCTCAAATTGAAACAACACATGTTTGAAATTCTGCCTAATCTTAAGCTTTTGATTAGCATAAACAGTTTCAGCATTTATCTTAATAGTTTATATACTGCAGTAAAGCTTACAAGCAAACTGTATCATGTATGGCTACATTCTGGAGAATATAATTGGACAAGAATAGAAAAAATCAGAGCCTGAAAGTCTTGGCAAATAATTCAAGTCTTTAAGGCGAAAGAAGAGTTGAATCAGACATAAGTTGCCTCAGAATTGAATGATTTCATACTTGAGTTATGTCGATTTGATTGTGATTCCCATGTAGTGTCACATTTATTGGTTTGATACATTATTATGACCATAAAAAAGCGGACTTTACCTAGATCCCTTTCTTCAGAAAATTATCTTTGTTCACGGTAGAACCTACTCTAGATTTGTCCTCTGAGATGATTACCTAATATTACCGTTCGTGGGAGTGATTACCTGAACTTTACTTTCCCATAACAATTCTGCTTTACCCAGGCATTGGACGATAATTTTCCTTTTGCTCTTGTAGAATTATATTGAGATTATAGAAATAGCACATTTATATTCACTTAAAATATTTAGTTCATTGCCAAAACGTGTATTCGAACCGTACCCAGGTAACAAGTGTTGCTTGTACAGTTTTGGCTTAAATTTGAGGTTACTTTAACGAGTCATTGGTAGTAAAAAAGAAATAATGAAAAGTGATTCAAACATGTCTTTAAATAGTCATTGATGCCAAATAAAAATATATTTCGCAAGTTGATACTGGCTTGATTTGTCCAAAAATGAGCATAAATGACTGTCTTTACCAATACAACGGTGGAAGGTTTACTTTTTTCATCCTCTTTTCTAGGTTCATCTGGCCACTAGTCGATGTTTTCGAAATAAAGGCTTGTAACGATACTCTCGTAATCTTAAATCAATTCATTTTCAGTTGATTGAGTCTAATTCTAGAGCAATATCATACAAACACTAACGTTCATGAACTATCTATTATGCTTCTTATACTTAACCTCTCAATCAAGTTGGCTTTTAGGTAGCCATCCAATAATTCATAGCAACTCTTGTGTAGTTCTTGACCTTAAAATTACGCATTTGAGTTCGATTTTCTCTTTTTTTAAGCATGCTATAGCTCAAAATATAACGGTTCATCAAACTTGTATTTTGCAACTATTTTACGCTTTAACTGTCAATATCTTGATAGAATATGGTTTAAATATTACATATCTCTTCGACTGCTTCCTTTGCCAATATTTCTACTTTGGTTATCATATTTACAAGGTTTCTAAGGACAATCTTTTTCTTGTAAATCCATCAAGCTCATTACAAAGCCTCAAATTTTGTGAATTTTGGCATCGCTCTACCCTTTTTTTTGTGAAGTCATAGCAACTTTCAAAAAGAAGTACTGCACGCTAAAACTCATGGCACATTAGCAGAAAATAATACTACAGCAATGAAAAAATGAAAGCAAAATTCGCAAACACACGGATCAAGGTAGATTATGTCAAAACATTTGCATTTTTTATGCAAACTCTCTATCACAAATGTATTGAAAAATATAGTATCTAGTTCCAGAATTGAATACATGTAGGTTGTACATGCGATACTTTTGAGACTTCAGCCAAAGCACCTGTCTTTTGGTCAATCTTGAAGACAACAACATTATTAGAGTCCTATAGAAAAAAAAGGCAAAGTAAATCATTGCTATTGTATCGACACTATCATTATTACCTTGTTTCCGACCAACAAGAAATTACCAGTGGGATCAAGAGTGAAATGACGAGGATACTTACCACCTGTAGGTTGGTAACCTACCAGAGAGAGTTTGCCACTCCATTCATCAATTTCAAAGATCGTGATTGCATCATAGCCACGCATAGAGGCATACATGAACTTGCCATTAGGCGTAATATCAATTTCTGCGGCAGTGTTTGAACCTGTAAAATCCTCAGGAAGTGCATGAATTTGTTGAATCAAGTTAAATTTGCCTTCTTGGAAGTTGAATTCAAGCATAAATATATCATTTGACAGTTCAGTGACAACATAGCAAAAGTGATTATGGTTAGGAGCAAATTTGAGGTGGCGAGGACCAGCGCCTTTAGGGAACTCAAAAGTGGAATGGATAGCAAGCGAACCTGCGTTTTGACGATCGAATTTATAAGTAACAAGCAAGTCGCAACCCAAATCGTTGACAAATACGTATTGTTGAGCGATAGGATCTAAATCAACAGAGTGGACATGAGGCTTCTCTTGACGGTCTGGAACACCACCTGTGGCCTTGAAATGTTCATTATGGATAACTTGAGACGAAATTTCGCCCAAAGCATACTCTGGAGACCCAGGATTTTTGATGGGGAGAACAGAAGTAGACCCCCCATTATAGTTAGCAACAAGCAGGTAGTTACCAGTGGCGTCGCAAATACCATGACAAGGATGTTCGCCACCAGAAGGTTGCTCATTGACCAAGTTTAGTTTACCTGTTTCTTTATCACGTGTATAAGTGGATATATAGCCAGTTTTTTGACCCTTGTACTCGTCAACTTCGCTGAGAGCATACATATGTTGGCCCGTCTTGTGCAGGCATAAATAAGAGGGATTGTCAGCTTTTGCAGCCAAGCCTTTGGGAGTCAAAACACCAGTTTTGGTGTCAAAAGTATATTGGTAAATACCAACACTTTCTTCATTTGTGTATCCAGATACGTAAAGTGTTTGTTCGCTTGTAGTTGCCATTATATAAAAATGAAATAAGGAAAAAGAAAAAAAAAATGTTATTTTATTTATGCCGTAATCCCGCATTTTACCTGTATGTAATCAGCTTACAGATTGAATGATTTGATTGGATTGTTCATCTCGTATCTTCCCGCTTATTTCGTCATGACTATTATACAGTCAATTGAATGATAGCAAATCAAGCTATACATTCAGGCATTTATATATACACTTTGTTCGAGAAAAAACAACTAGCTAAAATTACTGTATTCAACTTACTGTATTCAACTTACTGTATTCAACTTACTGTACGCAATCGCACTTCGTTCAAAATACAAAGGTCAAACAGTACGCGGTAGCTGTAAAAGTGTAATTATGTTACACAACTGCGGGGAAACATGTCTATCTGATTTAAAGGGAAAACAATCTTCCTGATAAATGGCAATACTAAGAAAATGTTGATTGTGTATAATAAGATTGAGTTCTATTTACAATTTATTAGGTGATAAATATAAGGAAATAAAAAGGGTTTAAACAAATTTAGGTGAATTGGCAAACACAGCAAATAAAAGGCCAGACACCAAGCCAGCACAAGGCAAAGTAATAAACCAAGAAAAGAAGCACCAGGATAGCATTTTCCAGTTCACAGCCTTGTAGCCGTTTGTGTTACAAAGACCAATAGCAGCAGAGGCGCCAGTAATACAATGTGTAGTGGAAACAGGCAAACCAATTTGAGAACAAGTCAATACAGTCAAGGCAGCTGATAATTCAGCACAGAAACCTCTTGAAGGAGTGAAGTAAGTGATATTATTACCCATGGCTCGCATAACACGGTAGCCCATCAAAGCAAGACCAATATCAATACCAATACCACCATAAACTAGAATCCAAATAGGAATAGGGACCTTGCCAGTTACATCAACGTTAGCAGTAGTCCAAACTTCATAGATAGAAGCGATGGGGCCAATAGCGTTTGAGACGTCGTTGGAGCCATGAGCAAAAGATGCCATACAAGCAGTGATGATTTGCAAAAACGAGAACAAGTATTCAGCATCATCTTCAAAAAGTTCAGTATGAGCGTGGACATTTTGGAGCTTTTTGTTCTCGAGGTTACGAACATCTTGACGAAGACCGTGAAGAGCCATATTGACAGCTTTTTCCTTATAAGTCTTGACCTTGGAATTAAACCAGCCATTCTTCTTTTGATCTTCTACTTCTTCTTTTTCTTCAGCAAGAGCATCTTCATTTTCAGCACCAAGTTTTTTCAACTTCTCGTCAACCTCACCAGGAGTTAAGACTTCGTCAAGGCCATCAGCTTCATTTTGAGTATTTTGGATAGATGCCGAACGAGAGCTAGCATGTTGTTCAACGTCAACTTCATCAATAGTAGGCTGCTTCTTTAAAAAAGGGATGACAAACATATGGTACCATTTGATGTTTTCTCTTCCTTTGATACGGCGAACAACCCAAGGACAGAAAAAGAATTGGCCAAACAATGCACAAGCAAAAGCACATGAAAAAGAAATAGCAAGAATGACACCAATAGACATTTTTTTAGAACCGCCACCTGGTGCTTTGTAAATGATGTAAAAGATTTCAATAGCAGCAGTAAAGAAGAAGTAGACAGGTACTAAGCGAATACCCCATTTGAAACTATCTACACGGCGCAAAATGGCATACTTGGTGATTGAATAAATAATAGCAGCAACTATACCAGCACAGACAGGTGAAAGAAACCAAGAGGTAATGATTTGAGCAACACCATCCCATCCCCAAGTGATCGAGTTTACACCAAAAGCAGAGATACCAACACCGATGATAGCACCAACAATAGAGTGTGTTGTACTGACAGGCCAGCCAAATCGAGTAGCAATTAATACCCAGTTTGCAGAACCGATAATAGCGCACATCATGGCCAACATGAGCATCTCGGGTTGTTGGACATAATAAGAAACAGATAAAATGCCGCCTTTGATAGTCTCAGCGGTTTCAGCACCCAAAAGAACAGCACCACCAAATTCTGTAAAGCAGGCAATAACACATGCTTGAATAAGTGTCAATGAACCCGAAGAGACAGATGTAGCAAACGAATTAGAGACGTCATTGGCACCAATACCAAAGGCATCCATGAATGCTACCACCATACCGACAGCAAAGATCCACGTATAATCAAATGCTTGCATCTTTTTCTTCTTATTTGTCTATAAGTCTAATTTGAAAAATAAAGATGATGAGAGCTTCAAAAACCAAAAAAATGTTGTCTCTGTATTTATACATGATGGCTGCTCTTTCTTGATCTACTATTGTGATAGTCAAGTCCGACAAGAGTGAGCCAATCAATGAAATTCAATGGACCACGACAACCCAGGTGAGGTAGTGATGTGCCATTCCTTTTTATCTTCTAGAATACGAAGAAAACTCGACTTTCTGACACTGATCTGCTAGTGCTTTTTAGAAGAGAATAATTTAACTTGATCTTTGAAATTTGTTCTAGTCTGTAGATTAGAAATATGGGACAAGACAATAGATATTCAAACTATAAAGTTAAGAGAACACAAAAGACTTCTTGATTATAATGCACTACTATGCTGATCCCAGGAGGTATCATCTGCTCTCACCTTGTTTTCTTTATAAGGTCTTTGGAGTTGCTTTTCGAAAAGAATTCTCGGAATACAAATAAACCTGTCAATACGAAAAATATGCGAAAAAAATATGATTTGATTGGATAAAAAAGTTTGCAGTTTCAACTTGATACAGTGTAACTCAACATCAATATTTAGTCTTTTTGTAGATAACTTTATTGGATAACAATCAATCAACCCTACGATGACGAATGAAGAGCACCTTAACCAGATCTTCTCAATCGACTAATTCACTATTGAACAAGAAGCTCACCCTAGAGCCCCCCAAGTCACTTGGCTCCTCATTTCACTTCATCATCGCATCATCGCGACGCAGGCATTATCCTGGTCCGCTCAATAAGGGTTTAAATTCTCAGCCAGTTTAACAGTTTTTTATAGCATAAGAAAAACTGTATGGCACCCCTTGATGCAAATGATGATATAATAAAGATCCACACAGCATCTGCGCACAGACACTGCCGTTTCCAATTTATTAAGGATATCTATAAAATAAGTGAGTGATATGAATTTCAGTGTATGTTTACTTGGCACCAAAGACGTATTCCATTTCTTCTAAAGTTCGGCCTTTAGTTTCTGGAATAAAGCAACAGCCAATGAAACAGATACAGCAACAGGCGCCAAAGAAGAAGTAGACACCAGAAACTGTATGAGCAATGAAGAGTGGTACACAATAAGTAATGAGAATAGAAAAGCCCCAATTCAAACCATAAGTTAAAGCAAGACCCTTTGCACGAGTGCGCATGTTGAAGATTTCAGCAGGATAAACATATGAGACGCTTCCCCAGCTGAATGCAAATGTACCCACAAAGATATAAAGAAAGGCAATGATTGTGTTGCGTGCATTAACATTAACAATTGTCACTGCAGAAGACTCAACATCAACTATAGCATAGGCTTGGAACATAGCACCTACAACAAACATACTGATGCACATAATAGCAGCACCAATCAAAAAGAGAGCCTTTCTGCCCATTTGATCAATGCAGAATGCGAGAGAGATAAAAGAGCAAAAGAAAGAAAAGATACCAGTACCACCTGTAGTAGCAATAGATGCAGAGGCATCACTGAGACCAGTATTCTGAATGATTTGAGGAGCATAGTACCAAATAGCCACACTACCAGTAAAAGATGTAGAAATAGAGATGAAGAATGCAATTAAAGTACGTTTGAGGTTGTGGCCTTGGAAGAGTTCGATATAGGTTCGATTACCAAGTGAACGTTCAAACTCAATCTCGTTAAAGATGTCGTTGTATTCATTTACGACTATAGAATGAGTTACAGGAACTTGGTGTAATTCAGACAAGACGGCTTTGGCTTCTTCATTGCGTCCCTTATCAATCAGCCAACGAGGAGAGTAAGGCAAAAAAGTCACTGTGATACCAACAATAATACAAATAATGATATGTAAAAGCCATGGTCCACGCCATGACCAGTCAGATGCAACGTAGCTTGTACCAAATGTCACAAAATAGCCAACAACTTGGCCAAACGAAGACATTAAAGTGAAAAAACTAATCAATCGGCCACGGATATCAGGGGGAGCAATCTCAGAATGATACAGAGGGATAGCACTTCCCATTAAACCAGAACCAAAACCACCAATAAGTCGACCAGCCAACAAGACACCAAAATTAGTACCAATGATTTCAAGTAGAATGCCAACAGTAAATACAACAGCTGAACCGACAATAGCATACTTTCTACTGAATCGATCTAAGAATCATATTAGTCATTCTATTCTAAAAATCAACTGATCTAATTTACCACAGAAGAATCCAGACAAGAAAGAACCTAAGGCTGCGGTCATAAGAAATAACGCTAACAATAGACCTTGTAAATATACAATATTTTCCTTGGTAAAAAAATGTGCTTGAAAGGTAGGCATGGCAAGAATACCACTAATAGCACCTGTATCATAGCCACAAACAAAACCACCGATAGCAGCTACAAGAGCAGATATATAGACAGCTTTGCGGAATGGGGGAGGAGTAATAGTCTCATTTAAAGATTCAGAGTTCTTATCGGATGAAATTCCCCCATAATTCTTTTTGTCAGCAACACCATTTTCTAGTTGATCTGCGTTGATATTTGAGATCATTACTGTTAGAGTTGAAAACAAAACAAAACAAAACAAAACAGAAAATTTTTTTTTTTTTACCTTTTCACAGGCACGGGCAATGCTGAAAGTAAAAAAAAAAAAAAAAAAGAAAAAAAATCACATCTTTTGTACAACATATACATAATCCGTTATTTAGCAACCAAGCATCCACTTTGCTTGATTAAACTGTAAAGAGTATAGAATTAGATTCAGAGAAATACATTCATTGTTTCATTAAAGTTCACTTTTACTTGGTCTCATTCTTAAAAAACAAGAAAGAATTACCATTGCAAATTTTCCTCCACAGTGCTTGTATCGTCAGGAAATGGCTGGTTGTTCATGCAATGGCCATAAATATCAATATCGATGTACTGTGCTAGTTTTCGAACAAAATGATGTCGATAGTTTGACGCTTTGCAGTTGGAGACAATCCATGCTACTGAAGCCCTTCTTTTTGGTTTAGCAGCGACTATGGGCGTTGTCATGGACGGCAGCAGCTGTTTCTGCTCGAGATATCCCCAAGGAAAATCAGAGTCTAAGCGATAAGTCATACTGTATTGCATTTGGTTGATCAAATCCGCCTGGTCGTTTTTAGGCGCTTCTGCGTTATGGTAGACCCAAGCACGGTCATGCCTTGCTGGAGGCATGTCTTTCTTTGTCAAGTCAGATGCGTGAAACACATAAACAGATGTGTTTGTTGCCCAATCTCTGTCATGAGTAAAATAGCAAATCTATTAAAATGCAAAATATGGTCCGATAATTTTTGAGTCAAAATTTTTCCGTGCGCTCGACGGAGCGGACAATTATTGTCCCCGTTTCTGATTTATTGTGACAATATAAATATGTCAACATATTTGCATTGTAGATTATCTTTTTTCTTTACAAATATGTCTACCAGTTTGTATTCCTTGATCTACGTTCCCCGATCTATCGCTCTTTTGTCTAGTGGATTGTTTGCAGGTGCTTCCATATCTATTAACTATACCAATGTTCCTGCTATTAAAGCATCCAAGGACCCTTTACCAGTATTTGTCAAGACTTATAAACAAGGCGCCAAACAGGCTATTACTGAGATTTTAGTCAGCACTGCCGCTGGTGCTGCTTGCTATTACTATACTCATGACAAACGCTTCGTATATGCAAGCATTGCATCTTTCTTTAGTGCGCCTTTTACTGCGTTTGCTATTGCTCCCGTCAATAACCAACTGTTTGCTCTGGAAAAGCAAGGTGACAACTATGATCGCAAGAAGGTGTATGAATTGGTCAAAAAATGGAACAAACTGCATGCTGTTCGAACCTGTGCTAGTATAATTGCATTCCTTATTCATGTCCTCTATTAGAATACATGATGCTGCTTATAAAAATAATACAGTTTCTTTTTTTTTTTATCCTTTAAATTGTTTTCAATCTCCTATGCTTAAATAAGTTTGGTTTGCAACGCGCAAAGTGTCGACTTGTTCCCTAAATAATATTATCATACATGGCCGATATTTTACTGGCACCTAGCTTGGGTACAAGACAAATAGTAAGCAAGAACGAGCAAACTACACTTCAGTTTTCTTGCTACTCCTCAACTATATATTGCCTTGAACTATGGACAAACCTTTCAAGGGATAAAAGCTGGCTTGGAATACCCTTTATAAGGCAGGAAAACGACTATCAACTGAACATAGATTTATCTTATTTGTCGTCTGGAGAATATGAGTATACTTTGCGCTTTACCTTAGACAAATACAAAAATGATTGGTGTTGGTATGGTACATCTAATGATAATGGCAAGATTTGTATCACACCTTTTGCAGATACAATATCAGATTTGCCAATATCAGGAGCAGCAAATGGGCTTAATCTAATATTAAAACAGTCCATCGATAATAATATTAGCTTGACGCACTACAAGATTTGTGCTGGTGCTCCTTTATACTTTTCTGTTGGAAAGATTGCCTGTCCTATTTATTCGTTTGTTGCTCTCATAAGAAAAGGGTAATACCTAATCGTTTAAAGAGTTACTAAAGCCAAGTAATTACAGATCATGTTGGATGACACCAGTAGCTGGAAATGACTCTTTTGAAGGTCGAAATAGAGACGAAAAATGGCAAATGCTGTTATTTGTAGACAGTGTTTATGGTCATGTTCATTTATGGATGGTAGTCAGTCAAGATTCGGACTGTTGGTTCTCACCTGAATCAAGTAACTCGCTTGGCTTACATCGATCAGATCATAAAAATGACAATGTGCATTTGTTTATGTTGTCTACTCGATTTAAACAAGATTTTACTTTACTGATTCCTAAAGCATTAGAGTATTATCACCAATTTGTTTATCAAGATCTCCTTTCATTTAATAATCGTCAACTACAGACAATTCCTAATTTATCAGACAAATTGGGCTATTGTACATGGAACGCATTTGGAAAAGAAATTTCTTTGGAAAATATTCGTTCAGCAATGAAAAGTTTATCGGACAGTAACATCCCAGTTTCGTATTTACTTTTAGATGATGGTTGGCAGCATGTTTCGAATGATCAATCGCAATTAAAAGGATTTGAAGCAAATCAAGACAAGTTTCCAAAAGGTTTAGAGCAGAGTATTTCTGAGTTAAAGACATCCTATCCTTTTCTTCAGTATATTGGTGTTTGGCATGCAAGTAATTTTAAATTGATAAAGTCTGACAATCAAAATAGACTCTTTGGGGTTATTGGAATGGAATAGATGAAACATTCGCCAAAACAAATGGTTATGCAGGCTTTCCTTGTGATAACAAGAATCAACACCAATCTATTGGAATAATCAATAATTCCAAACACTTTTATGATGACTTTTATCACTTTTTAAGTAAAGCAGGCGTTGATTTTGTCAAAGTCGACAATCAAGGAGGTTTTCAAGATCTGAAGCTTGATCAAAGTCATAAAATTAGCCTTTGGGACACTTATCGACAAAACATGCTAGAGAGTGCCGACACATATCTGAGTGGCCAAGTTGTACATTGTATGTCCTTGACACCGCATGTTTTATTTCATCCTCTTCTTTTGCCTAAACAGCACCACTCAAAACCTATTTTCAGGTAAAGTATACAATGACATTATTTTGGTGTTGTAGCCCTCAATTTAACATGAGCAAAGAAATAGCGACGATTTTTTCCCTGATGAACAAAGCAGCCATCCATGGCATATCTATGCCAATGCCATTAACACATTATGGACATCACAATATCCTGTTATGGGCGACTGGGACATGTTTCAATCTATCCATCCATTTGCTGAATATCATGCATCAAGGTAATATATATTAATGACTTTGTTGATTTCATACTTTTAATTTACAGTCGAGCCATTTCAGGCGGACCTGTATATATTACAGATATTCCAGCGAAGCACGATGTCGGCCTTATCTACAAGCTTTTAGGAGAAACTCGATACTCTGGATGGTGCTTATTAAGATCAGATAAAGCGCCTTTGCCTACGTTTGATACAGTGTTTGGAAATCCATTAGAAAACCAATCACTTGTTATCATACACAACTTCCAAAAACTAACATGCTCAGACCAAGATAGTGTAGAAGAGTATGGTATATTTGGTTTTTGGAACTCAAGTAATTCAAAAGAGAAACTTGCTGTTATTACAACCAATACAATACCTTCAAAGAAGCTTGCTGCATTGTCATTAGCATATACAATCAGTGGTCCTGATCAAGGAAAGCTAATGCTTTTGAGCAACAAAGATACTTGTTCTTTTGCTGGATCAATGACAGCGCGAGTATGCAAGATGGGCTCTACATTGGTGTGCATCAGTCAAGTAAAAACGATGGGTCTACTTTTAGCTGCATGTCTTGGTTTGATTGACAAGTTCAATAGTGTCAAAGCTATTAAACGTACGACTATTTACAAATCAGCAGATAAAGAAACTGTGTTTGAAGTACAACTATCTCATAGAAGCAAATGTTTTGGATATTGGATTAAGCCCTTGACTGAAAAGGTCAAGATCAAGCTTACCAAAGTTTGTTTAGACGGTATCATTTTGAAATCAAATCGAGATTGGAACTGGTGCTTAAAAAGTAATCTCTTGAAAGTAAACATGATGGCTGTGCCATTGGAAAAAGTAAAGGGAGATACGTTCGACTTGAAAGTGCACATTCAAGAAGAAGAGATTTAAATACAAATATATCCTATTCTACCAACCATCAAAAATAAATTAAAATTAGAAGCTATGTATTTATTAAATAAGTATTTCTATGTTGTATGGTATCGGTTAGTTTAAGGGCTTTCTTCATCAAAATCAGTAACTCCAGAATCCATGGGCTTTAAAAGGGCACGTTTAGCGAGCTTGTATACTTCACCAAACACAATAAAACCCAAGTTCAAACCCATAGAAAGACCCCATTCCCAAGTAATACCCAACATACGGAAACCTTTGATAGCAACTGCAGGAATATAAAGGAAAATCACAAGTGCAATGATATCAAAAGCAAAAGTGCCTACAAATGTACGGGAACGCAATGTCTCGCGGATGCCAGACAAATCCCATTCTATTTGACGATAACTACGGCAATGAACCATAACAACAAGGGAAGCAAAAGTAAAAGTAACCAAAAGAGAAGCACGTCCTCTGTAAAAAGAATCGCAGGCACCGGCAACATAGTTAGAGTCACAATTTACACCGCCAACACCGTTACCAAGTGTATAGAGAGGAATGAAGAAAGCAATCAAACACATGGCTGTAATCGCCAATGAGTAAGCGATTGTATCTAAAATGATTTCGCGGTTGAAAATGCTTTCAGTAGGAGGACGAGGAGGCTCTTTCATAACAGTCTTGGAAGGAGGTTGAGTACTAAGAGCACCAGCAGGAGGAGTAATTGCGATATAAATAAAGACCATTTGAAGAGTAGACATGGGTGCGGCACTACGTCCTGCAGGATCACGAACTGCTAAGCAGACCAAGATAACAAGGGCCATGCTAAAAAGTAAAATCCAATAGTAGAGCAAGAAACGTTGCATGTTTTGATAAATACGACGACCTTCGGCAATAGCACGAATGATGGTAGCAAAGTTGTCATCCGTTAAAATAATATCAGAGGCTTGTTTAGCAACGTCACTACCGTTCTTTCCCATAGCAATACCAACATCAGCAATACGAAGAGAAGGAGAGTCATTGACACCATCACCAGTCATGGCAGCAATGTTATTGCGTCTGGAGGAAGCTTGAATCATCTTGACCTTTGTTTCAGGAGAACAGCGGGCAACAACAAGAGGCAAGTCTTCAAGCGCATCAATTTCCTCGTCAGTCATGGCGTCAAATGCAGTACCAGTCATTACAAGTCGCTTGATGCTTTCTTCTGACATTTTGTTTACATCCAAAATTTTAATTTCTTTAGCAATTGCAGTAGCAGTGATCTCATGGTCACCTGTAAGCATATGAACAGAAATACCGGCACGATGAGCTTCTTGAACGGCTAAGCGAGATTCCTTTCTAGGAGGATCATAAATACCAGTAAGACCAAGGAAAGTGAGATTGGACTCAATTTCATCACGAGAGTAGTTTTGAACTTCTTTCTCAGTCATGTCTAGTTTTTTAAAGGACATGGCCATTACACGCAAACCTTTAGCAGCCAGAGTATCGACATTCTTCAAAATAGGTTGACGATCACTATCACTAGATAAGTTGGAGCAGAGTTGAATGACTCGTTCAGCAGCACCTTTGGTAAAAGCATAAATTGTATCACTATTTCTGTCTAACCAAATGGTTGTCATACGCTTGATAGTTGAGTCAAATTGATATTCAGCAAGAAGTTCCCAGCCATCAGCAGTCAATTCAGGCTTGCCCATATTGAATTTGTGAGCAAAGACTTGAAGAGCAACTTCTGTAGGAGCACCACTAGAGATCCAATCATCAGAATCAGTGTCTTCGTTGTCAATAGGTCCCTGCTTGTCGCTAGAGGTTTGGTTGTTTTTCGGATAAATGCTAGACATATTACACAAAGCAGCACAGCGAACCAAGTTAGCAATGTCAGGTGAAAGTTTGGACTTGTCTACCAATTTTGCTTCAGAATCTTCAGTGATTTTATCATATAACTTATCGCGGGTAAGGTACGCATCACCAGTGGGTGCCAGGCCATTTGATTCTACATAAAAAAAGCCTTCAAGAGGAGTCCAAAATCGGACAACTACCATTTTGGCCATTGTTAATGTACCAGTCTTGTCAGAAAAAATGTTTGTAACTGAGCCCAAAGTTTCTAGACATTTCAGTTTACGAACAATGGCTTTTTGGCGAGTCATTTCTTTACCACCTAAAACAAGTGTAACAGTCATGACAGTAGTAAGACCAGCAGGTAAGACAGAAAGGGCAGCAGTCATGGCATACATGCCGACATCGTAATTAGCCTTGAACTTGACAGAGGCCAATACAACAATAACACAAATAACAGAAGCAATTAGCAAGACAATGTACATTTTATCAAGGCTTTTTTGAAGACGAGTACGGTCTGAATCACTTGCATCGTTTAATTTTGAGGCAACTTTACCGATTTCAGTATGCATACCGGTAGCAGTAACAATAGCTCTGCCTCTTCCTTTGGAAATAATGGTAGAAGAATAAAGCATATTAGTACGATCACCTAAAGGCTCATCTGTATTTATTGGTAAGTATCAATGAACTTAACATAGTTTTATATGCAGCTTACCAGGGTTTTCTAAAACAATCAATTGTTTAGAAACAGGCACTGATTCACCTGTCAATAGAGCTTCATCTGATTCAAGGTTCGAAACTTGAATTAGACGAGCATCAGCGCCAACAGAGTCGCCTTCTTTGACAACTAAAATGTCACCAGGAACAATTTCACGACTAGGAACAGATTGTTCAGTACCATTGCGAATAACGTCAGCCATAGGAGAAGAAAGATTACGAAGAGCAGCTAACGTTTGTTCAGCAGCATACTCCTGGGAAAAACCCAGATAGAGGTTCAGAATAGCAATAAATAATAATAGTGATCCTGTAACATAATCTTGTAAGCAATACGAAGCTATAGCAAGAGCGATAAAAATCCAATTCATGACATCAATAAGTTGGCCGATAAGTACTTTGAGCCATTTGGGACCACCATCTGCTGATAGTTCGTTGTAGCCGTACTTGACATGTCTTGAAGAAATTTCATCTGTTGTTAAGCCAGTTGACAAAGAAGTTCCAAAATGATCAGCGACCTGATCAATTGTTTTGGAATGCCAGTCGCTGGCATCTTTAATGTTTACTGCCTTTTCTGACATTGTAATTTTGTTAGTGTTTTTTTTGTGCTGATGCCCAAGTAATAATGACAGTTACGAAAGAAAAAGAAAATAAATAAAAAAAAAGTTTAAAAAACTTCTGATTTATATTCTTTGAAAAATTTGGCGGTGTATTAGTCATTTTATTGACCTAAAATGACTATATACCCAATAGCCTTTGCGTTTTGAATCTGTAAACTAATATTTGTACGTAAAAAAAAACTGCTGCATTTCAATTCGGCAGATTTCTCTAGAAATATTCGTCAAGGGTTGTTGGTATGTTCGCTAAATATGGTTTAAATGTACCACACGGCATGTTCATGACGAACTTGTTACTCCAGAGGAAATTGTTCGTTCAATTAGTGCTGAATATACTTCTTTACTCTTCTTTGATGAATTGCTATTGTTCGGCGGCTAATTCCATGTAGCAAGCAGCGTTTCATAAATAGAAGCTGCGGGGTTAGCATAGATGGATATTCTTTTCCGGTCAATTTGACCAATCCATCGTGATTTAAACATGACGGAAAGGAATCAACTATTTAAATTCAGCCATGATCTGGATCTGATTTGCATCAAAAGGTTTACTTATTCAACTATTTTGAATTTCGATGTTTAAGAACCTAGAGCTCTTCATTGCAGCTTTTCAATTTGAGTTTAAGACTGTTCTCAGGGACAATCAGGCTAATAAGATGATATCTTATTCTCAATGTAGAAAAATCGGACTACAACGTATTCTAATACTGCTTGAAAAGAATTGAAATGCAAGCAAAAGTGTGATAATTTGTCAGTAGTCATTATAGACAAATGCGATACTAAAAAATTATCCCATATTGTCTTTACCCCTTGATTATATCCAATATTTCGTTTGATTATAAATATGTCATTTATGAGGCCAAGTGATTATCACTGAAGCGACCATCGGTTTACATGGTGTCTCGCTTTCCAGCGTTGTCATATAGTATTTTAACGTATTAAGTAATTACTTTATTTATCGAAATTGATCTACATATTGAAGAACTGGTGTTCGGTCAAAAACAGATTGAATGGCGCTGATGGGTGCCATAACTCCTTGTCAAAGATGCATTTGTAGTGGTACCTCCAGAGCACAGTCAAACCATTTCCTAATATCTCTAAGGTTTTTGAGGGCAGCAGTTTGTTGGCTTCGTCCGCCAGCGAAGTAAGTGCTAGCCATAGATCACTAGGATTTTCAAATTGACGATCCAGTTGGACAGAAGTCAATACTTGTTGCCAGTATGACCATTTAACCGGGCAATCGACAAAAAAATGATAGCTACTTTCCTCTATCATACCACAAATACTACAAGCGGACGAAGTAAATGTAGTTGCTTTCCAAGAATGGATCTTGCCTCCATTGGCAATGCTATCATGCAGAAGTCGCCACCAGGGAGTGAAAGCCTTCATATTCATTTCCAATGACCAAAAGAGCGTCCATCGTGAAGTTGGTAGGCGTCGGGCGGGTGGTGTACGGTAAGGGATACCAATTTCAACCGGGTCGCGTTGATCGCTCCAATATCTTCTAACAGAACCCGAAGTAGATTCAAGAACTATCTTGGGTTGTCGACGGCCGGAAGGCAGCGTCCAATGGTCAAGCGATGGAAGATAAGTGGTCATATCTGGGTATTGTGACGAAGAGGGCACCATAGGGCTAGGAGGAAAAAAGGCACATTTAGCTTGAACTGCTGTAGGCAAGACGCAGCTGATAGTGTCAGACGGAGAGGGCAAGAAAAGGGCATCAAAGATCCGTATCAAAGATGTACGTCTGTAATTAATGAAGGATCGATAAGCCTCAAGTATACCGGTGGTAGCATTGTAGCAGACTAAATCTGACATCAAGAAGGGCCTTTTGACCGTGGGTAATGGTAGTGCAGAGCCTATTTTGGCCTGTATTACTATCGACAAAGGTAAGTCCAAAAACCAATGAGCAGGCCAAGAGCTAGATAGCTTCAAAGGTGGCAAACGCTCCAGGAGTTTCAGTAGCTGCATCATAGAGTGAATCAACTGAATAGCTGCATTGTAGTCTATTGGATCCGGTGTATACAGCGAGGAATAGAAGTGATGGGCTTCTTGAAGTATATCCTCAATATCGTGAACCATTGCACTGCTATCGGGTTTATGTAGACATGTAATTGTTTGCTTTGTTTGACGAGTTTTTAAGACCCGAAAAAATACTTGTTGCTTCGTTCCCCTTGTGTATGCCAGCGAGTGGCTGTTCGCATGCAATATTTGGCGGCTTCCGTCTCAGTAAACAATTCAATTTGCTTGTAAATTTCAGATAGTTCATTCAACGAGGATGATGTAGAGTTCTCACTAGTATCCATCATCATAGCTGATAAGATTTGTGTTCTTCTATTCTGAAGTTGTATCAGAAGATGCTTGGATTTGACTTTTGAATTGCTTGAATATGATTGTGCTAAGTTGCGTATCATGAATTTGAAGTCCTCCTATGTTCTCTGTCGCAGAGTGGCCAGCTCTGGATCAAAATTCACTTAAGTTGAATTAGTAGGTAGAGGGTTATTCGTATCTGGAATTGCAAGTTGAAGCATATCCACATTTATCTGAGAGAAAAAAGTGGTCATCGTACAATCCAATAAACTGAGAAAATGCTTGTTGAGTAGTAGAGCTGGATTGAAACGCCAAGATCCAGAACCAAAGGATGTTTTTGACGCCAATAGATCAACAGTCAGAAGACTATGATCCGTCCAAGCATACGGAAGGTGGTGAATCTGCGAATTAGTGATTTTTGGCATTTGAATAGTATCTTCATAAATATAGTCGATTGTGGTGCGAATGTTTTTGTGAAGGCACTAGTAAAAGTAGGTAAACCATCTGGGAAACAGTCTGAGTAATTGGCCCACACATAAGGCTTCCAAAAGTAGTTTCATAGCTTCAAATCAAGATTGAACTCCGACTTTTTCTTCTATTTTGATTTGAAATCGCTAAAAATTATTCATTGATTCCGATTTGATCCAAATTTTTGATGCATTACAAAATAATTGTACTATAAAAAGCGTCAATGATATATGCTGAAGCAAGTGAAGCACTTGCCGGACACTATGCCTTTGTAAGCCAATATCTTATGTACAACTCCGGCCTCACATGTCCGGTCCGAGATGTGCAGAAATGCTCTAATTAAATTTCAGCTCTAATTTTTTCTCTCTCATTTCAGCTGCTTTGAGAAACACGGCTTTATAATGAGTTCACCTTCACGTCAAAGCAAAACTGCTTATAGGTCCAGATCTCGTTCCCCTCCTAGAAGACGCTCTCGCTCACCTTCTTATCAAAAAAGACGTTCAAGATCCCCACCTAGACGGCAAAGATATAACGAGCGATCGCGTTCACCACCTCCTCGAAGACATAACGACAGCTCTAGAGGAGGCAGAAGATTTGAGTGGGGAAGACCAGAAGATAATGAAAGAGCTGAAGAAGAACCTGTCGAAAAAGTTGAACCCAATTTTGGTCTCTCTGGAAAATTAGCAGCAGAAACAAACACGGTCAAAGGTGTTGAATTAAAATACAATGAACCACCAGAGTCTGCAAAACCAAAGCATAAATGGAGACTTTATGTATTTAAAGGCGATGAGCAAATAGGTACAGGCAATGTATACAAAGATACAAAATCTAATTGCTTGGGTTAGATTTGTTACATATCCACAGACAAAGCTCATATTTAATTGGGCGTGATCGAGTGGTAATTGATATAGATAAATAGCATGTACCAATGAGTTTAACTGCTATTTTCAATAGGTTGTTGATATTGCAGTAGATCATCCTTCTTGTTCGAAACAACATGCTGTTATACAATATAGAGAAGTAGCTGAGCAGGACGAACATGGAAGATCTAAAAGAACAGTAAAGTAAGTCAAATAAAGAAGGAGAAAAAAACACGTATTTATTATTATTTTAGACCATTTATCATTGATCTTGAAGCAACAAATGGTACTTTTCTTAATGGAGATCAAATTCCAGCCACTCGATTTGTGGAATTGAGACCCAAAGATGTTCTTAAGTTTGGAAATAGTACAAGAGAATACGTCCTTTTACGTTCAGAGCAGTAAATGATTATATTAAACAGTGATTAAATACAAAGGTGGATATAGATATACAAAATACGTAAAAAAATATGCAAATAAGTTAGTCATATAAAGTAGTTTTCTGAAGTATATAAGAAAGGTATTCTTGGGCAGCATAAGAGCCTTTTTGAGCGGCAAGTCTGTACAAATCGTCTGCTTTCTTGGTATCTTGTTGTACAATGATTCCTTTACGATAGAATTCAGCTAATTTGAACATGGCAGTGGCTTCATCTTCTTCATATTCTTGGTCTAAAAATTCCAAGTCTTGCTGTTGCTCTATTAAATAAGCTTTGCTCACGACTTCACCGTACCAATAGAAAGCTTGCTGCAAGTTTTTCTCTACACCGAGTCCATTTTCAAAACATTGAGCTACATCTAAATAGACACGATAACCTGTTTTTTCTTCTTGAGCAAATTGGATCAAAGTGGCTGCTGCTTCTTTAGCTTGAACAGTAACATTAGCCCAACCATGAAGATGATAACGCGCAATCATGATTTCGGACAGGAACTTGTATTCTAAGGGTGCATGAAGATGTGCAGCTTGGAACAATTCATATGCACGAGCACGACTTTCGATATCTTGATGCAGGATTCGAGCAAGGTTGAGTTCGGCTTGCCAACGATCAGGGGCAGTTTCGTAAGTTTCAAACAATTCTATAGCAATCTCATACTGTTCTAGTGCAATAGCAAAATCTGGCGCAACAAAAATGCCATGTTGGTGATATATTCCAAGGTAGTAAGTAGCTGTAGGATGCTTTTGTACAGCAGATCTGCAAAAGAGATCATAGGCTTTTTCAAAGTCTTGAGGCAGTAGTATACGTTCCTCTTTTGTTTCATCTTGATTAATGTTGTTTTCTTGACCATCATCGTCATAACGTCCCTTTAATATAATTTCTTTTCCGCGATGATAAAGCAAACCAAGTTCAAACTGTGCTTCTTTTAAACCGAGTTCAGCAGCACGTTGCAAATGAGCAAGGCCTTCTTCTTGTTCTTCAACAGAATAGTCATCATTTAAAAAGAGTATACCAAGTTGGAACATGGCTTCCTGTACATTAAGATCAGCTGCTGTCCGAAGATATTTGATGGATAAACAAGCATCGGGCTGCAACAAGTATTTGCCTTCATCTCGAATGCCCTCAAGATAGTATAGACCAAGTTGATAACATGACTTTCCATGACTGTCAGGTGTGACATTCACTGCCATATTAAAGCATTTACAAGCCTCAAGATGATGATGATTATGTGAAGGGATACGTTCTTGAGCGTACATGATAGCAATACGGTAATAAGCTTCCGCATCATGCGTTATTTTGGCTGCACGAATGTACCACTCATATGCAAGTTGATCATCTTTGACTGTTCCAATGCCGTTTTCGTAACACTGACCTAGCGTATTATAAGCATGAACACAATTTAATTCATTCGCGCATATCAAAAGCTCCTATAAATAGCATAAATAAACAAATAAACAATGTCATCATTTAGATTACATACTTGAAAGCCTTTTTTTGGGTCAAGTGTACAACCACCATACCCCTCGATTTGGTAACGTGCACAAAAGAAGCGCGCAAGTACACTTCCTTGACTTGCAGCCTTTTCAAAGTATTCAAGCGCTGCGGCATATTGCTTTTGTTCGTGCCATGCTTCAGCAGCATAGACAGTAGCATCAACACTACCAAGATTAGAAGCTCTTTCAAAACATTCAATCGCCAAATTTTTTTCATCTTCTTCGCATTGAAAGCGTGATTCTCCCTCTTCCTCTTCTTCGTCTTGATCGATGCTAGGTGTTGGTAAATGATGCGCATTTGAAAACTTGATTTTTGTCTTTGTGCAATTGTTGTAAGTTTTTCCTAAAAGGACAAGCGATTCTGTATCACCTGCATCTCCAGCCATATGTAAATACTTGAGCGCCATATCTAAATATTCTTGTTGCATCGTAGTGCTCAGAAAAGGAACCTGTAATTGCTTGAGGTATTTTTGGCCGAGAACACGCATAGCAAGGACATGGCCAAGAGATGCAGCTTGTTTTTGATATTGCAGTTCTAGTTCATGTTGTTCGATCATTCCAGACATTTGGGACAGCATCCAAATACTTTCTGCATGCGACTTGGAACCTGACAGCTTAAAAAAGCTAGCTGCAGCTCGTTCATCAACACGTACGCCATATTCTCCACGAAGATAGATAATGCCCATGCGATACTGTGCTTCTGTGTATCCCAATTCTGCACTTTTCTTTAGATAGTTGAGTGCTAATGAGATATCGACAGGAATGCTCGGAATAAATCCGCTACCATATATATCAGCAAGGTTGAAATAAGCAATACTGTCATTTAGTTCTTCTGCAGATTTGCGGAACCAGAAAATAGCTTGCAATGGATCGGCTTGAGTACCAGTACCATGAAGGAAACAGCAACCGAGGGGCTGGAATGCTTGTGGGAATTGGTCTTGAGTGGCCAGCTTTGATAGGGTATCAAATGCAGCTTCATGGCTAATTGTTTTATTAGCTTCAAACAGGCTTTGAAGAAGTGTAGGATTGGTTTGAGCAGGAGGGATATAACCAAGTGCTAATCTTGCTACCATCATACGAGCCGTTTTGCCAATATTATTTTGTGCAATCTTCGATTCTTTTGATGCCAATAAATAATAATCATATGCAAGTTCCATGTTTCCAACTTGATAGTATAGTTCAGCTATTGCAGGATAAGCACTAGAAAAAAAAAGGAGGTTAATAAAATGGTTTGCTAGTGTATGTATCACTTACTAAGGGTAGCCCAAGGTAGCAGCACGTAGATAATGTTCTGCAGCGATTTCTAAACTCTTTTCCACTCCTGTACCTTTTTGGTAGCAGTCGCCTAAAAAAGCAATTGCTTCAGCGTCGTTTTTTGCAGCTGCTTTGACAAGTAAATCAACTGCCATGGGATAATCTGTTGCTAGTCCTTGACCTGTCAAATAAATCTTGCCTAGTTCGCGTTGAGCAAAAGTGTCGTTATTTTCTATAGCTTTCTTAAGGCACTGTACAGCCTTGATAAAGTATTGTTGACTTTGTTGAGGATTATCAGTATGTGTTACCATAAATTGAAGGTATACGCGAGCAATATAAGACATGGCTTGAGCAACTCCAAGCCGAGCAGACTTTTCAAACCATTCTAAAGCTATATCCAAATTAGGCTTATTGTCTGGCTGACCAATGCCCTTATAGAAGCAAAGGCCTACCGAATACATAGACATAGGGTGACCATTGGCGGCTGCTTTGTGGTACCATGGAAATGCATCTACTGGACCCTTGGAAGGAATTACATGATTCGACATCATATAAGCAACCTAATGAACTGTTAGAAAAAAAAATAAACATTACACAATGCATATAGCTACCAAAAAAGTAGCGTCGTTATCGCCGCCTTCTGCAGCCGTCATAAAATGGTGAAACGCCTTCTGACGGTCAATATCAAAAAACCCCGAGATACCTTCGTCGTAGATCGAACCTAGCCAGTAGTGAGCATGGGGATCGTTTGTTTTTTCAACTAGATCGAGAAGCATCTTGTGCGCTAACACGGGGTCATATGGTACGCCCTCCATGTCTTGACATAAATGGTACCTTGCTATTGATAATTGTGCTGTGTGCAATGGCTGAATGTCTTTTTGAGGATCAGCATTTTTTAAAACTGTGGTATAGAGTCGGAAAGCTTCTGCATGACGTGCCATTCTTTGCAACAAAAGTGCTTGATCGATCTGAGCATTGCAGATATACGGACTATCAGCTTCCGCAGCTTTGGCATAAAATCCAAGAGCTTTTTCCAAATCAACGTCGACACCAATACCTTGCTCATGGCATTTACCCAGAATAGCCATAGCGGCCACATCTTTTCCTGTAGCAGCACGTTTGTACCAGCGAATAGCTTCTCTTTCGTTCTTTTTTGTACGTAGTCGAGAATCAACGACGGCTGAATCTTGTGATGATACAATACTTCCTTGTTGATAGAGCTGACCAAACACACGTTGTGCGTATGGTAAACCAGCCATAGCAGACTGCTTGATAAGCCGAACTGCTTCTTTGTGATTCTTTTGTCTACCGAGTCGACCAAAATAATAAACAAGGCCGAGAATATACTGAGCTGCATGATTATTGTTCTCAACTGCTGCTTTGTAATGAAGTAAGGCAACATCATTGCTTTGTTCAACTCCTTCTCCTTTATCATACAAGATACCAAGTTGTACGTGCGCACGAGAGTTATTCTAGAAAGGGGAGGCGCAAAGCTAGTTTAGAAATGGCGAATATAAATATGTTAATTACCATTTGTACTGCTTTCTCAAGCCATTCAATGCCTTGTGCATAATTAGATTCTGCTATTAGTCTACTTCCTAATGCAGCTTGTGCATCAGGAAAACCTCCTTCTGCGCTCTTTCCATAATAGTGTTTTGCCTTTTCGAGATCTTGTGCAATGTCAAATCCTCTTTCATAATGAACACCAACCAAAAACTGTGCATACCTATAAATGATTCATATAAATATTATGAGAAAAAAAGAATATACATTACATATTGTTATTTTCAGCACTTTTTAAGAGATATTCCAAAGCTTCTTGAGTATTTTGAGTGATGCCTTCACCTTGGAATAACATACGAGCTAATGCGCACTGAGCTTCTGCCACTGTAGTCAAGATGGAGTCGTTGACTGGTTCATACTCGCTTGCCATTTTGAAGCACTCAAACGCAGCTACTTTATCAATCGTATGGCCAGGAACGCCATCAAGATAACATCGACCGAGTGCATAGCTTGTCTCACATGATGGGTGTGTTTTGAGCAAATTTAAACCGCGTTCAATGTTTGGGCTTACACCAAGGCCAAAAATAAGGCATTTAGCTAAGTAGACGATTGCAATGCTTTTATTAGTTGAATCAGCAATTGTGGTGTACTGATGAATTGCATTGTAGAACTGAGACCAGTCAAAGGGGTCGTTCTGCTGTTGAGCATGATGGTAGTTTTCTTGAATGATACGATGAGATTGTTCAGGATGTTGTTGAAGCTGTTTAAGGATATCTTGTGATAGAATGGGAACTAGTCCATCGTTGGTCGTACTTGTGTTATTGGATGAAGAATGGTAATAACAATAGGAAGGTGGCGAAGTTAAGGATTCAGCAACAGGGTATAGTGATTTTCTTGAGATGGTAGAGTGATCTGTGATTTCAGTAAATGCGGAAGTCGTTGCTTGTATTTGTGAGAACGGATCGTTGGAGAGTGTTGTCCAGGCAGCGCTACTCACGTTGCTCTTGTTCAAGTAAAGTCCAATGTAATCATTGCTGCTGGTTATTGTATTATTACTGATAATTGATAAATGTTTATTGGCAACAGAAGGTGATTTTCTTTTCGACATTTTTGAATCATAAGGCGAGATATGGCTACTGTTTCGACTGCTGCTTGTACTTGCACTGCTCATTGGTTTCTTACCATTATATTTTGTAATCGCCATGTCTATCGTTGTACAAGGCGGAGTATCGTTCTCTTTTATTGTTATTGTTGGTGTTGTGGTAGCTGGTGTTACTGAAATTGTTGATAATGGTGTAGGTACAGCTATCTTCTTTTTCTTTCTATTCAAGACTGCTCGAAGATTGTGCCTCTTTTTGTATGGTAAATGATCATAGTAGGAAGATTTCTGTTGATCATCGCTACTTTTACTGGGTTTGGCCCCCATTTTGTTAATGCAAAAAAAAAAAAGAAAATGAGAAAAAAAAAGAAGAGAGAAGAAAAGAAAAAACTAATTTTTATAAGGTAGCTGAGATCAGGTGTATTTCTGCGGTCAAAAAAAGGACTTCCCCCCCCCCCACTCCCCTTTATAAACAAACGGGAAAATCATCGTACTTTTAAATTTCAACGCGTTGTACTATTAAACTATGTCGCAAGAATCGAAAAATATAAAGGAACACTCCGTTCATAAACAAAGCATCATTTGCCCTTTAATTCAAAAAAAAAAGATATACTTGATATTCACAATTACTCTTTGTACGATAAACAAAGACACAAGCTTCTTGTGAATGTGCACAATTGATGAGATATAAATGAACTTAGTTTTCTTTGATTGCCTTTCTTTTTATGCTCATTGCTTTTGAGAACATTCGTAAACTTGTTTGTACAAGATCAATTATTTTCAAGATAAAAATTAGTGAGTATAGACTTTATTGTTGACAATTTTACGACAATCAGGTGCCTACAAACTCATTACTGCGTAAAAATATTAGTGACATGATAGGAGAAAAAAAGCCTCTTGCAACTGTCATGTTTTTTATTGTTTAGTTAACAAAAGAAGACTTTTTTTGTAAAGAACATTTGCTAGTAATGTAGAGTTAATTTATCATGGATTTGCTTCATATAAGCATGGATGGAATGACAATAATAGGGCGAGGATTACTTCTCAAAAACAATCGTTCATGGCCAAGTTTTCTTTACTATAGGCTAAGATATCACACAAAGTATTTTTTTAATATCAATAAGCCATCAAAGCACTTTTGGCGTAATTAGCTGATGACCATTTGTTTTGTAAAAAAGGCTTATTACCATGCACAAAATACTTTTATAAACGTTTCATTGTACATCATACAATCCTTCTTCAAAGATACTGAATTTCAAAGTACGATACTGTTCAAAGTTAAAAGAGGTAAACAGCTACCAAAATTGTACATTTGAAAACAAATCACATTTGTTTCATCTTTTTTTTTTTTTTTTTATTGGTATTCACTGCTACTAGTATCCTCAATACTGCTAATATCTTCACTACTGCTACTGTCTTCAATTCTCGATTTATGTCCCTTAAGATTATAAAGCCTAATGGTGACATTAAATGAATTTCGGACTTCCTTTGTCAACTAGAAAGGTATAAGAATAAGAAAATATATACAAGAAAAGACACATAAATTTTTACCATCTTTATATAACCTGTTGCGAGCATTTGAATGTGAATTGAACCTGGATCTTGTATTCCGAGGTTACGCATTTCTTCAACAATAGTTTTTACTTTTGCAAACATGTGTGACGCAAAGTGTTTAAAATAATGATACATTTCACCCTTTTTGCAGCACTCAGTCCCAGATACAATACGGTACTGTCCTGCTCATCATTAATGTCACTCAAGATGATCTTGACGCCCGCTGGTTTGTTCGATCTGCATGCTTCACACTTCATGGCATAGTCATAAACGATATCCTTTGTTTGGACCCATTTGGAATATTTATCAACCGTAGACTATAACATAATGTTTTGTTTTTGTCATGTGCGTGTTTGTTTCAAACAATAAGATTACCTTGAATGAGGAAAGCCATACATCACTTGTTACTATTGAATCTTTGTAGCCTTGTATTCTTTTCATTACAGCCTTTTTTGCTAAATCATAGCGAGTTGAAGTTGCTGCAAAAGACGTGTACAAATTTAGTAATTTATTGAATCTCCTCCAACTTACATGAATCGAAAACAGGGTTCAATACTAATCGCACTAGATATTCAATGTAAATCTCCAATTGTCGCTTAAATGACAACACTCTTCCCTTGCTGAACTCCGCTAAAGCAAGCAGGTTATCACTTGATTCTGTGTAATAGTGTATTTACGTGGTAGTTCCATCATGGCTTCTTGAACAGCCGTTTTCTCACCATCAATCATATCATCATCCACAACAAAATCACTCTCTTCTTCACTCTCTTCTTCTTCGCTATCAAAACCACTGACGCTATTAATGCCCATGTCACTATCTTTTGTTGCATAGTCATCAATAGGTCCCTTTTGACCTTTCTCATACTGCGCCAATTTGGATTTACGATCTAGACAATAGTAAGTATTTTTTTGTATTGTATTGTATAATTGACACTACCTTTCAGCTTTTTAAGTGCTTCAGAGTAGCGTGATACTTGTTTACCGCGTGTTCTTTCATTTAATATGTCTAGAAAAGTCAATGCATCTAAGAAAAGCACTGTTTGCATACCTGACTTGTCAAGGAAATTTAAATCATCAATTATGTCCTCTTTCTCTGTGTTCCAAAGTGAGTAAGAAAATAAGCTTTGTTTGTATGACTTGCCTGTGTGTTTCATGGTCGATTTGTCGTCATCATTGTCATCATCACTCTGAATAATACGCTTTCGAAGCCTCTTTCTCTTAGTGTGAATGATTTGTTCTTCTAAACTTGTGTCTGAGTCACTTGTTAAAACAATTTTTTTTGTTCGTTTCCTTGGTATCACTTCTTCCTCTTTTTCTTCTCTATATATAGTTCATCAAAAAATATTCTTTTCTATCTACATATACACACGTTACATTGGCTGTTCAACAGACAATAGCTTCATATCACTTGAAACCTCGGAAGGTGTAACCAGTTCAGGCTCATTTTTGGCCTTGGCTGAAAAATAGTTTAATAGTGTCTGTTGCTTCTTATTCGACATTGTTAAATAAAAAACAAAAAAAAAAGAACAGAAAAAAATTTTATTAATTTAAATATCCTTAAACTTCCAACCACCTTCACCCATTGTATCTACAAACTTTGAATCAGCCTTGGCAATGATCTTTTCACGCAAGTCGCCATAGATTTCTTCTCCAGAAACAGAATCAAAGTACTTGGGACTCCATTTCTCATTGTTGGCCTCACGTTCCTTACGAAGAGCACGTTGATGATTTTCAATGGCTGACTTTTCACTAGAAGCAGTAGCATAATCACCTGCTTTGAGTGCGTCAGACACCTTTTGCCATACACGGCGAGACTCTAATTCATCTTGTTGTTCGACAGCTTTAACATGAGGCTTGGGCTTTTCAAGATTGGTCAAATCAAGGAATTCTTGAGTCTTCTTGTTCTTTGTGATAGTAGACTTGCCAGTCCATTGACCTTCAATTACAGTAGGAGTAGAGAGAGAGCTGTGAGTGATGGTAGCCTTGAAGTGATGAACTTCACCAGAAATCCAACCCTTGGTAGTATATTCAATAGAAGCAAAATATCCACTTGAAGAGTGGACAAATGAAGTACCATAAAGTTCAACGTAGGGAGCTAATTACACATAAAAGTAAGAGAGAGAAGTCATAAAAAGCATACTTACCAGCATACCAAATACCATTGACAGATACAGAGGGTAATGTGAACAAATAAGTTTCGTCACGTTGGGTAAGCTTAAGAGTACAATAACCAATCTGATCCACCAACATTTGTGTGCCTGAAAAACGAGTCTTTTGACCATCATGCCCATTCAAAACCACACCAGCTTCCTTGTTTTCAATATGGAAACCTGATACAGGAGGATGGTGAGAGACTTGCTCACAAACAATACGTGTCTTATCATCCCATTCACAAAGGAATTGTTCACCAAGGATAGGGTTGAATGGCTTCTTTTCCCATTCTCCCTTGGGGACACGGCTAGAGAAAGAACCATTCAAGGAAGAAATAAACCACTTCATAGCTGCATAGAAACGTTCTTCAGCATTATCTGACTTTCCAATGGCACTGAACTAGAGTCGCGTGTCAGTTCTCTCTCTTTCTCTCATTATATTTTTTATTTTTTATATTGTATATGTACTTACAAGAGCAGGTTGATCGGCCCAAAAAGAACTGAGCGATAAAGGATTAGAAGAGATGAAACAAAAGGGATGAACTTACGAATATTCTAACAAGGAAATAGGGGCCAACAAGAAAGAAGGACAAGTCAAGCTAGAAAGGTCGCCAGTAAAGGAAGCCAAGGTCTTTAAAAAAGAAGAGAAGCTACCTTGCTGATCAGCAGGAATACTATCAAGGGTATTGTCTGAAGAAGTCATATTAAGTGAAGAAAAAAGACAATTGTTTATTGTTTTCAAACTTTTTGCCCCTCTCCCAATTTATTTACAAACGGCGTCTCGATATCTATTTTTTTTATGTCCTTTCTCTCTGTGTCTTTTTTTTAACCATATTTACTCTCTTTCAATAACAAACAGGCAGGTTTGCTTTTATACAATTGAGCATGTTTAAAGAAAATACAAGAGGAATTTGCTTGAATATAGTCAGAAACAGTAGATAACAAAGTTACTTGGTTATCTTCCAATTAAATCATTTTGGCTCAAAAGGAAACTGTCACAATGGCTCACTAAAATTAAATCGACTGGACATTTTATTTCATTTGATCATATCCTTAGATATGCATGTCATTAGCTGCCTGGTCTCATTACCAGACCGAAAAGAGTGCCTGAAAAGAAAAAAAAATGAAATAGTATTTTTATGAAAATCATCTTTTCACTTGTGGTTACATATGTTTTACCTTATTTCTTTGACTGGTATTCTTTTTATGACTGCTATGTCCATCGAAACTCATGCATTTTGATGAAGGCACACTCTTTTAACCTTCATTCATTTATTTGTTTCCCTCGAAATAATCATACTATGACATTACATTTTGTTTTTGTACACCTGATATCTGACTTGCAGACTTTTTTTTTTTTTTTTTTTTTTTTTTTTTTTTTTTTTTTTACGTTACTCAATCAAAGCGTAAACGAAGGCTGCAAAGTTTAGTAAAGAGAAAAATGATAGATCACTTTGTCTTGTAAAGAGTGTTTGGTTTTATAACTCCGCTTTTCTTTGCTTCCTCCCAATGCATCAAAATCGAGCTTTTGTACTAAAAAAAAATCAAGCTTTTGTTGAGAACTGCATAAAAGTGAAGTTATTGAGATTTGGTGCAGTAACAGAAGTTGTAGATATTTGTTTTTTGAGTCTTTTGATGTAAAGAACACAGCATCTTTGCTGCTAAAATATCGAGCAAATAGGCAGAATTTTTTACAAGTTTTTCGTTGATACCATCTATTTTCATAGTATAATTGATAAGCAAACATATCCATCAAAAACTAGAGCCTCTGATGGTCATTTCAAGTACTTAAACTTTTCAATATCTCTATTTTCGTCCTGTCATGTCTGAAAGAAGATCAGAAGTTCAAAAAACGAAGATTTTCATGAATACTACCCTTTGTTCGAGAGGTCATCTTGAGCATTTATTTAAAGTCGCTTTTTTTGGTCCAAATCAACTCCAAAAGTACTGTATATGATAGTGAACACCGTTTTTAGGTATTTAGAGTGCTTATGTGTGTATAAATAGGTTTTATACTCCCTTTATGTGACCATATAACACTATATATTTGTTTGTTTTTTTCGATGAATTCAATCTCATTATCAGGTAAATCAAAGTATTAAGAAGGTCTATGTATCTTCTAATGGTATGCGATACACTATCCTTTGCATAACTCAATAAAACTGATGGCACCTTCTAGCTGAAAACAAGTAATTATTCATTGGTTAGTGAATCTGCTTTGTTTTATTTTTTGGACCAAATTAATAGCGACTCATGTTTGTAGTCATTAGTTCTTTGAGCCCATACTGTTTGCATCAAGAATTACTATCTTTCAGAAATAGGCCTGCTTACTATTTAGAGTAAAAAGAGAGAGAGAGAGAGAGAGAGAGAGAGAGAGTAGATGAAAAAAAAACGAAATTACAGGCTGTTAGGGCAAAGTGCTCCGGCTAATTAATATTATCATCCGACCCATCGTTCAATTGCTTGCTGCACTATTTCTTTTTTTTTTTTTTGCCTTTTTTTAACACAAGACTGTTATGTCAGAAACAAGTGATATTATCCAAGTACGTAAAGAAAAGTAAAAAAAAAAAAACATGTATACAGGTGACTAACTCCTCCTATTTGTATAGTCGCTTGATCAGCACCTTTCAGCACTGACAGACACAAGTACTCAAGATAGACCTGTTAAAAAAAGAGCAATAGAAGCTGTCAAAAAGGAAACACAGCAAATAACAAAGCGAAAAGATGCCTCAGCAGCTTCAACTCAATTGCTTGATCATTTACTCGACTCTTTGCTTGTTTCAACTGAGAGTGCTATAGAAAATGTTCGAGAACAAACTGTGGGTGTACTTGTGAGGTAAAGAGAAACAGAGAGAAAAAAAAAGAGAAAAATTAATATTCAGTCCTGTTTAGTTTGATTCAAAACTGCGATCAAGGCAGTATCAAGCAGGATGTTACCAATAAATTATTATTATCTGCCAAGACACGCTTAAGGCAAGAAGAAACTGAGGAAATCCGGGTTATTTGGATAGAGTTATGTACTACGATGATGGTCAAGGTAGAAACAAGTCACGGCGAGTTATGGATGGATATTATGCAAGTTGCTGGACAAGACAGATTTGCTGATGTTCAAAAACAAACAGCTAAATTAATTGTATTGTATGCCAAGCACAACCCCAAGTCCATAGATTATGCTTGTGAGCGGATGGTTCGATTAGTTATACCTCTATTGTTGCATAAACATACGGCTGTGCGAGTAGCAGGTATTAAGGTAGAGTTTGTTTCTCTATGTCCTTTGTTTTCTGATTGTGCCTTAGGCTATGAAAGCTGTCTTGATGGCTTCACCCAAGGGACTCCATTTGCTGTTTGAATATGACCAAGTATTAGACCGACAACCAATTGTGCCTGGACTGATCTATGATACATCGGCTCTGGTGCGTGATCATCTATTTATTGTGCTGGGCAAACTACTTTGTGAATGGAACCCTCGTGATCGATACCAATACGGCGAACTAGTGTTGCCCATCATCTTGTCTGGTACATTGGACGATCTTCCTAGCGTACAAATTACTTGTAAATCAAGCATGTCCAAAGTAGGATTAAGCTGCACACAAGACTTGGTAGGAGCAGGTATCCTTGATACATTTCCTGCAGATGAAAAAGAAGCAGAAATCATAGGTAAGGAACACACTGAAAATTCATATACTCATTTTCTTTTGAAAAAAAAAAGGCATCAAGCATTTGGTCCACATGTGTTATGACAAAAGCGTTTCACAACTAATGCACAGCAGTACTAATTTTGTAAAGGTCAGACAAGAAACAGGCCTCGATTCTCTCAAGCTATTTTTGGAATATGCATCGGTAGACGATCTAGTGAGATCCATTAAGAGGTTGACCCAGTGTCTATTTCAAGTCTATGCCACTACGGAACAAGCATCTATTAAGACGCGGGTGTATGACATATTGACACTTTTGCTTGCACATTTACCTTCACCTGAGATTTGCATAGAAGTGCTGACTCTTAAGTTGGACAGGAAACGCTTGGCAGCCGAGACAGAAGGATTCCCTGGTAACCTCGTTGTTACTGTGACCATGGCATTTTTAGAACACACGCTTTCGTCCAGTACAATGTCAGAAAGTTCGAAGCAGCGCGTCATTTCTATAATGAGCAAACCTTATTTGACTGAATATCTGGATCTGGAGGCAACACAACACTATCAACAAGTTGTCCAAGCTTTCCAGAAAATCTAATAAAAGAAAAAGTCAGTTTATATTGTTTCTAAAATAGTATTTTCTATTCATGATGATATATCTTGGTAGAAATAAACCTATTTTAGATAAATTATCCATTCTTAACAAACAATTCCAATCAGAATTCCAAGCGTAATTCTCTTTCTCTTTGTGGGATCAAATCTAACGGAGTACAAAAAAATCCATATCAAATCTTGTTGAATTCGTATATTTGTTCATCTTATTTGTTCCAAGCTTAAAGAGGAATTACAGAACAAAGAAAAAAAAAGTAAATAGTGGAGCATCTTCTAGATAATTCATCCACAGTCCACTTCTCTCATGGTGAATTTAGAATATTCAATACAGAATGATACGGAGATGCTGAGAATCAATTGAGTGAGTCAACACAAAAGATATATATTTCTTTACCCCACATAAACAGTCAATCTCTTTTTCTTTTTTTCTCTCTACCAAAAAGAGAACTAACAAAAAAAAAAACAAATGACTACTACCATTACCCTTCCTTCTGCTTGTGATTTTCATCTTCACCTTCGTCAAGGTGATATGATGCGTATGGTCACTCCCAAGGTTGAAGAAGGTGGTGTTTCTCTTGCCTATATCATGGTAAAAAGAAAAATATAAGCGTGTTCAATAATAAACTCATAAAGATATAATAGCCCAACTTACAACCTCCTATCAAAAATACAGATCAGGCACTCAAATACAAGGCAGAGCTCGAAGCACTTGCTCCTAACGTCACTTTCTATATGACCTTGTATTTGTCTCCAGAACTCACACCAGAAGAGGTGCGTAAAGCTGCAAAAGCTGGTATTGCAGGTGTCAAGTCATATCCTCGTGGTGTCACCACCAACTCTGAAAGTGGTATTGAGTCCTATGAACTTTACTACCCTGTCTTTAAAGCCATGGAAGAAGAAGGCCTTGTTCTCAACTTGCACGGTGAAATCCCTAGTGATGACAATAAGGATATCTGTGTGATGAATGCCGAAGAAAAGTTCTTGCCCGAACTTGAAAAGATTCACCATGCTTTTCCCAATTTAAAGATCGTATTGGAACATGCTACCACAAAGGCCGCTGTTGATATGGTAAAGCGTTTGGGTGATAATGTGGGTTGTAGTATCACTGTGCATCACTTGCAATTGATTGTGGATGACTGGGCTGGTCAAGCTCATCATTTTTGTAAGCCTGTTGCTAAATTCCCTCATGATCGTGATGCTTTGAGAGATGTTGTAAAGGAAGGTCACCCTCGTTTCTTTTTGGGTACAGATTCTGCTCCTCATCCAATTGCTGCTAAGGAAGGTCCTCGTTCAAATGCTGGTGTGTTCACTACACCTTTAGTTCTTCCTTACCTTGCCAAAATCTTTGAAGAAATTGACTGTCTTGACAGGTTGGAAAACTTTGCTTGTCATTATGGTAGACAATTTTATGGTCTCTCTCAAAAGGCTGGATTCCAAGACAAAAAAGTGACACTGGTCAAGGAATCCAATGTTGTGGTGCCTCAAGGTTACGAAATCTCTGCAACCAATGCTGATTTGGGTGTTGTTGTTCCTTTCTATGCCAATAAGGATATCGGATGGAAGATTGTTGAGAACTTTGTCTAGATTTATTAAAGCAACAAAGTTCTTTTTTTCTTTAAATGAACACCTAAACACTCTGTATCTAATTCATCTTCATGGTTCTTCATACCATCGCCTTCTTTAATGTGACTATAGTGCTTCATAAAGACTTCTTTGTCTTGTTCAAATCGATTGTCTTCAATACTCTTACGAATGGATTTCATGAAATTGTCCAATTGATATACATTATGGCTCATGAGTAAAAGAGGGCCCAACATTTCATGTGCATTCAGTAAGTGATGAATGTAAGCCTTTGAATGAGGCCTTGAACAAGCATCACATTCACAACTAGAATCAAGCACATCAAACACTTGTGCTAATCCACTATCCCACAAATTCAATGTCTTGGCTTCAGATCCGTCTGTCTTTGGATCCTTGAGTTCTTGACCAAACTTGAGAATAATGGCACGTCCCTTTTCAGTCGCTTTGTATGCATAGCTACCATCAAACAGATCAATGCCATTCGAAATGCCTTCTAAAATGCCTTCAGGTGTAGATAATCCATAGCCAAGTCTAGGTTTATCTGCAGGCAAACTATCCGTGGAAGCTTTGACTAATGTACCCACTTGATCTCGATTCATATCCAGTACATTCACAATGAACCCTGTCTGATGTATAAGTTCCTTGCCTTTTTGTCACTGGATTGTTACCTTGCACATCGCGTTCAGCCGTAGCAGCAGCAGATCGGCTACGTTCTTCTACATTGTTGTATCCCATCACAGGTGCAAAGACTGGAATATCTAATTCTTTGGCTTTGATCAAGTTTTGATCTAACCAACGCAACGATCTATCCACAGACTTCTTGATGCGTTTCGCTCTTGCTTCTGTATCGGTAATCACATCTGCCATGGCTGCTACTACATCAGGACGATAGACACTGACTGCTTGATCCCATAGCTCGGGTGTAAATTGACGTACACCACCATGTGTTTCAACAGACAGATATTTGTCTGTATTGAATGAAATAGCTGACATTTTAAGGGGATCACGCATATCACAAAAGATCAAATAGTTCTATTAAGCCTATAAGTATTGATTACAATTAGAGTATACGTCTTTACTTCAAGATGCAGGTATTTATGAATACCATGAGGGTATTTAAAAGAAGAAGGCTCTTTTTGTTCTAAACTGTACAAAGAGAAAAAAAAAGATATGTGTCAATGCTTGATATGAACCTCAGAACATGTTATGTGTTACAATTGTTCCAAAGTGATGTGAGCAAGTTCGACAGGCAATAACTTCAAATTATCAGCAACAAGGTGAGGTACTGAACCGCGAAGGGTATAAGTCATACAGGCTGGTGTCTGTATGGTCTTGTTCTTTTTGGTAAATTCGAGTGTTCCTCTACGAATCATTTTTGAAGCAGAGTTTTCTACTTGTTGTAGCTTAAAGTTGACTACATTAGCCATTTTTTGCATCAAAAACAAAAAGAAAAGGGGAGAAATATTTTTTTTCGAGTGGCTTTTTATACGAAATTTTTATTCAAATTAGATGGGAAGATGTGGTGTTGAAAACTTTTTGGAACGACGTTTACGCAAAGTACCATTGGCTACTTTTTCTTGTCGAGCTACTCTTCTGGATCGCATATCTGCATGTCGGTTACGGTAAGAATCAACAGCACGCTGGATTAAACCTCTTCTTCCAAACAATTGTTCCTTATTTAACCAGCAAATCTTCCAGCCCAATTGGTTGCATGTGGTTTCATAGTCCCATCGGTTGCCGTCATATTCAGACCTGTCTACATTGGCTCTTGGATAAATCTATTAAAAGGAATTAAAAAATTATGCAACATTTCAATTTTGATTTACAGACCGCGTTCTGAATACGGAATTCCATAGCAATATCATCCAGATCCACACTGTCTACATCTGTACGCACAGTGTATTCTTTTACTAAACGATCATGAGAGTACAAGAAAGTGATGTGCTCAATACCATGAATGATTTTAGACACGGGCTCATGTGCTGTCAAGGAAACAACAGAAGCAACAGAAGGCTGGGAGGAAGATCTTTTTCCATGCACCCGTTGTTTATGTGGACGATGCTCTGCTGAAGAGTTTCGACGGCCCGCTTTAGAATCAAGAAAGACAGGCATGGTGTTGGTAGGAAGAGGAGGCGTAAAGATGACGTTATGATTTGATGTATTGTCCATTACAGGTGGAGTAGAATGGATGTCTGAAAGACCAAAATGATGCATAGGTAACATGTCGACATAATTGGAGCTGGTAGGCGTCTGTGGCATGATGCTGCTTAATTCATAGTTTGGATGATGGCCTGTATGTATGAATGAAGACGGTTGTGATTCCATGCGCCATGCTTGTTCTAGCTTAACTTGGTTTGGAAAGTCAGGTGCTGTATTCCATGATTGAAGTATTATGTTCGATTCTAATGGGTGAATGATTGTGTGTGAAGTCTGCCCAAGTGTCATATCTGAAGTAGTCGAAGAACGCCATATGTTGGGCTGAACCATAGAGCTTGTCATGTTCAAATGATTTGATGGTTTATCATAGCTTGTTGGGTCTGTACTCACAGATGAATAAGAGTCTTGACGACTACAGCTGTTTTTAAGCGAGTTCTTGTCATTGACATCTTGTGTGACATACGAGTTGTCCATCATGATAGAGAATAAAGAAGAAAGAAGAAGATAAATGATGACATATGGCTTAAGCTTATAGATAAGACATACAAAGTAACCACCGCGTATTAATCTTTTTTGATGAAACCGGAAATCACTCTATAAGAGAAATTGAAACTTGAATTTACTCGGGGAAAATTCCAAAGTGTGGATCCCCAATGACCAAAATAAGAACAAGGTGTAACGAGACAGTTCAGTTGCCTAAAAAGGCGCTCTTCAAGAATAACTATTTTTACTTTATTGATTTTGCGGAGTAACACTATGCCAAGAAGAAAATCAATTGCAAAGTGTAACTTGAATATATATTGTTCTATCCCGACTATTTTCCAAACATATATAAGGAATAAAATGATCTACTCATGAACTGTACCTTCACTTTCCTTTCAAAAAAAAAAAAAAAAAGAATGCAACTCAAATCAATTACTATCTCACTTGCTGTTGCCAAATTGGTTGCTGTTGTTTCAGCTGATATTACTGCTGCCTCCTACTACAATTCACTTGCCTCAAGCGTGGATCCCACGAATATCACTATCCCTACCCTTGACCAAACTACCAGTTATGATCCCACTACTGAATGTACCTATTACTCCCCTGATAGTTCCTTGGTCTCTATCAATGCCTCTGAGTTCCCTAACATCTGGGAAGTAGCCACTACTAACGGTATGAACACTTCTGCTGAATTCACTGCCTTGTACAACTCCATTGATTGGACCCAAGCACCTGATATCTCTGTCCGTACCCTAGATGCTGATGGTAACTTGGATACCTCAAGTTATGACACGGCTACTGACTCCGACTGTTGGTGGTCTGCTACGACTTGTACTGTCCCTAAACTCTCTGATGTGAATGCTGATATCTACAAGTGTGATGAACCTGAGACGTGGGGTTTGACTTATGATGATGGACCCAACTGTTCCCACAACGCCTTTTATGACTACCTTCAAGAAAAGAGCTTAAAGGCTTCAATGTTCTATATTGGTTCTAACGTGATTGACTGGCCTTATGGTGCTATGCGTGGTGTCAAGGATGGTCACCACATTGCCTCTCACACCTGGTCTCACGCTCAAATGACCACCTTGACCAATCAAGAAGTCCTTGCTGAGCTCTACTTTACTCAAAAGGCCATCAAGATAGCTACTGGTTTGACACCTCGTTACTGGCGTCCTCCTTATGGTGATGTGGATGACCGTGTGCGTTGGATTGCTTCTCAGTTGGGCTTGACTGCTGTTATCTGGAACTTGGATACTGATGACTGGGCTGCTGGTACCACCACTACACTTGAAGCTGTTGAACAGACCTATCAAGATTATGTTGAAATGGGTACCAATGGTACTTTTGCTACTGATGGTAATATTGTCTTGACACATGAAATCAATAACATGACAATGGGTTTGGCTCTTGAATATTTGCCCAAGATTACTGCTGCTTATAAACAAGTCCTTGATGTTGCTACTTGTCAAAACATTTCCTATCCTTACTTTGAAAACTATGCATGGACAAGCGTTTTGAATGGCACTAGTACTACTAGTGACAACTCTACTGAGACTACCACTAGCAGCGACGACTCTACTGAAACTGATGCTTCTACTGCTGCTCAATTGAATGCTGTTACAAACAATGCTGGTGCTCTTGTTCCTGGTATGACTTTGATGGCTGCTTTTGTTGTTGCCTTAGTGATGTAATTTGATAATAATAATAACAATAATAATAACAATAAAAGAAAAACGCATTTATTCAAGCTTACAATTCTTAAATATATCTAGATGGCTTTGAAGAAATAGTACGAATGGTCTTGTATACAGTCACTATAGATGTACGGATCATAGAAGGATGGATTGATTTAATAGCAATATAAGGTTCTTGTTTTGGTATTTCAGGTACCGCTTTTAATGCAGTACGATATTCTTGCTGGTATGTCTTGTTATTGATTTTAAAATAACACCTGTAAAGTGATTCTACCAGGATAGATGTCAAGGCAGGATTGGACTCAAAGCAGAGTTCAAGTGACTTGGTATGTAATCTACGACTCTTGTCTGATCCAGCACGATGGTATATATTGGCTTTGCATTCAAATGTTATTAATTCAGGCGATGCGCTCAATATGCTTTTAAGCATATGGTTTGTGGGTTCAATCGAATGTACTACATTGAATTGCAAAAGACCGATTTTCAAGTGTTTTAGTCGTAGTGTGTGTTGTACTGTAGGCAATGCTTCTGTAGCATACTCAGCTGCTGGTCCATCAATCCCTCTTTCTAGGCCAGACATCTCCAGACTCTGAAGATGAGGGGCATGATTCAGAATGTCCATTAAGAACAAGGGATCATGCCGATACACATGTCTGGATTGCATCACCAATTCCTCTAAATGAATCAAGGATTTTAGGGCATCAAAAAGGCCTGTTTCACCAGGACCACCTCGTTTGCACAACAAGCGTTGCTCGTCAATACGCAGTTTCTTGAGATATCTTGTCTGCGTGGATGTAGCCAGTGCTTCCAATTGACTGCTGTCTGCATCATTCTCAAGGTAAAGTGTCAAGCTTTCAAGTTGAATACCATGTTTCTGCATAGCTCGAAAGACAGGCGATATAAATGCACAACTATGGATATCGAGATGCTTCAAACGATGACACTGTTCAGCTATCTGAATCAATGAAAAAAAGTTTCTTGCAAACACTGATTCCATCAAGGTTGTACCAATCATAGTAAGTGAAGTGAGATGTGGATATTTCTCAGCAATATACAGGATCCATTCATTCAACAGTTCTTCTCGGTCAATCGGATGTGTTGCATCAGAAAACAAGCCTTTTAGCATCAGCTGTGTTGTATTGGCTTTGGTGGTTGGTACAAGCATCATGGTATCTGAATCATCTAAACTCACATTGTGAAAAGAGACACAAGATATGTCTGTGAGTGCTTTGTGGAGTCGTTCTACTACATCATAGCCTAATTCGACTTGATCAATCGTTATTTTCTCGAGTCTTAAATGGCTGAAATAAGGCAGCGCAGTCTGAAAAAAGGCGTCTGGGAGTGTACCATGATGGACGCCTAAGGAAAGAGTCGTCCTGCCTGGTTGATGAGGCGATTCAAGCAGATAAGACCAGATACCAATATCTGTGTTTATTTTTCGACTCTTTTTGATTGATGTCCATTGATTCTCTAGGTTTACACGATTAGGTCCACGCATTGAAAAAGTGTCGATATAGATGTCCATTCTGGATTTCACATGAAATGTCTTGATATGAGGAAATTGCATAGGTAGACCCAATACAAGCGAAAGCGTAATATCATCACAATGAATCGTGAATTCTGTGACTTGTGCTTGGAGTCCTTTTGTCTTGAAGGACTCTACTGTCTGAATAAGTTGATCTTGAGTACCATAAAACGCGATCTTATCATAAAGAATACAACGGTGGGTTGCTTTATGCCAACTCTTACAAACAGAAGCCATAGTTAACTTTTGTTCAAAGCTAAAATCCTTTATGATCATATAGATGATTTCTTTAGGTAATCGATCCATAATAATAATAACAATAAAAAATAAAGAAAGAAAACTTATTTTATCAAACACGTAAAATTATTTTATTTATCCTTGCCAATGAACTAAAATCATCGTCAGTTATCATAAAAAGGAACTACTCTTTTTTCTTTTTTTACCTGGCAATTCATTTCCAGGAATAAACAGTCTTTCAACACCATCTTTTGTGATCACTGCTAAACGAATAACACCACCTGAGGATCCATCACGAGACATAGCCAATGCCAAAGCTAATGGTATATTAGAAAGCAGAATAAAAGTGTATTTAAAAAAAAAAAAACTTACAGTGCTTGACAAATTCTATGCATTCTTCACGTGACATATCATCTCTATAAGTGGCATCACAGTAACCATAGATATAAGTTGAACCAGAGCCTATTCCATAAGATCAATACATGACAAGGAACACATTATCACATACCACCAATAGCAAAGGGTTGCTTATGTAATGAACCACCAAGGGGAATGTTGTACACAGCAGGTCCTTCTTTCTTATCCCAACCAGCAACAATAATACCAGCTGAAAGGTTATCTTTATTTTGATAACATAATTCTTGGAATAATGCTGAAGCTGTGCGAACAGAAGGTGCTTCATTTTCATTGACACTGTTTTTTTTGGATGAGATATAGAACAAGTCACCCTACGTTACTTACGTATACATTTGAAGGTAATAATGAACAATATCAGCTACTGCTTGTGTATCAGCAGCAGATCCAGATCGACAACAGTAAATAGTATCATGTACCTTAGTCAATTTGTCTGTGACTCGGTTGGCAATATAAGCACCTGTTGTTGTACGCGAATCTGCACCAAGAATGACACCATCTTTAAAAGCAACTGCCATAATAGAGGTCTATTCAAACAAGTGAATATACTGTGCATATAAACAAGTATAGCTTACACCAAGGTTCACTTCTCCTTTTTTCAGACTCATTGTGTATATATGTAAAAGGGAAAGAAAATAAATGCGCTTCTATTTAACGATTACGCGTTGTAATGGATTCACACTTCAAGTAGGCTGATGTCATCAAGTGATGCATTAGATTTGATTGGTCCATTCTTTGATGCTTTCTGTGATGCTTTCTGTGATGCTAAATGCAATGTTCTACTCTGCCTTGCACTCTTCACTAAGCTTACAAATGAAAGATATGCCAAATATAGCGATAATCATTTTATATAGAAAGTGATTATGTTATCATTCACGGAACTAGGCTACCGAAATCAATTTTAAGGCACCATATGACGGACTTTTTTTTTCTGCAGATCATGCGAGGATTAGAAATATGACAATTTCATTCATGCTTTAAAAGGCAACTGGCCCCCTCTGTCTGTCTTTGTTCTTATCAAATTCTTATATAAATGAGGAGACACAAGCATTCCCCTTTTTCTTTTCTTTTCTCTTTATTTCTTTCATTATGTCGAATTATGGTTCAATACCCTTAAAACAACAATTATCAAAAGCAGAGCGAGATTTACTTCAATCAGATCGACCTGGATATGGATCACATACAAAAGTAGCGGTAGCTCTTAACCTTGTGAATGCCACAGTGGGTGCAGGTATTATCGGCCTACCCTTTGCCATTGCCCGTGCTGGATTCTTCACAGGTATCCTAGCATCTATCGTTGTGGCTGCCCTGGCTCAAATTGGCCTTTTTATGCTGATTCTTGCTGGACAGAGAGTTGGCATCTATAAATTCGCTTTGTTGGTCGAATATTTGTTAGGCCGACCCGGTTATCATTTCCTTAACTTTATGATTTGTGTTCAGGCTGGGGTGGTACTGTCAGTTATTTTATTTGTAAGTCAACCAAGTAACCTCTTCATCATAAAACTCAACTCTATTTAGTACTGGGTGATAGTCTGCCTATGTTATGTGAACGCTATTTACCTCAATGGCCATTATTAGCTAACCGTACATTTATTCTTGTCTTTGTTGGCATTGTTTGTGTAAGTAGTAGTGTGTGTGTGGATAAGATATATGAAGCTAATGATAAAAATAGATTTTGCCATTAAATATGTCAAGATCGATTGGTTCATTGGCTCGTTGGTCCATTGTTTCCGTCCTTTGTCTGCCTGTTATCCTATTGACGATTTTGATTCGTGCACCTGCTTATGCACCTAAGGAAGGTATTTCACTTGAATGGGTGGGTCAAGACGTCTTTGGTGCACTGGGTATCATGGCATTTGCCTTTACTTGTCATCAAGTGGCCTTTAATAACTTCTTGACTCTCAAAGACCAAACCACTACGGGCTGGAAACATACCACTCTTTTGTCCACAGGTCTAAGTTGGCTCATTTCTATGACGTTTGCTGTTATTGGCTACATGTGCTTTGGATCTCATGTTCAGCCTAACCTGTTTATGAATTTCGCTAGTGATGATCCTATTGTGAATCTAGGTCGTCTTGCTCTGAGTGTCAGTATGATCCTCACCATTCCGTAAGTAAAGTGCTATTACCATGTTCATGACTAATCCCCCCCTCCCCTTTTTTTAGTATGGGCATCTTTCCTACTCGAGAGGCCATTCAAAAATCCTTGGGATTCGAAACCGCCACACAACAACCTACAGATACACAGCACTATGCCGTCACGTTTGTTCTGTTTGGTGCCTTGTTAGGGTGTGCTGTTGCCGTCCGTTCCTTAGGCACTGTCTATTCGCTTGTCGGTGGGTTTTCGGCAACCACACTCGCCTATATTTTACCTGCAGCTGCTTATCTGGTCACCCGCAGCACGTATCTTAAAAACATCAGTGCCCAGGCCAATATGCCCAAGAATTTCATTGGTGTCTTCCCAACCCTCACGGGTTCCACCATCCTTACACCTGATGAATCTGACCTCAAAACCCCTATCTTATGGGAGACAGCCAGCTGTTCTTCTTCTCGTCAAATACTAATAGATGATGATGTCTCTACTGTCAATAGTGATCTTTTAGAGAATGATGTGATTGATATTTCCCTTCGTCCTCGTTGGTGGTTAGATATAGCGGCTGTCTTATTGATCTTATGGGGATTTGTCGTCATGTTCTTTTCTATCTCTGCTACACTTCAGGGATAATTACATTTATATAATATACCAATAAAATGACATACAGCTATCCTTTATTTTTATTTTTATTTTTTTAATGGCGAGTATGCATACGCTATATAGGAATTTAGCATATGACATCAATCAGGACTGTGTACTTACTCTTCCTTTTTTATTCACGGAGATTGTCTTGTTAGAAACAGGACCATGGCCTCCATGGACTAAATTAAATTTATCTACTAAATCATTGACTGTGTTCAATCCCTTGGTGATTGAAGCTAAATAAGCAACCAAGAGGACATCATTGTATTCCTGATCAAATGAGTCACGTGCTCACATCTTGTATTGACCACTTACGGTAGTGAATTGTTCTTCAAATGCCTTTTTTTCTAAAATAGGAGATCTTTTACAGAGACTGGATATTTGACGCACCACATCATGATCCATAGGCATCACACCTGATGCTATATCTTCTAAATACTGTAAAAGGAATTGAATTCGCGTATGCAACATGGCAATAGCATTTCTTTGTGTTGTTAAATGAGAAATCACTTAAAAAAAGGGGGGGGATTAAGCAAGTTATATTTATCCATTCAACAACTTACATGTACTGCCAAGGCCTGTTTCTGCACTGGATGAACTGGGTTTAGCCACGTGATCTACTGCAATACGCTCTGCTTCGCCTGTCTCTACTTTATAGTCTGCCTTGATAAATGCAAGTCGAGTACGTTCATTCACAATGTCCATGATAGATTCATAAATATCGACAGGGAATTCCTTCACACCACCACTTGTGGTCAATGTATTTGGATCCAACTGTAAAAACAAAGCAGATTCATTCAGTTGAAGAAACTGACGAGTATAAGTACGACTAGTATACACTAAACAACTTACTTGTTCATGGAGTCTTAGGTCTGTCTCAGAAGGTGTTGATCCAAGTGAATACCAGCCCATAAAATCAAGCGTTGGGAACACTTGTTTTACTATACTTGCTTATCAGCATATCTTTATACACCTAATTGACTTACATTGTTCTAGTTTATAGAGTAAAAAGGACTTGTCTAAAATGACATGCGGGTCTTGCTGAGAAGCAAGTTCAAATGAATTGATGATATCAATATCACGTCCTGATTGAGAAGCTAATAAAGCACCATACATTTTACCTATGCTTTGAAGTAAGTCTAGCAGTAAAGAAATAAATGACGTACCATGTTCAATAATAGAAGGATTCTGTAGTTTAGTGCGTGTATAATGGTCTGATATGTTTAACAACACAAGAGGATGACTAGAGGCAACTCAGTTATTTATTCTGTATCAGTATATTAACTTACACAGATATAGACAGTCCTGAACTACTAGGAATATCCAACACAATCGAGTTATTGGGTTCTTCTATAATGTCCATAGCATTGCTCATTGTATAAAAATAAAAAATAAAAAGCAGGTCTGTATCATGCATTATGATTTTTTATAGATAGTCAACAAAGTGACGCGTTTTCTCTTTTATATGGAAGCCCTCCTTTTGTGTTGAGGACTCAAGCAAGCCTATCTATCTCTTGCTATCCTTAGTATTGAATAGACGAGCAAGTATGTCGATCATGCAATTGAGCCCTGAGATGCTGTGTTCCTAATTAGGAAATGACTGAGAAATAATTTTCAACCCTTGACAATTCACTTTTTTTTTTTTTTTCCTTGTTTACATCAATGTCTACTACAAGAGAACTCAGTCCTTCTGTCTGCTTTAACTTTTCCTTCTTTAAGGGTATGTAAAACAAACAATAACAAAAGAGCTCATAGAAGGATAGAATACATGAAAGAATTGCGTAGAGTAGACGATAATATCATCAATCGACTCAATTCTACCTCTACACAAACAGAAGGTGCTTGTGCAGACTTCTTTAAACAAATGTCAGATGCTTATTATAAGCGTGACGAAGCTATTGATTATTGTCTCAAGGTAAAACACACTGTTGAATGCAACCAAATGTACTGACATGAAGACAAGTTGATGGATGAAGATCTCGACAGACAAAACAAGAAATTACAAGAAGATCCCGACGACTTTGAAGTCAAGAACCATATCTTCACTCAAGAATCCATGGTAGGTTGTTGAGAGTGTTGTATATACAACTCATGACTTGTATTAGCGTCAATCTGTATCCAATGAAAGATTTGTTGAAGAAATTGTGCGTGAACGTACTTTACAAGTCTTCAAGACAAAATGTAGATCCTTTGATGTTACTACTTTAGAAAAATAAAATTTTTTTTAATATAGATTCATGAAAGAGAGAAAGAAAAAAAATGCGGAGAGAAAAAAAATGTATATATTTTAGTTTAGTAGAAACCCTTGGCGTGGTTATCACAGACATCACGGAGCTTAGCTTCGAGTTCCTTGGAGAGAACACCCTTGGTACGGATTTCTTCAAGGACATCACTGTGTTGAGTAGCAACGTGGCTGATGAAATCCTTTTCCCAATCAACAACCTTGTTTACAGGGATCTTATCGAGGTAACCGTTAACACCAGCAAAGATGATGGGAACTTGAGCTTGGATAGACAAGGGAGTGTATTGAGGTTGCTTCAACAATTCAGTGAGACGAGCACCACGGTTCAACAAGAATTGAGTGGAGGCATCCAAATCAGAACCGAATTGGGCGAAAGCAGCAACTTCACGGTATTGAGCCAAGAAGAGCTTCATGGAACCAGCAACTTGCTTCATGGCCTTGGTTTGAGCAGCGGAACCGACACGAGAGACGGAAAGACCGACGTTAATGGCAGGACGGATACCCTTGAAGAAAAGTTCGGCTTCCAAGAAGATTTGACCATCAGTAATGGAAATAACGTTAGTGGGGATATAGGCAGAGACATCACCACCTTGGGTTTCAATGATGGGAAGAGCAGTCATGGAACCATAACCGAAGCTCTTGTTCATCTTGGCAGCACGTTCCAAAAGACGAGAGTGAAGATAGAAGACATCACCAGGGTAAGCTTCACGACCAGGAGGACGACGAAGCAAGAGAGACATTTGACGGTAAGCAACAGCTTGCTTGGACAAATCGTCATAGATGATCAAGGAGTGACGACCGTTGTCACGGAACCATTCACCAATAGCGGCACCAGAGAAAGGAGCAAGGTATTGAAGAGGAGCAGCTTCAGAAGCAGTAGCAGCAACAACAATAGTGTACTTCATGGCATCTATAGGATATACATAAGAATACAGGTGCATATATCTAAATGAACTTACCGTTTTCTTCAAGAGTTCTGACAAGTTGAGCAACAGTAGAACGCTTTTGACCGACAGCAACATAGATACAGTACAACTTCTTGGCTTCATCAGAACCGTTGTTCCAGTTCTTTTGGTTCAAGATGGTATCGAGAGCGACAGCAGTCTTACCAGTTTGACGATCACCAATGATCAATTCACGTTGACCACGACCAATGGGGACCATGGAATCAACAGACTTGATACCAGTTTGCATAGGTTCGTTGACAGAGTGACGAGGCAAGATACCAGGAGCCTTGACTTGGACACGAGAACGACCAGCAGCGTCAAGAGGACCCTTACCATCAATGGGGTTACCGAGAGCATCGACAACACGACCGAGGAGACCAGGACCAATAGGGACATCGACAATAGCACCAGTACGCTTGACGGTATCACCTTCCTTGATCAAACGATCGTTACCGAAAACGACAATACCGACGTTATCAGCTTCCAAGTTAAGAGCCATACCCTATTGTATCGTGTTAATCATTATGCTCTCAATCATCCTGTTTTCTCTGTCATATACCTTAAGACCGCTGGAGAATTCAACCATTTCTTCAGCTTGACAGTTCTTCAAACCGTAAACACGGGCAATACCATCACCAATGGACAAGACACGACCGGTTTCTTGGAGGTCAACTTCAGAGTTGGCGCCCAAGATACGTTGTTCGAGGATGGAGGAAACTTCAGAGGTAGAAGGCTTAGCAGAAGCATAGTTTCTGAAAGCAACAGAAGCAGCACCAAGGTTAAGACGCTAACAAAAAAGAAAAATGTAAATAAGTCGTGTCGTTTTTATGGAATGACTTACAGCAGGAGTAGATCTGGCAAAAGCAGCCAAGGTAGGGCGTGCGAGACGAGTAGCGTTTCTCAACATGGAACCTATATTAAAATAGTGGGAAGGAGAGAGGGGTTGAAAAACAAAAAAAACAAAACTGGGGGAAGGGTGGGGGGCAAGCTTATTCAGACTCCGGTTTCATCAAGTGTGACTGACAAAACATTTGAATAGGCGACGCTCTTTTTTTTTTTTTAGCACACTGATCCGAAATAAAAATTAACTGTTTGTAGTCATTTGAACTCAGCAACAAAGGTATTATGATACAAGAACCCTTCAATTTACCAAGATGATACTTAAATGCACTTAGTTCTTTATAGAGGATTTGTCGAAATGTTTATTCTAAGACAACATAAGAAGAAAAAAATTGATAACGAGTATGACCGCCTTTGGCATTAATCACGGCTTGGTATTGGTAGTATGAATATAATGAGTTGAAACAATTATGCAATTAACAAAACAATGGTATTCAGCTATCCCCTCGTATTCATGTGACTATTTCACGTATACTGGCTAACATATGTTACTAATTAATCTCTCTTTTATCTTTCTTCTATTCTCTGCTCTTTCTTATAATCTAATTTTCGCTTGTTTTTCAACACGAAATTTTTTCCCCATAAAGTGTGAGTCCTATGTTCATTTGTCTCATATTTGCATTATAAAATGCCTATAATTTCATTTTCCCATGATATTTGACACTTATAATAGTATGCAATACTTTATGAAACTCTATACCTGATGCATTTTATATGGCGTCCAGGGTAAAAGCGCTCAAATCAAGGCTTAAACATATCATTTTTTGATGTGCCATTGCTCGGCAACTAGAAACTGAATGGTACAATTGGTTTGATAGCTACGTGAGAACTATTCTATGATCCATAGGGACTTACAAGAGCTTTCGAATATAAAAAAGAAGTTCATCAAAAATTTCTGAATGTCAGATTGACCCTAATGTAGGTCTAATCTATTCGATATGATGCGAGACCAGTTCTGAATAATTTTAACAGAAAGAAAACGAGTTTACTGAGACGAAAAAGTTGAATCAGTCTAAGTATTGCCTTCGAATCTGCATTCAAAGTTCATTATACACTGTAACCAGTACAAAAGAGGCCCTTCTCAGTAGATACTGATTAGTAGATTAGCACTTTTTTTATACATCATTTGATGCGTAAAATATAAGCGAGCATATCGCTCTGTAACACTTGGCAATTTTGAGGTCAAAAGGAAGAGTTTTGGACACAATAAACAATAGATACCTTGAAAGAAGCGGGTTCGATATTTAAATGTCGACCTTCTCTCTTTTTTTTGTTTGTTCTTTTTTTTTTTCTTGCTAGATATCACCTTTGTGGCTAGAAGTGCAAAAACCTATAGATATATCAGAAAGACATATTAAGCAAGGTTTACAGTCTTGTATTGCATATTGAGCGACGTAGAGCTAAATAGCTACTTAATACTAAATGTCTACTGAAAAGGATCTCTCTTGTACTACTTACAGTGTGCAACAAGCTTTGAATACAGATTTGATGGAAATTTTGAAATAAATCCAACCTTTCCATTTTAGCAAACCTGCTTTCTTTTTGTCAGAAGTACCCAAAAATGGTCTCATTTCATATCGGCTGGATCAGATTTACATTGGGTCAATCTGACTTTCCAACATCTCATTAAAAAGATACTTGATTCCCTTAAAAAAAGGAATGGGGATGTTTGCTTATAAAAAATGTCAAAGCGTTGGGAAACTTAGTTTAACTTTATGATGTACGCTATATTAAAAGTGGCCTTTGGTGTATGTATTAGATATGGTATAAATTGCCATATACCCACAACTCCAATTTGGTTACTGACTTTTTCTGTAGTAAAAGATACATCCAGCTCAAAGGTATATTGTCATTTGTATGATTCAATGAAATCAATGGTATGTTTTCTTAAGAAGAACATCAAACATCAATGCACATTTATACACTTAAGAGTATTTTCTCTTGTTACACATGCCATTTGGATTACTTTATTGACTATTGAATTTATTGAAATATGTATATGTATATCTACAAAATGGACAACCACAGCATCAGATAGATTGCAAAGATGCAATAATTCTTGAAGCTATAACTTGTTCAAAATCAAAACAAATCTACCTCAAATACAAAGTCTTAGGACTGGAAGTCACTCAAGGCCTATCATTCATCATCAAATGCCATTTAATAGCAAGGAATAGCAAAGCAGTAGAGAAAAATGTATGTGTTTTGAATTTTCAAAATTAATTTGCTCCTTAACGTAATGGACTCAAAAAAACAATTCTTATCAGTTTTTTGACCTTTTTTTTTATATAATATCTGCAAAATTTATGTAAATTTTTTGACAAAATTTATCTTAATTTTTTGACAAAATTTTTTTTAATCTAATTCTTTCAAAATTAAAGGCACTGCAGCATAAGCGATGGAAGGAATCTTCCATTGAATGTAGAAATGGAAACTTTTGGCTAAACCTCTACTCAAATATGAAAGATTTCTTCCACCGATGGAAGAAAAATGCAAATCTAAAAATGGTTGATTTCCATAAATGTTTTTCTGTTGGCATAAGTAGCATACTTGCGCATTGATATTAATTTTGTTAAATCCATACTCAAAGTTTGTTAATTTATTGATTTTATAGAAAAGACCCCTTTGAACACATAGCCTTTGACTGCTCGAACTCAACCAATACATAAGAATGGCTTTACTAAGCTAAAAACATCTTAAGAGAACAAGGGCAAAAAAGAAATACAGAGGAGAGCGTTGATCCAGTGGTGTGTCTGGGCGTGGGTCTGTAATCAGAGAAGAAATGGAAACATTTGGTTGGATGTTAGAAGGAGTAGATTGCTTGTGATAGCATGTTACATAAAGGTAATTTGAGATAAAAGTAAATGTATAGAGGTCCATTTTGTATTTCAATAAAGTATAGAGCGGTCAGTCTTGTGTATCTCTGTGAGGAAACAGTTTACAATCCTCTGAAAGACAAAGAGCTTAGTCAAGGACACTTTTGCATTCTTTGAAGCCACCTTGAGTAGTGTCTAAGGACGATGCTTGGCCTTGGAGAAGTCCCTTAATAAATTTTTTGAACTTTCTTCTAAAATCAGTAGCCAGACTAATTAGGCAGTAACTGGCTGGATCAGTCGGGTTGCCTTTCTCATGAATTGGAACTGCTTGCGACTCGTTAATAGTGAGGCGTGTATGGCTAACACTAGTATAGATAAAAAGCATAAAAAATTATGGTACCACTAAAGCTTGTGACATTTATACAAAGGGTAAAGCTATAGCCATAAAAAGACCACGGTAATAGCCGTAGATGTCAGAATGTAATGGATTTACCAAAAAAAAAAAAAAAAAAAAAAAAAAAAAAAAAACATATATTTTAAATTTCGATAATATTTATGCCAACATTCGAGTATGCCACTTGTGTACTAAAAAAAAAAAAATCTACAATGACAAAATAAAAAAGTAGAAAACTTCTGATTTTTCTGCCTAAAATTAAAAAAACAAGCTTGTTTTTCAATCTTTCTGTTTTAAATATAAAACAAGTCTACCAGATGATAATCTTACTGTTTTAGTTTAAAGAAGAGATTACTGGTTGGTAGACTCGGTTTTTATCTCAAAACAGAGAAATCCAAAAACAAGCTTGTTTTTTTAATTTTAGGCAGAAAAATCAGAAGTTTTCTACTTTTTTTATTTTGTCATTGTAGATTTTTTTTTTTTTAGTACACAAGTGGCATACTCGAATGTTGGCATAAATATTATCGAAATTTAAAATATATGTTTTTTTTTTTTTTTTTTTTTTTTTTTTTTTTGGTAAATCCATTACATTCTGACATCTACGGCTATTACCGTGGTCTTTTTATGGCTATAGCTTTACCCTTTGTATAAATGTCACAAGCTTTAGTGGTACCATAATTTTTTATGCTTTTTATCTATACTAGTGTTAGCCATACACGCCTCACTATTAACGAGTCGCAAGCAGTTCCAATTCATGAGAAAGGCAACCCGACTGATCCAGCCAGTTACTGCCTAATTAGTCTGGCTACTGATTTTAGAAGAAAGTTCAAAAAATTTATTAAGGGACTTCTCCAAGGCCAAGCATCGTCCTTAGACACTACTCAAGGTGGCTTCAAAGAATGCAAAAGTGTCCTTGACTAAGCTCTTTGTCTTTCAGAGGATTGTAAACTGTTTCCTCACAGAGATACACAAGACTGACCGCTCTATACTTTATTGAAATACAAAATGGACCTCTATACATTTACTTTTATCTCAAATTACCTTTATGTAACATGCTATCACAAGCAATCTACTCCTTCTAACATCCAACCAAATGTTTCCATTTCTTCTCTGATTACAGACCCACGCCCAGACACACCACTGGATCAACGCTCTCCTCTGTATTTCTTTTTTGCCCTTGTTCTCTTAAGATGTTTTTAGCTTAGTAAAGCCATTCTTATGTATTGGTTGAGTTCGAGCAGTCAAAGGCTATGTGTTCAAAGGGGTCTTTTCTATAAAATCAATAAATTAACAAACTTTGAGTATGGATTTAACAAAATTAATATCAATGCGCAAGTATGCTACTTATGCCAACAGAAAAACATTTATGGAAATCAACCATTTTTAGATTTGCATTTTTCTTCCATCGGTGGAAGAAATCTTTCATATTTGAGTAGAGGTTTAGCCAAAAGTTTCCATTTCTACATTCAATGGAAGATTCCTTCCATCGCTTATGCTGCAGTGCCTTTAATTTTGAAAGAATTAGATTAAAAAAAATTTTGTCAAAAAATTAAGATAAATTTTGTCAAAAAATTTACATAAATTTTGCAGATATTATATAAAAAAATATTGTTTAAAGCATTTATACTCTTACACGAACATACTTTCGTGCTTTTTAATATGATTATATAATGTGGTGCGATTAGTCTTGTCTTCTTGACAGACATGGCAACGAAATGTACGCAACACACAATTCATAAATTCAACAGAAGATAAAGAAAAGAAATACTACTAAAACAGGAAGGATTTCTTCGTTTTTTTTTATTTTATAATGATGTAAAGTATATTTATATAATAACCTTATTCCGGCAGCTGTGAAACTGGTTAACAAAATACTGAATGATATTCTGAAGGTATTCAACAGGCACGGCCTCACTAGCTTCGATAATTCTTGTAGTAAGTGTTTCAACATCTTTGAGCATATTGCGTTTTATTTTACCTTTAAGAATTACACGGAAATTTTCGATAGGGTTAAGTTCGGGCGAATAGCGAGGAAGGCACAAATGTTAATTTGAAAAATTGCAAAAGTTTCCCAAATGCTGTTATTTGATTTTTCACAATACGCTATTTGGAAATTTTGTACACGCTCATTGAGATTTTGAGAACCACTGATTGGATAATGTTTTTCACGCTTATTAATTTTTTATTTTTATGACAATTGGATTTTCAGAAACCGCTGAAATACGCCATTTAGGACCGCGCACTGTACATCTTTTCTTCTTGATTGTAAAAATGTCTGATACTAAAATGCAATATGTTCGTTTTGGAAACACGGGTTTGCGTGTGAGTAGTTTTTTTTTGCATGTATTTTATTTATTCATGAAACGCTTTTGATAGGTTTCTCGCTTGACTTTAGGATGCATGTCATATGGTACTTCCAAGTGGCAGTCTTGGGTCAAGGACGAAGAAGAGTCTCTCGGATTGATTGGAAAAGCTTATGACGCAGGTATCAACTTCTTTGATACAGCCGATGTCTATTCCAATGGTGAAAGCGAGCGTATTCTCGGTAAGGCTATCAAAAAGTTCAACATGCCTCGGTCCCGTATCGTCGTCGCCACCAAGGTTTTCTTTCCTTTGACTGAATCCAACAGTCTTGCAGCCGGCGCAAACAATGATCAAAACCCAGACTTGGTCAATCGTCATGGGTTGTCTCGTAAGCATATCTTTGATGCTGTCGATGCTTCTTTGGAACGGCTGGGTTTGGATTATATTGACTTGTATCAAATCCATCGTGTTGATCATGTAAGTATTAGCAGTGATGAAAGGAATACGGTAGCTTATCCATGTAAAGAATACACCTTTTGAAGAAACAATGGAAGCATTGAATGACCTAGTTCGCTCAGGAAAAATTAGATATATTGGATGTAGCTCATGTTATGCATGGGAGGTAAACTTTATATGTTCACCAATGATAGAAAGGGTTAAACAGTTTTTGAATAGTTCCAGAAGATGAACAACATTGCCGAGAAACGAGGTTGGGCTAAATTCGTCTCGATGCAAAACTGTTACAACCTCATTTACCGTGAAGAAGAACGAGAAATGATTCCCTACTGCAAAGACGCTGGTATTGCTATCATTCCTTGGTCTCCTTTAGCAAGAGGTGTTTTGACTGGCAAGAACCGTAACACAACACGTACAGAAAGCGATAAAGCTATTGAGAGGTTCTTTACCAAAGAGCAACAGAGCAACGACTTTGTTATTGATCGCGTAGTTGAAATTGCTGAGAAACTTGGTCATACTCCTTCGCAGGTAAGTGAATCAATGCCTTTCTTCTTTGATTTCTTATACCTTGATTTAGATTGCATTAGCATGGATGTTGCATAAACCTGAGGTTACATCCCCTATTGTAGGTATTGGTAAAGAACATCATTTATACGATCTCATTGGTGCGCTTGATGTCAAATTGAGTGAGCGAGACATAAAATATCTTGAAGAGCCATATGTTCCTCGCAATCTTATTCCTATGTAAATTTCTGTTTCATTGAAATAAAATGAGGTTTTATAACAAAAGAGCACATTTCTATAGCTGTGTTTCTTTTGACATTATTCTAACATTGATCTAATTTTTTTTTGTTGATTCTTGCACCAACCTTTCCCTTACTGGACTTCATTAGAAATAAATTAATGATAAATAGTACAATTTATTGATAGCAATGATGATATAAAAAATTAAAAATGAAATCGTGTCAACAAGAATCGACTTAAGCTACAGGAGCACCTGTCTTGGCAAGAGCAGCAGTAATCAAACTGGCGTGAGACCAAGTCAAATCGCGAGCACCAGTCATGACACCGCTATCACGACCGAATTGTTCAGACATAGAACCATTGGTGGCAGCATGAACCTTAACAGTAGAGAAGAAATTGTCAGCAGCAAGAGCAACATTTTGAGTCAAGGTGTTAAAGGCAGAGGTACCAACAGTGTACTTGGTACCAACAGAAGCACTGCTATCAAACTTCTTGAAGAAGTTGAAGTTAACATTAGTGACGGTGACACCACCGTTGTTGGTCCATTCCTTGATAGCACGGTAGTAGAGCTCAGCATAAGTATTAGTGGCAATGAACCAAGGGTTACCTTGAGAGTTACCGTTACCATTGTAAGTGTCTTCAGGGTATCTACCGATAGAGTTACCGAGCCAGCTGGGCAAGTTTTGGTTAACACCGTAAATAGAAGCAAATTTACTTTCAACAGCAACAGCAGTAGCGAGAATTCTTTCGGAACCAGGAGTGTAGAAACCGTCATCGAGACTACCAACATTAGCAGCAATCAAGTTAGCAACATCATAACCAGCCTTGTTGACACCACCAGTGACGCTTTGACTGACAGCAACATAGTTGTTGGAAGAAGACCAGAAGGTGTCAATCTTGGTCTTGATAGAGTTGGCAGTGTTGGTGTAAGTACTGGCACGAGTAGAATCACCGTTACGAGAAGCAAAGTTGGCACCCAAAATCAAAGAACGACGCATGACCATCAAAGTGTAAAAGTGAACACCATTAACTTCTTCCCACAAATCGAAACAACCGTTAGACCAAACATTGACAACGTAGTCCAAATCCTTGTAGATAGCAGGACGCAAGGTACCAGTTACATAGGTAGCATCACCAGTTTGTTTCAAGATACTGTCAGCAATCAAGATGAATGTATCAGCACGTTCAGCAGGGCCATCATTTTGAGGACGGCCCCATGCACCGCTGTAGCCAGAACCATCCTTGTTAAACTTGGGTTCACCGAGACAGTTACAGATAGTAGAAGTAGATTGAGAGTTGACAGAGAAAGTAACATAGTCCTTCAAAAGACCAAGGTAAGTGCTGTTACCAGCTAAGGTACGGTTGTAGTCATTGGCAATAACATGGCCGACTAAAGCAGCATCACGGGTCCAGGCATAGAAATAGTCAGGGTTAGCAGTAGACAAAGAAGCAGCAATGAAACCCTTGACAGTACCAGCAGGGTTGATGTTACGGAGCATGGCAAAACGACTGGTTTCAATTTGACCCTTGAGCCAAGAAGAAATGGTAGAGTTGCCAGAGGGGAAGACAGTACTTGTAGAAGTAGGGCCAATGGTAGTAGTAGTCTTGGTGGCTCCAGAAGAAGTAGTGGTAGTAGTGGTAGTAGGGGTGCTTGCACTCACTAAATTGATACAATTAAAGCCTTTGTGTTAGTGTAACTGATATTTCATGCAACATGTGAATTACATACCTTGATAGTTCTTTGTACCATTGTTATCATAGTAAGTCTTGCCAGCAACGACATACTGAATACAGATGATGATGTTAGTAAAGCTAATTTGTCATACATGTTTCCTTTTTTTTTTATACCTTGATATAGAATTGCTTGATGCTAGGAACAGAAGAAGAGAAAGTCCAGTATTCGTAATTGCTACCTGAAATAGAAGAAGAATAGCTGGCAGCAATGGTGTTACCATTGTTATTCCAGTTATCAGAGCCATCAGAGTAAACGACAGTAACAGTCTTTTCGTAAGCAATGTTTTGAACCTAAAGCAAATTCAGAATGACTATTCGCTTCCTCTCAATTACTTACATAAATTTGACCTGAAAGAGTAGAGCCATCATAGTTGAAGGACTTAACTTGAACTTGAGCTGAAGTAGGAACAGTTTCAGCTACAACAGTAACAGTCAAGTAAGTGACAATGAGAAGGATAGGCTTCTTAAAAAGCTTGGAGAAAACCATATTGTTTGATGATGATAAAAAAAAAAGAATTGCTTCAAAACTTGTCCTTTTTATATAAAAAACATTTGACACAGAAAGAAAAACTCAGCTCTTTGCACAAGAAGCAAACTGAATTCGACAAGAAAAAATAAGAATAAACTTTCAAAGAATGTTAGACTGTATAATAACATTGAAGCAAATGTGAATTTCCGGTATATTCTTTTGTTTCCCTTTTTTTTCAGCCATTACCCAAACACAAAAAAAAACTTGTATTAGCAATGACGGATAGGCTTGATCGAGCGTATACAATGTACAATCTGAGAAATTTTCATGCGCAACAATACATACTATATGCCGATCATGTTTCCCTCTTTTCTCTCTTCCGAGGTAGGCTCGACTTATTGTTTTGTACACAATAGAAAAATGTCAATACTCGCCTATTCCCCACAGTTTAATTTTTTCCTTTTCAGGTATACATTTGTAGAACAAAGGTAAAAGAACTGGAACAACTTTTCGTTGTTTAACAATGACACAAAATAGACCGTTTCATCTATTCTGTGTTTTCCAGCAGTTAAGAATCGTGTGGACGTTTCCTGAAAGATGAAGGGAGGTTTAGTTAGAATCCATTATTGGTAGATTCATGCGTTGATGTAACAATGGGATTATGCATATCTCGATTTTATTACCTTGTGATTTTTCACATCATTTAGCCTATGGAAGAGTACAGCAAGACGGTTCAAAATTCATTAGATGGATGGGAAAAGATGAAAAAATGTTCTTGGGATTACAATTGGTGTTCATAAGAAAAATGATGTTGGTTACAAATTGATAGAACCTTGTATTACATTACATAAAGAAAATTACAATTCGCTTGCCCAGTGTAAGGATTTATTATTGCTAACAAAAAAAAAAGAGAAGAATAAAAAGTATAGAAGAGTGAATATAGCATGTTATTTCATACGTGTGTTTGAGAGAGAGAAAAAGAGAAAGTATTATGTTGTTTATATGTATATATATGTGTATTTGTGTGCTTGTTAGTGCCTAAGAAAAAAAAAAGATCTAATATTACAAAAAAAAGGGGGTTATGTATATTCACCAAGCATCAAATGGCATGGTGGGTTTAGGAATAACAGCTGTCGTTTCTTTCTCTTGTTCTTCAGTATGAGTTGACATGGTTTGTAACCGTTGCAAAAGAGGAGGCGACAAGGGCGTAGGTGTTACCTCAAGAAATTGATCATAGTTGGTAGGCGATGTAGAAGTCGAAGCTGACTTGATAAACATTTTGTGTCGATTATTGAACACCATTTCATGTTGTTTGTTAGGTGGTGTAGTAGATGCTCGAGGAGGTCCTTCGCATTCAAGCTCACTCATTTTAAACACAAGTGAATCATCGTCATCCATGACGGAAGCTCTATGACTTGAATGATTATCTGTAGAATGATCTTGCATCAATAAACTACTGCCTCCACTACGATTGTACAGATCGCTGGAGCTTTCTCCTTCGCCTCGAGTAATGCTACTGAGTGGACGTATGGTACTTCCACGACCAACGGACCTGGGTCGAGGTTGTGCAATGGCATGACGTTCAGTAGAAGCAGTATTAGCAACCATATTAGTGGGATGATTATTATCATGATGAGCAGTCATGGTGGTAGTAGTAGCAGTAGTACCAGGCGTAGTCGTAATTCTGCTTATAGTATGACCTATATCGTGTCTGATTAGATGAAGCTCTTGACGATGATAATCTTGAGGGTAAGTTGAATAAGCTGACAGATCTTTCTCTCCACTTCCACCTTCACCATCATCATCACGTTGTTCTTGATCATGGCTATGACTAGAACGATGACCAATCTTTAATGCATTGGTCATCATCATATTCGACCTTAATTGAGGGTAACTTCGAGGAATATGGACAGGCGAAGTAGATCGTTGCTCTGCATGCAAAGGTGACGGTACAACAGGCTGATAAGAGCGTCCTGTAGACGAAGTAGACGAAACGGGCGAAATCGTATTTACAGCAGCACCCGTTGTGTCTTGATGATGAGGCTGTTGTTGAATTAACATACTTGAAGACAATGATTCTGACAAAGAATTGTGTGTTTCACGTAAATTCTGGAAATGAGATAATTTCATCATACTACTTGTTTCTGAATCAGACGCGGAAGAAAGCAAATCAGAGTTTCCTCTTTGTTGAAACAGCTTGAGTTCTTGATTTGATCCTACTAAACGAACAAAATCTTCAAGGTTATCATCGTCCTCTGCTTTGAAATAGATTGAACTCAAATCGCTTGTTCGAGACCAACGTCGCATCATCATGCTTGCACTCGAAGGTGATTCACGGCTTGGACTGGACGATTTGTACTTGTCAAAACTAGACGAGAACTCAATTTTTCGACTGAATGATCCACTATCCAAGGGCCGAGCAGAACGTTCAGAAGGTGTGGGTGAAGCAGCATATTGTCGTTGCGTCGCTAGCTGGGCGCCACTACTCCCGACTCCAGACACTAGTTAGGAATTTGCTTGTACATTAAATCTTCATGTTACTTACATATAGAATCTGCTTGAGGAGACGAAGAAAGAAAAGGAGATTTGAATGGTGATACAACAAATGGAGCAGATGCCCTACGACCTGTAGGTGATTCGCTACGCCCTATTTGTCGCAGAGAAGGTGGGCGGTTTTCTCTACTTGATGTGGATACAGAAGGCGTTAAATCCTAAATTTACAAGATATCAGATGATATGATCATTTTCTTATATATATTCACGCAAGATAGTTACCGCTTTTGTGTCCAAGGAAGATTGTTTAGACGAAAACATAGGCATGAGTTGTTCTTGAGCAGGAATTTGTTGATGTTGATGTTGTTGTTGTTGTTGTTGATGATGACGATGTTGATGTTGTTGGTATTTTGCCATAGTAGGTGTAAAAAACTGCTCATCCATATCAATAAATTGAGCACTGAGATCTCTCTCAGTATCTTCCACTCTAAAATCACAATTACGGCGATAAGTAACATTCAGTTTAAAGGTTCTATAAAAGCATCAATAAAGCGTGTTTCAATACGCCGTGTTTACCCTATAGGCGTAACAATATCCGAAAACTCATAGGTCTTTGTAGGCTTACGAGCATCGTTTTCCAAAATAGTAGAACCTAATGAAATCTCTTCGGGATATACAGTTGATGCAGAAGAAGACAAACGATAACCAATGGATAAGGCTGTATCGCTTGACTTGCGAATTTGGCGATATAGATCATAGCTCGGTAGTATTCTAGTTAAAGAATGTAAAGAGCGAAAAAACACAATGGATCGCTTATACAGGTTAGGTAAATCTACAGAGAAATCCGGCAATGGATGTCTACCAAGACATGAGTAAATAGAAAAGGAGGAAGGGGATGGCCATGGCTTACTTGAGACTCAATTCCCATGATTCAATCAAGATTTTATCAATATGCGTGTCTGCTTTGTTGAGTTCGATTCTTCCCCAACGTAAATTATCATCAGCAACAATCAATGACTGATTGAATGAGAGTTTAGACGTGTCTAAATAAATATCGAGAATCATAGGTGGTGGTTCTTTATCTGATTGAATGGCTATAGTCCTCCAATACTTAAGTTCTTCTTTTAATACTTCCACATCATCCGTAGCAATATTAAACTATAATAAATTCTTTTAAGAAAAAATTGCAATTTTGCATATAGACTAATACCCATTTGTTTATCTTTCTACTAGAAGAAGAGCCCTTTAAACTTGCTCTTTTACCATATCGTGTATCGTGACAACGTCCTTGTATAACTATCTGTACTGTTTTCGTATAAAAGTTCTATAGTAGAAATATCAATCATGCAGTCTGTTTATCTGTTATTTACTTGAATAATTTGATCTAGTTTAGAGTTACGTATGTTTGTAGATGTTGAGGGACCTGTTGGTATAGCAGAAGATGGGTTATTAGAAGATTGCATCACTTCTTGTCTGAGTGCATAAACTATGAAATAAACTCGTTATAGACTCCCAATCTCTAACCTTTCTTCTTGAGTATATAGAAAAAAAGAGAAAGAAAAAGAGAAAGATAGAGAGATAAAGAGAGTGAGAGTGAAGGGTTGATAAAAAGAAAGAAAATTACTTGTTGAAAAAGGAACAGAAATGCGCATTATCCATGATGATCACGTGCCCATTACCGCATCACTCCATGTCGAGTCCAGCTTATAAAAACCCATCGTCTTTGATTGGCGTCATTTTCAGTCATCATGGCAACCACCACACATAGCAACCGTATCGGAACAATCTTCATAAGCTTGTTTCCCGGTATACTTGGTTTGTTTCCCACCGAATGTGTCCGATTGCATAGATAAAATGAATGTCCGGTATGGCTGATCTTTACCCTGTTCTTTTTTCCTTTTTCTATATGGACTATTCAAAATATAACTTCGCTGAACAGGCACAGATCAATGCCATGATGGAACAGAGACAAGTAATGTAAAGCATGGCATGTTATTCATTGAGTATTAATCTTGATCAAAAAGATGAATGATTTTGTCAATATGTTTACAGGCCTTGTTGATCGATGCTTCAAACAATGTGCTAATGACTTTACAACAAAGGCTGTCACAGGAAGAGAAGTGAGTAAGACAGATAACAACATGATATACTTATGTGAGATAGGCTGCCTGTGTCAACAAATGTGCTGAGCGATTTTTAAAGCACTCTGAATTAGTGAGCAAGCGCTTTGGCGAAATTAGTCAACAACAGTCTGCTTTTATTGATGTAAGTCCTTATAAAAAATAAGCAAGAAAAAAAAACTAACTTTTGCATAGGTTCTTAACCAATCTATCAACCCTTCTTCTTTATAGACTACCTCTTCACTTGCATCATTGTAAATAAATCTCTTTTTATTTTTGAACAACATTTCCTAAACCATGCTCCTTCATGTATTCAGGACCATACTCTTGGTATTCTTGCTTTGTTATAAACGACTGCTTGTTTGATTCTTCTTGTGCAAACATAGCAGCACCTCTCCAAGCATCAAGGATAGGATCAAGAGCACGTTTAACTTTGATTCTAGTATTCACAGGAGAAATAGACTGAAGAGCAACATGAATTCTGTCAGAAAGACCTGGTAATTGACTAAATCCACCTGTCAAAAAGATATTCTAGATAGTATGTCAATCTTCTGTAGATCCGTTATGTGCTGGTTTACCTCTATTAATGCAGGTCTTTGACTGGTATCAAATGTCTTGACGATATCATTCACAGTCTCAATCAAACCAGCCTGATCTAAGCCAATAATACTAGGCTGGAACAAAACTTCAGGCACACGCATACGTTCAATGTTGACATGTAACTGATAACTTTGTTCCATATCTGTAGGGTCATAAAGTGGATAGACGCCTCTTGAAAGTAAATGCAACAATGTATTGGTAGGTGAAGACATGTTTTCATACAAATGCTCAGATGAAAACTCTGGATCATGTTGTAACAAAAGAGACTCGTATTGATTAAGTTCAGACAAGTCTTCTTCTTCCTCGTCTGACTCATCTTCACGACTGATTTCACGGTAAATAGCCCAGTCATCATCATCTTGACCAAACGTATCTTCTTCATTACCTTTTCTTCTACGCTTTGAAGTGGGTCCATCACTGGCTAGATTGGCAATGGATTTCATACGTAATTGAGAAGCACGGGATCTTCTGTCGGCTAGTTCTGAAGCAAGTCTTTTACGTTGCTTTAGTCGATCAACAACAGCTTGTCTTTTATCCTTGATTTTTGCAATCCATGAATCTGGATCCTCCAATCTTTTCTGTTCTTCTTGACGCGCCAATTCTTCTTCCCGTTGACGTGCTTCTTCTTTGGCTTTTTTGGCTCGTTGACGTGCATCATAATTGGCTTTCATAAGCTTCTGTTTACGTTTTTCTTTCTTGTCAGCTTCGTCGAGTTGATCGTCTGGAACATCTATGAGTGTAGTCATAGGTGGTTCTTTTTCTTCTACTTCTTCTATTCCGAGTTCTTTATTACGAGCACGCTGAATGGCCTTGTCAAGTTGGCCGATTGTATCGTCTAGATCTGCTTCATCCTTAAATCCTGCTTCTTTGATTTGAGCCTATACATAACATGAGTATGTATACACTATGGAACTATTCAAACTTACAAGCCAGTCTGTCTTTTTGATCGTGCCCTTCATATTCTTGAGATTCGTGAATGCTTCATATTGTTGTTCGCGAGCAACCAATTTCTCTAAGCGACTCTTGGCTGCTGCTTCACGTAATCGTCTGGCATTTTCTTCCTTCTTTATTGCCTGCCTATCTAATTCTTCTTGTGTCTTTTCTTCAATCATGGGTGCAGTAAATGGGAACTGAATAATACGATCCAAGTCACCCAATGTGGACCTTGATTCCAATACCTTCAATGTCGAATGATAATCTTTAGCTACAAATGCATGTCGCTCAACTAATTCTTGTGCTTGTCCAATCGACATTTTTGTAGGGAAAGTAGGATATTTGAGTTGCATCAATTTCAACATGTATTCAGAAGATTGTGTACCACCATAGGAAATACGCTTTGTACGAGAAAGAATGCCTTTGCCATTGATGGTAGGAATGATATGGGTTGTGTTGTTGCCTCCACTGATGATCATACCGCTTGATCCACCATTAGCATGATAACTAAAAAGTGAATCAATACCATAAGCTACAGAAGGTACATGATAGTTTTCAAACAACAATTCAGTCATGCCTAAATAAGCAACTTAGTAGAGAATAGATATGTATGGCAACCTTACGTGATCTACTGTATTTAGGTGTACATGGTGCTTCTGATAATACAATAGGATGCTGGACACTATTTGTGTTGATACCCAAGACAATAAAGATATAGTCCAGAATGGATTCCTATATAGGATCATAAGTAAAATTGTAGAAAGATGCCTTTGATTACCATTCTTTCAAAATCACACACCACATTGTTCTCAAAGGGAGAGCGTGCATTGGATTTAGCAGCTGGATCAGCCAAAGCATCCATGCCTACAGCCAATACTGATTGATTCAAACGACGATCTCTGTATTTAGATACAACATTATCAAAGATCACTAATCAAAATATAAGTCTTGATCAATCATCAGTCATTGAACTTACTAGAAGGAAGCTTCTCTGTTGCCCAACCCGCTTTACACGTACTAGAACCTAAATAAGAATAAGAATACATGATCATGATTGACCTTTATTTTACCATTGTCAATCACAATCGGCGTGTGATGAAGCGCGTATTTCTTGTAGTCATTTCTAATTTGATAATGAGGTGCTATGTACTCTTTATCTTCAAGCGTGTAATATTTTGGAATACTCGCTTCAACCATGTTATATAAAAAGAGAGAGAAAAAAAAAGCGATAAAAAAAGAGAGAGAGATCTGTACTACTTGCAAAAAATACGTAGTTTATTTTAAATGATTTCTTCCATCCATGATTTCAAGACAGAAGATTCATTGATTGAATCAAGTATTTCGTTTTCTTGTACTGTCAATTGTATCTTTGTGTTGTCTTTACTCTTACTTAATGTAATGATACTTTTAGTTTCTAGTCCATTTAAAATATCATTCAATTCATTTGTCGAGACAACAGGAACATTCGTGGATTGAGAGCATAGTTTTGTATAGTTTTCTTTAAACTAAACAATAATAATAATAATAATAAATACACTGTAAATAGAGCTATACACAATTACCTCTCGTATGGTTGACTGTTGATTCTTTTTTGCTTTTGTAGAACGATTCATGACAAGCAAGACACCCAACACAATCTTCTCATGAAGTTTTAATTCTTTCACTTTTTGAGCACTTGTCTTGCCAGAGATAGCCTTGACTACTTTGGAAACATGAGCAATCGTTACTTTGGGCTCTGTATTGGGTATTGTAGTATGGCTATTGGCTTTTCTTTCTCCTAATACATTGGTTGGCTTTTTTTGTTCTGCTTCTGCTACTTCAATGGCTTTTAAACATATATCAAGGGCTGTTCTTACATCACTGGCTGAACCAGCTACCTTACTCGCAATCAACTTGATTGCAATAGGCTGTATTAAGGGTATGGGTGTAGTCTCTGTTGGAGAGTCTACAAGCGAATACAGACGACCTTTGATGATGTTCTGAACTTCTTCATTACCATAGGAATTGAAATTCAAGAGTTGTGGTTCGCAATTCTTTGCTCTGAGACGAGGCAGAATACGATCTGTTAAATCCAAAGCATTCGAGATACCAATCAAGACTAAGCGAGAATCAGGCAATGAAGTCCATTCAAACAGTTTGTACAAAACATCTTGGTCTTTTGTCTTTAGATAATCAATTTCATCCAAAATAACAACACTGTACAGACATGAGTGTGAGTACAGCGCCTGTGTTCAGTATATTCATTACCTCAACACATCCCTTTTGGCATTGATAATGTCTTGAGCTTGTGTAGCCATGTCTGATCCAATGGGTGTCTTTGGACTTAGTTCTTCTATCAATTTCTCGTAAATCTGTTTGGGTTCTTTCATGCTCATACAATTCACATTGACCGTCTTGACTTGATGCAACTGACTTGTTTCTTTTTCCATCGTTCGCATCATCTCATTCAACATGGCTGTCTTGCCTGTGCCTGGTTTGCCTGAAATATACATACAGCCTGGTTTATTAGCCAAGACATGATCCCTCCAAAAGTCCATCATGCGTTGCTTTTCATTTTCTCGGCCAATAAGTTGAGAAGGAATAGCTGTGCGTCTAAATACAGCTTTTGCTCTTTGGTATAGGTTGCCTTCTTGTTGTACGTTGTTTGATTTAAGACAAGTGGTGGTAGTAGAAATATTGGCTATACATTGAGTTATTATCGAGTATTTTGCATGTCTTTCAAATTACATTGATTCGATGATACATCTGTCTTTGCTTTTTTATCTGTGGACAAGTTTTCGAGGTCGTCTGTATTTTTTCTTTTGGTACCTATTATCGAGTCAATAAACAAAACAAAACGGTTTATTATTACCTTTGCTAGAAGATTTCTTTGTTACTTCTTTTTCAGTATCATGGTTATTTATACCACTAGAACGACTACGACGTATCATATTTACAATAGAAATAAGATTGAAGAAAAAGTTTTTATTTATTCACGCTCCTCTTTTAACGCGTTAATTCACGCGCGCGTCACACTTTCTTTTTTTTTTTTAATTATTCAAGCCCAATTTATGCATGAAAGTTGCCGGAATAAATCAAGTCATTTGTAGTAGGTCTATTGTATAACTTATTTATCACACTGTATTCTTGATAAATCGTTGAGAATAAATAAATAAAAAGAGACTTACTTTAACAACATATCAATACAAAGAAACACTTTTTTTTTTTTTTTTTTTTTTTTTTTTTGCTTTATTCAATGGTACACTCAAAAGAATTTAAAGAAAGTGTCAAGATCGATTATGCTTGCTATATTTGTGGTAGTATTCTCAGCAAGGCTCCTCAAGTAATTAACCATGTTGAGCGTATTCATGGTTATAGTATCCCTCGTCGCCAAGTAGGCCATAATCGTCCACTAGACCCAGACTATTATTTTCCCTCTGAACCCGATGCTGAATGTGACCTTCTTCATTATGGTTGCCCTTCTTGTTGGTTTCATTGTCCTGAAACAGGCCTTTCTGAACTCGCTGATCATGTTCGTCGTCAGCATCATCCTAGAAATGTGGATCCTAGCAAGAACCAGAACAATCGTCGATTTGATAGTCCCGAGTCAGACGAACTCACTAGTCATGATGAAGAAGATACACAGCAAGTTCCACAAGAACCAGAAGACACATTTAAAAGTATTCCTAAAGAAATCATGGACAAGTTGACTGAAATCACAGAACTTGTTAAGAATCTTGTGGTTAAGAAATAAGCTTTGTTCTCTTGTATCCCTTTTTTTTTTCTGCAACATGATCTAATAAAGTGATATACCTTCTAGTCAAGATCAAACGATTTAAAGCCCACATCCAATCAAAACGACTTACGTTTTTGGATTGGGGATCTTGTTTTGTGCAAGATCATGTAAACAACACAAAATTAAATGTGTGCTAGGAAACGTGATGCTCATTTATCTGATGATAATCCTTAATCGCAGCTAAGAGAGTCTTATGTTCATCTTGTGATATAGACTTCTTTTTTAGTCTTATATGATGATTCAGGCACAGTTATGTTTTCACGTGAAAGTTGATGCTTAAACTATAAAACTTGACATTTAGTTTGGTTTTCTTTCTTTCTCTCTTTTTTTCGCTTTGTCATTGTTTCTTCTATTGAGAATATTATAGAATAATGATGGCTGCTTCTGAGAGAAAACCTATAAGGCAAGAAAAGAAAATGCATTTTTTGACATGAACTAAAATTTCATTTTAGAGTTTGGGTTGATGGTTGTTTTGACATGATGCATTATGGACATGCGAACGCACTTCGTCAGGTAAAAGAGAATAGAAACAGAGGCTATATATTGAGATATAAAATAGGCCAAGGAAATGGGTGATATATTAGTTGTGGGTGTTCATTCTGATAGTGAGATTGAAAAAAACAAGGGTCCTACTGTGATGAAAGAACAAGAGCGTTATGCGGCTGTTGCTGCTTGTAAATGGGTGGATGAAGTGGTGCCTAATGCACCTTACAATACAACGGTCGAAATCCTTAAGGAACACAATATTGATTTCTGTGTCCATGGGGACGATATCACGACAATGGCTGATGGTACTGATTGTTATCAAGCTGTAAAGGATGCTGGTCTCTATAAGGAATGCAAACGTACACAAGGTGTTTCTACAACAGAATTAGTAGGACGTATGCTATTAATGACCTGTAATCATCACAATCACCGCAGTGTTTCAGCTGTCAGTCAAACAGAAGACGTATTGAGTGGTGTAGATCCTAAACAAGTAGGATCATTCAGTGCTCCAGCCAAGGTCTCTCATTTCTTGCCTACATCAAAACGTATTGTACAGTTTTCGAAAGGAATTGAACCCAAGGAAACTGACCGTGTGGTATATGTGGATGGTACTTTTGATCTTTTCCATGTTGGACATATTGAATTCTTGAAAAGAGCTAAAGAATTAGGTGACTTTTTGATTGTTGGTGTCCATGATGATCAGGTAAGAAAAAATTAAGATTGGTTTATTGATTAATGTTGGATAGACAGTGAATAATATCAAGGGCGCTAATTATCCATTAATGAACTTGCATGAGCGTGCACTTAGTGTTTTAGCTTGTCGGGTAAGTCCCTAGCCGCTAATCTTAACAAGCTAACTTTTTTTTCCTTTTAGTACGTAGATGAAGTCATTATCGGTGCTCCTTACAGTGTGACAGAAGATGTCATGAACAAAGAATACAATGTGAACATTGTTGCCCATGGCAACATGCCTTCAGAACCTGATTTGGATGGTAGTGATCCCTATGAATTGCCTAAAAAGCGTGGTTTATACGTTGAAATTGAGACACCCAAAAGTACAATTACAACACAAGGCATTATTGAACGTATCATTGAAAATAGATTTGTGTAAGTTAAATGAACTCTATTTGCTATTGGTTCTAATGATGCTATAGATATGAAGAGAGACAAAGAAGAAAGAATGCAAAAGCTATCTTAGAAGCTGAAAAAGAAGCAAATGAACAGGCTTTGAAGAAACAACAAAGTATGGTTGTTGTCTAAAAACAAATTGTGTAAAATATGTGTATAGTCCTCTTTTCCAAATAAAGATCCCTTTTTACCTTGTATTGAAATAGACGGTCGCAAAAGCAAATGTCTTCTATCTTTTTTTAAGCTTTCTTTTCATTAATAAACCACAGATCTAGGTCACAGATAGATAGACAATACTGCTTTTTTTTCTCTGAAAAAATCAAAAGAGCTGTAAGCCGCACTATGAGATACTTGCCAAACGTATCACGGCGATTTGCTGTTGTCTATTTACAAGTAGAAGGAAGCAGCAATTTGATAAGTACTGGTGCTAAAAGTAAGAGACTATCATGCATTGTTCTGTGACGCGCTTCTTTAAAACAAAGCTAAGTAAATGGCTATATCGTTAGCATAACAAAATAAGTGAAGAAAACTTGGCAGGCCTTGATTGCTTAATTTTTGTTTGGAAAAGTAAAAGGATCAAAATCCTATATAAAACACGTCTGTTCTTTCCCTTCATTTTCTTACATTTAATACAAAATGATGCTTCCTACAGAAATTCTTGACAAGATATTTTCTTACCTTTCTTATTCTGAGGTTTACTATATTCGGTCTGTCAATAGACAATGGAAACGGCTATGCGAATATCATCTCTATCTTGCATTTAGTAGTCCTCGAAAAAAACTTTTTGTCAAACTGTCTCCCAAAAGTAATGCCTCACTTGTCAATATGGTGCCTCATTCTTATGATGCTGATCATCAAGTAATTGAATACAGACTTTCTTCAGATGAAAGCAAGGCTTGCTTTGGTGCGAATCCAGGTAGAACAATACAAATACTTTTTGACGAATGGTTTGAGCAAGCTACAATAGAATCTGGTACTTTAGACAATTTATCGCTCGGTGAACGTGCTCAAATACTATTTCATTTAAAATACAACCCATTTCGGGAACAAATATTTCAATTGCCTATCCCAAAGATCAAGCAAGACAAACAGTTACAATATATAGGAGATCAAGGAATGATTATGACATTTTCCTACATTTTCAGTAAATCAGGTCAATTTCAAGGCGCCACGTCTTCTCATTCCCCTTGGGATGATAGCTTACCACAATTAGATATAAGTCACTTACATATTCATTCCGTTCACGTCAATCTATCTTGGTTGATCTCAGGAATCAATCCAAACATTCAGCCTCAATTGATTTACGAGCAGCGTTATGAACGATTGGCATATATTTTATCAAGAGAATATGGTATCTTTTCCTATAGCACTAGTGCTCCTTCAGTATTGAAATACATTCTTAACTATCAAGAGAATCTGCCACTGGATGTCCATCAAGAAGTAGTACAAGGATATGGTAGAAACAAAAACAACGATACACAAGCAAGACGCGAGCAATTGCAGTTGGCTCTTCAATCACAAGGTGTGGATCCGCGAGTTCTTTGGAAATACACTTTTGCAAAGAATTTCATTTTAACAGGAAATTCTGGTATAGACTCGCATAGTATAGCCAGGACGATCTATGAATCAGAAAAAGAATGGGCCAAAGCAAGATATGCATTAGAAAGTCAAATAGACCACTAATAGTACCTCCAAACTAATCATTGAATAAAAACGTTGATCAGATAGTAGTTAATTTGATAAGTTAAATTGTTTTCTTGTAAAATGAAAAGAAAAAACAAGTGTTCTCCTTTTGAATAAAGTTCATGTAACTGTAATTTTAGTAGCATTTTGTGCTTGTCGAATTTTTTTTTTTCGGTCCAAACCAACTTGTTTTTAAAAGCTATACGGTTTATTCATAATACATTTATGTCTGTTTAAGCTAAGATGTAAATTGTAAATATTAATAAAGAAACTGTAACAAGCAAAACAGAAGGATCAAACATATCCCTGAAGCTTGCTGAAGAAGATGAAGGAGTACCTGTCTCTAAGAACGAGCTTGAAGACATCGTGTTAAGTGTCGGAGTAACGGTTGTTAATCTAATAACTGTTGTATGAGCTAAAAAAAACCATCAGCATATATTCGTTCCATCCCCTAAAAATATACTTACTTGTCACAATGGATTCAAAGACAGTGCTTGAAACAGATAGTGTTGGTGCAAAAACAGTACCTGCGCTTTCTGAGTCCATTGTGGTATTGAATAAACTAAAGTCTTGGCTAGAAATAGTTGGTTCATATGTTTGAATAGAGCTATCCGCGTTAATGGTTATATTCGGCTGTTGTTCTTTCTCAATGGCTTCTTCAAAAGTAGCTCCAGGCCAATGCGCGTTAATGCAATTGGTAAAGCAATCATTATTTGTACAGTCAATAATACAGTCATGGGCGTCCCTCACTTTTTAACCATAATTAGCTTAAACACATGTTTTGAGCTTATTGATTTGTATTACCGCAATTCTCCAGGCACAGAATATCAATTGGGTCACAGATGCAACGACACCCAACCTGGGCAACCGCCACAAAATAAATGACAATAAAAGGTAATGTTATTATGAAATGAGACATTGCAGAGTAGAAAAACGAGAATATTACAAAATGCTCTGCAAAATTCGAATCTATTCCCTCTATCTTTTTTTTATTTTTTTTATTTCTTTTATATACTTCTATTATCATTGAATAAGGAGAGAATGCCGAACATTATAAGTTTTGTTTATTTAAAATTAAAATATATATATATATATATTTTCTTATGACGAACGGTTACACAATAATAACAAAGATCTACTAGGGTCATCTCTTTATAGTTAAAGACTCTCTTTTCCCATCGTGTTGATGTATCACCAAATATATTTGTTCATTCACTATTGTGCTTAAATATACAAAATTCTGGATTATTTCTTCTTTTCTTTCTCTCACCGACCAAAAACCTTTTTTTTTCTCTTTTATTTTACCCAACCCGTTCCCTTAAACAAAAACCGTCCACTCCTTAAAACATGTTTAAATCAACTCTTGTGTTCTTGTCACTTTCAGCTGTTCTTCAATTGATTGGCGCCAGTTCAGTTACTATTACTGAACCCAAAGCTAATGATGTTTGGAAGGCTGGTTCTACCGTACAAATCAAGTGGTAATCAATGAAATACAATAGACGTGACAGTAACTAAATACATATTGTATAGGGATGTTAATGATGCCACATCTGAACATATTCGTCTTCAGTACGCTTCAGGACCTTCCCAATCATTGACTATTGATGGCTTGATTGCTGACAATGTAAAAGCTTCTGTTGGTCATTATAAGTGGAAGGTCCCTAGCGACATCGAGGCTAAGGACTAGTAAGACCAATTCAATCCAATTAATTGAATTTATATTAATATGTTTACGTTAGTGTCATTGAAGCTGGTCCCAATGCCAAAGACTTGTCTTTTGCTGGTAAACTATTTAATAACCTGAATTAATTGTATTAAATTGTTGATTTTTAGGCTACGTTACAATCAAGGGTGGCAGTAAAAAGACCACTACAAAGAAAACTAAAAAGACAATTAAACCAAAGAAAACCACCAAGAAGACCACTACTAAGAAGACTACCACTAAGAAGAGTGCTACTAAAAAGACCACCACTAAAAAGACCACCACTAAAAAGACCACCACTAAAAAGAGTAGCGCTGGTAGAAGGGCTTCTGCAGTTTGTGTCGGATACCCTGCAAAGGGAAACACCCCAGAACATGTTCGTTGTCACTCGCTTCCTCACACAACTACTAAAAAAGCCAAGAAGGTTAAGAAGACAACCAGCAAAAAGTCAAAGAAGTCCACCAAGAAGCATACTACCAAGAAAGCTACCAACTAAGTTAGCATTGTATTGTCCTTGAATTTATAAAAATCCATTCAAACAGTTTCTGGCTTTTTTTTTTGTTGTCATATTTTACCGAGAATTTTACAATAGCGCCACAATGGAGCCCACCTTTTTGTTTTCCAAGTAAGACTGTTTTTTTCGTGTTGTTTGACATTATTGGAAGTGTCACAAAACGTTTGGTATTGCACAAAATGAACTTTTTTTTATTGGATATGTTAAGCTATGAAAATTAAAAAGGGGGGATACATATATGCAGAGGGGAAATTTACAATTCATCGTGAGTGTTGACAGGTTCCTTTTCTTTTTCCTTGTCTTCAGCAACCTTTTCTTCTTCCTTGGGAACAACAATCTTTGTCTTCTTGGAGCTGTGCTTAGAAATGAATTCGGTCAAGTCTTCAATAGAACGATCACCTTCGTAATCAACCAATTCATTAGTTTCGGCCTTGAAGAATTTAAGAGTGGGGAAGCCAGTGATTTCGAAACCACCTTCTTCGGGAATATCGTTTTCAGTACCGTCTAACTTGGCAATGACAATAGAAGGATCTTGTTCAGCGGCAGCTTTACCCAATTGTTCCCAAGTAGGAGCCAAACGCTTGCAGTGACCACACCAGGGAGCATAGACTTCCAAAAAGACATCCTTAGACTTGTCCAAGACAATATCCTTGAATTCGTTAGCAACAACAACCTTGACGGGACCATTGTTATCAGCAGGAGCTTCAGCAGACTTGACAGTAGCCTTAACCTTACCATCAGCATAGTCTTGCAAGAAGGGTTCCAAGTTTTCAAAAGTGAGTTCCTTAGATTGATCCAAGGGGAACTTGGCGCCGCTATCCAAGTGTTGAATACCGAAAGCGGGCCATGTTTGCTTCAAGGCCAAGTTATCAGCGTGGGCACCGTACTTGTTGGCATCAATGTGAACAAAGTTGATCTTGCCCTTATACTTCTTGGCCAAAGGAGCAGCCATTTCGGTAAGACGCTTTTGGTCGTCAGCATTGTCGTGGAAAATGTAAGCCAAAGGAAGACCAGATTCGGCATAAGATTGGAAGTTGGAAGCATCGATTTCATCCAAAAGAGGAACAGAGCTAGTCTTGACGAATTCCTTAATGGCATCAGCATCTAAAGCACCAGCGAGGTCATTACGGCCTTCATCGAATTGCTTGTAGACGACGACAGAAGGGAAAGTGACTTCGTGTTCCTTAGCAAGAGCTTCATCAGTAACAACACCAAAGAGGAAGTCGTCACGCATCTTATCAGCAACAGACTTCAAAGTGGCCTTAGATTCTTCATCCTTGACATAACCAACAACGACAACACGGTCAGAGTTCTTGAATTCAGTGAAGTTGGTGGCATCCAAATCAGCAAGAGCAGGAGCAGCTTGCCTAGAAAGTTAAATAGAAATTTAGTATTTTTGCTACGCATAAATATATATATATATATATATATATATATATATATCTTTTCCCCGCGCACAAACACGCATTCCAACTCTAATTGTATTTCTCTATACTTACTTTTGCATGTAGCTCACAATGCCGTCAGCCTTACGAGCACCCTTGTAATCAGTGCTTTCAGTACCTCTGAAGACCTTGAGAGTAGGGTAACCTTGAATACCATGCTTTTGACAGAGGTCTTGATTTTCAGTACAGTCAACCTTGGCAAGCTTAATCTTGTCCTTAAGAGTGGTAGCAGCAATTTCATATTCAGGAGCTATACAAAATGATAAATATACGTGCACATTGAATCATTGTCTTCTTTAACTTACCAAGAGCTTTACAGTGACCACACCAAGGAGCAAAAAATTCAACCAACATCAAATCTTGGTTAGACACTTCTTGATCGAAAGTCTTATCTGTCAAAGAAAGAACATCGCTATCAGCCAAAACTGTTTGAGTGAGGGCAGAGAAAGTGGCAGCAATAGCAGCAAACAAGAAGGTTGACTTGACCATGTTAAAAAATTAAAAAAAAAGAGAAAGAGTGAAGAAGAAAACAAAACTATCAAACTTGGTCTTTTTAAATTTTAACTTTTTGGCTACACCGAGAATAGCAAGTGTGTTGAAAGATGATTGGCTCTTTTGCTAATTTATATATAGACGTGCGTTGCCTTGTTGGGTCGATTAAGCACCCGCCTATAGACCATGGCACTAAACAAATAAATTGAGTTTAAAAGCCCAATTTATGTTAATTATGCGTACAACATTAGACTTACACGTCAAGAGTATTTGTTTATGAAGGTTTACATTTATTGTCGACCTCCTCTCCCCTGATAAAACTCCCTCCCCCCTCTCGATGCCATGCATCCCTTACTGAATGAAGAAAAAAGAAACTTCTCCTAAGGCGCAATCTAAACTATGAAATCTATCCTATAATATGTTTAAACGTTCTTCTTTTTTATTTTCTTCTTTTTTTGGTCTTCTCATGGACACTAGTCTGTATTTTCCACCATATACCCACACACAAAATACCAGTAGTGACGAGTTAAACACTACGCATAATAAAGGCTCCTTACTACTCAACACTGAGCCTCGAGATTTAGATAAGTTATTTCATCGGACTTCTTTTCAACAAAAGCCCGAAGAGGATATTTGTTTTCCTCCAAATAATAGACCATCCGTGTCCAGTAATGAGAGCACTTTAGATGATCGACATAAAAACAAGACAATTCCTAAAAACAACAATGGCAATAGCAGTTTTGAGGATATCAACCTAAATGCTCTTTATGAGCTAATGCAGAAAAGAAAAGAACAACCCTATAGTCCAGGTCAATCACCTGTGCCTGGAGGCAAAAATCAAGGTTACACAATTCATTCTATAGAGGAAGTAGGAGATGCAGATAAAGCACAACGCCATTTGTTGAGCCTTTATGGAGATAACACACTTACATGCAACCATCAGCAGAAATATTCGCAATATCCACCTCAGACAACAAAAGATGAAAATAGATTCATGTATTATCATCCTGACACTGGAAGTCTTTTAGGACCCACTCTGCAAGAAATCAGCTTACCCCCGCAGATGACATTGGAAGGACTTTTACTCAAAGAGAATTATTGGATAGACGTTACTGCACCTACCAACGAAGAAATGATCATGTTGAGTAAAGTAAGAAGATTAAAGAATCAAAATGCGACAAGTCTAACAATTAAAAGATGTTTCATATTCATCCTTTGACTACTGAGGATATCATGTCGTATGAAATAAGAGAAAAATGCGATGTTTTTCGACACTATATGTTCGTTTGTTATCGGGCCTTCTTGCATGATATACAACAATTAAAGCCAGTAACATTCTACAACATTGTCACAAAGAAGCACACCTTAACTGTAAAGTTCATTGAGTATACATTTAGAAATTAACACAAACTTCAGTTTCACTTTGAACAGGTACCACATGTAGGCAATGTACAACAAAGAGTAAAACAACTACAAGACTATATCGAAATTGTGCCAGACTGGATCAATTATGCTCTAATAGATGAAATTACAGATAGTTTTGCACCAATCATTCAGCAAATTGAGTCAGAAGTAGATGCTATTGATGATTCTGTTCTACTCTACAAAGTAGATCAGACTGACGTAGTGTTACGTATCGGTACCTGTCGTAAGAAAGTAATTCAAATGGTACGACTGCTGGGAACCAAAGTAGAGGTTGTGCGTGGGTTGATGAAACGCATTTTAGAGAACCGGCATGCATGTCAAGATGTAGTTTTTGATGAACTGACAGATGGCAAGATTTATCCTGATGTGGAACTATATTTAGGTGATGTTCAAGACCATATCTTAACTATGGTTCAAAACTTGAATCATTATGAGACTGTATTAGCAAGATCTGAATCAAATTATTTGGCGCGTATCTCAATTCAATTGACAGAAACGTCTAATTCTACTAATCATGTTATTGGAAGATTGACTATTTTTGCCACTGTGATGTTACCTATGAATTTGATTACTGGTTTATGGGGTAAATTTCAACTCAATAGACTTTTTTTATTAACCTGTTTCAAGGAATGAATGTCAAGGTTCCTGGAAAAGACTATGATAACTTAGTTTATTTCTTTTGGATTGTAATTAGTCTAGTAGTATTTGCTATTTTTTCATTGACTCTGGCAAAAAGACTTAAATTCATATAAGAATAAAATTGGTGCCCGAGGACGGCTACTTTATTGTTCGGATCGGGTAGGGGTTTGGACGTCACAACGATTTCTTGTTTTTTTCTTCCCCCGTAAAATAGTGACATTTGACCCTCTTTTTTTTATATTTGTAAAATATGTTGAAGCAAGTTATTGTCAGACAGAATACAGCCAAGGTTACTATTAAGCAATTTTCTACCAGCTCTGTAGCACTTGCGGGCCGACAAACACCTCGTAGAAAAGCCGAAAAGAAGTTTGATGTTAGCTTTATGCCCAAGTTTGACTTTGACGACCAAACTACTATTGGTCATAACTTATTTGAGAACATCAGAGAAGTTCGTAAATACTTGAGAAAGACCGAGTTTGAATTGCCCAAGTTAAATGGTACTGATAAAAAAAAAAAGTTTATACACTAACCCCCTGTTAGCTTATGCCAAACCTTTTGAAGCACCCAAGGCCGATCAAATCCTCAAGTTCAAGTCACACACTTATTTAGGTGAAGGACATCCAGTCGAACGCAAAGTTGTTTTGAGTGTCAATATTGATAACTTGAAATTGAATGAAACAGAAAAGCACAAGTTTTTATTATTGAGTGGGCCTAGATACAATGTCAACACAAACGAACTTGTCATGTCAAGCGAACGATTCCCTCACCGTAAACAAAACAAAAAGTTTTTGATCGACACTTTGAAGAAACTCATTCAAGAAGCCAAGGTAATGAAGAACAGGATTTTTATTAAAGTCATTTATTTATTTATTTATTTTCTATAGGACACCAAGGATACATTCGCTGACATTCCTCTTAACTTACCAAAGCCAAAACAAAGACTAGAATTTCCCAAGGAATGGATCAAATCACCTCCTACTGAAAGCGTTAAAAAAACTGCTCAAGTTCTCGAGGAATTTGTTGAAGCAGCCAAATCTACAGAAAATGTCAAAGTTGACGAAAAGACACTTTAAAAATAACATATATAGAAAAAAGAGCCTCTGTACAATAAATCCATCATGAAGATATATTTTTGTTTTATTTTGTTTAACATGTAGGGTTGGCAAGAAGAGAAGTGGTCAAGTTAGCCTTGAGGTTTTGTTCAGAGTTCATAAGACCCCAATAAGCTTCGACACCTGCCTTGTAAGGTTCATCAAAGGCAGAGAACCAGATCAAATCAATACCCTTGTTTCTGGTTTGGCACAAGACATTAGAGAGATACAATCGCTGGTTCTCGGGAGAAGCAATAGAGGCACCAAAGTTATCACCATTAGAAGGCCAGCCTGTTTCAGTAATACGAACAGGTTTGCCATTGGCTTTTGTAACCACTGTTTCATAATGTTGCAACAAGGTAGTTGCGCCTTGATCGGCAGTGACTCCTTCCCAATATGGAAAAGCATTCCTACATATTCTTATCAGTCATGTCTTCTAATCAAGTGTACTAACTCACATCATTAAAAAGTCAATCTTGTCAACAACAACAGGAGGGAATTCGTAGTAAACATCAGCGGTTGTTACTTTAACTCCTTTAGGACGGACCATTTGACCGACTTGATCAATGTAGTTTGCCAAGCTGTTTTCATCAGTGTCTTTACGATAAAGAACTTCAGAACCAACAATAAGACCATCAACCTTGCCAAGAGACAATTGGCTACCGAGAATGCCCTTGAGTGCGTTCATCTCATTATTGAAAGTGTCAGGACGATCAATCCACATACCCAAGTAGATGTTCATGTCAAGTTCGTTGGCAGCCTGTAATGCAAGAGCACCTTGGTTACAAACAGAGAGAGAGAAAGTACGGACACGATTAGTATACTCCTTGATCTTGGTAAAATCCGCCTTGATCTTGTCGTAGCCAGGACAGTTGTTTTGATCAATACCGTAGTTTAAACCATAGAAATAGTTTTGTGCTAAGGCTGTATTAGCAATAGACAACAAAACAAGAAGCAAGGATTTCAACATGTTGATAGAGAAAGAGGAAGAAACGAATAGAATAAAGTATCCCTTGGAATTTATAGGTTTATTCTTGACGTATGTTTCTTTTCTTAAGTAACCGAAACAAACGAAATCTCATTTGATATGTTTAAAAGATAGCTTCATGGCCCTGTAGTTCGATCTTAGTCTTTATAAATATATATTTATCCTTTTTACTTTGCAAGAAAAAGAACAAAACTATAGCAAAGGGATACAATGAAAGACAATATCAAGAAAAGCATTTGAAATCTACGTTGGTATACTACATTGAACCTTTCCCTTCTTTTAAAAAATTAAAGAGGACCCTGAAAATGAACATCGAAGATCTCTTGGCAAGTCTAGTTCTTTCCCACAATCGCAGCACCATTTGAATGTTCCTGGTTTTTTAAACTATTGGATACATGACTCATTCTACTATTTTAGACATATTTTTCCTATTGAAATTTATTTGTCATACAAACACACTCTATTTTAGCCTCTGTGTTGATTTTTTTTTCTGGTTCTTTTTTCCCTTGAAACATGACAAAAGAAATTTATATTCGACCAGTGACTCTTGAAGATATTCAATACAATGAAGTAGCATTTCAAATGATCAATGCTGCATATCGATCTTCTGAAAGTTGGACAACAGAGAACCATCTTGTAAGCATCGATCGCGTTCAAGTTGAAGACATCCAAAACCTAATAGAAAAAAGTGGGCAGCCTAATGTCTTGTTATACGCTTTTGATGTCAACACCGTCATTGGTTGTATTTTGATTCAACCTGAACAAAACGGAGAGGCACTCTTGTCGCTATTGGCTGTCAGTCCTACTCACCAATCAAGAGGAATTGGTAAACAATTGATCGAAAAAGCTATTGAATATGTTCAGACAAATATGCCAAATATAAACCAAGTCCGTGTTCATGTTTTCGACTGTAGAAAGGAATTAGTCAACTGGTACATTCGTCTCGGCTTTGTCGACAAGAGAGAATTAATCCCATTTCCATATAAGGAAATTTTACTTGCAAAAGAGGCACCATTACTCATTCTAAGGATGCCTGTCATTTAATTGGCCCTGACCTTCGAATAAAAATCTACTTGGCCCTTGCCTATTTTCTTTTTTTTTTTTTTTTTTTTAAAAAAAATAGATATTTTCAATGGTTCAACCTACAGTTTCAGTGCGTAAAGTCATTCCTGCAGATATCAAGCATGCTGAAGAAGCAACCAAAGTAGTAAATGCTGCTTATCGTTCAGAAGGTACTTTAAACATAAAAATTTAATTTGTATGTATATACTCAATCGAAAAAAAAGGTGGCTGGACCACTGAATCACATATTATTAGCGGCTTGCGCTGTACACTGGAAGATATGGAGCGTTTTATCCGCACGAGTGGTCAACCTAATACATTACTGTTTGCATTTGAAGAAGAACAAGTCGTGGGTACACTTCAAATTCAACCTTCAAAAGAGGACCCAGCTGAGGCCGAAGTGGGTCTGTTTTCAGTCTCACCTTTGCATCAATCCCGTGGTATTGGAGGCAAATTGATTCGCCAAGCATTGATTGAGATGAACGCATTGGGCTTTAAATATGCCATGATGCATGTCTTAGAAAACCGACCAGAAATCTTAACTTGGTACAGAAAGCTAGGCTTTGTCGAAACAGGTGAACGAATTCCTTTCATTTGGCCTGAAATGCTGAAAGAAGATAAGAGCGTTCACTTTTTAACCCTGAAAAAATCGGTTTGCACACCCAATTAAGAGTATAACCTTGCAGTAGCTTGAAACGTCTCAGAATAAATGATTCAATTATTATTGTTATCTCTGAAATATGTAAGGGCAAGCTTGACCTTTCTAAACGCTGAAATTAATATGGATTTTTTTTCAAGAACAATCTGATTAATCTATGACCCTTTTGTCAACAAACGATTTGACAGCTAATTCTACCACATTCATTAGTAACGAAATAGAAAGCAAAGGCTGAGTGGAGACGAGATCATTAATTCTTGAAACCAACTTGATAAAAGGTACCTTTAAAGTTACGAATTAGAAATCAATGACTGTTGATTTAGGTTCAAAGATTTAATCTCAGATGCTAATTGTTCAAAGGCACATTATGTAGAATCTCGACTCTTTCCTTTTTTTTTAATTTTTAATCTATTTATTATGGCAGATAAAGCTCTTTTGGATATAGCAGAAGAAGAACAGGCTAGCCTTGTTCAAAACACAAGTTCTTCCAACCTCAAGCAACTTGAAGACGTCCTTATGGACGACTCTCACGCGCTTCCTAACATAGACGCGACAACAATAGATAATGAAATCGAGGATTCAAAAAAAGAACATCCTTTAGCTACAATTTCATTAGAAGAAGATCCTTGGGCTGGTGAAGACAATACGAATGATTTGCTTGAATTAAACCAGAAAGACGAGCTAGCTGTAACAAGTAATGTAGTAAATGAAGATAGTCAAGCAGAAGAAACAGTTCAAGGAGATGAAGTCATACTTGATAAAGATACATCAGCTATAAAAGTAAAAAAATTATAATTAATTTTAGAACATAAATTTTAATTGATGGGTAGGGTTTCCAAAATTTCCAAGATAGCGATAAAATTGATGATCTCAAGGTATCAGGCCGCCTTCCTGAATGGTTGACGGGTGAATATTTCACTGTTGGCCCAGCTACTTATGATATCAAGTATTCCCGCAAAGTCGAAGTAGATGGTGAATTGATTAATGCTACAGCTATCTATACATTTGGTCATTGGTTTGATGCGTAAGTAAGACAATCTTTTCTTTGTTCTCTTATGCGCCATAGGCTTCCACTTGTGAGTCGATTCGATCTAAATGGTTCAAGAAACACAGTGACATACAGAAATAAATCTACCAGTCGCAGACTTGTTGAAAAGATTCGAGAACATCATGGTTTTGCGCCCCAACATCCTGCTGGTCTTTTCATGTCCAATACAAACCAAACTGTGCTTTCTAAATTTTTGGGATCATCCAAAGTAATCAAGCCTGATGCTGAACCTTGTGGCGCACGTGTGCTCGCCTCTATTCCTGGATTGGAAGGAAGGTTATTTGCTCAAAACTTTGCCCATCATGCAAGTAAAATACTACGAAATCACACAATATTTAACATTTTTTTTTAAGATTCAAGAATTAGATCCTTTTGACTTAAAACCTATACGTTTGTTTACATGGAGCGAAATTAACCCTAAATTCAAAGGCACAAGCTCTTGCCCTAATGGTCAATATGATTCACGCACAGGAGAATACATCAACTTCACACTTGAAATAGGCTATCAATCAGTTAAATACAACTTCTTTTCTATCAGTGACAGAAACCCAAAGGGATCTGTGATTGCTTCTATTACAGCACCTATGGCCTATGTCAACACATTCTCTATCACACCTAGATATATTCTCTTTGTAATTCATCCCATGCTTGCTAATTCAGGTGGTGTCAAATTCAATTGGAATGAAAGCATCATGGATTCATTTTCATTCAACTCTTCGGAACCCACCTTATTTTACGTTATTTCAAGACAAAAGGGTGAAGTTGTTGCCACCTACCGATCTAATCCTTGCTTCATTTTTAACCATATCAATGCATTTGAAGATGATCGAGGTAATGTCTTTTTAGACATGATTTGCTACCCTGACGATACAATTGCACGACAATTGGCAACTGAATTTTTGCGCAACCCAGACAAGATGGAACCGTCAAGATTAGTTGCTTCTGAAGTGAGAAGATATAAGCTCACCAACATTGAAGAAGAGTCCATCAATTACATGGCCAACAATGGTCTGATTCCTTCCAAGAACAGTGTGTCTACTCGTATCTCATCTGTCTTTGGTATGTTTGGAAACAATAAGCGTTCTTCACTACCTCAAAGTGAAGCCTATAGCGAAAATGCAAAGAAATGGTATTCTTGGATGCCAATTGCTTCCTTTGATAAGCGTGTACAGCCTTCAATTGAATTGCCTCAAATCAATCCTAAATTCAAGATGCAAAAATACAGCTTCATGTATGGACTTGGTTTCTCCGCCTCGAATGCATTAAAAGACGGTGCTATTTGGGACAGCATTGTCAAGACAGTAAGTTGTTATTTTTTTACATGGTTTTGCTCATATGTCTATTAGAATATGGAAACAAAGCAAATTGTAGCTTCTTGGCAACAGGATAATTGTTATCCTAGTGAGGCTATCTTTATACCAAGACCTGATGAGCAAGTTGAAGATGTAGGTGCATTGTTGAGTGTTGTATTGGACTCTGCAAGAAAGAGATCGTTTTTGCTTGTTTTAGATGCTTCTTCATTTCAAGTATTGGCAACGGTTGATCTTGAAAGAATAATGCCAATCAGTTTTGCTCATGGCTCTTACCGTCTTCGAGAGGACAATTAAAAGGCGTCATTATTATGCTATCCTTCAACGTCATTTTTTCTAAAAAAAAAAAAAATACATTTATTTCGAGTAACATTATTATCAATACTTTGATCCCTCAGGTACAATAGTGCCAAGCATTAAGTCATTATAGAGTTTTGCATAAATCCTCATGCCTATGTGAAACAAAGATTGGTGCAAACTTGTTAAAATCAAGCAGAATTATATAATACGAGTTGATTGGATAAGCATGTTTGACAAATGATATCATGATTATTGTGTTTGTATTTTCTATTTAAAAAGCATTTCTATTTCTTTTTATTGAATACTTTTTTATTGTTTATTATTCCAAATTTAAATATGGCTGTAACTGGTTCTGACGCTTGTAAAATTATTGGTGGTAAGTTTGTTATTGTATAATTCTATCGTGTTGATGCGTTTTCTATTAAAAAGCTATTATCTTGCCCCCTCTTGGTGTTTTCTTTGAAAGAGGTAAGATACAAATCGTAGCATTCGTTTTCTAATAATATGCAGGTTGTGGTGTTGACCTTCTTATCAACGTTGCCTTGACCTGTCTTGGTTTCATTCCTGGTATCAGTAAGTATTTTATGTTGAAGAATACACGGCTGAGCATTGCTTTCGTAGTTCATGCTCTTTACATTATTCTCAAGTATTAGGTTAAAAAAAAGAGAATGCGTACCGGAAGCTTTACGATGTTTATAATTATACCAAAACTTACTGTAGTATGATAATAAAATAAGAAATTTGTTTTTGTCCTAATAGACTTGAAACTGTACCATGTCCTTCAAAGTGACACACATGGCTGGTAAGAGAAATTTGTTTCATCATTAAATGACAGTTTTAGTTATCAAATTCAGGGTTTGACATTGAACTTTTTTTTTACGCAATAGAAGAATACGAATTCTTGGGTTGCCTTTCATCACAATGAATTCACTTTAAGAACTCACTTTAAGAGAGCGTGTGTGACTTTAAATACTGTCTTTTAAAAAAAAATTGTGAGGGAAAAAAATGACATCTTTCTTTCTTTTTTGCATGTCTGATCATACTGTCGGATTGATTAACAAAATACAAGATGCACTTGTTTCCATTGGCGGGAACGAAAGCCTTGATTTGCCACAAATCATCACTGTAGGCGAACAAAGCTCAGGTAAATCATCTGTACTAGAACATATTGTTCAACGCGATTTTTTGCCTCGAGGCAGTGGTATTGTCACGCGAAGACCACTTGTATTACAGCTTATCACCAGCCAACAAAGCGACGATCATGCCGAGTTCTTACACTTGCCAAACCAGAAATTCTTTGACTTTAGTCAAGTGCGTGCCGAGATTGCAAAAGAAACAGACCGTGTAGCAGGAACAAGCAAAGGCATGTCTCGTTCACCTATTCACCTCAAGATTTATGCAAAAAATGTTCTCAATTTGACATTAATTGATTTGCCCGGCCTAACAAAGGTAGGCTAGTCTCTATTATCTCTAGAAAAAAAAACTAATCCGTTTAGATCCCTATAGGTAACTAATAATGCATAAAGTACATTTTTAATTGATTTTTTATAGGCGATCAGCCTCATGATATTGATATTCAGATCAGAAAATTAGTACTTGACTATGTCTCCAAACCAAACAGGTACATCGTAAGCATCTTTTCTTTAAACTTTCTTTTTGTATTCATCTAGTTCTAGTATCATTCTGGCTGTGACCCCTGCAAACACAGATTTAGCCAACTCCGATAGCTTGAAACTAGCCAGACATGTTGATCCTGCAGGTCAAAGAACCATTGGTGTTTTGACCAAGTTAGATCTTATGGATGTCGGCACACATGCATTGGATGTTTTGACAGGAAAAGCATTTCCATTAAAGTTTGGGTTTGTGGGACTTGTGAATCGAAGTCAGCAAGATATTGTCACCAACAAGACAATGGAGGAAGCCATCAAATCAGAGCAACTATTCTTTCGAAGCCACCCTTCTTATCAAAGTATTGCTGAAAAATGTGGTTCTTTGTATCTCTCAAAGCAATTGAACACAGTAAGTGAAGACGACGGTACAACCGAGATCTAACACAGGACAGATTCTTGTGAGCCATATTCGACAAAAACTGCCTGATCTTCGATCTAAACTGAGTTCTATTATTGGCCAAACTCAGCATGAATTGTCACAATATGGTGATCCTGCATTCAATGGATCTATGCATCAAGTAAGTAGGTTGTGAACAAGCATTTGGACTTATAAATTGATTTAGGGAACCTTGATACTCAAACTACTGACTATGTTTTCAAACGAGTTTATTTCATCTATTGAAGGCACATCCAACATTTCAACAAAAGAGTTGTCTGGAGGAGCACGTATTTATTTTATATTCAATTCAATCTTTGGACATGCACTTGACAGTATACACCCTTGTTCCAATCTAACAAATGACGACATTCGTACAGCTATCCGAAACTGCACAGGACCTCGTTGCTCGCTATTTGTACCAGAAGCGGCATTTGATTTATTGGTGAGACCGCAAATTAAGTTATTAGAAGCACCTAGTTTGCGTTGTGTAGATTTGGCTTTTGAAGAACTCTCCAAGATTTGTCATACGTGCGGCAATAAGGAGATTACACGATTTCCCCAGTTACACACACAGTTGGTGGAAGTCGTTTCCAATCTACTTCAAGAAAGATTAACACCTACCTCTAACTATATCGAGAACCTGATTACTATTGAATGTGCTTATATCAATACAAATCATCCTGACTTTCCTGGTGCTTCAGGTGCCATCATGGAATTACAAAAGAGACATAAGGAAGAAGAAAAGGCAGAGAAAAAACGAATTGTGCGTCAGCAATTAACGAACCATCATTCTGAGGTCAAGACAACTCGCTCCATGTCTATCAGCTCCATGGCTTCTTCCTCTGTCATATCTTCTTCGCCACCTAAAGATTCCTTTTTGAATTTTTTTTTAATGGACATCAACCACCTAGGCAAAAATCATTAGGTTTGGCATTGGATGAATACTCTCCAAAGACTTTGTCAGTAGAATTAGATGATGAAATCAAGGTCAAACATACAAACAAAAACGACAAGGAAGTTGAACTAATTCGTAAGTATCTTTTATGCATGCCATGATTACTCATTGCGTCAATAGGTTATTTAATTACTTGTTATTTCAATATTGTTCGGAAGTCTATTCAAGATTTAGTCCCTAAAGTCATTATGCATTTATTAGTCAACTTTACAAAAGAGAGTGTACAAAATCGACTTGTGTCTACACTCTATCGAGACGAACTCTTTCCAGAACTATTGGAAGAAGATCCTGCTATTGCTTCAGAAAGAGAAAGATGCAAAACCATGTTGGAAGTCTACAAGAACGTATTTGCGCTCATTAGTGAAGCCATGTAGAAAGTTGTAAATAAATTCTGCTCTTTTGCAAGTCTAGACTTATGCATATAAATCGCTTTACATAATAATCAGGATTCCCGCATGGCGTTTGACAGCAGCGAACCTTAAATTCGCTTGCTTTATATAGAATGTTCATAATCTAAAACAACATTGTAGCTTTGAGAAAAAGAAAGCCACTGTAATGTATTATTTATTTTCTAGGAAAAAGAAGCATCAACTAAAACTTAAAAAACTAAATGGATTGTTTAGTAGGGATATTCAAATAACAACTTGAACGTATTACAAAACCCTGTTTTTTTGAAGAAAACATGTTTGACTGGCCTAACACAATCAGTAAAAATAACACTCAACAGTCTGCTATTAAGAATGTTTTCAGTTTTATAGAAGTACAAGAGAAAATGCCAGCTTTATTTCATCGTACAAGTCGATTTGAGAAGTAAAATATAACATGTAGTATTATCGTTGATTCAACAATTTTTTTTCTTCGAAAAAAGTGCAAACTTTATTCAAGTACGACTCTGTTTTAGCAAATAAAAAAAAAGGTGCATTAAAGCCTTTTTGTTTCTTTTGCCCGAAATATCCAGATTTACCATAAACAAAAAGTGATCACCATGTTTTTGAAACCTTTTTGATATACGTGTTTGTTTGTTTTCTGTCATTATTTATATTCTACATATTTGGTTACAATCCGGACTTTGCCAATAGTAATTTTTTTTTTTTTTGTTAATGCGTAAGCCTTCATGCCATTATTCTGTAATCGCAAAATAGGCAAAAGAAAAGAATAAATAAATAAAACGATTGAATATCTTGACAATGTTGACTCCGAAATACACACATACATACGCAGTGTGTACCTGATTTCGTGTGACAATCACACAGAAATGCACAATAAATTCATAATGCATTTAATAATTCACTTTAGTCAATCATGGACATTTAGAACCCAGGCAAGTAATTCTATGCATGCACTCTTAAATGTAATACATAAATTACATTTTCAAAGGCCAGCAAAAAATATGTATTTTCACATGGAGAAGAAGAATTAGACCTTCTTAATCTAATTTATCACTTTTTCAATTGAAATAAGCTGACATAAGTCTACAAAAGCATATTGATGGTCTGCTTGTAATGTCAATTGTTTACAACACGATAAAACGGAAATTTGGTATTACTTTACAAATATAGTCAAAAGTCGGACCGAACTATCAAGAACCTTCATCATCGTGCTTCTTGATTTGAAGTGTCACAAACCATATCAGTCTAAACCTTCAAGAGTGTATAACATGCGGCCAATTATTTAACTGGTCAATGTAGTCCCCGAACCACACTTATCGCGCAGTTAAAATAAGAGAGAGAAAAGGAGGCTTATGATGATATATGCTCAAGAATGCAGTGTGTATGTAGTACTAAATTTTATGCATTCACATATTACATGCAGTAGTATTGCCCTCTCTCTTTCCTCCTTTTTTTCTCTTTCTTTTTATCTGTTGTACAAATTTAGGCGAATTAGACATAATGTTACTTGCACATGTTTGTTTATTTGATATTGGGGTATATACATCTTGTATATATTCTAATAGTAATGATAATTATAATACAGAGAATAATATACATAAGTTGTTCATGATGATCTTGGTTTTTGAGTAGAATGAGTGGGTGAAGGCAGTCCTGAAAATGAGGGGGCATATTTTGGCAACAATTGCCGAGAAACGGGATCCAATGTCCAGCATCGAGTACAATATTCGTCTAATCCAAGAAAGCGATTGCACGTTGAGCATTTCTTGTGGCAGTCTGCACAGAACCAGTCAGCAGCAAGAGGTTTATCACATTCACCGCATATCACACGATGACCCAAGGTAGGCGAAGAAGGTGGTGAGATAAAGTAATTCATGATAAAATATAAAAGGACAAAAGAAAGAAGAGAAAATAAAATAAATCACAAATGAGCTTATTTATACATGTCGAGAAACTGTAATTTTTCTTTTTGACAAGTTCTAGTCTTATTGTCCCTAAAATTTGGGATTTTTAACCAGAGTTATGGATCTGTTGCATTTAGAAATCTCAACACGTGGTATTATACATTATGTGCACTTTTTTTTTATTACAATAGACTTAAACCAGCAGTAGACAATGAGTCAATTTCCTGTGATGTCAAGGGCGGTAATTCATCTTTTCTTACTTTGAGTGTAGACAAGACATCTCTATAATCTACCAAAACCAAGTGACGATAGTCAATCACATCGATTTGGGTCACAAGATACACTAAAAGGCGTGCAAACCCATGATGACCAAACGATACAGCTGCATATTGAGCAACAAAGCTCTGATAGAATTGGTAGAAAGGCACTTGTGCTTGTCGGATATGCTCCGAAGACGACCGCCATGCTTTCTCCAAGGCGCCTAGTGTTGTCCTGGTCTTGCATTTGTCCAACCATTGATCCAAAACAGGAACATCCCAAAAGACTTCGCGTTCAGAAACCATATCTGCCTGTTGTCCTTCTCTATCACCAATCAAAAAGATCTTCATCAAACTAATGATGGCCATGTCGTGGTCAATCGTCAATATTTGATCAGCTATTTCCAATGTATGGGCCACTATCACACTTGCATTAGCTCTGCTTTTTTGCGCCACCTTGGATTTGTCTAGGTGATACAGTGCGTCAATAGGAGATAACAGAAAAGCACTCGGGTCTTGTTCTGTTTGATGTTGATGATACATGAGTGCCTTAAGAGGTCGACCATCATATTCAAACAGTGCCTTGGAAATGACCATTTTTTGTTCTTGTGCATCATAGTAAAAGGGCTCTAAATCATGATGCATAAAATTGGATAGACAAAGCTGCAACAAATTCTGCGCCAACCACGTTTCAACCACATCTGTCTGCATTCTACTTCTAACTCCAGACTCCAGTTCCGATACTTGTACTTGTGTGTCATCACACCATTTTCGCTTGTGCGTCTGACTTGTCCAAATCCAGAGTGCATATCGACTATGTATATCTTGCGCACAGCGCGATTGGAGTAAATTCATTAAATAAGCAGAGCCAAGTGCCTTATTGGCTTCTTGAACAAGGTCTTGATAAGATGCTTGTCTTAATGAGCCATAGGCCACCATGAACTGAATATGTCGAAGTAAATAATGATTCGTCTGTTGCAGACCAACACCACCTTCTTGAACCACTGCTTTCCATACTTCACGTACAGTTTCTTCAGAAGGAGGAAACAGGTTGATATAGCTAGCCCAGGAGCCCAAATAACCTAATGCAGATTCATACAAGGCCTGTTGATTGCCTCGACTGGCTCTTAAGATAGCCAAGACAGCAGGTAAACAAGCAGTTGGTTGATGCCAGTCAATGGCATGAGCAGGTATGGTTTTGTGAGGATCAGCCGCTGTATGCAACAAAACTTCAAGTAAGCCAATGGCTGTGGATGCGCGCATACTTGCATAGGTTTCCAAACTCAACGACGCACGTAACCAGTCCATAACAGGCTCCTGCAGATCTTCTAACGTCGGAACAATAAACCCGTAACATGCCAGTACACGAATGAGCTTAAGCGTTTCAAGCTGGAGTGCATATGCTCTTTGTTTCAGACTAGGAGCAGCAATCTCAGGTGAAGTTAGTAGAAATCGTAACGTGCTTGTTGCTTTTGTCAACACAGTCTCTGCAATGTGTTTACTTGCTTGTGCCATAATTGTCAGAAGGCGTATAGCTGCTAGACTAGGATAACGCACTCCTTCTGCTAGAGTCATGGGCCATTCCGTTTGATCAATACCCCATTGTACAACAGGCTCCAACAGTTCTTCTTCCTCAATCAACTCACAAACATCTTGACCTGATTCTGCTATACATACCAAGAGACGTACAAGTCGCTCAACTGATGTTGGATCTGTATGGATCAATTCACTGTTATCTGATGCAAGCAAGTATCGGATACGTGGCAGTAAGTTCATCTTCACTAGGCCACGAATCAAATCACGTTCAGCTAACGCAGCATCGTCTTCTATCTCCTCTTCGGTGTTAGGTTGTTGGCGAATACGATCTACCAGTTCCGTCAATTTATCATTCAAGCCTTTTCTTTTAAATCGAGTTGTTCCCTGAGGCAATACTGGTTTAGCGATATGACCCAAGAATTGATTGAAATCAGCCGTTTTGTTAATCAATCCTGCTTCCCATGCTTGATCATCTTCTGCATCGTCCAACACCAAAGCAGTGAGCGCTTTAATGGCACTAATCATCACAACCAAATGACGGTCATCCAATGCAGAGCGAAGATAAATGGAGGCTGCGTGTTCTTTTGTTATAAAAATAGCCCAAATATGCTGCCATTCAGCTTTGTCCTTGTTCTTTTTGGCTAGCAAGATAATACGAGCTAATGTGTTCAGAACCATGGATCGTTGAGAGGGTACTTGACTACGAGTCAAATGGAATAATTCAGCAATTGTATAACCTGCTTTTTCGGGTTCATCACCATGGTGATGCAAGCCTTGGTGACGAGGAATGTCAACAGAAGGATCAAGTATGCGACCCTGTAGATCAAAGCGTACTTGGCGATATACTTTTTCAGCTTCTGATGGTACACTTTCTTCCTGTTGTTGCTGCTGTTGTTTTTTCAGTTTAGGTGTCAAGAAGCGACTGTCCATCCAAGCCAATTTATCGTTTTCCAAAGGTACATCTGCAAAATACTTGTCTTTCATCTTGAGTAAGTCCTGTTCATTATCTACATCCTTGTCTGTTTCAATTGGTTTCTCAACAATATCAAATGTCACTTTCTTCTCTGTCTTTTTGTTCTTCAAGCCCTTCATCAACATTGCAATTGATTCAGGACTGAGTGTGTTCATGATCTCTTGACGTGCTTCTTCAAGTTCTTGCTCAGACATGGCTTGAATGCGTTGGTCGTTTTCGTCTTCACCTATGACTTGAGGCGTGGCATCTTTAACTTGCGCTGTTTGTTGGACTTGAGGAGGAGCATCTAAACGTGATTTTGATTTATTCTTTTGTGCTTCCAAGCGTTTCTTAAATTCGCTTCGATGCACAGGTTTTGGAAACCCATTATGTTGTCCACGCGCAGGCTTGTTTTCCGAGATTGTGTTTGAGAGTGTAGGAGGTGAGAATTTTTCTACATTGTGCTCTTTAATTTCGCCCAAAACTTGGCCCAACATGGATGTCAAATCAATCATTTTTTTACTGACAGGCATATGAGGCTCAGGATGAGGATCCATTACTGGTTCATATTCTACTTGTTCTTGTTCTAGAGACGGCATGGTAGGCGTCTCAAGCGAAGGCATATTAGGATTCTCGAGTGAGGGCATAGAGGGGTCTTCAAGAGAGGGCATAGAGGGGTCTTCAAGAGAGGGCATAGAGGGGTCTTCAAGAGAGGGCATAACGGAGTCGCTAGTAAAAGAGCTTGCTAAACGTTGAGCAAACAAACTACGCCTCTTGTCACCGACAGGTGGTGGTGCAAACTTGCGATAAACTTTGGCAGAAGGCGACTGCTCATTTTCGAAAAACTCTCGTTGAAGCCTTTCTAGGTCGTCATCGTCAACGTTAAAAGTAGGTCTGGTAAACTTGCTCATATTGAAGAATGACACAAAAAAATCTGCAAGTCTCGAAGAAAAAAGAAATGGTTTAACAGTCCTACATAAACATAATTCATTCACAGAAATACTTTTTTTTTGTCAGTCTTTTCAAGCATAATGTAGCTGCAAGTGCATTGTAATAATTCAGCATAATCCGTTTCAAATCACCAAATCTCTCATTCATTTGTTTGAGAAGAAATCGTGTTAAATAAGCAAAAATCAAATTCTAGAAATTAAGCAGAGCATGGGATACATAAGCAACGTTCATATTGTTAATTACATTAGGTTATAAGAAAGAGCAGAAAATAGAAGGGAGATAAAAGAGAAGTAAATTAGTAACAGATATTGACCAGTCTGTGTGAAATACTTACACGGATACGACTAGGTAGTTGAATATTTCGGGTCTGTGTATAATAGGCTCAAAAGACTTTTTGGTTTACTACGAATTGCCATAAAGAACACCAAATGCATTTTAAATGAGCGAATTATTTCAAAACTACTTGTTTATTTTTTTTTTCTTCCGCAGTATGCCAAAGCAAGCTTCGATAAGAGATCACTTTCAGAACAAACACGATCGCGCACTTTCAGAGAAACAACAGTCAGTCAATAAAAAACACGCATTATTGCCAACAAAACCTATAAAAATCAAACAAGACAACCATGTACTAATACAGCACATTATTGAGCGAGAAGCATCTTCTTTCTTTAAGAAACAACGACAGGCTCACATGATGCAAACAAAGCCAACTTATCCAACTCGATCTCTTGAAAAAAATGAAATAGAAGCGCTTATGGACCGAAATTTTGGTCAAACATGGCATAAAGATCGTTGTTGTCAATATTTAATGCAACATCATGCACCTCAAGAAAAGACAGCGGTTTTATGGAAAGATAAATATCTGCCAAATCAAATTGAAGGTTTACTTGGCAACATGTCTAATTACCAGTTCCTGGTTCAGTGGCTTAACCAGCTTAAGATTGATACACAACATACCAAAATGGGATCCAATTTGATTCTTATTGTTGGTAAGCACGGTGTAGGCAAGACAGCCAGTATATACACAATAGCCAAGGAAATGGGATACTCTGTATTTGAAATCAATCCTTCTACTAAAAGATCGGGCAAAGAAGTACTTGATAGTGTAGGCGGTATGACAGAAAGCCATCTTGTTCGATTTGATGCCATGGATCTAGAGAAAAAGCGTAAATTTGAACAAAGGGAAGCCATTGTGATTAGAGACAGAGTCAAGAAACCAAAAATGGACATTACTCGGCATTTCAAGCCAGTGAATGAAAAGAAGTCTATAGAAGAGAATAAACAAGAATTAGATCTTGATCGACATACGGTGATGAAGAGCAATTACAAGGCAACAGAAAGCTTGATTTTGTTGGAAGAAGTCGACATTTTGTTTGAAGAAGACAAGGGATTCTGGCAAGCATTAATTGAACTTTCACACAAGAGCAAGCGACCGATCATCATGACTTGTAATAACGATACACAAAACATACCTTATGACCAACTCTATCTGCAGAAAATACTTTATTTTGATACACCAACAAAAGATAGCCTTGTCCCTTATTTGCAACTTGTATGTTATCTAGAAAACTATGATCGAGTACGTACGATTGACATTGAATATCTCTGCAGACTCTATGACTATGATATCAGAAGAATCTTGAATACACTGCAGTTGTGGTTAAGCAAAGATATGCAAGAATACTTGTTTGCGCATATTATGGGTTTTGCTGATTTATTAGATACCATGAATCTTCAGAGTCTAATGGATCGATTGCAGAATACAGATAGCAAGACAAAGATAATTTGCCAAGAATATTATGTGGACTATTATGACTGTACTCCACATGAGTATGACTTGAATCAAATCTCTCATTTATTGGATATGTGTAGCTTTGTAGATGCCTATATTAGTCCCACAGACAAACAAATACACCAGGTGAGTTCCAGAATATCTATAAAAAACACTCACACGATACTAGTTGTATGACATCGATCAATATAAGCACGAAAAGAATGATATCCAGAACAGTAAAATGATATACAAGAATCCAACCGATCTAGACCATTGGTATTTAGGAGAAATCATTGAGAATTCAATCAACACTAGTAACAATAGCTGGTGTAACTACTCATGGTATCACACAAGGTAATCATTGCATTACTATTCAATTTGCTAATACTCTATAGTATATATTTAAAACAATGTTTGAACTTAGATGCAGTGTTATTTAAAAAACATTATGCTTATTTTGTGATGCATCAAAATGAATTTGCTCATGAATACTTGCCAACCATTCGAAGCCTTTGTTTATATGATCAAGGTCTTGCTGGAAAAGGAAGGACACAAAGAACTAGAAAAAAAATTAGATATTTAGAGCTTGACAAAGTGTCGAGAGATACTATTTTATTAGGATAGTATATTTATTTTAAATTAATTTTTTTCCTCCCTCTTTCTTTCTTTCTTTCTTTTTCACTTTCTTTTTTTCTTATTTGATCATGTCAAATCAACAAACACTCATACAACAATCATTTCCAATATGCCCTAACTGTCAACAATCTTGCCAATCATCTCCTTCTCTAAAAGCCTTTAACCAAGTTTATCATGATGCGTGTTTTGTTTGTGAGGTAAACAGAAGAAAAGAGAAAGAAATAAGGGGCAAATGTTAAGGGGGCTGAAAGAGTAACGTATAACTTACTCTATATAGGATTGTCAAATCCCATTAAAAGATATCAAGTACTACTTGCTTACCAGACAACAGAAAAAAAAGTTAATTTTATGTGAAACTCATTATCTAAAACGCACTAGTTCAAGTGAATGCCCTCTTTGTGTAACAGTTAATCAGTACGAATTCCAAGATCAGAGCTATTGCCGATTTCATTATTCGCTTATTCCAGAAACACATTGTGCAGGATGCGATCAAGCTATCCTTAAACAGTTCGTCGAACATAAAGACTTGCCCAATCAAATTTGGCACCCAGAATGTTATATGATTTATAAGTTCTGGAAAGTTAAACTATCTCTTTCACTACCAGAAGAACAATACGGTTTAAACAGTAAGTCATGCCTTGTCAGCTCATTCACTTTCCAACCCTTTTTTTTTTTTAGTGGACCAATTGATTGACAGACAAAAGAAAATGGAGAAAACAGTCAGTCGAGTCTGGACAGATTTATCTTCATTTGAAGAGTCTTCCGCCAATTGCATCTCTGATATGCTATTGAATGTAGCTGCAGGTGCTCATATGGAAGGTATTCGAATGGCAAACCAATTTATTATGCATTTAGAAGTCTTGTTCTCCGCATTGGATGTTATAAAAAAAGAACTCGAATCTCATCATCAAGGTACAACATACACTTTATTAGCCTATGCTCATATTTTTTTCCCTCTTAGAATTTGCTTGTCAAAAAGATGCTACATTTATTTGCAAGCAAATGACTCAGTTCTTTCAATTGCTATCAGCACCTTCAGAAACAACGACACAAGAGTTACTTCAGCTTGTAACTGGATTAGCACAGAGTTTAAAATCACTCATACGAATTGGACTTTCTGCAGCAATATACTTGGTAAGAATATTTAAATTTGGGTTGCGTGTGTGTGTTTTCTCTATTACTGGTGAGGAGGAAAGGGGAGTAGGGGAAGGGCTTCTTCATCTTTTTTAATTTATACTTATCTTTCTTATAATAAAATTTGTCATTAAACAAAGGAACATGAATTTGGACTTGTTGCAATACCTCGGTTTCTAAACCAATTGTTAGAGTTAGAAAAAAAGCGCGTCTGGATTGCAGGAAGATACTGGTTCAAAGATCCACCAACACCAACTACAACAACTACAACAGCAACAACACAAGTATGCTTAAAATGTCAGCAAGCAATTCTCGACACCGACTGTTATCAATGGCATAATTTAAAATGGCACCCAGCATGTTTTATCTGTCAGGTATGCTCCACGCAATTAAATCATTTAACAGCACACATTGTCGATAAATCACCCTATTGTGCCTCATGTAAAAGTCAAGGCGATCGAGACATTATTCATATTACACTCTTGACTCGACAAATTGAACAACTCAAGGCATATTTGAACCAATCTTCAAAGATACACTCAATTTCAGGTAATATATGCATTTTTCTCTGATTATAGATCTCATCCTATTTAGATAAAAAGCAAGACTTGATTATGCCACAAGTGAAAAGACAGCGTTCTTTACTAGGTATGTTAAGCACACCCCGACCAGAACGTATAGCATCTGTCGAATTGAATCAGATAAAGACGACAGAAGAAAAGAAAAAGCTTGATACTCAGCATGGCAATTTGCTCACACGAAGCCTTCGTCGTACATTTAGTCACTCCACATCTTCTTTATACCACATCTTCGATTCAACGGCTACCAAACCAGAGGTTTCTCACATGGCTACTTTAACTACTTCACAAGATTTCATCGTACGCCATGCTGCTGTGATTGCCATTCAGCCACTTATTGTGCCCCCATTTTCACTCGACGAGCTAATCAACCTTGTTGAAACAAAGCAGCAGATCAAGAGAACTCGTCCTGCTTCTGTATTATGGGGTAAATTAATTACACATATCAAATCATCATCCTCCATGTCTTCGCTGGATCAACATATCGTAAAAACATTCGGCGTACCCTTATCCGCCGTAGCTAAAAGAGATCATGACAGACAATTAAGAACACATGGTGTCACTTTATGTGACTCGAACTATTCAACCCTAGATACCTGTTTCTCTGATAATGCGATGGTGCCTCAATTTGTAAAGAGCTGCATTTCGGCTATTTTACAGTCAGGTAAAGAAAAAAAAAAAAGAAAAACTCTATCAACATGTATTGTATTTCTTATGTTTTCAAATGTTTAGACATGTCGGTTGAAGGCGTATTTCGTAAAAACGGCAATATTCGTCAGCTTAAATTACTTGTGGAATCAATTGACGATAGAGTAGACACCATGGAACCATTGCTTTCAAATGAGAATGCAATTCAACTTGCAGCACTTTTAAAGCGGTACTTAAGAGAACTGCCTGAACCACTCCTGACATTTGCGCTCTATCCATTGTTTGTACGATGCGGCCGCATGATAGAACCGAATAGAAAAAAAGCACTTCACTTGGCATGTTGCTTATTGCCTAAACCAAACAGAGATACTATGATCATGATATTTGCATGTCTCAAGTGGGTGTCTTGCTTTAGCGAGACAAACAAAATGGATGTGGCAAATTTGGCCCGTGTGATTGCGCCTAGCGTACTTTACGATAAACATGCAGAGTATCAACAAGGGGCACAACAGGAGGAGATCAACGTGATTGAAACCTTGATTCATGAAATCGATGATTTTTCTATTGTATGTAGTTTAAATGCAAGTTTTATGCTAACTCATATTCTTTAGATACCTTCTGATTTAACTATTTTAACATTGAACGATATAAACCAAGACTTGTCTCATCTTAGTTCAAGGTACTTTGTACACCATTATTCGCAAATAGTGTCTGAATTGCACGACAAGAAACACTCACCTATGAAAAAGTATCACTTTGGCTTACCTTCAAGAAAACGAACCAGTTCCGCACATATTAAACAAAGAAGAACTTCTTGGATACCAGGCTTATATAACAATAATAAGAAACAGTAATCATGTACAACAACATTTTATGTATAATAATGATAATAATATATGCTATTTATTTCTATTTCTATTACAACTTGGCTTGGGCAGAAAGTTCTGTCTGCAAGACATCACGCATATCATTACAGGCATCTTCAAGACATTGCTTGAATTGATACGTACCATTTACGTATTTCTTGCCGTGTACTTCAAGATCCTTAACACTAGCGATATTGAATTGAAGTGCATTGTTCTTAACCATGTAAGCCACACCAAAACCATCATTGACAACTTGACCCCAACCATAACCATCAAAATGCTCAGAAGATAATTGTGAAGTAGACAAGTACCAATGAGAAGAATAAGCAAATGCAGGATCAGTAAATAGAGCAGGCTTTTCTTCTCCAGACTTCAAGCTGTTCTTCAAACCAAACAGGTGACGGTCAACACCATGGCCATTGACAGCCATGGACATGTGGGCGCCTTGAGATTTTAAGGCAGCACGCAAAGTAGCGATTTTTTGAGCATCAGACAAGTAAGGGTCTTCAAAGGCCTTGACAAAGGCAACAGACTCATCAGAGACAGAACGACAAGTCTCCGTACGACCACGTTGGAATTTACGAGTTTGACCAGACTCGTAAGTAGGACGAGAAACGCCAAACATTTTGTAATAAGCAAGTTGAATAGCCATTTGAGCAAAACCATCAGGAGAGCACTTGAATTTCTTGATCAAATTCTTACCAAAAGCATTGTAAGCAAGCACAGTCATTTCATGCTTGGCAATAAGTTCATCAAAATCTTGTTCAGCAGACTGAATAGCATTTTCAATCTCTTTGTTGAGAACAAAAGTGATTTCTTCAGGCTGAGGAAGAGAACGCACTTGGTCAGAACCATGTTGAATACGGTTCTTTGCAAGTCTATTATTATGCAGTTAGAGAATTTATGCTGAATAATCGAATTTGATAATTTACCCGTCACAAACATATTCATTCAAACGACAAGTAGCAGTGCCATCCATACAAGAATGCTATCATTCAATGGTCAGATCATATGAAGATTTGTCATCAAGAATCCACTTACTTCACCAATGAAACCAGCCTTACCGTTTTCAAACACAATGAATTGAAGTGGCTTGTCATAGAAGCGATTGCGACCATCACCATGCCAGTTGGCACGGCAGAATTCATCACGGGTATTGGGAGTCAAATCATCAAGACAGACAACAAAAGAAGCAGTTTCAATCTTGCTCATCACTTGTTTGTTAATAGGATTAGCAGCTAATAACAAATCACGGTGCTAAAGAATAGTTAGCATTTTCGCTTTCTACAAGTTACTTACATCTGTCCATTTATCACGGTTCTCAGAAGTCAATACACCAACAGGAATACCCTTGATATCACCAGCTTGATCAATCACACGCTCAAATTGAGCTTGTAATTCTTTTGTACTTAATTGGACACCTTGATGCACTGTATCAATTACGTAGAATTTGTTCTTACGAATAGCAACAATATGTGTGTTCTTGAAAGGGTCAAAAGAAGCAGCCAAATCACTTGGCTTATGAGCAATACGACAGTTGTTAAACATGTATTTGTAAGAGTCCATACACATGGGTTCGCCCTTTGCATATTCAGGTTCCAATGTATGTTCGACTACTTGTTTCTTGAATTCAAGAGCAGCTGTGGTGATAGCAGCAGCACGTTGAGCAGGTATCTTACGGAACTTGTCGTCTTTGTAAGCATAAAAGTAAGATACATAGACAACAACGGGATCACGGTAGCCCATATAAGCTTGATCGAGCCACCATTCTTCCATCCAGTTGACCATGTTGGGATCCTGAGCACGAGCGACTAAACGACGTTGGAGTTCTTGACCAAGGCCACCAGGTTTTTCAAAGTCCTTGACAGCCTCTTCTGTGCGCTTATACTCTTCAGGTGTTAAGAGTGGGTGAACAGTCTTCAGGTACTTTTGAAGAGTTTCTGAAAGTTTAGGTACTGGAAGTTTAGGGAGGTTTTTTTGATAACGAAGCATTGGACCTGCTGCGTTAGGGTCAACTGGAGTCTTGGGAGTCTATAAGTTGTCAGATGAAGCTCAGGCTGTCTCTCTATACTTACAGGAGCCATTTTTTTCTATAAGAAACAGAAAGAAAAGCGAGTTTTTGTGGGGTAAATTGATTTTATTCAGCATAATTTAAGGACCGGTAAATCAATTTAGTAATCATTTAAGAGTTTTCCTTGTCTCTCATATGATTCTGATGGCATATTCAAGATTTTGTTTTCTCACCTAAGATGGGAAAATACACTGTAGCAAATGCGCCTTTCTTAAGGCATTATCATAGTAAGGCATACTTTTGTAGCAACCAGGTACATGTTTCTGTCAAATTTCTGAATTCTCACGATGTAGGCAGTAAACAAACTCTCGAGCAATTTGTATTAGTCATTGGTGTGTTTTAAAAAAAAAAATATTTATGCGAGAAAAGCTCTACTTATCATATCTACTTAAAGAAAAGAAAGTTTATCCGAATGGTCAATCAAAATGGTATATAGTTATCTCATTCTAAAGGACTCACACATAAAAATAAACATTTTATTGACTATATATACAAATAAAGACTACCAGTCATTTACATTTTCTGGTTTCTGGGAGACTACACAAGTGCTTGGTGTCATGGAGCTCTTGATAATATACTTTTCTGTACTCAAGGCATCGTTCAAAACATCAATAGGAGGTAAAAGTAAATAGACTTGACTGTTCTCGACCTTAACGTTGAAAGTGTTGATAAAAAAAGCTTCACTTCCCTCGCTTATACATTTACCAGTCTTAATATCAAAGTTCTTTTTATGAATTGGGCACGACACATAGACAACATTATCTTCATCTTGTTTCTTTTCACCTAGCAGTCCAGAAGACAGAACAAGATCTCGCTTGACGGGGCACATGTTTTGTGTGGCATAAAACTGGTTGTCTAATGTATGGAACAATGCTATTTGAACATCGCCTACTTTGATAACACGTCCTTCATCTTGAGGGTAAATATCAGTAGAACCAACGTGCATCCATTCTAAAGTGACAGATTGGCTTTTGACTTGTTCCTGCAAGGAAGGCATAGGGTCTACTTGCTTTGGCCAGTCTGCAGGACGCAACTGACCTCGCTCTTCAATCATTTGAATTATAGGTTCTTTGGTCTTTGAGTCAGCATTCACAAACTCTTGAAAACGCTTTCTAAGTTCGGGTGTCTTAACAATACGCGCCCATTCATCTTCATAAGTATTGACTAAGAAACCCATTTGCTTGTCCAATTCTTCACAAATACCAAGATGATCGTCAATAATAACCTTACGAAGATAATCAACTCCACCTGGAAGCTTTTCAATCCATCTGGCAGTACGTTGAAGCTTGTCAGCAGTCATAATATAGTACATCAGGAAACGATCAATGTATTTGAAAGCATCTTTCTCCGAAATACTGGAGATTAAGAGATCAGCATGTCGAGGCTTGCTACCTCCATTACCACCAACATATACATTGTAGCCTTGTTCAGTGGCTATCAAGCCAAAGTCTTTTCCCATAGATTCAGCACATTCACGAATACAACCAGAAACACCACCTTTTAGTTTATGAGGAGAACGAATACCTTTGTAACGGTTTTCAAGTCTAACAGCACACCCGACCGAGTCTTGTTGGCCAAATCGACACCAAGTAGAGCCTACACATGATTTGACTGCTCTGAGCGATTTTCCATAAGCTTGGCCACTATAGATTGAATTTAGTATACATAAATAACAATTTTTTTCAGAACTGTACCTTTCAAAACCGGCATCAACAAAGATTTCCCAAATGTCAGGAAGGTCTTCTTTACGAGCTCCAAAGATATCAATACGCTGAGCACCAGTGATCTTTGTATAGAGGTTATATTGCTTGGCAACGTTAGCAATGACAGCAAGTTTATCCGGTGTAATTTCACCAGCAGCAATACGAGGAACAACACTATACAGACCGCCACGTTGTATATTGGCTAAATAACGATCGTTAGTTTCTTGAAGAGCACCACGACCAGCATCCAAGATATTTTCGTTATATATTGAGGCAAGAATGGAGGCACATGTAGGTTTACACACTTCACAACCCATTGTGTTTTTGTCAACAGCACAATGAGCGACAATGTCACTATAAGATCGAAGTCCTTTGATCTTGACAATAGTATATAATTCAGCGCGAGAGTAATTGAAATCTCGACAGACAGTATTTGTAACAGTTTTGCCGAGCGCTTTCATTTCAGCTTCAAAGATTTCTATGACAGAAGGAACACAACCACCACATCCTGTGCCCGCCTTTGTACAAGCCTTGACTTCGTCAACAGATGTTAATGCTTTTTCTCGAATAGCCTTGCGAATGTCGCCCTTGACAATATTGAAGCATGAACAGATTTGAGTGTCATCAGGAAGTGACTCAGCACCTTCTACTTCATTGCTTTGAACACCTAGAATGAGTTCAGATGGCTCTCGGTCCAGCTTTTTGCCGCTTCGTGTGAGAGCTAGAAGTTTAACATAGTCATTGGTATCACCAACCATAATGCCACCCAGGAGGTGTTTGCCATCTTCAGAGAAAATGTATTTCTTATAAACGCCTTTAAAAGGGTCTCGATAAGTGAGGGGTTGTGTCTTGATAGAACTTTCAGGAAAGACATTACCAAAACTAGCAACATAGACGCCCATCAATTTAAGTTTCGTTGACATATCATTGCCTTTGAATATAGCTTTTGTCTGCTGGTAATTTGTCAAGTTTTTCGCAAGAACGTCAGCCATGTCATTACAGGGAGCAACAAGGCCGTAGCATACACCATTAAAAGAGGCGCATTCGCCAATAGCATAGACATCAGGAGCAGAAGTAGACGTGTCTGAATTGATTTCGATACCGCCACGAGGGCCTGCTCGAAGAGCACCATAAGAAGCAGCACATAACTGATCGCGAGGTTTAATACCGATAGAGTAAATAAGCATATCAGTGGCTACAAAACTTTCATTTGTTTGACCCGTGGAACTCTTAAGGCCAATGATGCGACTTTTTTGAGAGCTTGAACTATAATTGGTTTTACCGACGACTTGATCAGGACAATAGCCAACGTGTGTACGAATTCCCAGTTTATTGATTTCTGACTCCAAGAGAAGAGAGGCATCTTGGTCTAATTGACGAAACATCAGACGATCTGACCGTTCAAAAACAGATACTTGAAGACCTAAATCCATGGCAGCTTTGGCAGCTTCTAAACCCAACAGACCTCCTCCAACAATTGATGCTGTTTTAACATCTTCTTGAGAAGCCCAATCTATAATGTCTTCGAGGTCTTCAATTGTTCTGTAGCAAAAGACACCATCCATATTTGTGGGTGCATTTGGAGGAACAGCTGCAGAAGATCCGGTCGCAATAACACAAATATCATAAGAAACCCAAGAGGCTCTTTTTGCCCGAATCATCTTTGTTTTTGTATCGATTTCTTCGACAAGGTCACCAATATGAACTTCTATTGAGTTTTCTTCATACCATGATTTAGGTTTCATCAGTTGCTTTTCAGGGTCTCGATGGGCGAAGTATTGGGTGAGACCTACACGATTATATCCCACTAAAAAACATGAGAATAAGTTAAAATCAATTTATAGAAACTGGCTTTCTTACATTCAGGTTCATCACCAAATACTTTGATTTTGTATTGCTTCTCAGTATCATAGTCAACCATTCTCTCCATAAAGGCTACAGCAGCCATACCCAATCCAACCACAACAATTGTCTTTTGGTCAGTCTCTAAAGGAAGTTCTGATAGCGTAATAACATTAGGAGGCATATTTTTTTTTTGTAGGATGAGAGGAAAGACCTTCTTTATTGTGTATAGATTTATATATAGAAAAAGCAAGCGGCAGTTTAACCTTCTTTAGAGCTTGTTTGTTTGTTAGATAAGAAATCATCTACATGTTGCACAATTGTATCTCTTTCCTTGGTTTGTTTGTTAAAAAAAGATAAGACACTCAATTATTCTAATCAATGCAAATGTAATACAAATTTCCATTTTCAAATAACAAACAAAAGAAATGATAAGGCGATTTATTAAAAAGTAAAAACGTTATTTGAATAATATTCTTCACCAAATGCTTCTTTTAACAGAGGTTTACAGCAATTCTCTAGCATGGGTTCAGGGCCACAGAGGAAAACTATTCTGTCAGTCAACTCATTTTCATCTTTGAGAAACAGATACTCCTGTAGTTCCGCCATACAGAAACGACCAGAACCACCTTTCCATTCCTGTTTTGGAGAGTCACTCAATATAAATCTAACAAACAATAGATAATGAGTTTATCTATTTTATATAAAGAAAAGCTTAGTTGTTCCCACCTTACTCGGAATCGATCGGATCCATATTTCATTTGTAAATCATCCAATTCTTTCTGGAAAATAATTTCGTGTAGCGAACGAGCACAATAGATCAGCGAGATTAAGGGACGGTTTTGATCATTTTCAAGTGCTTGAATGATTTGCCACATGGGTGTGATTCCTGTACCGCCTGCTATCATACCGATTTGCTTAACACAACGACGATCATGTTTGATTGAGACTTCTCCGTCTCCATGATATTCGATCTCACCTACAGGGCCTTTAAATTCAACTGTTTCACCTATACGGACTTTGTCTAGAGCTGTTGTTAACTGACCACCTGGTATATCATTATAAGGATAGTAAATCTTGATAACAAATTCGATAGTCCTGGATGTCACTTTGCTGGGAGTATAGGCTCTTATGACCAGTTTTTTTGAAGAGGATTGACCATAAACTTCTTGCTTTACCTTTATATAGACATGCATACCAACCGGTAGAGATAAAAACGCATTAGATTCGTCTTCATGAATACCAAATGTGAACTTGCATATAGAAGGGGACATGAATTCTTTCTTTTCTAAAACTAGATTCTTCCAAGTGCGAGGATCAAAGAAAGACTTATCCAAAGCGCTTTTATGTGAGATTATTTGTGTCTTGACAATATCTTTTTCTTGTTGGGAATTTGTTTGTACTTTCTTTTCTATCTGACCAATCAAGTATTCTTCAAGCATATCTTTTGCTTTTTGAGAATGAATAGCATCAAATTCTTCTGTACAATCGGTACCTGCAGCCAAGGCAATACTAGAAGCGCCACCAGGATGTTTATCAAGGAATTGTGTACAATCATAGACCAGGCCTTTGTAAATCAACCAACAGTCGTCTTCTGTTGTATGTTTAGATACTTGCTCTTCAGTATATATTTTAAGATTGTTATTAACGGGTTTTTTCTGTCTGTCTTTTTTATTGGCGTCGGGAGTTATATTGGCTTCTTCCATCCAGCCAGGAAGATCAATACCTTGCAACGTCTCGTCACCTGGAAGTGTAGTGGGATGCTGAAACAAGAGGGATAAAGTTGGTTCTCGGATCAAATGTAACTTGACGCGATACCAGCAATTATTGAGCATTCCCATAAGCGACCAGGTAATATCTCTTGGCTGAGAATTATTAGCATCGTTCCAGCATTTAAGGCATATTTCTTTCACACCAAGTAAGTCTGAGATAGGGATGTCTAGAGACCAATGGACCCAAGTCCAATGACGAGTCTGCAGATAAGACTTGTTTGAGTTGGTTAGAGTAGCACCAAAATGCTGAGCTGCGTATTGATCGGCTTCAGTTTTGAGTTTTGTGTGGATGTTTGCTAGTCGCCAAGACTTGCCGTCATCGAGTGTTATCTCACATCGTGTGATTTTTCGATTACTTCCGCCATAGGCGTATCCTTTGAGTGTGATTATCGCACTGAGATCATTTAATGGCACCTTAGTTCCATGAAAAGGAGCTGCGATAACACTGTTCACGTTTAAGTCGTATACTGAATATTCTGGAATAGACCACCATTTTTCTGTTGTTGCTTGATCAGCGCTCAAGACATTGGGTGGAAATACTTTGTTATCCGCATCTTGAAAAGGGTTCTTAGATATGTAAGTAGTAGCTTCAATCTTGGACAGCCACTTAACGCTACGGCCGCCAATGCAACCAGGAACAATACAGCGGAGAGGGAATCCATGGTCGTAAGGTAAAAGCTCTCCATTCATTTTGTATGCTAAAAGAACATCATATTCGGGAGACATAGCGCGTTGGACAGTGATTGAGGTACCATAAGGGCCCTGACATTCAATAAGTAAGAAAGATCAATGGAATATTATATAATTTACTTTGGCTGTATTGTCGTTTCCTTCCATACAGATATGCAATGCCTCAGGTTTCAAGCCTTGGGCGAATGTGTTGATAACATCTCTAAGAAATACTCCTGTCCAATAAGCAGTTCCAACACCTTGAGTTATATGAGTATGATAAGAAAAAAGATGGCTCATTATTGCATACCTGCAGATCCCCAAGAGAAACCAATACTAGGTCGGATCATGTTTTGTTCTTTGCGTCGGTTACCAGCACAGCAGATAGTCACTGGTAGTGTATGAGGCTCCATTTGTAGCAAGTTATTCATTGTTATTGTAATGGGCCTGTTGACTAGACCACCAATAGTGATTGTATGCGTATCCCAGTTATTTTTAGGAACAGGTCCATGGTTTCTAACAATGTGAAGGCCATTAGGTGTGATGAATCCACTTTCTAGAAGCAGTTTTACTGGAGGCTCTAAACAGTTATTAGTTTCAGACTTTGGTTTGATGCAATTCATGTCTACCGGCATTCAAGGGGTGCTTTCCGGTGAGTCTAATGAGAAAAGGATCTCTAGACACATAAGCATCTGGAGTTCCTATGTCTTTTGGATCAATTATGCCTGTAGACTTATTCGGAACATTTAAGCCGCAGTTCTCTTGAATGAGTTCAATGTTAGGTGCCATTGTTAGTTTGAACAAAGAGAAGGAAAAGAAAGAAAAAAAAACCTGGCCATTAAGTACTGGAAGCTGTCACTTCTAAAAAAAAAGCAACAAACATTTGAGATCTAATCTTGTCGATAATTCATTCTTACCTCTTAATTATAAACATGCACTTTAGGATAAAAACCACTTCAATGCTTTAAGTTTATTCGATAAATGGTTTGCTTATAGAATGAAATAAATATACATCTCTTTTTGTGTATTAAAATTGCTTTAAAGAAAAGATAATATCTATCAAGATGGTCGTGTAACACATAGCTCTTTAGTGCTTATCTTTTTCTTTCTGTTTATAAAAAAATCGAATGATAAACTGATAACAATGTGAATCTTTATTTATTTGATTGTTATCCATAAAAGTTAACAAGCAAAAGAAAAGATAGAAAACTAGCTATCTGTCAAAAAAGGGGGTCTTTATTTTTTCAACAATAAAAGACGAGAAGGTGCTACACTCTTTGCCAACTCAGTTACTTCCAGCTTCCTAGCTAAGGCAAACTCAACACAATCATCTCGGAATTGAGTGAGTATGTCCGTATATTGAGAATAAAACTGAGATAATTAGATGCGTTATTTTATATGTTTTGCTTTTTCATGACTTACTTTGATACCTTCTACTAGATTAATTCTTATCTCTTTAAATTTAGCGAAAGCCAATTCCAAGTTGCAAATTGCTTTTTCTCGCTTGCTTAAAAGAGGAATATCACTGGTCATTAAGACAAGACGAGCATGTAGTTCAGATACGGAATGCAACAAACCAGCTTGAGAGAGAACATGAGCCTGAATATGGTTCTGAAAAGGTAGATAAAATTTCAAGTGTTGCTCTATTACTTGTGCAAATTGCTCTGGTTCTAGTTTAACAAGAGGCGAGCCCTTTGTCAATTCATCCATTTTCTTGAGCAATGATTGAGATATGTCATCTTTTAAACTTAGTGCATTTTTCTCCAGATTTACTTGCTGCTCAGACTCTTTAGCCAGGTCTTCTACTTTTGATCTCAACTGTGATAATAGTTGTACAATACCGTGATGGCTTGGGTCATTTTCTGATAAACTAGGCAAATGTTGTTGTATTTCATTTACAGGTTTTGATAACATGCTGATTGCCTTGCCCCAAGTATTGACTTTGGCCTGTACAATACGATCTGCCTTTTGAGCTGCTTGGATAGTGTCGTTGTATTGACTACCCAAAGTAAGCAAATGATGAGTTAAAGCAACAGAGCTTGGACGACTCCATACTATAGATACTATTAGCTTTTTGTCTTTGTTGACATCCTTACATTTTCCAAATTGTCTACTCATCTCAGCATCTTGCTCGTTTTCTTCTTCAAGCGCATTGAATCCTTCATTAATAAGATCAGATGCTTTTTGTGACATTGTTTGTATCTTTTGGAGCATATCAAAAACGGATTGAATTCCTCCTTCATCTTGAACTTCTTCAGCATGATCAATAAGAGACTTAGGCAACGAGTCAATTTTATCCAAAGAATAAGGCAACTCTAGGCCTTCCAGTAGTCTATTGTTAATTAGATAAATGGGTATTGTTATAATTACAATAGCTACCTTTGGCGATCAGCCTTGAGTTCTTGGTTTTTCCCTATAATTTCAGTCTTGATTATATAATCCTTGTTATCAGCATAGATACTAACTGCTTGGTGTACAGCAAAAGGAAGTAATTTTTCAAACAAAGGTCGCTTTATAAACAGCTTATCATTGGGTCTGTCTGCTAGTACTAGCCAATAGCTTGGATCAGAGACAAAACTAGGTAAGACAGGCTTTACCATGTCAGACCTCAAAATAGGCGCCAATTGATTTGGCTCAGGCACTGTTTCCATATAAATCACATCATTATCCTTTTCAGCTCGGACGAGGTCACGTTCAATAGCATGTTTTAATGCTGTGACTCGATCCACAAAGCTTTGAATCATAAAATGAGGATGTTGTGTGATATGTTGACTGGCAATATTATTGCTTGATTGAGCGAGATGTAGTCGTGAAATTTCTTCACCGTAACGTCCGGAAGAAATAGCTTCATTTGCTTTTTGATATTGTGATTCAGCCTTGAAATAGTTATGTTTTGTATCTGCATAAATCTTCCAGTATTCAGGAATAGCCTTTGTGTCTGAGACAAGATCATACAAATCAGCCACTTTAAAAGCAAGACGAGCAATTGTACCGTGTTTCATGTGCTCCATCACAGCTTTAAGCCAGATACACTCATGTGCCTGTGCCATCATTAATGCAATTAAGGCATCAATGAGTTCAAAATCTTGAGATGGTTTTTCTCGAAATTCAGGTATGAGATCAGATTTTATGTATGCGAGACATCCAGCAGCATTCTGTGATACATAAGTAACAAGTTCTGAAATAACAATAGGTGTTCTACCTGAAAAAACTGGCACGCTTTTCTTATGCCTTCAGTGGATACTTGATTTTGAGAACAACCCAGCTCGCTATAAACACCCGCTATTCTATAAAGAACACAAGCCTTTTCATAACTCAAGTTGCGCATGATATCTGTATGAATAATCAGCATTTTGATCCACGTGAATCTATGTTGTACCTGGCTTCTCTTGAGAAAAAATAGGTAACCAGCCAATGTTCAAGTCCATCTAGCTCTGTTAGTTATTCATTGTTTTGGGTCTACTTACATTTAAAGGGAAACGGGAACTGAGGAAAGTGAGTTGACTATAATAGCTATGCAAAGAGATTAGCATTCTTCTCTGTCCTTTCTATCTTGAAAAGAAGAACCTTTTACATGGATAGATCTTCAATAGCGAAAGGCGATTTAGAAGATTGGTTCAAAGCATGCTTTCTAAGAGAATCCAGCAGATGGCAATCCTCTCGGTATTGCGCTATATCCTGACCATAGCTCGAGTAGATGTAGTCGAGTAAATAAGGTGTCCACTGCAATTCAGCTGGTTGCTTAAGTGGTATGCTCAAGAGTGCAGTTCGAGAAACAAAATTCATAGTTTCTTGTTTTTTTCCCTCTGCCTTCTCTTGTTTGAATAGATTTGATAACAGAATTGGCGAATACAATTTGGTAATATGGGAAAAAAAGTGGAGAGAAAATAAAAACAAATAAAGGGTGCTTTACAAAGATTTTATTTTGAGAGTCAGGTACACATTTATTCAAGTGGTACGAATCATATGACCTTAAAATTACATAAAGAAGCACTCAAAAAGTACTACAAAAAAAAAAATAGGGCGTCAGTCTATTCAGCATAATAGTATCAGAGCACCAAAGAAATGCACCCAATCACTCTAAACATCATATTTACTACTAGAAAGCTTGTACACTTTATTAAAAAAATTGTATTGAAAAAATAAGTAAAAATCAAATTCTAGAAATTAAGTAATACTTATGTTGTTACTTACATTGGGTTATGAGAAAGAGTAGAGAACAGAAGGGAGATAAATTAGTAACAGACATTAACCAGTATATGTAAAAATATTGACACAAATATGAGGAGGTAATTGAATAATTCTGTCAATTGCATAGTCGCTTCAACTCATTACATTCATACAACTACACAGTATGGCCAACCAATACCAAGCTGTCATTGATGCCAAAGGTTGTACCACCAAGTACTAATTTTTTTCTACTTATATTATCTTAGAACAAACATCTCAACAAATCATCCACAAAAAACTAAGTGCGTTCAAGTATCATCTTGGCATGTCAAGGGGCTCTTGTATCATGATACCTTTGTTGCTAAGTTCAAATGACAAAAAATCGGGCTATTTTTTATTTCGAGTCAGTGTATAAGCCCTAAACAGATACATGCACTATTAAAAACATCTTTACTATCTCATAAGTATCTTTTGAGCTATTTTCTAATGCTTGTTCTTTTTCTATTACTTTATTTGATATTCATGTATTTATTTATGTTTTGACATATATTGATTGTTTATTACCTCTCTATTCACTGCATGCACACACAAAAATGACCGTCTGTTGTACATTAAAATGTTGAAAAAAATTCCTCTGGGAGCATCAGAAACCGAGCTTTTGTTGAAAATTACAAAAAGACGTAGGTATTCGACTTTGATGTAGTGAAAAAAGTTCTAGGTCTTTGTTTTCTGAGTCCAATGATTTAAAAAACACAGGAACTTTGCTGCTAAAATTTTGAGCGAATAGGCAAACATGTTTACAAAGTTTTTTTGCTCATAACTCATTATTTTTATAGTACGTTTGACAATCAAACGCATTCATCAAAAACTAGAGCTTCCGGCGCACATTTTGAGTATTTAAGCTTGTCAATAGCTTCATTTTTCGTCTTGTAGCGTCAAATAGAAGATTGAAGGTTGTCAAACCAACGATTTTCATGAGTACTAGCCTTTGATCGAAAGGCATATTTTGGCCATTTTGGACATGTCACTTTTTTTGGTCCAAATCAACTCCGGAGGTACTATTATCGTTAGCAAACACCATTTTTTATGCGTTCGTCGCGCTTATGCGGGTATAAACTGAATTTGTGATGCCTTTATTTGCCTAATAAAAAGCAAAGACTTGCTGAACTGTTGTCTTTTTTATTGTTAAAGCATCTGTTTGCTTGGTTTTTCTGTTGAATAAATAAGTTGTCTAATAAAATATCTTTACAGAGACAAACAATTGATTCCTAAAATCAAAGAGAGAAATGTTTTCTTACGAGAATGCCAAAGTGTTGGAAAATTTTATTATACATGATATATGAAAGGCAACCTCTAGTACACATTTCAAGTATGGTATAACTTACCATATATTCACAACACTAGTTTAATCACTCACTTTTCTATAACAAGCATATATCCAGGCTAAAACTTACAGTATCATTTGTATGAGTTAATAGAATTAATGGGATATCCCTTGAAAAGAAAACACTAAGTATCAATGTACATTTATACACCTAATTCAAAGCATCTCTTTCTTATTATTGCATGCCTGTTAGATTGTCATATTGATTATCGAATCTATTGAGAAACATACAAGATTGACAACAATAGTATGATTATCACTACCTTCCATCGCTCATGCAAACCTGCTATGCCTTGCTTTTTATCTATTTGAGCCACCTATGTTGTTTGCAAAGTTCAAATACTGAGTTGGTGTGCAATGTTCTAAGCAAGCAATACAGTTTGTCAGATGATATACGATCTGGAACTGTACGAGCATAAAGCTTAGTTCTGTTGTACATAATAAACTAAAGGAAAAAGAAATTCCTTTTGTATTTTGGTACCTTTCTTAACCGCCAATAGTAGTTTGCAATTCAGAAATAAGGGATTTAATAACAGTTATTAGGATAAAAGCATGAAAAACCTTGAATAAAATTCATGTATACATCAAGCATAAATTTGGCAAAAAATATATAGTTCTTGAGAAACTTTTTCCCTTTTTCCGCTTTGATCCATGACAGCATACAATAACCTTGGATGATCTTTTATGATTCTTTCCGAAGTCCGACATTTTTTTTTCGAAGTGAGCCAATGCATGATTTGTGAGAAAAGCGGAAATATTCACGCTTACAACTGCATCACATTACCCTATTGTGATATTTTCGTTCTTCCCCAACGTCTTTTTCCTTTTTTTCTTTCTCTTTTATTTTTCGTTATGTCTGAACAATACAATATGTTTAAAGCTGCTTTTGATAATAATCACAATTTGCCTTTTAGTTTTCAATACCCTGTACCTGAACAAAGAAAGGTAAAAAAAAAAAAAAATTATAAGGAATAGACTTTCTTACATAAGCCATAGATGGACTATCCCACATTCAATGCCTCTTCTTATTTTCTACCGTCAATTGCACCATTTCTTCCTCTTCAAAATTCTAAACAATGGAAAAAAGACGTTTCACAAGTAAATATATATAAGATATAAATAAATGTGTCTAACCTCGAAATACAGTCAGCATTAATTATCAATGAAGAAAAAGCGATATCCGTTTCTCCATCACCACCACCACCACTACCACCGCCATCATCACAACCACCGCCATCATTGCATATTGAACAGTCAGATGATATTCCTCCCACACATATTGTTTCACCAGAAGCCATTCGTGAAGCCCTTAAAGAAGAGAAAGAAGAAGCCATGGGTAATAGTCAACGAAGACCGTTTTCTCAATTCGTTTCATTTCATGCTTTAAAACAAAGACAGTATTCCACTGATCCTTGTCGGCAGCCTGTGAATCAAGACATGGACGAGAAACAGACAAAAGAGCCTCTTCAATCTGATTCAAAAAAGCAAGAAAAACCAAAAAGACCGCCAAACGCTTATTTGTTGTTTAATCGAGACATGAGAAGAAAATTACTTGAGGCTTCCCCTAAAATGACCGTTGCCGAAATTAGTAAAGAGGTGGGTGACTGGTGGAAAATGCTGCCTAAGGTAACCATCGTTGCAAAGAGCACATAAAGAGCTTATGTTCATTTAGGACCAACGTGAATTCTATGTCAAAGAAGCTTCTTTGCTGAAAGAAGAGCATTTAAAAAAGCATCCAAATTTTATCTATACTCGAAGATCGAAAGCAGAACTTGCAGAAGCAAAACGTACTTCAAGACAAGGGAAAAAATCACTTAAATCAAACTCACCTGAACTCGTCGTCGTGGATAAAAAGCAAGCCAAAAAGTCTTGCTCTGAAGCTGAGAGAGATCCAAGGGGCCGTAAAAAAAAGAGACATAAGCATCCTTTTGCTCCTAAACATCCCATGTCTGCTTATTTACATTATTTGGCTTCTGTTTATCCACAAGTGTCGTTGAATTTCCCAGGCTCAACAGTGGGTCCTATTAGCAAAACTATTTCAAGAACATGGCATGCCATGTCGCCTGAGGAACGCTTACCATGGAAGCAAAAAGCCGAGTCTGACAAGGCACGTTATGCTCGAGAAATGCAGACATATATGGCGAAACAAAAAGAAAAAGAAAATCGTTTGTCTGACAAAGAAGAAGACGATGACGATGATGATGATGACGAATATAAAGAAGATATGGATGCTCAAGCACTCAGTGCTGTAGTAAATATGGTAAATAGTAATTGCAAATACAATGTATAATAAACAAAGCAAACCGGTGATATTGCCGGATTTTCGATGATCATGCTGCCTTGATGGTAGGTGGCTTGCGCTAGTATTTGAATAGGCGCAACACGCGCTTGAATTTTGCTTGCCACTTTTGCTACTTTAATGACTAAAATCAATACCAAGCTTTCAGTGTTGCAAGATGCTGAACTAGCTGCTAAAAATCTTGAAACTATCCTTATTCAGCAATATGAAAAGAAAACACAGGTTAGTAACAAGAACATGCTTATACATCACTAATAAACATAAAAGGGAATTCTACAAGAAGACGACAATGAACTTGAATCAGACCGCATCTCAGCCTGCTTTGATAGAATAAAAGATCTTCATACACTTGGATATTATGTGCTCAAAGAGAGCAAAGAAGTAACAGCTGAAGAAAAAGAGCGCATGAATGAGAGACAAGTAGAGCTCCAAGGTGTCATGTATGAAAAGAGACACATTTTAGAAGACATCATACAATGTCGACAATTCAGGTTAGAAATAACTCTATCTCAAAGCAATAATCCTCATTCTCTGTGTATATAGATCTGTCTATCAAGATATTGAACTCATACCAATAGAAGAATTTATGACTAATGCAGATCCAGAGTTTCTTGAGAATTCAGACAATCCACATCAACTCATGATTAACAGACTCAAATATGAACATGTAGTGCGAAAAGCGTAATGTATCTTTGTTGTACATATCAATATGCTCATCATGGCTATAGCTTAAAAGAACAGCAAGAGGCCTTAATGCTTAGAAAAGCAGAACTAATCAAGGGAAACAGAAAAGCACAAAAGAAGATTGATCAATTTGATAAGCTGTTGGATGATTTTGTACAGGTAAACTTCTATTTATTTATTTATTTTTTGTTAAGCCAACAGCCTATTTATGCATTATATAGACTGCATCTCCTCTAGAAGAAGCCTTGGAAGCAGAATATAAGTTAAACCATCCTCCTGAAATTGAAATGAGTGAAGTAAAGATTGAAGATCCTATGGAAACAACTTCTTAAATGTAAATAAATGTACTGTTTTTTTATTAATGATGATTATTCCTCCATGGCTTGTTGTTTACGAGCTGCAATGGATTGTTGATGAAGAAGATACTTGAGCGTATATTGGTTTGAATCACATCTATTGTATATTAGTCTACTCATTAACAAAAAAAAAAATCAAACTTACAGTGTGGCAATATCATCTCGAACACGATTCACACCCTTATGCAATGCTCTAAATACAGGCTGGAATTGTCCACGATGATCACGAAGGTATCTACCATGAGCAGTCATGATTTGAGTCACCCATATCAAATGGAATTCAATATGAGGGCTGATTTCCATATGCATGCCGATAAATGTCAATAGTTTAAACAGGTATTTTTCAGGCATTTCACGGGCAACAAGATCAACTGAGTCTGGTGGAATACCTTCAAACACAGTATGTAACAAAGGCTTTTCGTTCAATCTGAAGGCCATACAGAGTGCCTTCAAGTATTCTTTGTCTCCAAGGGCTTCTAGCACAGTTTCAGGTGTGATCTCCAACTCTAAATCAAATGGATCAAACATGATATCTTCGTCTAAGGAATAAATCATGAGACCGTCTGTAGTAGCAGCAGCCCAAGAGCGACCTGTAGGGGAGAAACGAACAGCCATGGACTTGACTTCAGGGCGTGTCTTTCTGACAGAGAGATCACCTGATCTTGTACCAGGCAGAGAAAAGTCTTGTCGCTCTTCAAAGTCAGAACCTTCGTCTTCTAATTCTTCCAGACTGCCAAATTCAGTCATGTACTTTGAATTAAGCACTTCTTGTGTACCGTCCAAAGAGAGGTTCTTGGAAATAGTGAATTTCTTGATCAAGAAGGCAGTGGCAACATCATAAATACAGATATATTTGCTTGTACCAGAACCAATAATACTTGTACCATCAGCAGTATAACAAATAGAGTTAAAGCACTTGCCAGAAGCAGCATTATCAGCAGATGTGCGGTCATCTTTTTTGCGGCCACCCATGATATCTTTGCGACCATCAATAGTACCAATCACATTGGCCTCTGAAATATCCCAGAAAGTGATTTGGCCATCCAGAGTAGCTGCTGCTATTTCTTTACCATCAGGCTTAAATGCAACAGCCAATACTTCTGTTTGATGGACAAGAGTTTCAATGCTCTTTGTACGGCCAAACACATCCCAGGTACGTGCTGAATGATCCCAGCTACCACTGACAAGATTCATACCAGTGGGAGAGAAGGCAAGTGAACTGATAGGTCCAGTATGTCCTGCCAAGATATCAAGTAATTTGCCTGTCTGTACACTCCAGATATAGATTTCAAATGTGTCCATAGTACCTGCACACACAATTTCACCACTAGGGTCCACTGCCAAGGATGTGAACTGAACAGGGTTTGGACTAGTGAATGTTCTGAAATTACGGTAACGCACAAGATCAAAGGCACGCACGGTACCATCTAAACTGGCAGAGAACAAGACCTGTCCTTGTTTAGCAAATTCGACAGCTTTGACACCACTTGTATGATCACTAAAGGTAACAAAACAAAAGCCTGAAGTCGTACTCCATACTTTGACTTTACCATCATCACCACCTGTAGCTAATGACTGTCCATCGGCTGAATAAGAGACTGAATTTATATCATAATAGTGACCTTGTTGCTTCAATACATAGGTCTCTGATTGCCATTCCCAGACTAATAATTGGCCTAATGCTGAAGAACCAAAAGCAAGCCATTCGCCTGTCTTGTTAATAGCGACAGTATCAATCTTTTTTTGTGAGATACTATGAATTTATGTTAATTACTATTATTGATAAGCACACTCTTTGTTTACCTTAATGTATGAATCGTAGTAAAGTGAGGCACTTCATAAATACCAAAGATACCATTAGCAAAACCAACCACTACCAAGTTACTGGCTGCAAAGAATTGTGCTGTATTGACCTTGACACCTGTTGTATTGAAATAGTTCTTTTTCAAAATTCGCCACTTGATCTTATCTACGCGTACAATCTCATTGCCATCTTCATCCACTTCAACCATCTCCGTGTCTGAATCTTCATGCATGCCTGCATAAGTCGAATTCTTCCACTCAAACAACGAGCCATCTCTACTAACAGAATAAACCTATGTACAGCATGAGTTGTAAGTCATGAAAAATAAGATACATACACTCTTCATATCAGCAGAGAACCAGGCATTGATAATATAATCCCGATGACCAGAGAGTGTTGTTGTGAATTCGTCCATCTTTTTGTCAATGGTATAGATACGACATGTCATGTCTTTTGATGATGTAATAAAGTATCTATGAACACTGTTAGTCAACAACATTAACCAACTTCATCTACTTGCTTTGAATCAGCACTCCAGTTGAGGTTGGTGACTTGATCATGATGTCCAAGTGCTGTAAAATAAAGAACAAAAGGTGCGAACTCGCGAGTGTGGCCAGGTGCTTTCCATACATTGACTGTCTTTTCATTGGTAATAGCCAAGTATTTACCATCAGGACTGAACTGAATAGCTTTGGCTCTTGTCTTGAAATTCATGTGATGAAGTACGATTTTTCGAGGCAAGTTGATCAAGAGTGCTCTGCCATCTAGGCATAAGGTTATTAAGGGCATCTGAGCTTTTTTTTATTGCTTACCTCTATCGACAGTAACCAATAATGTGCCATTAGGAGAAAGGGCCATACGATCAATATTTTTACGCATTTCAATAGGGAGTGTATAGGATGTGTTGCTAATCCAATGTTAGTAAGTTCATTACTCGGTGCGAGACTTACTTGACAAGATCAAATACAGAAACACGATTGCCAACAATACTCAAGACAGAGTTCCCGTCAGGTGAAAACAGAACATTACCACCTGTATAAACAGTGCCTAAAAGATTGGAAAACTATAGACATGTTGATATACACTTTTTGTTTTATAAAACGCTTCTTAGTTACCTTGTAAGAAGATTTCATGCTTTATTATTCAGAGAACAAGAAATAATAATATAAAAAAAAGCTTTATTTCATTTGACAGGTGGCTTGTTGTCCTGATAAACCAATCAGATGGGCTGCTTTATTCCTATTCATTAGGCAGCCACTTTTTGAGCTAATGTAATTTTATCACCAAGACTTAAGGCAATACCCTGTGTCTTTGAACGAATACGAATATGACCTGTAATAGGACCATCGCCTGTCTTTTCAATACTCAAGTTTGCTAGTGCATCTTCACCAAAGATACTTCTAGCATACATGTTGGCTGATAAGAAACCACAATCACCTTCCAATTGCTTCTTGGGTGTTAAGCAACTCATGTTAGTAGAGTCCATGATATGCTGCAAGTATTCTCTCAAGTCACTACAAAGAAAGAAGAGTCAGTTATTTGTATCCAATTAGACTTAATACTTACCCAACATTTGTATTCACATTCACCTTGTTTTCCCATTCAAATTCAGTCCACATAGATCTGAACTGTGTCTCGTTACAGTAAGCAGGGTTAATGTAGTCCATGATATCAATATGAATATCGTTCAACACAACACAGTTTTCAGTAGAACCATGCGAGTCATATACAATGTTACCAAAGATGACACCAGTTTCAGTAGAAGATACCTTAATAGGAGCCTTGACAGTCAAGAAAGAATGAGGAGCCAAGTTATGTGTGGAAGGACGATCAACAAGCTTGAGATCACCCAAGGTAGCAAATTCAACAATCAAGTTTTGTAAGGTTTCATTGGTCTGGTTCACGATCAACACATCCATCAAAATATCATATTGGTGTACATTCACCACTGCTTCAGCATAGACCTTGTCAGAAAAGCCAGTCAATTGAACAATACGGTTTAATTTGGACATCAGGTCGTCCTTGTCGTCTGAAATACCAGTAGCCCGAGAAAGGTCTTGTTCGTATTCATCAGTAATACCACCAGATTTTTTAGAGAATTGGCGGAACATGATAGCATCGTCCACTTGAACTTGAACACTGGCTTCGCTTTCTGCTTTAGCATCAATGAGACGTTGTTCTTCAGCTTGGAGTTGTTTAGAATACACTTGACGTGTTTCTTTGAGATAGACAGTATCAATCTCGCTGCTTTCAGTGGCTGTACCAACAACACGCAAATCTTGCATAATACGGTCATAAGAATCTTCATCAATCTCAAAGGATACAAATTTGGATTGACCAATACGCAAAATACTAGTCATGATCAACATGGCTTCAGCCTTACGAGCATTGACCAATGCAGCATCAGACACATGTGTATTGTAACGAAGAACAAGCTTGGTAAGTGCAGTAGACAAGACTGTACCGAGGAAATAATCACCAGCAAGTAAAAGAGATCTAAGTGGAGGCTTCTTGGCGGCCTTGACTGCTTCTAAACGAGCAGCAGAGGAAGATGTCTCGGTATAAGCACTTTCAGTAGCATAGGTACCATCAGCAAGAATACGACGAGCGCCACCACTACCACTACCACCATTTGAAGGAACCGTGGTTTCTTTTTCTTGTTCTTCAGCCGCTTCAGTGGCATCCAATAACTTTTGCTCAGAGGCCAACAAGGGAATTTCGCCTAAAGCATGGCGAATTTGCTTCCAGGCATCATCAATTTCTTGAATGCTTTCACAATATTCACCAATGATCCAGAGTGCACCTCGCAACACTTTGCCTGATTTCATATCAGTAAATGTATCCAACAACTTCTCCAGAATGGACTCCCTAAGCCCAGGGAACTTTTCGACTACTTCACGCACAAATGAGACAACATCAACAGCAGCTGGGTTGTTGGAATCACCCAAGAACTCCATAAGTACATGAACCACATTGGCTGCTACTTCAGAGAACTTAATGGCACAGGTGTGAATGGATTGAATCAATAGTTGACGGTATTCTGTGTTCTTTTCATAAGCATCGTCTTGTGTCTTTGTCAATTCTTTCTTGAGGAAAAGAACAACTTCTTGAACATTTCTTGAAGAAACCATTTCCAATGCAATACGGATGGCCTTGCGACGTACTTCGATATCAGGACTCGTCAATACTTGAAGAATGTCCATCACTAAATCATCCAATACACGCTCATGCTTATTTCTGATCTCTTCAAGTCTATCGAGTACAATCAACTTAACATTGTTGTCAGACTCCTTGACAATCAATTCAATATAGCAAGAAGCAGCGGCTATAAAGTATGAGTATGGGCTAAACATGTACCTATCTTACCTTTGACAGCAGCAGGACTCGTGGTCAAGTACAATAAGATAGCAGCGGCCTCATACTTGACAGAATGAGAAGCAGCAGCCAAAAGTTCAGAAAGGCAACGAATATAGACAGCCTTGTTGGTTGCATTGTTCTTGGAGTCTTTACGGATCAATTCAATGACAGCTAATTGCAATAATTCATCAAATGTAGGTACAGAATCAATCACTTGCAATAAATACTGAACAGCAAGAGGTTGATCTACGCTACAAAGAACCACAAAAGCATTTCTTCTGCAGGTCATGTCTGCTTCCTATCAAAAAGAATAAATACTTTTTTAAGATTGTGTCTATTTCTTACTGAAAGTAAAAAGTTTTGAACAACTTCAGGTGCATCAGGGAAAAGATAATCAAAAGCCTTATACATGGCCCCAATAGCAAATACTGCATTCTTTCGAACATATGAGTGGCGATGTTCCTATCTTGAATGAATATACATTGGTACCTGAATTCAATAGCTTACCAAACAATTTCTAACAGAAGGCACAAGGGGTTCAAGTACTTCAGCTTCTTTTATTTTGCACAAGAAACGAAGTGTTGAGCCACGAATGTATTCATTAGGATGTTGAAGATCGTTCATGAGAGCATTACTATCATCAAGTTAACACAGGTCACTGTGTATAGGACCCACTTACCAGACAAGAATAAACTCATCCTTCAACTTGCCATCTGGCTTGGTTTTAGGACAAATTTCCCAATAGAACTGCAACAGTTTTTTTAATTGCTTGTTTCTAGATGGCAAGACAAAACGAATAACATGCAATAAGAGTTTTTCCATAGGATCGCCGTTCAGCATAATGACCAAGAGTTTCTTCATGGTCTCAATACGTGTCTCATCAGACCCTTTTTCAAAGGCTCGTTGAAACTCTTGGAGAGAAGGTGTTTCTGTCGCGTCATCTTGATAGACGAGTGTGTAGCAAAGGTCCGTTGCCATCTTGTAAAGAAAAAGAAAGAGATGAACTGTTTCGAAACACGTTGGCGGTTGTTGAATGGGGATAAAGGTGTGCTTATTTCTGATTGGTTAGTCGTGAATCGTATCTTACCTCTCTTTTTCTCTCTTTTATATGACCATTAAAAAACCCTTTGTGTTTATGGCTGCTGCTTTGGCACACAATGGTGGTATTGGATATAAGAACGGACTTCCATGGAGTATTCCCGGCGATTGGGAATATTTTGAAAGAGTGACAACAAAATCTTTTGATGACAATAAGCACTATGAAGATTATAACAATGTCATTATTCTAGGGAGATACACTTTTGAATCAAGGCCCATGTGTAGTGTTCCTTTATTGAGTAGATACAATATTGTTGTCTCTCGAAATCCTACTTATAAAATGTAAGATCTCTTGCTCTCTTTTTTTTTTTCTTTACATGTACTCATCTTGAACAAGCACTTCACCTATAGCAGCCCTCACGACAAGCTTAGAAGAAGCATTTGAATTAGCTAGCTTAAAAGTCAAAGAAAACGGCCGCATCTTTCTATTAGGTGGAGAGCAGATTTATAGACAGAGTATCTTGATGCCAGAATGCACTCATGTATTATTGACGCACATCTACAGCACAAAAGAGATCCCTTGTGATGCATTTATCCCCAAGATTGACCCCAATGTGTTTCGCTTAGCTAACCATGATGAATTGGAAGCATTCATACAAGAAAATATACCCAAAGGAAGACAAACATATCAACACTTTGAATATGAATTTGTACTCTACATTAGACAATAAACGATTGCCCTTTCCTTCTTACACTCATGTAGATAGTATATTTTTTTAAACAATATATATTTTTTTAAATCATCCTATATTGGTACTATACAATTTACTTGGACAAGGCGTGTTGAAGAGCTTCGTAAACTTCAACTTCGATCTTGGCAGCAGCCTTTTCTTGGTCAGTAGTGGCACTACCAGCTTGACGTTGAGCTTCAGCAAGACCAGATTGAACACGCTGTAATGATTAAGTCATTAATTAACTCTATTTCGAATCATCATGTACTTACTTCAAGAGAGATTTCTTCAAGAGGGAAAGCTTCAACAGCGTTGATGTTGAGAGAGCTATCAGGGTTGATGGTAGCGAAACCACCAGAAACTATAGGCAGGGGAGAATGAGTTATCTACGTGATTCATGTTTGTTACATACCAAAGAACTTCTTGGTGATTTCAGAAGATTCAATGACTTCGACAACACCAGGGTTCAATTGTTCAATAGTAGGAACGTGGTTGGCGAGGATACCCATGTCACCAGAGGTAGCAGCCAAGTTGACTTGTTGAACACTGGTGGACTTGTAGATGGCCTAATGTACGTGTTAGTAAGTGGTGATGTAGATGAATGACATGCATTACCTTGTGAGGGACAACAAAGGTCAAACGAAGAGCTTCAGAAGCAGCAGCAGCTTCAGTAGCATAGAAACGAGCTAGAAAGAAAGAAAAAGAATAAATACAATAGATACGTGTAAGCTAATCAACATACCCATAGGCTTCATGGCAGCACGGGCAGATCTGGCGAGAACGTTCATTGTTGTCTAAAAAAAAAGTTTTCTTTCAACGAAGAGGGGATTTGCTTTTACAAAAATTAGTGTTGGTTGTCTTCCCCCTATAACTTTTTTTCAAAGTCCTTGCTTATAGATGACGCAGAGGATTATTATCCAATGAAAGTGCAGGTAATTCGGTGGCATTTGAGCGGCCAGTTGGGCCACCTACACACCTGCACACACTGTAACAAATAAGCAGCCACCCCCGTCGTTGGTGTGTCTTTTTTCTTATTCATACTCCGTCTATCCCCACACAATTTCATGAGCTTATTGTACTGTGCGTGCGTGTGCGTGTGTGCGTTGTAGGGGGGTGAAAAACTCGCAATAGAAAAAAATCTTTTTCTTCACCCCTTTCCCTCGAAATTTAAGCTATGTTTATTTCTCGTGCCCTCGGTCGTGTTGCTTCAGGCGCCTTCCGCAACCCTTTGGCTGCTCAAGCTGTCTCTTCAGGTAAAAATATATACACATCACCCTGGTTTAGCATACTGATCTTTTGTTGCTTAGCTCGTACATATGCCTCTGCTGCTAGTGCTGGTCAAATTCGGTAAGTTCATTAATAGTTAACGAGTTGTAAACTTATGCGTATGTGTGTGTGTGTGTGTGTGTGTATACAGTTCTGTTATTGGTGCCGTTGTCGATGTCCAATTTGAACAAGACAACTTGCCTGCCATTTTGAACGCTCTTGAAGTCAAGGATCACGCTGGAGGTCGTCTTGTTCTTGAAGTTGCTCAACACTTGGGTGAAAACACTGTCCGTACTATTGCTATGGATGGTACTGAAGGTAAATAGAAAGCATGCTTCGCGTTTTTTTTTCTTTTTTGTCGATATACTTATACTCTATATAGGTCTTGTTCGTGGTCAAAAGGTTGTTGACACTGGTGCTCCTATTACCATCCCCGTCGGTAAGGAAGTCCTTGGTCGTATCATCAACGTTATTGGTGAACCCATTGATGAACGTGGTCCTATCAACACCAAGGCTCACCGTCCTATTCACGCTGAAGCTCCCGAATTCGTTGATCAATCTCCTACTCCCGAAATCCTCGAAACTGGTATCAAGGTTGTCGACTTGTTGGCTCCTTATGCTCGTGGTGGTAAGATTGGTCTTTTCGGTGGTGCTGGTGTCGGTAAGACTGTCTTGATTCAAGAATTGATCAACAACATTGCCAAGGCTCACGGTGGTTACTCCATCTTCTGTGGTGTCGGTGAACGTACTCGTGAAGGTAACGATCTTTACCATGAAATGATTGAAACTGGTGTCATTCAATTGGAAGGTGATTCCAAGTGTGCTCTTGTTTTCGGTCAAATGAACGAACCCCCAGGAGCCCGTGCCCGTGTTGCCTTGACTGGTTTGACCATTGCTGAATACTTCCGTGATAACGAAGGTCAAGATGTGTTGCTCTTCATTGATAACATTTTCCGTTTCACTCAAGCTGGTTCTGAAGTATCTGCTCTTTTGGGTCGTATCCCCTCTGCTGTCGGTTACCAACCCACTCTTTCCACTGATATGGGTGGTATGCAAGAACGTATTACTACCACCAAGAACGGTTCCATTACCTCCGTCCAAGCTGTCTATGTCCCTGCTGATGATTTGACCGATCCTGCTCCTGCTACCACTTTTGCTCACTTGGATGCCACCACTGTGTTGTCTCGTTCAATTGCTGAATTGGGTATTTACCCTGCTGTCGATCCTCTTGACTCCAAGTCTCGTATCCTTGATCCCCGTATTGTCGGTGAAGAACACTACAAGGTTGCCACTGAAGTTCAACAAATCCTTCAAAACTACAAGTCTCTTCAAGATATCATTGCTATTTTGGGTATGGATGAATTGTCTGAAGAAGATAAGCTCGTTGTCGAACGTGCCCGTAAGATCCAACGTTTCTTGTCTCAACCTTTTGCTGTCGCTCAAGTCTTCACTGGTTATGAAGGTCGTCTTGTCAAGCTCACTGACACTATCCGTTCTTTCCAAGAAATCTTGAACGGTAAGCACGATAGCTTGCCTGAATCTGCTTTCTACATGCAAGGTGATATCAGCGATGTTCAAAAGCGTGCTGAAGAAATTGCTAAGGAAATGGGTAGTCAATAATTTTTATTGTACAAAAAAAAAAAAAAAAATGAATATATATATATATGTGTTTAAGGAATAAAAAGATATACAGAAACAAGACCACAAGTTTACATATTTACATTTAAAAGTTAAGGATCAAATTAACAGTGCCTTCTTTCTCTGGGTTGTCTTCAGTTTCAATATGAATGTCTTGTTCTTCTTTTAAATCTTGAATGACTTCATCGTCTACTTTAACAATAATAGGCTTCTTATCTTTGGCCATGGTTTTTCGATATACGTTGGAAATGGGTTTTTGTATTTCCATACGTTGTTTAATCTTGTCTGTAAACTCTTTTAGCGTCAAGTGTTCTAGATAAACAGCACGATAGACTTCAGAGGATTCAAATTTGACTAAAAGGCTCAGTTCTGTACAAAAAAAATTAATTGTTGGCGACACTCTATCGATCTACTTACTTGCAATACGTCGCCTTCTTTGAGGTACATAAGATGGATCAATATCTAATGCTAAATTACTAAAACTTGGTTGATAATTTGGATATTCAGCTTGACTTGCAGAGAAGCTACTATAAGAACGCTTCATATTAGGAGCACCTATTGAGGGAAGAGGGGGAGGTGGTAAGAGAAGCGCTGAGGAAGAAGGAGAAACCATATGACTTTGTTGCTGTTGTTGTTGTAATAGACTTCGATTGTCAAGTACCGAATGATAAGAAGGTTGAATATCATCTTCTTCAGGAGGTACAATTTCTTTGAAAAGAGTGATAGGTAAAGTAGGCGAGTAAGCTAGCCAAAGTGGATGAGGTTCACCGTTCTTTCCACGGAGTTTTTCTAGTTGACGTTCAATATGTTTGGCATCATCTTTGTTTTTCCTTTCAGCTCCCTAATAAGAAGAATGAGATGTTGTCAGATAGGTAGACATGTACCTTGTCACGAAACAATTTGATGCGACAATAGGTCTTTTCGACAAAGAATTGAGAAAAGCGAATATCTTGATCTGAAGGTGGTTGTTCGCTTTTGATCTGAAGACGAAGAGGAATACCTTTGACACCTTTGATTCTTGAAAAGTCAGTAGAAAGACAATTGAATCGAACATGAACAGAAGCACCCATTCTGCCATTCCATTTAAATGAGACACGGTCAAACATTCTTCCTTCAACGGCTTGAGCACCACTTGATCTTGTCAAATCTAAAGACAGCATGAGAATGAATATGTCAAACAAAACGTATTTTTTACCCAACTCAATTGCTCTTGCTTCTTCAGAATCTTTTTGCTGTGTTAGCCAGAACTTCCAATAGTCAGTAGCACTAACACGATGACTCTCGTCATGGAATGTGATAGATACTGTACTTATGATATCACCATCATATCCCTTGTCATCTTTAAGGATAATGTTATAGTATTGACCTAAGATATAGATTAGCAACATTTTTTTGGTCTAGTTTCTTTGTACCTTTGTTTAAATAAGTCAATGGTGGTTCATCAACCTTTTGTGATGCAGCAGTAGGTGCTATTATTAATCAAGTAAATAAATGAACAAATAATAAAAAAAAATCTTATTTTACCTTCAAGATAGACTTCAAAGCGAATAGAGCTACTAGAAAGGGAGTGGTCAGTCGTACAAAATTCGATAGTTCTCCTCAATGCAAGTGATGCATGGGTTACACGATTTTATTTCGTGGACTTTTTGATCGGATTAGTTTCCGGACAACTTACTTTGAATGATTCATGGTTGAAATAGCACTGGTAGGTGGTGAAGGTGATAAAGAGAGTTGTACATGAGGAGAAGAAACATAGTTGTCCATGACTGGATAGCTGTAATGAGTTAATATTTGTGGACTTGGTAAAGGGCTGCTTATAGAAGAAGGTGAATGATAATATATTTTTTGCTGAGGGTGATAATAGACTGGATATGAATTGCTTTTATATAGTTTGGATTAGAACAAGAAAGAAAGAAGGAAATGTACCTTTCAGGTGAAAAATCTGATTGACTGCTTAACATTATTTTATAACTTTTGAGTCTGACAACAAATACTGGAAATGATCTTGATTTGAAAAAGAACAAAAGAAAGACAAAAAAAAAAGATTGAAACTTATATTATTAACATTCGATTAAACTTTAATGTCAAGTCCATAACAAAAGCTAAAAAAGAAAACAGCTCCTTAATTATTGTCTAATTACCAAAGATCCTCCCCTTTTTTGTGCTCAGCCACTCTGGTAATTGTTTGTTTACTATAGAGAAAGATTGATAGGAAATAAAGTTTGCCCTTACGTACTTATTATGTAGTTTAAAGAAGCAAGGAGAACCTCTTTTTTGATAGCAGGACTGTCAAACTTGAAATAATCGCATGATTTTACTAAATTAATTAAATGCGACAAAGAAGCACAGACTCTATATCGTCTTTTTTACTTTAGCACATGGTAGATCTCTCTTTATTTTCTGATTTTTAATGGTGTGAAAGAGAAAAAGAGAGAGAAAAGTAAAGGGTCATTTTGTTGTGTATCCATACATCTTGCATGAACTCCTTTTTTTTTTTTACTTCATTCTTTTCCTTTCTCTCTTTTTTTACGTTAAACTAGATAGACTCAATTTCCTCTATGCATATTAATCATCGTCATACCAATAAAAAGGTAATAAGTCAGAGAATAATGTGGCAGAATTTTCTTAAAACAATTGGTTAATGATTTTCTGTCACTTTGTGTAAGGCACATGTAAACTTGGTGAATTGCTTTTTGTGGAAGGTGGTCAAAGGCTCATGAAAAGTGTAACCTTGTACCTCAGAGCAGAGAAAGTTTGTCACACGCTCAAAGTTTCCTATTCTTTTCTTGCTGGTAGCACCGCATGTTTCCTTTGTAAACAAAAAAAAACTATAGGATGAACGAGAACTTGTTTCAATTATGCAAATGTTTTGGTTGTTGCATACATAGCTTATATGTCCGACTTTACAACAAATTAAGCTTTGTATATGTTGATCAAGACAAAATAAAGAGAGAAAAAGAGAGATTTGCCACAAAGACAGTTATTTGACACAAAAGAAAACGGCTTAATTTTGTATCAGGTTTTCTTGTATAGCAATGTGTTCTAGAATTGAGTTTGCATGTGATGCGTTACTTTTTTGTAGCATGCTATGACGAAGGTAAAGGACATGTCTTTATTGAGAAAAATTCAGTGTAATTGGCATTCAAAGGAGAAAAGTAATGTGTCACTATTCAGGCTTTTTTTTTTTTTGTTTCTTTGGTGCACAGATCTTTTTTTTTCTTTTTTTCTTTTTTTTTGCTTTTTACTGCTTATACAGTACTCTTGAAATAAATAGTCTCTTCAGAAGATTTTTGACGTAGTTACCAAGTAAAGTAACTATGGTTACAGTCAAAACAACGCTTAAATCTACGGAAATATGTGTTGCTTACATGCAGAACAGTGATTTAATTGGGTCGATTTGATTGGCTCATAAAACTTTAAAACCAAGCCAGAGAAAAAGAGAGTCGCTCCTTGACCCTGAAGTCAATTACAAAATGTTAAGAGAATTTTTCTTGGGGAGGAGGAGGAAAGGGAGGGCGATTGGGGATCGCTTTTATTTTCCTATGCTGGAATTCACGTGAGCTCTTTTTTTTTTATTATTATTTTTTTCTCTATACGTGTGCGGCTGTTGTTCTTTTGGTCTTATTACATTGGATAGACGGCCCCTCTCTCTTTTTTTTTCTCTTTCTCTAGCTCTCTCTCTCTTTTCTTCTAATTCCTTTTCTTTGTGCATTTTCTTGTCACTTCTCATCATCTTGATTTTCAGCTTAAATATTCAAAAAAAAAAAGAACCAAGGTTCGTATACCAAAGAAAATTTTTCCCTTTCCTTTGCTTGTTTTGAATCCTCAGATTGAAACGCGCCATATATTTCTCTAGATTGACAGTAGCACAGTATGTCAGTTTATAATCATCGCCCTATGGTGCCTGCACCACAAAGTCGTGTCGTCGAGATGCTCGAGTCTATTCGAGGCGAGTTTGACCAGTTGGCACAAGAGCTTTACCTTTGCAAATCTCAAAGAGATGACTTTGAACATAAAAGTAAGAAGACCAAGGCTATCATATGTATTCTAAGTCCCCTTTTTTCTTAGTGAACCAACAAATATCTGAAATGAATAGCTTCCAACAAAGCCTACTTGAACTTGAACGTACTCAGCAAAATCAAAAGAAGCAGTAAGTTGCGATTCACGTATCTTCGCGTGTTTAATAAAATGTGTTGTGTAGCTACGAAGATGAAATTGCTAGGCTTCGTCAGCAAATTGAAGCGCGCGGTGGCAACGCCAGCCATCCTGGTATTCCTTTGCCTGGTCATCCTCAGCAACAACCTCCTCATCCTCAACAGCCACCACATACTCAACAACAAGCACATCAACCTCCTCCACCCAATATTGGACCTGGTTCCAATTACTTTGGTGGTATCATGAATGCGCATGGAAACCAAGCTCCGCCTGGGCTTGTGGCTCCACCACAAATGTCTGATCAGTCACCTAATGGCCCTCCCCTTCCTCCCCACGGTGCCTATCCTCCTTCCCAGCCTCCTCCACCTTCTTCTTCAGGCACTCCAGCAGGCTACAGCCAACCCCCTCCTCCATCTAACCCAGGCTATGCCCAATCACCCAGAGGCATGCCTACGCCACCTACATCAGCACATCCTCAACAACCACAAAGACAGCAAGAATGGCCCAATGGCTATAACTATCCTTCTCGTCCCGGCTCTGCAGCTCCTCCGCCTCAACAACAACAACAACCTCCACAAGGCAATAACGAATCACCCAGTTTGAAACGCAAATCAGCGTCTTCTGTACCTACACCTCCTCAAAACATCAATACAGCTTCATCCGCCATGGTACCTCGTACCAAGTCCATGGCAAGCCCTTCGAATGCTCATCAACAGCAACAAAGCGGCTTGGCTGATGTTGATCCTGAAAGTGTGCCTCCCAACATGAAGGTTGAAGGTCAAGATTGGTTTGCATTGTTCAATCCCAAGACCAACCGTCAGTTGAAGGTTGATTTGGTTCACACCCTTGATCATGCCAGTGTTGTTTGCTGTGTCAAGTTTAGTGCTGATGGTCGCTACCTTGCTGCGGGATGTAACCGTGCTACATTTATTTACGATGTTGCCACTTCTCAAAGAGTTGCGCAAGTATTCAACCAGATACGATGATATTTCTTTCTAACACATCTATTATAGTGTTTTACAAGACGACAATATTAAAATGGAAGGAGATTTGTATATTCGTTCTGTCTGCTTTAGTCCTGATGGTAACTATTTAGCCACTGGTGCCGAAGACAAGCAAATCAGAGTAAGAATGGCTTAAAAAAGCAGAAGTGAATTATGTTAACCATTGTATTTAGATTTGGGATATTCAAAAGAAGCGCATCATAAATATCCTTGTTGGTCATCAGCAAGATATTTATTCTTTGGATTTTAGTCGTGATGGTCGTTTGATTGCTTCTGGCTCCGGTGACTGTACAGCCAGAATTTGGAGTATGGCTGATGGTAAATGTCTCCATGTTCTTCGAATCACAGATCATGATCAAAAGGATCCTGGTGTCACAAGTGTCGCTTTCTCTCCTGATGGTCGCATCATCGCTGCTGCCAGTCTTGACAAGATGGTTAGAATTTGGGATACACAATCAGGTGTTCTTTTTGAACGATTAGAAGGACACAAGGACAGTGTCTACTCTGTTGTATTCATGCCCGATGGTAAAATGTTAGTGAGTGGTAGTCTGGATAAGACATTGAAGCTATGGCAATTGGGAACAAATGAAGGCCGTGGTATTGGTATGGACAGAGACAGAAGCAAAGGTCCTTGTAAGATGACATTTACAGGACATAAAGACTTTGTGCTCTCAGTTGGCTGTACGCCTGATGGTCGCTGGGTTGTTTCTGGTTCAAAAGATCGTGGTGTTCAGTTCTGGGATCCTCGAACAGGACAAACACAGTTTATGTTACAAGGACATAAGAATTCAGGTACATTGTTATGTGAAATATAAACTACGTACTAACTCATCTTAGTTATTTCTGTTGCTATCAGCCCATCGGGAAGACCACTTTTTGCTACTGGTTCCGGTGATAATCGTGCGAGAATTTGGAGTTATGATCCTATTAATTCTTAAAAAAAAATGTCCATTTTCTTTATCTTCTTCTATATTCATAAGAATACATATCCCCTAAATCACTTTTTTCCCCTTTTTTCTTCGTTTGCAAGCATAAACATTTCTTCTTGTTTGATTATATATAATTTTCTTTTGTTCTTACATAAAAAAAACCACATATACTTCTTTATCACCTAAATCAAGTTTTTTTGTGACAATTTGTCAAAGACATAGTTTTGATCAAAGTAAAAGGTGTACATAAACAAGAGACCAATTGCCTACAGTACATACAATGTTTAATTTTTTTTTATAGCATTTTGTTACCTGGACTAGTTTCATGATCCACAAGACAATTCCCCAAACAAATATAGCAGGCCCAAATGTTCTTGACAGAATTGGATAGCATGCTTTTGACAACGCATGTGTATCTAGTGACAAGATGGGGCGATCGAAGCGAGTCATAAAACCTTGACAATGCCAATGATCTTGCATATCATACAAAAGCTCTGTGTTTGTCATGTATGCTAGTTGCCATGAAATGTCTAGGTTTTCTTGAATATACATCTCTCTGTTGGATAATAACCATGTAGAATAGACCAATTGGATCAAGACAAAGACAGTTAAAGGAACCAAGTACTAGTAAGGGCTATACTTAGCACACAAATACGAATTGATCTATTTGCTTACCCAACAAATGTGCTCTTTGCTTAATACAACAAGACTTACTGTGTAGAGTACAATTATGCACAAGTGAGGCAATTCAACTTGAAAAGAAGGTAACATACTAATAGCGAATATATCAAATTGTTGATAAACAATAGAGATGGCTTTAAATGCAAAAGGCATTGCTGACTATACGCAGCTAGTCGCATGAATACATAACAGATCAAACTTTTTATCTTACAATTACTGAGAACGCTACAATAAAGAATATCCACTTGCGTAAACCATTGTTTGACATCATGATGACAATAAAAAAGAAATGTATACAAATGAAGAGTAAAAATATGGAATTACATTCTTTTCTGCCTTCTCTTGTTTTTTTTATTAAATTCTCATTTGCTATCATCATTCAATAAGCTTCTTTTCATTGACATAAAAAAAGGAAAAAAAAACATCAGCTCATATTTTTTTAAGATCATTTGTTAATACAACAGATATCCTCTGTTCCCTTTAATTCTTTCACATAATTGTGTGTATGTGTGTGTATGTATATATGCATATTTTGTCGATTTTTTTTTTTATTATTTGTTGGCTATCGATTCCAAACACTTGCTTATTCTTCCTTGACGGAAAGGTTGACCTTGGGGTTGAAGAAAAGACTTTCGGGGCCCCAGAAGGCTTGACGAGCACGGAAGTTGATGTAGGGATATCTGACCCATTCCTTGGGGTGGTGCTTTTGGTGTTCAACGTGAGCTTCATAAAGGTTGTAGGTGTTCAAAGAAGCAACAGCGAGACTATACAAGATATTTAGTTAAAATACAGTAGAAATTTTCATATGATAATTACACAGGAATAACAACGTAGATGGAAATCTTCTTCCAGGTGGAAGCAGAGCCTAAAAGAATGATAGGTTAATAAAAAGTTTTTTTTTTGTTTCAGTAACAGCTTACTAGCAGCATGAGCCTTGACGGCATCACGTTGAACAAGAAAGTCGCTTTGAGCAGCAGCGGTGGATTGGAAGCGAGCACCAGCACGCTTGACGGAAGCAGCGATTTGAGAGTTGAAAATGCGAGAAGCCATTTTTACTTGAAAGAGAGGGGAGAAAATAGATAATGGAAGGGGTTGTTGGCCCTTTTTTTTGTTATGATTGCTTTTATACCCCGCCAATAGGAAAAAAAGCACTATGTCATCTTTCTGAACTTGAAAATAGCCTTAAAAAGGAGAATAGCAGAGGCTCATCCAATCAAATGACTTTAAATCACGTGACTAATTTTGTTTTTTGCACTTATTAAACCAATTGATTTTTAGGACATCAAGCCTTGTTAGCTCAGTTGGTAGAGCGTGAGACTTTTAATCTCAATGTCAGGGGTTCGAGCCCCCTATGAGGCGATTTTTTTTTCTGGGTGAGTTTCGTCAGACGCTCTGGGTTTTTTTTTTATATCGTGTAGCAAGTGAAATTCTGAAAACAAGATGCAGAATGGTTGGCACTTCTTTTTAAAAGGATTATGTTATCAAAAGCCATGGACTCTCCTGAGCACAATTCATTGCGAGATACTAAATTGATTATGCTCTTCTAAACTCTTGGCTCTATGCAAAGCTATGCTAATAGAAGGCTTATGTCAGGCTTAATTGTTTATAAACTACTTGGACAATCAACGATCGATTGAAGTTGAATCATAGGGTGTTATTTCTTTGCAATACTATGATAAATCATTCTTTTTCTCTATCCATGTTTGCTTCCAAGCACTCTTTAGTCTCATCTCTTCTATTTTTTTATTCAGTCGTGAGTATATTAACACTTATTTGTTATCTATTTATTTTGTTTATTCTAAAAGTGTTGTGATGGTTTTAGTTGAGGAGCTATCAGTTCAATTGATCGAGACTTACAATAATCAATTCTCTTTCAGATAAAGGTATTGTTGTAGCACTTGTGCCTCTTGACAAAAACAAGGAAGAATATACTTGATTCAGAAGTTTAATACATTGTTATCGGCTTTTTTTTTTTCAATGTTGAAATCATAGTTCCCATTTTTTTGTTCGTTGAATGTTGAGAAAATCTATACTGCCAATAGTTTTTAGTGGCCATGAAGCACCACTTCTTGACGCACACAATGATTTCTATTTAAAGACGCTGTGTGATATCGAATTTATTACTAAGAAACTTCATTTCCCACCCTCCAAACCACACTTTGTCACAAGAGTAGGTTGCCAACTAAAATTTAGCTCTCATTGCCTGAAACTTTTCTTGTGATATGTATTATACTATACTGATTTGTGTTACTAACAAAAAAGTTTCATCTTATCAATTGTAAAAACAAATACAAGATATTCCCGTTCCAACATATTCGGAAACACGGGATTTGTGTGAGAGAGAAAGATAAAAAAAAAGGTAAATTCATGACAGAGTTAGACTAAACAAAAGAGAAAGTATATATATATGTAAAAAGAGATTTATTATTATTTGACATGGTTTGAAAACTAAAAATACAAGGATATAAAGACTATGTTACAGAAGAGAGAAAAAAAGAGGAAAGGTGGATATAACTTATTTTTCAAAGGACTTGACAATGGATTCAATAGAACGGTTCTTGGTTTCAGGAACAAAGACATAAGTAAAGACAAAGGCCATAGCAGCAATAGCAGCAAAGATAGCAAAAGAGTAACCTTGAATTCTAGCGAAGATAACAGGGAAACATTGACCGATCAAGAAGTTCATGGCCCAGTTCATGGCAGTAGCACAAGAACCAACGGCAGAAGAGGCGTAGACAGGAGACATTTCTGAAGTCATCATCCAAGGAATAGGTCCAACGCCAACGGCAAAGGAAAGAACATAGCCAAAGACGGACACGATCAAGAGAGGACCGACCTTGTAAACGTAACCAATGACCAAAAGAACAGAGAAAATACAAGCACCAGCTTCAGCAATCAAAAGAAGGATACGACGACCCATGCGATCAATCAAGAACAAGGAGGCAATGGTGGACACAAAATTGACAACAGTGGTAACGATGGCCATGTACTTGGCCATGTCAGCATCAAAAGACATCAAGAAGATAGAGGTGGAGTAATACATGACAGCGTTCATACCAATCAATTGTTGAATAACGTGGAGGCAGAGAACAGTAAGAGAAATCTTACGCATAATGGGGTCAGCAAAGATTTGAATCATGTTCATGTTGGCACGTTGGGTAGTATCTTCAGCAGGAACAATACCATCTTCGAGGCTTTCGTTGGCAAAGGCTTCTTTTCCATCTTTTTCTTGAGTAGCCTTGATGTTGGCAGTGTTGGTAACGGCTTCAGCAGCAGATCTTCCGAGAATACCTTCAACTTGTTCGTAGAATTCTTGTTCAATGTCAGCATTAGGACGAAGTTTTTGAAGGTTGATACGAGCTTCTTCGAGGCGGTTTTGAGAGATGAGGTATCTAGGAGATTCAACACAACCAGCCATCAAAAAGAATTGAGCAATGGCAGGAATAGCAACAATGGCAAAGTTGATTCTCCAGAGAGGAACATAGGCCAAAGGAAGACCAATAACAGAAGCAAGCAAAATACCGATGACAACAGCAAATTGGTTACAGGTACCCATCATACCACGAGCCTTGACAGTTGAGATTTCACCGACATAAGTAGGAGTAGCAAGAGAACCAAGACCACAAGAAAGGCCACAGAAGATACGACCAATAATGAACATAGCAGGAGAAACAGAGGCACCAATCAAAATAGCACCAATAATCCAACCAATATTGTTGAAGATGATAGTCTTCTTACGACCGAATTTAGTTTGGATGGCACCACCAAAGAAACCACCAAAGAGACCACCGACACAGAAAGAAGCAACAGCAAAACCCCTATAAAATAGAATATGTCAGTAAAATTTCATTACAGAAAAAAGAAGTGTGATCATACCAAAGGGCGTCATTCATTGGTAAACAATCAGGAAAAGCACTGTTAGCAATATGGGAAGCACCGTTTTCACAGGCGTGAGTGACTTGGCCAGGAACATTGGCAGAACCAATAACCCAACCGTTACTGAATGAACCAAGGCAAGAGATAACCACGCAGTACACTAAGTACCCGGGTAATTTCATATCAAGTGAATTCATGTTAAATAGAAAAAGAGATTTATATGGATAATAATAAGGAAAAAAAAAGGCAACAATAAGAAAATCAATTTGCTTTTATACTTTTTCTTGACATCTTCACGATCCACGCAAACCTACCCCGCGTACTATAAAAGGAATATTTGATTTGAAGACCAGAAATTGTGTGTAATACCATTGATTCAACGCTTTTTTTTGTCATGCCATGTGGAACGTTGAACCAGAATTACTTTTTTGATCATTATTTCAACTACATGTCATATGTTTTCAAGAATTATATCCATATCAAAGACCAAGAAATGAGAACCCCTCACAAAGTCTTTTTTTCAGTATGACAAACAAAGAAGAATAGAAGGATTACGCACAATCTTTCTTACAAGTCGTACAGTGACAGTCTAAAGTGATTTTACCCATAGAGATTGGTAATTGCAAATCGTATGTTTGTTTTCAAATAGCAAAAAGCACCCCATTCGTAACCCATTATTCATAGAACAAATGGCTCAGATTTAGGTCTCAATGATACTTCATTTTCGTTTTCCGTGCTGCATCTACCATGCTACATCAGCATATTCTGTGGTCTGTCTAGAAGGTTTGATGACGAGTGTTTGAACTTCTTTTCCGTTTCTTCTTCATTCTGTACTTTTTATACGGTTACGTTCTATTACAGAAAAAATATTAAAACAGAAAAGAAATGCCTTGATTCTTACAGAATCCACATAATTTCATAGATTTATGGCTCTTTTCCAACATATCCAGTAGTATACGCAGCCATTCAGAAGTACCCTGACTTACCATCAAGTCATGTTCCCCCCTTCTCTCTGGCCTTACCGTCTATTCCCGCTTTCCCTTTACCTGCAGAGTCAGGTTGAAATTCTAAAATAGAAGTTAAAGTCGAGATCCACCAAGCTATTATGTAAGATCCAATAGAAAACCGAGGAGTTTGCCTCAGGGAAACACTAAGTAACATACGATTCAATAATCCCGTTTTGTCCCACATTTCCCCACCTTCCTTATTTAGAGAACGGGAATTTGAGTAATTTGATTGGTATCAAAGTGATAGAGGGATACAGGTTCATACCACCAACCAAAATTGAAGAGAACTCAGCCCTATTTTTAGCTTTAAGGTGTAAATTCAATCGTTATGAGATGATGCTAAAAGTGCATTGTTTACATCATGTTGGTGAGCAGTAAAATAAAAAAAATGTGTGGTGTCCTTTAAGTAATCTTCCCAACATGTCAAATTGTAATTAATAATACTTCAATTAATTCATTTTTTTTCTTCGGTTGTTCATGACTCTGAGACTTAAACTGCAATTGTATTGAAAATTATTCAATTAAAGGTTCCATGGAATATTTATAGTATTCACTTTTTTGATCGTTAAACACTCTAGGCAAACAAAGAAAAGAGCATGCAATGAACCCTTCCCTTTGGATTCAAGATCAGACTATGTTTAGCATGAAGAGAGATCATCTCCACAGCTTAATATCTGAGGATATTTAAGAAAAAGTTTTTTTTTTCTGTGGCAACGAACTCCGCAAATCTCTCTCGAAAAATGCTGGATGATGCTCAGAACTCTAGCAAGGAATTCGCAGAGCATGATGGAGTAGGATTTATCATTGTAGCTATTCATGTATCTATAAGCTTTGTGTATTGTACCTAAATTTACTATATTGAAAAGCTCAAAGGCGAAATTAACATCAATAATAAACAAGAATCAGAAACCAATTGCACCACCAAGCACTTATAAGTGTATGAACATATACAAGGTTTGTAAGGTAGTTCATTCTGTTCTCTTTAAGTACAATATTGGCATCTTTAGTTTTGTTTTCAACAAACAATTGTATGAGATCAAGGCAGCCATTGCTACACAACAACAGTGTTCAAATATTTGATAAAAAAACTTTTTAATTTTTAATTTTTTAAAGTATCATGAATTCGAATCCTTTACCAGCTAAATACAAAGATGATAGTTTAGAACAGTATCTTGAAAGACTATTAAAATTCTATCAAAATTATCATTGGCTTATTCATGTCTTGGCCTTCAATTTTATCACACACCAAGAATGGGAAAAGTTCCCACTGGAATGGCGAGAAGCACTCATGGCACGTATGGAAGAAGCAGGTGATGACTGGACCATGGCCATGTTGGAACTGACAAGTGAGAAGAGTGATTATGTAAGTTGTGCTGTCTTAGTAACCATACCTGTTCCTTAACATCATAAAAAAAAAAGTCTATTTGGCCAAATTCTTTGCGCGAATACTTGGAAGCAACACGCGACCTTGCTCTGCCTCGAAGTAAGCAAATCAATATGTATATGTGTATATACTAATGCATAAGATAAGCAGTGGTAAACCTAAGTGATCAACAACAAAATATGAGTAAGCATATTCAAGGCGGTATGAGCGATAAAAAGATCCATGAAGTCGAATTATTGAGTCAGCTTATCAAGGATGTGGCTGATCAGAGAGATATTCATTCCATCATTGATCTTGGCTCAGGACAAGGCTATTTATCGCGTGTACTCTCTTTTGATTATGGATTCGAAGTATTGGCAGTAGACATGTCTGAAATACAAACACAAGGGGCCATTCGATTTGATCAAAAGGCATTGAAAGCAAAGACAAAAGAACAGCCCAATCTGAAGCATGTAACAGAAAAAATTACACCCGAAAATATTTCACAAGTCTTGGCTAAATGGAGTCCTGGATCTGTTGATAAGCGCTGGTTAGTGACTGGATTGCATACATGTGGTGATTTGTCACCCATGATATTCAATTTATTTGCAGAGAGTGAGCAAGTATCTTGTGTAGTCAATGTAGGTTGCTGTTACAATGCATTGACAACAGAAGGGTTTCCTATGAGTAATTATCTAAAAAATAAACAAGACATAATTAAAGTAGGATCTACTGCCAAAGTACTAGCATGTCATTCACCTTCAAGGTGGTTAGAGGAAGGCCAACAATGTATACAGGCATTTGATAATTATTATTTTAGAGCTTTATTAATGGTAAGTGAATTGGCAAATGGCATTATGTTTATCAGTCTATATAGGAATTGCTAGTAGAAAGAGGGTTGGCAGATATCAATGATCCTCCTCGACTAGGTAGAATCAAACAAAACAAAGCATTCGTGCCTTTTGTAAAAGCATCCCTTAAGAGACTCAAGCTACCTGAAGATACAATCACACCAGAAGAAGCAGAACTACACTACTTAAAAGCCAAAGAAAGACAACTCGACAAACAGTTTGTAACACTCTGGATTCTACGTGGCCTATTGGCTCCTATAATTGAATCTATCATTTTGGTAGATCGTTTGCTCTATCTGAAAGGTGTAGTTAAATCAAGCAGCGATACTCAAAAAGGAGCATGGATGTATCCACTTTTTGAACTTACTGCATCTCCTAGAAACGTAGTTTGTGTTGCTTCTAAATAATATTTTATACAATACTTTATTCTAATCCTTTTTATTTTCTTATTTCTTCTTGCCTTCCTTCTTTTTGATTGTTTGATCATTAATGAAAATACCCTTTTGATTGTAAGGTTCAGGCATTCTCCAACGTTGCACTTTAGCAGCAAATTCAGTGACATGTTGAAGGTTGATACCTTGCAGAATAATACGATTAGGTGCAGGCACTGAGCAAGTAACACCCTCTGGTAATTCCATCTGGATAGGATGGGAGTAGCCCAACTTGAGAGACAAGACTCTGTTATTGTTCTCAAGTGTACCTCTGTAACCAACACCTACTAGACGCAAATGCACTTTATATCCATCTGATACACCTACAATAGCATTGTTGATCAAGGCGCGTGTAGTACCCCACATAGCACGCTGTTGCTTAACTTGGTCATTCTCAACAGCAACTTGAAGCATATTTTCGGCATTGGCATCATCTTCAGCAGCAGGTGTGATACCAATCTTGACAAAGGGTTTGATAGGCAACTGTAATTTACCAAGAGGGCCTGTTACAGTCAAGAGAGTATTGTTGAGTTCAGAAGGGATACGGGGTTCAATGATAGGTGTTAAATCATGTTCTATTTTGATGTCTCGGGAAAATGCAATTGATTGTCGACCAATATGAGATAAGGCAGGTGCTGCTTGGTGAAAGTGTCTAACTGAGACCAATCTGTTCAAGGACTGAAGGGATCTTGCAGTGTTCATACTTGTTCAAGAAAAAAAGAAAAAGAAAAAGAAGGGGGTCCATTGCAGTAGCAAAAAAATCAAGCTCTTTACCGCAAAGCAGTCACTGCCGGACTGAGATGGTCTTGAGTTAAAGCTTCATTATGCGCACACACACAAGATAGCCATGCGTGAAGATTGAAATATAAGTCATTCCAAGTCTTCTCAGCCGCATCAAAAATCGAGCTTTTGCTGAGAACTACATAAAGACGTATTTATTAGGCTTTGATGTAGTGAAAAAAGTTCTAGGTCTTTGTTTTCTGAGTCCAATGATTTAAAAAACACAGGAACTTCGCTGCTAAAATTTTGAGCGAATAGGCAAACATGTTTACAAAGTTTTTTTTTTTGCTCATAACTCATTATTTTTATAGTACGTTTGACAATCAAACACATTCATCAAAAACTAGAGCTTCCGGTGCACATTTTGAGTATTTAAGCTTGTCAATAGCTTTATTTTTCGTCTTTTAGCGTCAAATAGAAGATTAAAGGTTGTCAAACCAACGATTTTCATGAGTACTAGCCTTTGATCGAAAGGCATATTTTGGCCATTTTGGACATGTCACTTTTTTTGGTCCAAATCAACTCCAAGGATATCTCATATGTTATTAAACATGGTTTATAGGTATTTAAAGTATTCATGAGTGCACAAATAGGTTTTATGCTATCCTTATGTGCATTTTTCTGATAGAAGAAATAACTTCATTTCAAGAGGTCCAATATCCTATGCATAATTTAATGAAATCAATGATACCTTGCATCAAAAAGAACCAATCCATCAAACGTATACCCAATGAAAAGCGTTGTTGGTATATGGCTTTTGGACTATTTATCTGGTTGGTATTCCTACTTTAACTATTATATTCATGCACTTCGAAGATGTTATCTCCTAATCCTTTTTTGTATCCTAAAAGTAGTTTCTACTATAAATAAAAGCCATACTTGTTCATAAGACATTGTTTAAAAGCAAACAATGACATAAGATAATGGTCAGCCAAATTGAACAAGGATGATAAATATATTAGGATTCTTCAGATGCTATTCGATAATAGCTTTGATTTTGGTGTCTAGCGAATAGAAAAAGTCAATTGATAAGTAGCTCATATAATAGACAAATTAAAGGTATCAGTATGTAGCTATGAAAAAAAATGTGTAAACACTTTATCAAGAATAAGAAGCATTCTGCTTAAATATACAAGACAAGACTATGGCTTCACTGAATTGTTCAAAAGGTTCTATTATGCGAGTTATTTTCATCTTACGATTATATTTTTTACAAAGTATTTTCAAAAAAAAAAAAAAATTTCAGTCACAAAAGCTAACGTCGTCTTTTTTATGGGTAAAATAAGTGGGTCTATATGCAGCATCAACAAATTTTTTTCTTTCTTTTTCTTCTTTTCCCTTTTTTTTTTGTTCTAAAAAAAATACCTTTTTCTTCTTATTGTGTGTGTGTGTGTTTATTTGCGTGTGTGTGTACTTGTATATATATATACATATACATACATATATCTATATAGTTAAAGGTATTTCCTTTCTTTTAAAAAGAGTCAATAACTTATTAAACTTGTTTAAAGGAGCCGCACTTTCTTCAAGAACAAGTATTTTATCACCAATAATACCATTCAACTCATTACAAACAAATACCAAAAAAAAGAAATTGTTTATATTCTATTTTGAATACGAAACAAAGAAATAAGCAACATGGCAAATGATAAAACCAGCAACCATAAAGCGAATAAGCCGAGAGGAAGAAGTGCATGCCAGAATCCCAACAAGGCAGACAAAGCAGGACGAACAAAAATATTCGCTTTCACAAGTTCGGGACACCTAGATAAAGTAAAAGAACTGATCAAACGTGGCGCTGATGTGAACCACAGAGATAATGCAGGCTGGGCTCCACTTCATGAAGCAGCTCTCAAAGGCCAGTATGATATTGCTCGCTACCTTATCCAATCAGGGGCTATTGTCAACGTACGCGGATTTGAAAACGATACTCCTTTACATGATGCATGCTCTTATGGGTATTCTGATTGCGTCAAATTACTTTTAGAATCTGGTGCCGATGTGTATGCCTTAAATACGGATAAAAAGCGACCCATTGATTTATGTGAAGATAAGATCTGTATCGAGATTGTCAAGGCAAGAATGAATCAACTCGATAGTTTGGCTAAAAGAGACAACCAGGGCAAGACAGTGCTTCATCGTGCTTGTATAGAGGGCTCAATACAAGAAATTAACCGACTGTTAAAAGACGGCCTTGATTCGAATGCAACCGACAGGAGCCACTGGACACCTTTGCATTATGCTGCTCAATACGGCCATTTGGAAACTGTCAAGGCACTTGTTCAATATGGAGCTGATATCAACAGCATAGACAATCAAGGACAGTCTGTATTGCATGTTGCTTGTCAGCATGGTCACGAACAAGTCGTTCAATATCTGGTAGATACTGGTGTCGATGTCCATTGTGTTGATCAACATGAACAAACGCCCTATCAAGTGACTGAATCTGTCGCTATTCGACAAATCTTGACCGCCCGCATTGACCAAGAACGCAAACTCAGGGCAACTACAGAAGCGATTGATGAAGTCACCTTTGTCTCTAACACAAAACAGAAACGCAACACACAAGACAATCAACTCTCACGTGAAGAACGCAAAATTCAAGCTATCATGCGAGCATTTGAAAAAGCAGAAAAGAAACAGAAAAAACCAGTAAATACAAAGTCTGTAAATAACGATAAAAAACGAAAAAGACAAGAATCAAGAGAATGCTCTGTAGATAGTCAACAACATATTCATTCACATAATCATCATCATGCATCCAAAAAACCAACTGTAGATTTTAGCAAACTGGATCCTCATAAAAAAGACACAAGTGGTCGCACGCACCTTTTTCGATGGTCTATTCGAGGTGATGTACAGGTTGTGAAAGCTTTGTTGGATGCTGGCGCCAATCCATCCGAAACTGACAATGCTGGTTACTCACCTCTTCATGAAGCAGCTCTTCGGGGAAAGGCAGAGGTAGTCCGACTGTTACTGGAAAATGACGCAGATGTAAACTGCCGAGGTGCAGATATGGACACACCGTTACATGATGCCGCAGAAAATGGTTATCCTGAAATTGTCCAATTGCTCCTTGACTATGGAGCTGATATCACTGTAAAGAATGCCAAAGGTCAAACACCATTGGATATTGCTCTACAGGAAGAAAATGATGAAATAGAAAGATTGTTAAAGGACCACAAGGGTAAGCATATGACAGTTTATATGCATATATGTATTGACACATATCACTAGACACTAAACCAAAGAAACGAAAAGCGGATCTACAGCCTGAGTCTCCTACTTCACCCACGGGTGTGTTTGATATGAAGGCACATGCCAGACAACTCTCTGGCCAACACTTGCCAAAAAAGAGTCTCAAACCACTCATAAAGACAGAAGTACCACCAGATGGACCACATACACCTATACCTACACCACCACCAGAAGGATGGCATAGAGTTAAAAAGGAAGACGATGACTATAATGAAGACCTATACCCGTCGCTTCATTGTGCATCTCGTTATCTTCCACTGTATACCATTCAACTTGTGGATGACAATCATTTTTTTGTGGTTGACCTCCAGGTCAGCTTACTACTAGGCATTACAATACATCAATTCGTGAAGCAATATCCTCATTTACATCGACGACAAGTGTCAAACCAGGAAAAAGAAAGACTTTGGTCTCCTTTGTCTTCCATGATCTGTGTTAGGCATGAATACGCTTTTAAAGAAAGCGAAAAACAAAAATTTCTGGAAGCAGACATCTCTTTTGTTCGTCTTGATCAAGTCGTATCTATCATTAAGGACGATTATGCTCATTTAAGTGAAAGTCTGATTACAATCAATCTCGATATTGGTTACTATCAAAAACAAAATGTAAAGTTACCACCCAAGTTTGCCATGAAAATGAAGAAATGCGGCATGCTTAAATTCGATCAAAAAAATACATAGTAAACAATAAAGTCTTTTTTTTTTTTACTTAAAACTTGAACACATTTCCTTGAGAGTAACCCAATTCCTTTAAGATACCAGAAAGTTCACCTTGCTTCATACCGTCCTTGTCACCAGCAAGGGAACGAACCATAGGAGGAGGACCACAGACCATAATGACAGAGTCTTCATCCTTGGGACTAGGGAAATTCTTTTCAATCACATCCTTAGTAACATAGCCAGCGATACCATCCCAGTTCTCGGGAGCTTTATCGAGGGCATAGATAACCTTGAAGCGATCAGGGTGTTGTTTGGCAATCTTGTCTAATTCGTCCTTAAGCAAAATATCACCTTCAGTACGGTTAGCAAAGATCAAAGTAACCTTGGTCTTCTTGTCAGTAGACTTTTCATCAAAGACTCTGCGGATAACTTGGAGCATAGGTGTGATACCAGAACCACCAGCAACCATACCCACATTGCTCTTTTGCTTGGTTTCCCAATCATACTTGGAGATAGGGCCCTTGAATTGGAGAGTATCTCCAGGCTTCATATCGTGGATAACAGGAGTCAATTTACCAGTATCATATTTCTTGATGATGAAATCAACATGGCCTTCAGCCTATTCGCATGTTATTTTAATACCCGCTCACGAATGACATAATTCAAACTTACATGTTGATCAGAGACAGGAGTGTAAGGGCGGATAATGGGCTTCTTGCCTTCTTCTTGATGTTTCACAACAACACAAGAGGCAACAGGAAGACCAGCACTGGTACCTTCGGGGATAGCAAAACGGAAAAGCTTTGTATCGTGGCTAACAGGTTCAACTTCAATCAACTATGCAGCAATCATGTTAATTCGTATTTTTATATGTCTCCTTATCTAATTACCTTGAGAGAAATGAAAGCTTCAGGGTTAAAAGCAGTAGGCTTTTCTTTGGCTTGCTCGGCACCTACAACAGGAACAACCTTAGTTTGACTAGAATTATAGGCCAAACCACCCACAACACCAGCACCCAATAAAGTAGCAAATAAAATCTTACTGCCACCCTTCTTTGGCTCAGCTTGACTAGCATAATGGCGCAAACCACCGAGAGTTTGTCTCTGAAATTACGATGAATTGACACGTTAACGAGTTGATTATCTTACCTTATAACTCATACGAGCAGGGTTTTGAACAGCAGCGCGAAGAGCGCCTGTCATGGCAGGAGAAGCGAAACGCATTTTTTTTCTTTTAAATAGATATGTATTGAAAAGAAAAAAGTAAACATTTCATCTTGAAATTTTCGAGTTTTTATATGATGTCACGGAAAATTCAAATCCGAGATGTCAGCGCGTCAATAATCTTGAATTACAACAAAGCTGGCCAATAAGATCTGATAAGCTCCTAAATCTTAGATGAGAGATTGAAACCTTCTTTTTCTCTCTTTTTTTATACTTGAGCCAATGCACTTTATTCACACGGCAGTTGTTTATCCGCCTCAAAAAGTTGCATGAGCCGAAAGCTAGTATACAAAAACAACAAAAGGCTGTAGGTATTGTCTAGGCATATTCTTTCTAAAAGTGGGATTTCATGTATCTGAAATGCAGTTGAGCCTATCGTGCTTTATTCAGAACTTTTGGTCACACTTTTAGGATGAAAAATAATGCGATCGTAGATGATATATCGAGACAAAACAAAGTTATGTTCGAGAATAAAATCAAAAGAGGGAATTAGAAGGAGCCTCTTTTTGTATGTCGATCACTAGAGTCAAAATAGCTTTGAAAATAATTTATTTCGCCATGAATAATTGGCTGTTTGATAAGGAGGTTTATTGAATAAAAGTAATTACTTCGATACATATTCTAAACTTATCTTGAGCTGGACTTTCACTTTTATTCTCAAAAGTACACCAAAATGGCGTATTAAGTTCTAAATTAGCAGCTTGTCGCTGATGTAATGGCTTGAAATAAGTGTACAAGAGTTAGCTCTGTTCTAACATGACAAGCTATTTTCCATATATATATGCGTGTTAGTGAAACAAGGCGCAAGTGCTATCTTGTTGCGTATAAAATATGACCAATTATCTAGAAAGGAAACTGTGAAGAAGTATGTACAAGTAGGCTATTTTCTTTAAATTAAAATGACATGTACCTCAAAAATAAAAGCAGGGAGGGAAGAAAGAGGAAGGAGGATGTAGGGAGCTAACTACTTTATTTCATTTCTAATATCTCGATTTTAAAAAAGGTAAAATTGGACCCTGAGGTTCTTTTTTTTTTTAGCCAAGATCTAATTCTTTTTCATTAAAAAATCACTGCCAATCTAGTACTAGGCAGGAGTAGAATCAAAAGTCTTTTTTTTTTTATCAATTGTTACCAGCATTCTGTCCATTTCCTTTTCCTTATAAAAGAGGAAACTTTGGCTTTTCCTTAGTCTTATTGTCTTTTCTTTTTCTTTTCTTCTTTTTTTTATATGCAGCATGAGTTATCCTTATGACCAAAAGCAATTCCTTTGTTTTAATAAACAAAACAATCAGTGAGTAGAGAGATAAAAAAAAAATACCGTATTGCTTAACAGGAAAAGATACGCATTGACTGTTCGCCAACAGCCAAAGAGAGCAAGACTCTGTAGTTTCAAAGACAAAGGTATTTAAATGCATACACTCGCCCAATCTCAATTCTCCATAGTCGATCGGCGCCCCTTAGATCCTCCACCAATTGTTCAACTTCATCAAATTAACCAAATGAATTTCAGGTAATTACATCACTGATCGAGAAGCATGTCTTTTTCTTATAGCCAAGAAAATCAGCGATTACCAAAACAGCGCCAATTTATTTCTTCATGCAACACTAGTAAATGCAAATGGTCAATGTCATACGAGTCTTGTTAATGGTAATCGAACTTTAGCTGGATCCATGGCACAATCTCTAAATAAACTAAGAGACACAAACAATATAGGTAATACCTGTTCTTTTTATTCGACTTAATTGAACTATTGTTTTTATTTAGAGGGCGCTTTTTTTATTTTTGCAGATATCAGTGTTCGTATTGAAGGCACATTCAGACTTAAATTTACATTATTTTGCATTCAAAAGTAAGTTAAGTTCAAAAAAAGTACTGAATTAAGATAGAACAGTGATGGTGTTGAGCAGTTATGCCATACAGTTTCTGAACCATTCCGAGTATATTCACCCAAAAGTAATGTATCGCTTTATTACTTGTGATTTACTCAATTCGTTTAACTAGCTTTCCCTGGCATGTCAGGTAAGCGGTATTTGTTCCTTAGAGAAACTTGACCTTATTTTTCTCAGAATCTACAGCGCTTACTCGATCATTTTCGGAACAAGGAGTACGGGTTCGGATTCGCAAAGAAGCAAGAGAGCCACCAAAGTAAGCAAATGGGCATGGAATATATTTTGATACGATTGAAATTAAATAGAAAACGCCCACGAAAAATGGCAGATCAACATCATGATCATCGGTATGAAAAGACAATGACAAACAGCAGCCATTTAATGTCGATAAAGCACTTGTTAATTCAGGATCATTCTTCGAAAGAATCTTATTTCAACAGATACCATCTTTAAGTTTTTATTGTCATTGCTATGCTTAACCCCCCTCTTTTTTTTATTACCTTTAAATCTCTCCTTTTATGATTGTATATGTCAACTTATGTAATGCAATTCTAAAGCATTAAAAAATTACTCTATGCATATTTCTCTTTAGTACTTCTTCTTTTTCTTCTTCTTAAATAACAACACACAATAGCAAATGACACAAACTAAATCTATAGAACCAATGCTTTGTTTTCCAAGACAGTATACCAAATAGTAGTTAATAATATATTTCCTCCAATCACCAACAAAACTGGGTTCTAAACAAAAGGTGGCGTTCGAGTCACGACTTTCTCATTCTAAACGTGACGACAGCAGGACAGGCGAATCAAAAAGAGTGGTTTGAAAAATTTTCTTTAAAGGACTAAGCTCTTTCTATAAAAACCAGACCTTCTTTTTCTCTATCCTTCCTAAAAAAAATATTTCCAATACAGGGAGTTGCCATATTCAGCACTTCTAAAACCTAACAAAGAATTCAAGTCAAAAAATGAACCCAGACTTAACAAACGAAAGACTTCAACAACAAGAACTGAACCAAAAGGTCTATCATGGCCAAGATCCCAACGACTCTGCTGGTGGGGAAGACTCTGACAACGAAAAGCCTACTAGACGTTCAGGCAGAAGAAAGATCAAGATTGAGTATATTGAAGACAAGAACCGTAGACATATTACTTTCTCTAAGCGTAAGGCTGGTATTATGAAGAAGGTAAAAAAAATAAAATTAAAGAAGAAATTGTTACTTATCCATGTACATAGGCTTACGAGCTCAGTACGTTGACAGGAACACAAGTCTTGTTGCTTGTTGTATCAGAGACAGGATTGGTCTATACTTTTACAACTGTCAAGTTGCAACCTATTGTCACTAAGCCTGAAGGAAAGAATCTTATCCAAGCTTGTTTAAATGCACCAGACCCAATGTCTGCTGAACAAGTAAGTCCGTTTGTTAAAGCATAATTGTTGTTTAACTTTGTTTAGGGTGGAGACGCGTCATATAGTAGCACATCACCTCAAATTGACGATAAAAAGGCTGTTTATGATGACAACAAGGTAAAAAAAAAGTATATTTTTCTTTTGTTGCTTATTCTAGTATAGTCTGAACCTTCTTCTACTACGGCTACCACAACTGTCCCTCCCCCTCCCCCTCCTTCTTCCTCTTCTCAACAACAACAACAACAACAACAACAACAGCAACAGCAACAACAGCAACCTCCTCCTCCTACTCAACCACCTCAACAAGTTCCTAACCCTACATACAGTAGTGGTGGTAATGGATCAAGCTATCAACCACAACAACCTTATGGTCAACAAGGTCCTTCTGCTGGCAACAATGGTAGTGCTTATAGCGGTCACCCAGGTTACATGAGTGCACCTGGACAAAGTAGCTATCAACCATCACAACCTCCTCAACCAGCAGGAACTTATGGTCAAATGCCTCCACCTGCTTTTTACGGTAACCAACAACAGCATTACATGCCTCATCAACAACCTCATGGTTACTGGCAACAGCAACAGCAACAGCAAACAAACCCTCCTTTACCAAGACAGGATCAATCACCCATGATGGATGAAAAAGTCAGGAGAGGTATCAAAAAATAATTTAACAATGTTTACATATTTGATTCCCTTTTATATCCTTATGATGATAACACATTAAAAAAGTACAAAACGGAAAAAAAGATTCCAACTAGTAATGATGAGGCCCACATAAATACCGCCATAAAGATAATTGATCTTGAGTTTCTTGTTTAACAATAGGCGTTTTCTGCCTGAGTTGATGTTGGTTGATTTATGAGCATCCAGTGTGTTTCCATAGATGGCTCGATCTAAAACAAACAAAATGACACTAGACAAGACAGACAGAATGCCGATTAAAACAAAAAACACCATAACACCTCTGTAACCTTTTTTGACATCATGGTCTTGAAGTAGGCCGGTGATAATGTCAAACAGAGAAGCGCCAATGTTAGTGCCTGATTTGACTAGACCCATACCCGTGCCCACTAAAGAGAGAGGTAAAATCACGGGAATGGAAGACACAAGTGCAACAGGACCAAGGGTCAGACTCATACTAAAACTAATCATGCCCAAAAGAGGATTTAACTTGGTGAACTGAAGCAATAAGATAGATGCTAAGAACGTAATACCAGCACCCATCACTATATATTTGGGTAAATAACTTTGTACGTATTTATGTAGGTGTCAACTTACTCATCCATGTACGCTTGCCAAATTTGTCAACACAGAGACCTAAAACGGGCATCAAAAAAATAGGTAAGAGTTGAGCAACACTTGCGACTGCAGCAGCTTGAGAGTCTGGATAACCAAATTGGAATTTAACAAACTCGCTAGTTTTGTTGTATTAGAACCTATTTATCTTTCTTTTCGTTACCTATTGATATGAAGAAAACAGCCCCAAGCACCACCCAGCAAGAATTCCATAGAGGCAATCAGCCAGTAAGAATGTGGTAAATACATAAGTTTGGACCAACTAAATGACTTTTTGCGTTCAATGACTTGCTGTTGAACTTGACAATGTTTTTGATCAAAGTCAGAGACAGCTTTTAACAAGACAATATAAATCAGATTAACAAGGAGTGAAAAGACACACAAGAAAGCAGAAAACTAATAGAATAAGTATAAACACATACACATTTTCCTTTTCTTTCTTCTTACCCAGAAACCATAGCCATACCAGCCTGACCAATCCGCAATGGGCACAACAGTTGCTTGTGCTAAAAAGGATGACTAGAATTATACTTATCAGATGATAACTCAATTATCAAGATTTTTTTTTTGTACTTACTAGTCTGCTGATGGTCATCATCAGGGCTATTACAGCTGCAAGGCTCCGACCCTGAAACCATTGACTGAGAATGGTTTCCTGAACAATGACGACTGTACCACTTCCAATACCGTACAGGATGCGACCCAAGATCATCATGGACAGGTTAGCTGTTGACGTAGAAGCAGCTACTAAAATATTTCCAGTAGCAATCAAGACAGTTGTCATAATAGAGCCAGGGATAGTACCAAATGCATCAATAAATATGCCACCAATAAGTGGTAAAATAGTATTGACAATTGAGACACTTGACTGAAGTATGCCATATTGCGAATTCGAAATACCAAATTCCTGAAGATAATTAAAAAAATGAAGATCTTGTTTCTCTTCTTCTTACCTTTTTAATAGTCGACTTCATGGCGCCTAAAGTATGTGCTGCAAAATGGCTGCCCACTATTATAAATTGAGTGTTAAATGAACCACAATGTTATTTATCCTTTCTTACTTGCTAAAAACATAGCACATAACAGAGCAACTATTTTGTATTTCCATGGCTTATTTGATAGTTGACATGTTAGGTCGTCTTGTCCTGTATTGATGTCAACTGCTACATCATTCTTTTTGTTTCGGCAGCAATCGTTTTCTGAACAGCAATTATTGGAAGAAGAAGGGGATAAAAGTGGCGTTTGTTCTGTAATGTTTTCTTTGAAGGACATGTTTATATTTACAAAACAAAGAAGAAAAAAGAAGAAAAAGAAAGACAAAATTCCTACTAGACTTTTTTAAAAGTATTAATCAGCCAAAGAATAAGGAGGGGGAGTACAACGAGATCATAAAAAAAAAAGATCAGATAAAATTTACCCATACTTAAATTGATAATCAGATAATAAGGTATATAACCTTAATTTTATCCAAACGCGATTTGCACGATCATAGCGTACGATAGATATACGTTTGTATGGAACAAGAATATATCAGGGGACATATCTTGTTTAATCGCTTTACATATTTGCTTGAAACCATAGATCTAATTCATATACAAGGCATCAGCTGATCGTAGATACCGCAAGATTTGACGGACTCAAAAAACTAAGGGATGTGTGACTAAGATAGGCTATAATCGCCTAATTACCAGGAACAAAAGACAGAACTACAAAATGTGCATCACGCTTGTTTAACCTGATCATTTCAAAGTAGGATAGAGAAAAAAAAAAGATGTCTTTTCATGATTGGATACTATGTCCGGACTTACCTGCACAAGAAACAGAAAGCACAATCCTGCATGATTTACTTTATTGTTTATTGAGCCAAGTTACTTTATTCTCAAATTAGAAATGAAGAATTATTTCTCTGCAATTGATCTGTATTTGTAAAGGAAAAAACGATACTACCTTAAAACAAAAAAGAATATCCTTCGGACATTGTTTACTCATGAAAATCGTGCAAGCAGTACAAGGGGAAGAATGTAGTATAGAAACGATTTCTTCTAAATTATATCTATTCCTTCTTGTCCAGTACAACTGTTGACATAGATTAGTTGATATTAAAATCAAAACTTGCAATTTTATTCTATACTCATTCTATTTCCGACATTTTTTTATTAGCCTTATTCGTAATGCATTTCAGATCTTTCAGAGGAAAGAGCAGTATCACAAAGACAAAAATAGCGTGACTCTATTGATATTGCATGGCTTCAAATACATTTGGTCCCAAAAGAACATAAGTTGGGGCGCAGTGCTTAATATGCTCTATGAGTCATGATTGTTATATTACTGCGGTCAACAGTAGAAAAGAAGAAACGCCTCAAATTAGAGTGGAATTAGATCCTAACTTCAAAGTTCTGATTTTAAATCCCAGATATGAGGTATAAAAGCATGAAAAACACACTACATAATTTCATTTATCGCCTTTTTTTTCCTTTCTCTTTAATTGAATGACAACTATCGATAGTACCAAAAAAGATAACCATTTGAATGAAGCCACAATTTTGGCTTCTGCTTTGTCTAATACTTCTATTCATGACGATAAGCAACATGAAGCCCTTGTTGACAACATGCTTGATACTCTGATAGACAGTGACACTCATAACAAAGAATACCATCATACTACGCTCAAGGTTTGTTATGCAAGTCACAGACACCCACTGATACAGGCTGAATGACAGGATATATTATTGAACCCAACCGAACAAAATGTGAACTATTTAACACAGTTGTTATCTGGACGCATTGAGCAGGGCAGAGGCGAAACATTGTTTGAAATTGGCACAGATGGTACGAAAATGATATCATGTTAAGTATTTAATCATCTATTAGAGGACGGATCTTCAATGCATCTTACTAAAGAGGATTATGCAACTTGTATCAAGACCATCACACAAGTCACAGAAAAGCTCGATGCTGATTTCGCCAATATCGATGATTTAGATGAACTTGATCCAACCAAAGTCAAGACAAACAAAAATGAAAATGTAGTAGCTCATCTTATGATTCGAAAGAGACCCAAATCAGTGCAAGATTTATTAGAAATTCGTGTCGCTGTGGTAGGGAATGTTGATGCAGGAAAGTCTACCATGTTGGGTGTATTGACAAAGGGAGTGTTGGATGATGGCCGAGGAAAGGCGCGTGTGAACCTGTTTCGACATAAACATGAGATTGAATCAGGCCGTACGTCTAGTGTAGGAGGCGAAATTCTAGGATTTGATTCCAAGTCAAGACCGATCATGCAACACACTAGCCATACAGCTAAGAGGGCTTCTAGCTGGGAAGATATTGCTGCGAAGGCCGCTAAAGTGTTGAGTTTTGTTGACTTGGCGGGACATGAAAAGTATTTAAAGACAACTGTGTTTGGCATGACAGGAAGTGCACCTGAATTCACTATGTTGATGGTAAGAAAGAGATACAATCATCATGAGGACTTATCATGTCAAAATTAGGTGGGAGCCAATGCTGGTATGATTGGTATGTCAAAAGAACATTTAGGTCTGGCATTGTCATTGAATATTCCTGTCTTGGTGGTTATTACAAAGATTGATCGATGTCCTCAGCATGTGTTGGACAAGACAATAAAAGAATTAGCTTCTATTCTCAAGTCAAAGTCATGTAGAAAAATTCCCTTGTTTGTTGAAAACAATCATGATGTTGTTATGACTGCTGTAAGTATCCATCTTCTTGTATATATATATATATATATATATATATATATATTCATTTTCTTTATAGCAAAATTTTGTCAGTGAACGATTATGTCCTATTTTCCAAGTCTCTAATGTCACTGGTCAAGGTCTTGATTTGATTCGTAATTTCTTGAATATATTGCCTTCTCTGACCAAATACGAAACGGACCAGCCTTTTCATTTCGAGATTAATGAAACGTATTCTGTTCCTTTTGTGGGTACAGTCGTAAGTGGTGTCATGAAATCAGGTGTAATTCACATTGGCGACAAAGTCTTGTTGGGCCCTGATCATGCAGGTCAATTTGTGACAACGACGATCAAAGGTATTCATCGTAAACGAGTCTCTGTTCCTGCTGCTCGAGCTGGTCAAAGTGTCACTTTTGCACTCAAGAATGTGCGGCGAAATGCCATTCGAAAGGGACAAGTTTTGTTAGCCTATGACAAGGACAAACCGACCTGGATTCCTCCTACTTCGAAGCGATTTGAAGCCGAAGTCTTGGTGCTGTACCATTCAACCACCATCAAGAACAAGTATCAGGCCATGGTTCATTGTGGTGCTGTCAGACAGACAGCACGCATCTTGACTACGGACAAGAGTGTGTTGAGAACAGGAGATCGTGCCAAAGTGGTAAGTCAGTGTAAACAAATGTCATCATTGACTTTGATAGGCATTTGAGTTTGTCAAGAATCCAGAGTATTTGACAGTGGGCACACGCTTGATATTCAGAGAAGGGCGTACAAAGGGTGTAGGCAAGATCACTGCCTTGCTTGAATGATAAATAGCTTATGTTTATTTCAAATAAAAATAAATCTAATTGATATTCTTGGGCAAAAACAGAGTAGATGGTTTCTTTGATCGATGAACACGTAAATGACGTCGAAGGTTCGACTGAACACTAAACTTACGCCCACAACCAGGTTCTGTACAAGGAAATGGTTTCTCTCCCGTATGAGAATATGTATGTGTACGTAGGCTAGAGGGTCTTGTGAATCCTTTGGAGCAATAGGGACACACGTATTTTGTGCTGCTGCTTGAATCGCTGCTTGGTTGCTCATAGGTGTTTTTGGACGCCGGTTTATTATATAAGGTGGGATCTACTGACTTTTCTTCTAGTATCACTCTTTCTTTTTCTTTTGGGCTATGAAACTTTGGTCGTATAGGTAAAATACTCGCTGGTGTTGGAGCAATGGCAATTTTGCTCGGTTGAAGTGGTGTTAGTCTATTGTTTGGCATAATATCATTGTGTGGAGGACTTTTGAGGTGGGGATAGGGGTGTGTGAAATCAGAATAAGACCTCGAGTGTGTTCTTCTTCTATTATTGTTATTATTATTGTTATTATTATTGTTATTATTATTGTTATTATCAATTGCATCTTGTGAGTCTAATATCAGGTTTTTTAAAGCAAGTGGTTCTGGCTTCTTCTCTAGAGATAGACTTTGCATTTCAAAGGGCAAAGTAGCAGCATGAATTGATGTTTGTTGTTGTTGTTGTTCTGTATCATATTCTTGTATAGAAGGCGGTTTTCTAATAAAAGTAGTGCTAGAAGAATATTGTATTGGCGGTAATGGTGGTATGATAGAAGGCTTAAATGAATGATGACTGCTGCTTGTGATATGTTCAGAAGCATGCCTTCTATGGCGGTTCTTTTTTTGATGATGCTCCTGTTGAGAAAAGTCTATCTTTATTGAGTTAAAAGAGTAGAATTAGGAGAATTTGCTACCTATCAATCCAGGGCCTCCCTCCAAAAGGTCTTTAATAGAAGGCAAACTTGGTTTATTTTCACTCATAAACGCGCTAAAGGAGAAAAAAAAAAAAAATAAAGGCAGCAGTAGCAGGAAAGAAGCATACAAAAATAAATAAATAAAAAAGACCCGAGTCATTTATTTCTCACAGAAATTGAAGATTACAACACACATGTGGCCAAATACTTTTATCGTCAATAAATACATGTATAAAAAAACAAATTAAAAAAGAAAAAGGAACTTACCACAACAATGGTTTGATCATCACCATAAACTTTTAGTTTATCTTGTAAATACCTTCTGCCTCTTCTTTCGGTTAAAGAAACGCCGTCTGGTCCAATATCCGAATTCTTTCGAAATCGATGTTTTTTCCCTTTACGGACAGGTGTGTTGTCTTCGTCACTGCTGCTTGAGTCACTATCCAATTGCTGTATTGCTAAATCATGCATATCGAAATTTAAAGAAGTATCGTCTTCTTCACTGCTACTGTCTCTATCAAATAAACCTACAATCGTACGTGGTTTATCCGAGTTGCCTGTTGACTTTTGGCCAATGATATCTTGTAAAGTAACAGTCGCTTGATTTTCTTCTGAATGATCTTCAGATTCAGTCGCAGATACCGTATCGGTGTCTTGATCTTCATGTTTCTTTAAATAGTTCATAAGCCGAATACTCCATTTTCGACTGAGTGTACTACTTTCTGAATTTGTTTCTGACAAGTATCCTTTGCTTGTAGAAGATTGTCCTTCATCTTCGTCTATATCGAATTCATTGCAAAGGTATAAATGATGATAGATAAATGCTTTTAAAGACATGTTCATGAATACTGTATGTAAATAAGCAAGATAGGATTCATCAGACTGTAAAATGTATGAATAAGCCATGTACGTATCTTATGTTCCTTACTGTAAATAGCATCATCCGATCCAATAGTTGATTGATCCATTGTCCTTCTACATAAACCGGACTTGAGTTTAAGGATCCATTCTTGATATCAATATCAAGCACACAACTACTGTCGACATGAATGCTTGGATCAAGGTTGTCTTTATTGATGCCTACGAGTTTCATACTGGCAATATGCGATTGTGTCAGTCTTGCACTATCAAACCAATCAATAATTTGATGTCTTTCTTTATGCTGTCCAGGTACAAACACAGACAATGCTCTTACGACTTGTTGTACTTTTCTATAGTAAGATAAGTATGTTATGTACATGTTTGACCTTACCCTTTATTCTGCGTACTTCCTTGAATAAGGACAGTTCGACCAATCAATAGAGAAAAGATGACATCCACAATGAGTGATTGATATTGGGCAAGTACTTTAAGTAGGTTTGTACTGGATGATTTCCATAGTTGTAATGGAGAAAACAAGATAGGATAGTACAATGCTTCTTCTTCTTCTTCAGTTGGTTTGTCTATCGAAAGTAGAGTTGTGCTTAAAGGCATATCGTTCACTGAATATTCTGTATCTGTTCGCTTCATATCCATAGTTGATCCTTCTTCCTAAACCGAATTTAATACAAGCATATACATTTCCTTTTGAATACCTTGACGAGATGCTGCTCTTCATGTCTACAAGAACAGTCAAGACCTAATAAACGCAACATACTCTATACACTTACACTCTAGGTTGAGGGTTGTCCATGTTTAACATGAGTGTTCTTCCAATTGTCAAGGCAGAAGAAACAGGATCTACAAACAATTTCTCTTCATCCTCTACATCCAATATAACACTACTTTTACCAAAATGATGTGCAATGTCCTGAATAGACTTGATTGTCTCTGCATACATATTGTGCATGATTGTATTGGCTAATGTAGTACGACTATGGATAGGTAAATTTGTCTGTTGGGCTTCCATCATGGAGAACACAAGTGGAATCATGGTGGCTGTATTCTGAGTGATGGATTTCCTTCTGTTGGGATCGTTTTTGTCAGGTTCCTGGCAGAGTTGTGCCAATGAACGTAATTTGCGTTCAAAATGAGGTACAGGATAGAGTGTATCAATGCATTTTGGCTTGTAATCTTTAGGTGGTTCAACAGAGCCTTGAGGTGTGGTATCTTTTGATAAGTTGTTCATTTGGCTTGTGCTGGATTCAAGGGTATCAATCATTAATTTCGTGGCTGCAATAGTCTGTTGAATAGCCTGAGTAGATAAAGCGGGTTTATCAGCCACCTTGTTTTGGAGGATGAGTTGTGTGTGTTCTAAATCCAACAGTCTGCATCTCAAATCCAAAGTGAAGTTGGAGTAATTGCCTCTTTTCATTTTAACAGACACCTACAGACTAGTTAGTATACCATCTGGTTTTCAGCTTATTGTTACTTCATTAAACTTCTCCATTAATTCCTCAAAACGAAGTACAATTTTATCAGGATCTCTTGTGATATAAGAAAGTGCAACAGGATGTACATAACCTCTTGCATTGATATCAAACAAAGTTAAATGATGTGTCTATCAAACTATGAATAAGCCAAAAAAAAAAAACAACAACAACAACAAAACAAAGGCTTACAAATGTAAAAAAATGATGTTCAGAATCTATAAAATAAATCTGTGTATCATCAGGGATTGAGAAAACACCCGGTTGCTTTTGTTGTAGTTGTTGAATGATGGAATCTTCAAATAAAGACGATGTTTCATCCATTTGTCTATTCATATTTATCTTAGTCGAGTAGTTATCGTTGTTTGTTATTTACTCAAATTCTGTACTTCGGTCCACAGACACGACACGCAAGACAAACGCATTAAAATCAAATGATTCGAGACCAAGACTGTAGAGTTCTTGATTCATAAAAGACGAGTTTGTCTTGTCTGTATAGTGCTTTAAGTCAAGGTAGGATGTGCCTGTCACTACAGCCAAAGGTAATGGACCTTCTAGCTCCGAAAATTCACTAATAAGCACAAAGTCTTTATGGCTTGTATGGGTGGGTGTCAATACTTGGTCACTCCACCAAGGTGTACTATGTCTATTCAATAAATAGAACACTGTTGTTTCTCACTTACGAGATAACAAGTGGATCTTCTTTTCTTTGAGCCATAAAAGAATAAAAAGAAAAAAGAAAAGAAAAAGAAATGCATCATTACTCTCTTTTTATATATATATATGTCAGTCTTTTTATCCAATCATCTTTTCTCTTGTTAGATAGACTTTTTTTTTCTTTACTCAAGAAAGGTGTCCCTTGTTTTAATAGCATGTGACATCTCGTTTTACGCACATAATGTTTGGATTGAAACAATCATTTATTCAGTTTTGTTACCAGTCAATTCAGAAGTAAACTCATTCACCTTAGCCTTAAATTTGTTGGTATGGATGTCGATATCACCTTGAGCATTAAGGAGATAAGGACGCAAGAAGCGATTGTAAAGAGTTTCAGCACCCTATATAGAAAAAAAAAAAAGACGCGTCAATCCATGTCACCTACATGACCACTTACTTTAAATTGAGGCAAGGCTAAGTAAAGCACAAGCAAAGTCTTGAAGAGATAGTAAAAAGGGAACCAATAGAGAAGAATATCAGAGAAGTATTCCATCATTTGAACAAAACCAATTACAGTCCAATAAGTTAACCATTGCTTATCATCTTCCTTGTCTGCAGATTCAATGGCCTTAAAAGAAGCATAAGCTGTATCTTTAGTTAGAAACAAATGCAGTCCCTTCCAGTATACTTACCAGGATACAACCATGAAATACTGCTTGTCAAGAGTTGACCAGCAATATTAAAGAAAATCATCAAAAAGACAATACCAGCACCACCAAGGGCAACATAGCTTTTGGGAACACCCGTCTTTTGTTCAAAATCATTGGCGTATTTGAACTTGGAGAGTTCGGTATCAAGACGAACCAAAACTTCCTTTACCTTTTCTTGAGCACCTTGAGCACTGTAAGGACTAGCTGTAGCCATTATTTTTTAAATAAGAATAACAAGAAAGAAAGAAAAAAGGGCCAAGAGTTTAGTTCATTTATAAAGCATTTTCGATCTCAGCAGTTTATTTTCTCTAATAGATTTCATCAAAAGGCCTTGTGTCTGCAAAGCAACTCTCAAATACGCTTGAAACAGCTCTTTCAGCATCTTTTTCATCTTCACAGTTTGGATTTTGTGTAACTGAAATGATGGCTCTTCTTTTGACACAGGCTTGGTGTTGCTTTGTAAAAGTAAAGAATCCTCGCTGTAATTCTCTAGTCCAACGACAATCCCCACTTAAACTGGCTGCTCTAATCTATCAAAGCCATCATCAGAGTCTATATAAATATATGTATATGTTACCTCACTGCAAGCTTGATGTTTTAAGTTGTTCCAATCCACTTTGAATTTGTGATGATCATACATGTGCACCATTTCATGAACCATCGTATGCTCCTGATGTGTTTTTGATCCGAGTCGATTTTGACACAACATGATACCATCTACAGGTGAGAATCCTCCTGCTCTTGTGTTGTCACATGGCATACATTTGAAGTCTTCTTTCACCATTTGTTTATTGATCTTTTTGAGTTCATCCACCATGAATCGCACAGGAGGACCTAACTATCAGTCAAGTTCTCTATGAAACAATATGCCTACTATTCTTTAATAGATTATCTCTCCACATTTCACATTGATGGCATTGGTATTCTTCTAGATCTGTTTCAAGACGCTTTTTAAAGTCCTCTTTCTCTACTTCTGTCATGCCTAAACCAGTGATGTATTTAAGTGATTTCGTCCATTTTTCAAACTTTTTCATGTCCTTCAAGGACACTCGTTCTTGTTGATCTTTATCGTTGTTCATAAATAAAAACACACAAAAAAAAGAGATTGATTTTAAGCAGGGGGGAGGAGTTTATTTTTTATTTATTTACAAAAAGAGACTCTATGATTATTACTAGTATATATTTTTTTTTTACCATCTGCTTCCACCGTAGCCTCCGCCACCATATCCACCGCCGCCGCCACCACCGCGGCCACCACCATAGCCCCCGCGGCCTCTACCTCGGAAACCTCCTCTACCGCCTCCACGGCCACCGCCACCGCCGCGTGACTGTACCATCATTTGAAGGCGAGGATCAACATATTGATTGGTTTGGTTAAGAATATCAACCAATTCACGGGCTTGGCGGGCATTGTCGGCAGTAAAGAAAGTAAAAGAGTGACCTGTGTTTCCACCACGACCAGTACGACCCACACGATGCACATAATCTTCAATATTTGTAGGGAAATCATAGTTAATGACATATTTTACATCCTTCACATCTGTTATATGCAGTTAGTATGATATATAACATAGGTAAATTAAAGCTATAATTTCGAATCCATGATGTATAAAAAAAGAGAAATACCATCATCACGCTACTTGTTTTTTTTTAAAAAAAGAAAGAGAATATCTTTCTTTGCTACTTTAACCAAGAGAGAGATCGTCCTCTCTTTTCTTTTGTCATATTCTTCTTGATTCGATGAATAAAAAGCAAGTAACAAAGAAAACAAAGCTTGTCTGTTCTCTCCTAATTCTGTTTCTCCCCACTAGATATATATATATATAGAAAAATAAAAGAGAGAGAGGAAAAAGAAGAGTTTCTTTTTTTAAGCGTAATTACGAGAGCGAAAACTCTTGTTTTTTTTACCTGTGTGTCTTCGAAATATACCCCAATGAAATAAAAGTTATACGTACCAATACCACGAGAAGCAACATCAGTAGCCACCATAATAGGATGTCCACCACTACGGAATTGATTCAACACCCAATCACGTTCATTCTGTTGTTTATCACCATGGATAGCAAGAGCAGGGAAACCGTCTTGTCTTAAGAAACGAGTGATATCATCAGCAGTACGCTTTGTACTAGTGAAGATAATTGTCTTGCGTTCATTCTCAGGATTTTCCATAATGCGTTCTAGTTGAGTAATCAATTTACCACGCTTTTCTGGTTCAGTACAGATTTCTACAGTCTGAGAGACATTGTTGGAAGCACTTAAGGACAAAGAACCTACAGTGACTTGAATAAAGTCCTTGAGATAAGATTGAGCCAAACGCTCTACTGTCTTGGGCCAAGTAGCAGACCACATCAAGGTTTGTCTATCAGGACGAATTTGGTTGATAATCTTTCTGATTTGAGGTTCAAAACCCATATCAAGCATACGGTCAGCTTCATCAAGCACCAAATAAGTAACACGCTTCAAATTAGTCTTTCCGCCATCCAACATATCAATCAAACGGCCAGGAGTAGCAATACAGATCTCAACACCTCTGGCTAAATCACGAATTTGAGGACCACGGGGAGTACCACCATACAGACATGTATTCTTGATACGAGAAGTAGAGCCAAATTTGACACATTCTTCACGAATCTGAACAGCCAATTCACGGGTAGGAGCCAATACCAACACAATAGGACCATCGCCAGGTTGAAGAAGAGGTTGAGCATTGATATGAAGAATAGCAGGCAAGATATAAGCTAATGTCTTACCAGAACCAGTTTCAGCAACACCGACAACATCACAACCACTCAAGGCCATAGGCCAACCTTGACATTGAATAGGCGTAGGATGAGAGAAGCCCAGCTTGTTGAGTTCATCCATCACATAAGAGGGGTAATTGGCTTCTTCGAAAGTCTTGAGAGGCTTAGGGACATTGTGACCAGTGACAATCATGCCTGCAGCAGCACGAATAGCATCTACTTCTTCAGGTGTACGACGAGCTACATCAGGGTGTTCAGTGTAAAAGTTCTTTTCAAATTTAGGTAAAGTAGACAAGTCCCATTGGATTTCTTTAGATTCATTGTTACTTGATTGACCATAAGACTTGTTGCCGTAACCACCAGAACCATAACTGTTATTGTTGTTGTTGTTGTAGCCACCGCCATAGCTGCCACCACCATGGCCACCACTGTAGCCACCATGATGGTTACTACTGCTGCTACTGTGACCATAACCATGCGAGTGGCTTCTGCTTGAGCTATCACCGTGATGAGAGCGGTATGAAGAATAACCACGATCATCGCGAGAGTGATTATCATAGCTGCTAGATCTATAAGAAAATAACAGATTAAACTACAAATCAAGTACATGATGATACTTACGGTCTGCTTGATCTTCTAGGAGAGACGTCTCTATTATCACGGTAATTTCCACGACTACTTGAATAGCCTCCTCCAGAAGAGGAATGATGGTAAGAAGAAGAATAAGAAGACATCTTATAAGAGAGTGATCAAGAGAGTAAAGGAAAAAAAAAGGAAACGTATTCAAAAAAAAAAAATTAGTATATTTAGGAAAAAGACAGTCTCAGCCACTATGAACTTATAACCAATCAGATGCTTACATTGTTGTCTCCTTTCAATGCATACTCCTAATATGTACAAAAAATGATTAATTTAACCCTGTTTGATAGAATATCGCATGGTTGATTACTCTATTAAAAATGATCATAGCTCAAAGAGAGAATAAGAGTATAAGTGTGATATGGTTTGAAGAAGGAAGCAGAAGATCATCACACTTGAGTGTTTGACCTCAAGAAAGGAGTATAAAAGAGAAGATGTACATTGCATTCAAGTGAAAATATTCTTCTCTAGTCCTAAGCAATCTATTGGCCAGAATATATGTCTTTTAATACTTTGTTTTCCGCCCTATACTTTCCTATGGCAAAGACAAACAACAACTTGAAAAGACTTGTTTCTGATACTTTCAATATAATAGCAAACGTCGATAAGAATGATGATTGTCCATGATCGAGTGTTGAGTCGATACAAAAAAAGCGTAGCTGTGCATTAGTCCTCATCAAAACCAGTCTAATGAGTTTCTTATCTCAACGCATAATAACCAAAAGGAAATACCCTCCTAAAATAGCATGTTTTGTTTATGAAAAGAATAGGCGAAACAACTTAGTTTTATTGTGCTTAACAAATAGTTTTGTAATTTGTAAAGCTTTCTTTTATGTTACTACGTAAGAAACAAATGTAAAAATGTTGTATCATTGCTTGGTATCACAGTGTATATACAAAGTTTGAAATAGAATAGCTAAACTGTAGTACTAGGAACAATGTAAGCATGTCATCATACAACAGCAGTATTGAAAATAGCTGCTTTCTTTTTTAGTTTTATCTATCATGTAAATAAACCCAAAGTTCTCGGTATCTTTTTCTTCTAAAATATTTTTCATTCTTTATTCTTCTTTAACAAAAAGTAAATGGTGTTCAATGTTTGTAAGGTTACAATTAAAAAAGAAAAGAAGCTTTTATACAATCATGTCGAGACAATATTATGCGCATAAAAAAAAACTGCTCAGGTGTGGGAAGAGAAGGGTGAAGAGAGCAATTTGTCAAACGTTTTAGGTTTTTTGTACTCCCTCAATACATACTATCGATTTTCATGTGTATGTTCTTGGACCTTAGTGATACCTTGGAAATTCATACGTTCCTTGGATCCTAAATATAATTCATTCACCGGCAATAGTCCTCTATGTATTCTAGATCATGACATTTTTAACTTTCAAACACTTATAGGCTATACTTTCTATGTATGATGGCATACATATGCATGTGTATATGTTTATTCCATTGTGATGAAACTCTTCTTGAATGCTTATCTCATAAACATAGTTTTATCTTTACTCTTTTGTTTTTTTCTCCTACAAAAAAAAAGACCACTTTTGATGAGTATTTGCGTTAATTGTCGTAAATTAATTAGCTACAAGGCCGAGATAAAGAAAAAAAAAAGGGATGACTTTGTTTTCTTTTTACTCACGGACTAGTCTGCTGAAAGGATAAATGCATATGTGTTTGTTTATGGGCAAACGAGTACTTCTCTTTCACAAAAAAAAAAAAAAGTTATTCTAAGCCGCATAAACACAACAATTTACATTTATCTAGATTCTTTTTTAACAATATATGTTCGATCTATGATGAAGTCTATAAGGCATCTCATTTAGTGTGTTGCAAGAAAAAAAATATATAAAATAAAGTTTATAAAATGTCTATTATCGGCCCTTGTTTCGATTTGGAAAGTGCTGTAGCAAATCCAGTATTAGAAAGAAACAAGTTTCGAAACAAAGCTTATTTGTGATACGACTGTGGCACAATTTGCCTTTTTGTCTCTGGTATATTTGTTTACTTCGCCTTCTATTGCATAAATAAAGTACGCCCAATTCAATCTCCAAAAAACATAAACTAAAATCGCGTCTCGAGTTTCTTTTTCTCTTTCTTTCCTCTTCATAACTTCAAGTCGAGTATACTTCTTTTTGTAAATCTTGTATATTTTCCTTTGTACCAAAAAAAAAAAACTTGTAATAGTAAATCACTCTCAAAAAAAAAAGCAATTTGTTTTTAGTATATACTTGATTTGAAAAAAATGGCATCTTTCCCTAAGGGTTGGTTTTTTATAAAAAATCTCAATAGCGGTTATGTTCTTTCTACCGAGAAGTCTGCCGTTGGTGAGCCAGTCGTAATGACAAGCATTAAAAGCAAGGACTTTGATAATCAACTTTGGCAACATGGAGAGGATGGTCGTCTTCACAATAAAAAGACCGGATTTGTTCTCGATGTTTCCAAAGGTAACTAGTAAACAAATGCGTTCAGGACCTTGAGTGTATTAACACGAAATGAGTAGGTGCTGCTAAAGTGGGTGCTGAAATTGTCCAGCAACATGATTCTGATAGTGCCAACTGTCAAACTTTTGGCGTCTCTTCTGATGGTCACATCTTTCTCACTAAGGACTCAAGCTTGGTTCTCGGAATCAAGGAATCTTTCTTTACTCGTCGTGATGGACAACATGTTCATCTTCAAAAGTTGGACAAGAATGTCAAGGAAAAGAAGGAACAGCGTTGGGAGTTTATGTTGCCTTCTCAAAAGCGTACTTCTATCCTAAGCGGTCCTATGGATAGCTTGAAGCGTACAATCAGCGGTGCTTCTCTTGGTAGCTTTAGTTCTGCATCACTTCATATTCATCATGGTAAATATCAGATGTATACATGTAATAAAACACTAATCAATGTATTAGATGATGAAGATAGCTGCCTTGATGATTCAAAGCAAATGACTTCCTTCCCTGATTCTGAATTCTTTATCAAATCTGAATCTACTGGTTTCTTTATTGGTGTTGAAAATGCATCTTCTAATAGCTCCGGTGCCCGGCTCTGTCTCGAGCCTTTACGTAAGAGTGATTACGAGACTCAACTTTGGCATTACGATGTGATCACGGGTCGTTTGATCAACAAAAACTCCGGATTTGCATTGACAGCCGAAGAGCTCTCTGATGAAGCCAGTGTCGTTCAATCCTCTAGTGTCACTGAAAAGGATCTTAACCTTCAATCTTGGACATTGACTACCTCTGGTGAAATCAAGTTGAAGAGTGATCATCACTATGTCCTTGGCTTTAAGAAGGATAACTGGTTTGGCTTAAACCGCGAAAGCGCTGCTCTCTTATTGCAAAAACAAACTGATCACAAGACTCACTCTTACCAACGTTTTGTTGTTGTCTTACCCGTTTTCAAAAAAAAGACTACCGAAATTACTACTGTTACTGAACAGGTGGGCGTATTCCCTGAAGGTTACTTCTTTATCAAGAACCAAAAGCATGGTCTTGTTATTACTGTTCTCGAAACTGACAAATTGGCTGCTCAAGCTGTTGCTACTAAATTGGACTCCCAAAACTATAATCGTCAACTCTGGAAGCACAATGATGGATTCCTTATTAACAAAGCATCTAATTTGGTCTTGGATGTTCGAGGAGGTAAATAGCACAGTTTTTTTCTATGTATTACACAGACACTTACTTTTCTGTTTTCTACAGGATGTATCACTAGTGGCTCTGAGATTTGTCAATACAAACAAAAGAAAGATGGTTTTGAAAACCAACAATGGGGTCTCTCTGTTGAAGGCTACATTCATAACAAGAACCATAAAGACGTAGTCTTGGCTGTTTCTAGCACCAACAAGAAGGACCACCTTCCTGTTCTTTTAGCCAACAAAAAAACACCTGATCACTCCGAGCAACGATGGAATTTTGTCCTTCCTGTTTTCAAACAAGTCTCCAGTAAGTCATTTTCTTTTACAAATTTGGCAGCTAACTTTAACTTTGTAGCTTCCGTTGCCGAAACTTCCGTTCAAAAGAAGGTTTATTACCATCACTATGCTCAATACCCAAGTGGTTGGTTCTTTATTCGTTCCTTTGTTGGTACTTCTCCAGAATCTCCCTTTGTCCTTACTGCTGATAGTGTTACTGAAGACATTCACTTGTCTCAGATTAGTAAAGACAATTGGCGCAATCAACTTTGGATGTATTGGAACGGTGTTTTAATCAATTTTGCTACTCAATTGGCAATTGACGTCGAGAGTAAGTGCTACTCATGTAGTGCGACGTATCACATAAACTAAACTAACGATATTTTTAATTTTAGATGATAACCTTGTTGCTGGATCCAGTATTCGCCAGGAATTGCGTAAGGCTGGCGATATTGGCCAAAGATGGAGACTCACGGTGGATGGTTACATCATCCATGGCTCAAATCCTTCACTCACCCTGATTCCTCAAGAAGTGGAAACTAACGCTTACAAGCTTGTTCTTGCAGAACATCTTTCTGTCCAACAAGAACATCGCTGGAGTCTTTTGTCGCCTGAGATCAAGATTGAAAACAACACCCAAGTACTTGTTCGCTGGACTGCCAGTGTCTTATCCGAATGGAAGCAATTCAATGAACAAGCAGTTCAAAAGGTTGTCCATCGTATTGCTAACTGGCCTGAAGATACATTCTTTATCACCGCCCAAGGCGGATTGGCTTTAGTGCCTGAAAAGTCCGAAGCATTCTCATACTTGGTTGTCAAGAAGCTTGAGTTTGGTGAAAGTAGTGAACACTTCAAATGGACTTTCCGCAATGGTTATCTTGTGCATGTTGCAACTGGACTTGTATTGCATGCTTCAGGTAATGATTATAAATCAATGAAAAAGTGTTGCTTATTTTTTTCTTCTATTATAGATGATCTTGTGAGTGGAAGTCAGCTTCAAATTCGTGAAGAACTTGTTTCTGAAAACAAGACAGTTGATCAACGTCAAAGCTGGGCTGTCAAGACTGATGGTTCTATTGTATCAGAATCCAAGAACACCTTAGGTTTTGCCCTATTGGAACAAGACAACCAATACCAAGTTCAACTTGCTTATGCTAGTAACACAAGTGAGCATTATGCTTGGGGCTTTGTTCGTGGTCATTATGAAACCCGCTATAGTAATATTTACAAGAAGGAAGTTCGCTTTATTTCTCGTACTGAACGTATCCTCTTGACTTTGCGTACTCATAAAAGTAAGACATTAGCAGCTCTGTTTTAGGCAATTTTCTAATACTCTTTTTTTCTATTATCTAGCTTCCTCAAGTAGCAACACCAAATTGGTTTCTCATTCTTACGGTGTCTTCCCTGAGAACTGGTTCTACATTCGTTCTAAGGCTGATAAGTCACTTGTTCTCACCGCTCCTAGTCGTAAAGAAGGTGCTAAGCTTACCATTGAAAAGATTGATTACAAGATCTTCCGTCGCCAATTGTGGCATGTTCAAGATGATGGTTGTCTTGTCAACCTTGAGTCTGAACTTGTGATCGACATTGCCGGTGGTGCTTTCAATGCTGGTAGTAATATCATCCAATGGCACGAAAAGTACCTCAAGAGACACCGCAAGAACCAAATTTGGGCCTTGTCTGTTGACGGTCATATTCATCCCAAGTCCCGTCCTAGTCTTGTTCTTGGCGCTAAAGGAAACAATGTTACTGAAGGAACTGAAATTCAATTGCATACCCGTGGATCCTTGGATCTTGAATACCAATTATGGACATTTGCTATTCCCGTCTTTGGCAGAAGCATATCAGGCGTTAAAGGTGTTTCAGCTGCTGGTGTTTTGGATCATAATGATAGCGACGTCTTTGTTGAAAACATTGACGAAGCTTCCTTCCGCACATCTACTTCTGAACGTTATGAAAAGATCAACAAGGTAACTGTGATTCGTCGTTGGGGTCTCTTCCCTCAAGGTGGATTCTTTATTCGTTCAAGTTATAGTGATGAACACCTTGCTTTGACTGTTGAAAAGAAGCCTCGCGTTGGAGAAAATGGTTCCACAGAATACGAAGTTACTCTTAGACCTATCAATTTCAAGGAATACAAGTGGCATTTCTGGACTTACGAAGATGGTCACCTTATCAATGCTCAAACTGGACTCGCTTTGGACGCTACCACTATCAAGGGCGTTCTTATCGAAGATGGTCTCCGTACTCCTTTGTTTGTTCGTGAAAAGTCCATGTCCGAATTCCAATTCTGGTCTCTTACTGTTAATGGAGAAATCTATTTGCGTTCTGATGAGCGTCTTGTCATTGGCGTTTCTAACTCCAAACGCACTCAAGTTGCTGGTGCTCAAGTTGGTCTTCGTGAATTGCATGTTCGCAAGTTTGTTAACGAAAAGGGTCAACAAGAAACTGCTCTCAAGTCTGAAAAGTGGTTGCGTTGGGTGTTCTCCAGACCAGTTTACCGTACTGTAAAGACTACATCAAATACTACATCTGTCACAGAAGAGTCGTCTAGTGTTTCCAGTGAAATCATTGAAGGCTTTGATGATCAAGAGTTGACTGTAAAGGAGGATGAAGAATCTGGCGACAATGCTTCTATTGATGAAAGCGATGATGAAGACGATGATTCTAGTGATGACGAGGATGATGATTCTGATCTCACTAAGCTCAACCTTGTTGGCAACCTGGGCATTGCTACCGCTGGTGCTGGTATCTTGGCTGATGCCACTGGTGCTGCAGGCAAAATCACTGATGCTATTACTTCTGCACCTCAAGCCATTTCCAATATATTTGGCAAGAAGAAGAGTGACACTAAGAAACAAGAAGGCATTCAATCTACTGCCAAGAAGACATCCTACCATTCTCTCAAATTTGATCGTAAGGAATCATATCACGCTGCTTTTGATTATGTTCCTACCGGATTTGAAAAAGTGGTTCGTTACAAGTCCTATAATCAACCCAACTTTCCATTCTCTGGTTATTTCTTGATCAAGAGCTCTCTCCATGGCATGGTCCTTGATGTTGTTGATGGCGACACCAGAGATGGTGCTTATGTTGTTCTTGCTCCCATGAAGTCAACCAATTTTGCTAGTCAATTATGGTCTTACAAGGATGGACGTGTAGTGAACCTCAAGGGACATAATCTTGTATTAGATGCCACCATGACTGACACCATTGTTGCCGGTGAAAGACTTGTCATCTCTACTCGTATCACTGGTGAAAACGTTGCCGATCAACAATGGGAACTTCGTACTGATGGCTTAATCTCTTTAAAGTCTAAGCCAAATCTTGTATTGGGTGTCAAAGATCTCAAGCGCATTAGTGATCAAAAGACTACTATTAGCGTCTATCTCCAAGAAGAAAAGGCTCGTTTAGCTGGCGACATTGTTCGTCCTGAACAACGCTGGGAAGTCAAGATTCCTGCTTTGATTCCTGTAGAACAAACTAACAGCAATGTTACTGATTCCAAGTTCACTATCATTGAAGCTGGTAAGATCAGCGCCATTTCTAGCTGTATTTCTGCTATTGCTGCCTTTGAATGTTTGAAGCACACATTCCAACACAAGGTTACAGCTGAAAACCAATGGCCTAGTTCTCAAAATTGGTTCTTCATTAGTGCAGACAACGGAAATGCCTTCTTGTCATCTGGTATTACTGATTCTGCTGAAGTCAAGTTTGTCAAGCTTGGTGAAAAGGAAGACCATAAGCAATACTTGTGGGCATATATCAATGGTTACCTCGTCAACTATAAGCATATGTTGCGTCTTGTTTATGACAAGAACTGTAAGTATTTTATATAGATTCAAAAAGGCAAAATACTAAACTATTTTCTTCAGCTGATAAGTTGATGCTTTCTGGTAGCAATGATACTCTTGATCAAATCTTCTGTATCTCTAGCAAGGGAACATTATATGTAAAGATTCATACCGAAACCGTTTACTTTAGTGTTGCCTCCTCTAGTCGCACTGAGCGTTATTACCAATTGATTACCTCTGAAACCGAGTCATCTGAAAATATGCATGCTCTGCAATTGCATATTCCTGTCTTTTCCAACACAGAGATTGAGAAGGAATCTAAGGTTGCTCTCTCTACTGTCATCTCTTGGGTCATTGCTTCTCAAAAGTCTTCTACGACCACCACTACAACTACCACTACTGTTACTCAAAAGTACGGTTTGTTCCCTCGTGCCACATGGTTCTTTATCAAGGCCGATACCAAGGGTGGTGATAGTCTTGTACTTGCTGTAAAAGGAGGTTCTTCGGCATCTGGAGCTTCATTGGTCTTGAACAAGTTGAGCTTCAAGGACTACAGAAGTCAGCTTTGGACTTATCGTTCTGGTCTTTTAATCAACTATGGTAGTAAGCTTGCAATTGATGTTGAAGGTGAAATCAATGAATCATCCAAGTTGATCCAAGCCTCCGAAGCTGGTGTCAGTTCTCAAAAGTGGGCTCTTACTGTTGAAGGTCAAATCCATCTTGACAGTTATGCTCAATACACTTTGGGTTACACTGACGCCGAATCCTTGACTGAAGGTCTTGATGTAACTTTGGTTTCAAACAAGGAGCGCGCTATTACTTGGAGATTCTCTGTACCTATTTTTGGCAAGGTTACTACTTCTGGTAACGAAACTACTACCACTACGACTGAAACTAGTACCTCTGTCTCCAAGGTCTCTTCTATTGACCGTCTTACCACTTGTATTGAACAAGGTGCTCTTATTGAAAGTGTCGAAGAAGCAGACATCGAGGTTGAAGATATCTCTGTCAAGAAGAACAATGCAATCAACAACAACTCTTCAGTTTCCACGGCTGCTGTTGATAAGGAAAAGCATCACACCTTCCAAGACATTTTGACTAATGTTGGTATTGCTGCCACATCCACTGTAGTTGCAGTCGGTGCTATTGAAGGCGCTTCCAAGATTGCAGAAAAGGTCTCTGAACATCGTGATAAAAATACTGAAGAAAAGACTCAAAAGGATCAAAACAAGGTGGCATCTGCTGTTACTGATGTTGACAAGGCTACTGAAAAGATTGTTGTTCGTCGCTCACAACAAACTTCTGTTCAAATCATTGAAGAGTCTCGTATGATTACTCGTGCTTGGAAGATTACCTTCAGCCAACGTATTCGTCATTGCAAGACCAAGGAAGAGCTCATTGATACGATCGAGGAATCTCGTGAAGATCTCTTTAGACGTCTTGATGAACACTTGCGTGTCCATGCTTCAGTTGAACATTTGGTTGTTGGATCTGTTCCTGATTGGCATGTTTCCATTCATCAAATCAAGGAGCTTTACCGTGCTCGTATCTTTGAAAAATTCTTGGGTCGCTTGCACTCTGGAGAGGTTACTGATTTGGCAGGTCTTGACTTTGAATCTACCTTGACTACCGCTTCTCAAGAAGTTGAAAATCATTATCAACATGCTATTGAGAACGAAAAGAAGAGCTTCTCCACCACTACTACTGTCTCTCAATCTACTGAGGAAACCTGTGTTCAAGAGAACATCTTGGTTACTGTAGATAGTATTAAGGTTGCCGTCCGTTACTGGTTTATTAGTTTGTATGAAACCATTGATAAAGCTAAGCGCAACGGTTCTTCTGAAGAAGAAATCAAGACCATGGTTGAAAACTCTCGCAAGGAGCTTTCTACTGAGCTTTCCAAGATCAAGTCTATTACCACTGGCCACTTGGAAAAGACTGCTTCTACTATCCTTTCAACCAAGAAGGCCTCTATTACCAAAACTATTGAGACTGCTATTACTCAAGCTGAAAGTGTAGTCAGCTCTCAAATTGAAACCGTCTTTTCTCAAAAGCAATACCTTGTTGATGAAGAGCATTGGTTGGATGTCACTCGTGTCATTGAAGAGCGTCTTTCTACACAGCTCAAGGTCTATCAAACCGCTATTACTCAAGATATCACTGATGTTCAAAAGACTGAAATCAAGGACACTGATAAAGCCGAAATCTCTGTCATCTTGGATGAAAAGATGGTTGGTGTTGCTCAACAAACTGTAACAAACAAGTTAGTTGAAACCCAAACTAAGCTATCTAGCTGGTTCATTGAGACTACCCAACAAATCTCTTTGCTTATTCAAGATAGCAAGGAATCTTCTGAAGAAACCATCAAACAGGATACCCTTGCTATTGTCGAGGCTGCACAAATCGAAATTAACACTCGAATTGAAGAAGCCAAGTTGGTCCTTCGTGCTTACTATGCTCACTTGACTTATCTTAGCTGGGCTGAGCGTCGTCGTCTTGAATATTCGTTGGATAACATCAAGGCTTCTCTTACTGCCAACATCAACCAGTTTAAGAAGTCAATCACCAGCGAACAGGTTTCCAAAGAGCAAATCATTCGCTACTCTAGCTACTCTTTCGGCGCTACTGCTTCTCGTATTGTCTTGTCTGATCTTCAAACCATTGTTACAAAAGTCACCAATGTTAAGAAGACTACAACTGTTGTTAATAAGACTGAAGAGCTCGAAGGTGAAAAGCAAAAGATTGCTATCGCCGGTGACAAGTCTAGCACTAAGGTGACTGAAGTCAAGAACACGACTGAAAGTAATGAAATTGCACAACACAAGCAAGACGAAATTGCTAAGAAGAATCAAGTCATTAAGACTGAAGATGTCAAAAAGACTGAGAAGATCAAGGCTGACCAAGAAACCAAGGTCCTTAATACTGTTGAAACCGAGGTTGAGGAGACTAAGGTCACCAAGGTCGGTAGCAAGCCTTCAACTAGCACCACTGGTACTAGTACTGCTACTGTTGTTGATAACCAACAATCAACTTCATCTTCTGGTAACAAGGTTTCTAGCGCTGTTCTTGGTGCTGCCGCCGCTGCAATTGCAAGTGCTGCAATTTTGCATCATCACGATGCTAAGGAAAACAAGCAGCAGCAAGACACTACCAAAGCCAAGGCTGACAAGTCTGAAGAACATGAGATTCAAAAGACCGGATCTGTCAATGTTGTAAAGAAGGACTCTATCAAGACTGCTGTTGAAAAGAAGTCTGAAACTTTGGTTGTTGTCTATGATCAAGTTCAAGTCATTGTTCGTGATTGGATAACTGCCCTGAACAAGCGTGTCTATGAATGTGCACAGAAGAAGAGTAGTAATGCTCAACAGGAGATTGACAACATTGTCTTTGAGTCTCAACAGAAACTTGTGGTTGAAATTGAAAAGGCCAAGCGCAACACAACTTCTGTGATTGGTACCTCTCAAACTAGTTTCCATGATACTTTGTCTTGGGTAAGAAGTACTGCTTGGAAACAAGCTTATGAAGTCAAGCAAATTGGTTATGAAATTGCTACTTCTACCGAGAACGATACTACTCACTTTGAACAGAAGCTTGAGTCCTTGAAGGAGACTACCTTGCAAAAGATTGATAGTACCATTGAGAAGACTAAGACCTCTGCATCTGTTATTCACAAGATTGGTCACGAATCTTCTGCTACTATTGCTGCTGGTAAGAAGTTCGAAGGTGTTGACTATAGTAAGTCAAGCCATGGTGAATCTATTGAGAAGACAAAGGCAACTGTTGGTATTCTTATTGAAGACACTCGCTTGACAATTCAACACATGTTCCGCCAACTTACTACTGCTGTCATTGAACGTCGTAAGCAAGGTGGTGACAATATTCAAGCTGATATCGAAGCTATTGTCAAGAAGCACCGTGAAGAAATCAGCACTTACATCCAAAAGTCTAAAAGTGAATTTGAAAAGAGAGTTACCACCTCTGAATCTTCCAAGCTCGAAGTCGAATTACAAAAAGAAACTATAAAGAAGGTTCATGCCACACTGGAACAAATTCAAGAAAGCGTCTCAGTTCAAGTCACCAAGGTTGAACAGATCACTACTTCTACTACTGTCACTACTGAAGTTGAATGTGACGAGAAGTTGACTTCAATTTCTCATGAGACTTGCGAAAAGTTGGATGCTACTTTGGCTGTTTCCGAAACCATCATTGGCCATCATATTGAGGTTACTGCTGAATCTACTTCTGCTCATCAGTCTGTAACTACTGAAGAAACTTCCAATGTTTCTTTGGGTGTGCAATATGGTCTTGTAGTGGTTGCTGAAACTACCAAAAATGTTTCTAGTCAAATTTCTGCCCTTGTTGAACGTGTCCATCAACGTTTGACTGTTGGTTCTGAATCTATTGAACAAGATGTCAATGGTCTTATCGCTGTTTCTGAAAAAGAACTCGACCTCATTTTTGAGCAAGCCAAGGAAAAGATTACTTATGAACTGTCCATGGTCTCTGCTAATGAAAAGGCCGAAGAAGAGCGCTTCATTGCTTCTCTCGAGGCTATTCGTAAGTCAGCCAAGACTCGTATTACTCAAATCAAGACTGTGGCTACTGTTCATAAGGAGGAATCCAAGACTGTTTCTGAGAAGCTTCTTCAAATTGCTGAAGAATCTCGTCATGAAATCAAGTCTCACTATGAATCTATCCATCATAGTGTCACTTCCAAAACTCAAAAGGTTGCTGAATCTGTCCAAGGTGCCATTACACACGGATCTTCTCAAGTATCTCATGCTGTGGAAGATATCAAGAAGATTGAGCAACAAAAGAAGGAAGAAGAACATCAATCTAAGGTTGATCTTGCCAAGAAGATTCTTGCTGGATCAGCTAGTGTTGCTGTAGGAACTGCTATTGCTGTCGAGATTGGCAAGAAGCTTTCTGAACACAAGAAGAAGACTGAAGAGCTTGAACATCAAGAGAAGCAAACTACTATTGTGGTTGAAGAAGTCAAGGTTCAATTCAACAAATGGCTCTCTACTCTCACTGAAACTGTAATTACTCAAAGTAAGCAGTCTGTTTCTACCGAAGAGATTTCTGCTACAATTGAGAAATCCAAGACTGAATTCCTTGAGATTGTCAAGAAGGCTAAGTCAAGTGAGGTGATTACTGAGAAGCACCAACATGACATCTTATCTTGGATTGAAACGACTGTTGTTGCTCAGTCTAGTCGTATTCAAGAAATCGTTGCTTCTTCATCCACTTCATCTGCTATTGATATTAACTCTAGACTTGAAGTGATCAAGCTTTCTACTACTCAAGAAGTTGAAGCTGCTTTAGAAAAGTGCAAGAATATCAAGTCTTCTGCTACTGGTTTTGTAGGTGCTTCTATTGAGAAGCTTCAACAAAAGGAAGCTGCATTGTTGGATATCCAAAGCGAGCTTGTTATTGTTATTCAAGATGCTAAGTCTTCTTTGACTACTTTCTTCCAAAAGTTCACCAAATCTGTTATTTCTCGACTTGAACAAGGTGGTGAAAATGTTGAAAAAGATCTTGCTATTTTGATTGCCAACACCCGTAAGGAGGTTGCCACTTTGGTTGAGAATGTCAAGACTACAGCTACCAAGCGCTTGTCGGCATTGGAGACCAAGTCTTCTACCATGGTAGTTTCTACTGCTGCTCTTTCAGGTATTGCTACTGCTGAAATAATCAATGTTATCAAGTCTAGTGAGGAATTGATTATGCAAAGAATCAACCGTGTTCACTCCAGCGTTTGGTACATTGAGAAGAACCAAGACACCAAGAAGATTGTCGAAACCATTACTTCAATTGAAGCTGAGACCACTACTGAACTTACTCAAAGGGTCGAAAGTTCCAAGCACAACTTTGTCTGTTCTATTCATGATCATCACACTTCTGGTCACATCACCCACGAAGCTTCTAAACATAATGAAGTTTCTGAACAGGAACAAGTTGCCTTGAAGGCTTCTTTGTCCATTCAAGAAGTCAAAATCACTATTCGTGAATGGTTGCGTACTCTTGCCGAGAAGGTTTCTGTCTGTTCTCAAAATGGTGGCTCTTCCGAAGAAATTGATCTCATCGTCAAGAAAGAGACCGATGTTATCTTTAAATACCTTGATCAATCTGTGACCAAGATTTCTGAAGCTGTCAAGGCTGAAGAGAGTATCAAGAACCTTCATTCTACTGTTGAACAAGTCAAGACTACTATTACTAAGGTGTCCACTGAAATTAAGGTTATCGGTATTGAAGCTTCTTCAAGCACTTATGGCTATGGTGGTTTTGACAAGATGACATCCATCATCACCGAACATGAACACAAAATTAGTGAAGCACTTGTTGTTTATGAAACCAAGGTCTCTTCCAAGGTTACTGAGCAAAAGAAGCAGCAATCTTCTACTGTTGCCAAAAAGGATCAAACTAAGGTTGATAAGAAGAACATTTACACAGTTGTTACAACTGAATACATCTTGTCCATTGTTCACACTTGGTTCGAAGAGTTGATGGTTGATGTCTCTGAATGTGCCAAGCATGAACACAATGTTACTGTTGTTACTAAGGAAATCAATACCATTATTACTGAAGCCAAGGAATACATTGGTGCTGAACTTGATTTGGTTATCAAAAAGATCCGAGGCGCCAAGGCTGATTCTTCTGCTCAACAAGAATTGATCAATGTCATCGAATGGACTCGTGGTATGGCCATTCAAAGCTCTGCCCAAATTCAAGCCATTGGTGTCAATTGTGCTGTTGCCTTCAGTGCTACTGGTGGTATTGAACAGATGAAGCCTCTTATCAGCGCTACTGAAAGTCAAATCAATGCAGCTGTTAGCCGTTGCAATAAGACTATCAAGATTGATGTTGAACGCAACTCTGCTCATTATGAAAAGAAGAAGGCTGTAAGTATTCTAAAGATAAATCAATGTATCCATGATATTAATTTTTTTCTATTACAGAAATCTGAATGCAGAAAGCAAGAAGTCAAGAAGAAGGCTGAATGTATCGCCGAAAAGAAAAAGAAGGAGTCTAAGCTTATTAAGAAGGCCAAGGAATCCAAGTCTGACGATGATTCTTCTGATAGTGAATCAGATAGTGAATCCAGTAAGAAGGTTAAGAAGGCTACCAAGACAAAGAAGACTGAAAAGAAGTCTACCAAGTCAAGCGATACTGAAAGCAGTGATGACTCTAGCTCTGAAAGCGAAGCCAAGAAGCAAAAGAAATCCACCAGTATCGACAAGAAGAAGATTGTTACTGGTATCGTTGCTGGTGAAATCATCAAGCATGCCGTTGAAGATTCATCATCTTCCAGTTCTGACTCTGAGACTGATTCTGACATTGATAACAAGAAGACAGCGATCATCGACAAGAAGAAGTTAAAGACCGGTCAATCTACTTTGGATGTCACTATTATCGTTCGTGAGTGGTACGAAAAGCTTATCGTCGATGTCTCTTCTCGCGCCAAGAAAGGAGGTTCTAATGCATCTGCGGATATTGAAGTCATTGTTCAAAAGGCTGTCTCTAGTATCACCGAAACTCTTCGTATCATTAGCGTTAATGCTCACAAGTCTGTAGTTGACACAACTACTGTCACACAATACCAAGCTTCTATCGAGTGGGTCAAAAACTTGGTCATCCAAAGTAGTTATCAAGTCAAGGCTATTGGTATCAATTGTGCTGCCGCTTCTTCCAAGACAGGTGGGATTGAACAAATGCGTCCCATTGCTACTTCTATTCAAGAGCAAGTCAGTGTAGAAATTCGTCGTTACAAGTTGGTTGCTGAAAAGACAGAAACTGTTGAAAACAAGACTAACAAGGTGACTGAAGTTGAACACAAGCAAAACCAAGAAAAGCTGAGTGCTGGCCGTATTTCTGCCTGCACCCGCAAGGAATACTGCGAAAAGCTTGAGAAGCATGTTTCTGAAGTAGTTACTGAATCCAAGACTGTAATTACCACTTGGTTTGCTGAACTTATTCGCGAAATCTCCATCCGCGTTCATCAAGGTGGTGATACTGTAGAAGAAGATGTCAAGGCACTTGTTGAAAAGTCAAAGCTCGAACTCGAGAATAACATCAAGCGTACTCAAAGCAAATTTGCCTCTTCTATTGAATCATCTGAAAAGGACAAGACTTTCCTCTTGATCAAGTCTCACTTCTATGGAAGTCTTGAATCTGTCCAAACTGTCATTAACACCAAGATTGTTGAAATTCAAGAAGTCGCTAGCAAGCGTTACTCCGAAACCGAGTTTAACCAGAGACTCTCTAATTTGTTGGAAAGTTCCAAGGCTGCAATCTCTGAGTCTTTGGAAACTGGTTACAAGAACTCTGTCATCATCATTAAACAAGATACTACTCAGACTGAGTCCACTGTTAAGGTCATTGATACCGTTGATGAAGTCAAGACTGTTATTACTCAATGGCACACCAAGCTTAATGAAGAAATCTACTCCATCAGTATTGATGCCAGCATTGAAAACAAGGAGGAGAGAATTAACTCTTTGATCGAGCAAGCTACTGCTGAAGTTGAGCGTGTTACTAAGGAAGCCAAATCTAAGGTCACTGAAAACTGCAATTCTGTCAAGAAAATCAGCAAGACTAAAGAACAAGAGCTTTTGTCTGCCATTGACTATGTTCACAAGACCTTTACTACCGATGTCAAGAAGATTCAACAAGTTAGCATTGAAGCTATTCACAAGTCTGATACCAACATCAAGGAGTCTATCTCTTCCGCTGTTCATTCTTCAAAAGAAAAGATTGATTCTGCTCTTACAAAGACAACTGCTGCTGTTGTAGGTGCTGCTACTGCTGCCATGGCTATTCATGCTGCTAAGAAGGACAAGAAGGAAGAAAAGAAGAAGACTGAGTCCAAGTACAACGAGTTGTCTGTTGATGTGGATGAAAATGTTACTGTGATCTCTCAATGGTTTGAACTTTTCACGAAGAAGGTTGCTAGCTCTGTTCACAACAAGGATGCTGATATAGTCCAAACCATCAACAGTATCACTGAACATGCTGAACAAGAAATTTCTGAAATCATTTCTGTTGCTCGTAACGACTTTATCAAGCGTTTGTCATACCAAAACTTGGATCAAGAGTCTTACACCTATGCTTGTAATCACTATGAAGAAAGCCTTCAGTCTGTTCGCGTTACTATCATTTCTGAAATTACTGAAGTGAAGAAGGTTGCTATTCATTCCCACTCGACTGGTAACATTCAAGAATTGGAAACTCACTTGGCCAAATTGTCGCAAACATCTAGTGAAAGAATCAAAGTAGCTATGGGATCTTCTGTTGTTGTCAAGCAAAAGGTTCAAGATACTGTCGATACCTCCAAGAAGTCTGATGGCGCCTTGCAAATTGAATTCAAGGATGATGATATTGTTGTTGGCGAGGAGGAAGTCGATTATGATCGCAAGCAAACTGTTGTTAGTAGCCACAAAGAAGAAAAAAATGAAAAGGATAAGACAGAAAAGGGTAAGTTTAGTTTTTTCTGGAAGGAACTGTCAACTAATATTCGATTTGTTTAGTCAAGGAGAAGAAGAAGGACTCCAACATTGACAAGATCTTGTCAGGCACTTTGGCTATTGGCGCTGCAGCAGGTGCTGCCGTCATGATCCATAAAAAGAATGAGAAGGAAGAAGCTGAAAAGCAACAACAAAAGAAGAAGCAAGACATTCTCAGCACTTACCAACACCTTAAGTACGACTCTGGTGTCACTACTATTGAAAGTGTAAACATCTTGATTTCTGCCTGGTTCACTTCTCTCATTCAAAAGGTCTCCACTGCTTCAAAGTCTGGTGCTTCTTCTCAAAAGATCACTACCATTGTTGAGGAATCTCGTACTGAGCTCATACAAATTGTTGAGCATGCCAAGGCCTATGGCTCTAAGTACTGTGCTTCTGCCAGTGACGAACAACAATACATTAGCAAGATTGAATGGGCTTCTTCTGTTGCACACAATCAAGCTGCTCAAATCCAACAAATTGGTATCAATGCTTCTGCTAGCAAAGCTGATTTGACCAAGCAAATGGAAGCTTTGGCTACCGCTTCTTATCATCAAATCGAAGTAACTCTCGAGCAATTGAAGACCACTATCAAGTTCCATCAAAAGGTTAATAAGATCAACAATAGCAAGACTGATATTAGCAAGGTTGACTCTACTGCTTCTGTGGTTGAAAAGCCTGTCTGTGGAAAGATGGAAACCACTGTTGATAAAACCAAGGTTGCTTACTCTGTCATCCAAGAGACTCGTGTAACTACTATTGCCATCTTTGTATCTTTATCTGAACGTATCGTCAACCGTATCAGACAAGGTGGATCTAATGTTCAAGAAGATGTCCACAAGATGATTGAATCCAGTGAGCAAGAGGTTGCAAAGATCTTCAATGAGGCCAAGACTACTTCTTCCAAGGTCGACAAGAAGACTCGTCTCGAAATCGAAGAAGCTCTCTCTTCTGTGCAAAAGACTGTTCAAGAACAAATCGTTGAAATCAAGACCGTTTCCGTTGAGGCTGTATCTACTACTTCTACTGACACCAAGGTAGCTGTTGAAAAGATTTTGGAAGTTAGCAAGAACTCCAAGACCAAGATTGAAACCACGTTTAACTCCGTCTCTGAAGCAATCACTGCTAGTCGTAAGTGTTAGAAATATGGATTGAGATTATGTATTAACCTACTTGTGTAGTTGTTGTTGTAAGCAAGACCGCTCAAGAAGCCACCGAAGTTGTGCAAAGCTGGTTCGTTGGTCTCAAAAACAAGATTGAAAACCTTCTCGAAGCCAGCGATTGTTCTGAAGAAGAAAAACAAGTCAAGATCAACACTGTTGTAGCTGAGGCCGAAGTTGAAATGAAGACCAAGATTGAGAAGCTTCAACAAACTTCCACTACCGCTCAAAAGACTTCCACTTCTACTACCGAAGTCACTACTGATCATCATCTTGATATTTTCTTGAACAACATCAAGTACAGTGCTCAAAAGCAATTGAATGCAGTCAAGACTGCTGTTCAAGACACCAACAAAACTGACAAGTCCAAGATTATCTCTACTCTTGATATCACTGAGACTCAATTGAAGCAAGAAATTGGTACTCATTACGAAGCTGTTGAGAAGATCACCAAGGTTGATCATATCACTGGTACTGAACAAAAGGTTGCTTTGGAACTTGAAAAGAAGAAGGACCGCCATGACTCTTACAAGAACACTATTGAAAAAGCTGCTGTTGGAGCCGCTGCTGTAGCTGCTGCTGCTGCCATGGCTATCGATTATCACCACAAGAACCAACAATCTCAAATTACTGCTGTTCAGGTTGTCAAGGAACAAAGTATCAAGGATGTTCAGGTCAAGGTTGATCGTTGGTTTGCTCAATTGACTGATCGTGTTACTGCTGTCACCAAAAAGGGTGGAAGCGATGTTGCTGTCCAAGTCAACCAAATTGTCAAGGAAGCTCAGTCTGAACTCGAAGTGACCATTAACGAATTCAAGTCTCAACATACTTCTACTGAATCTTACAGCAGTACTACTGAATCCAAGCGCACTTTCACTCAAACACTTGAATGGATCAAGACTACTGCTTACTCTCAGACCACTCAAATCACTGAGATTGTTAGCCACAGCTCTTCTAGCTCTGTAGACCTGACCACTCAGATTCAAAACTATGTTTCTGTCATTAAGCAACAAATCAACAGTGCCCTTGAAGTTCATTATGAGCATGCTACTGGTGGTACTATTGTTGACAAGAAGACTGAAATTGTTGATTCCAAGCAAGAACAGGCTACTACTGGTGTCAAGGTGACCGAAAATGTTGTTCAAGTTGTTACTGAAACACGCGAGCAAACTCAAAAGCGTTTCCATCTCGAGACTACTGTGATTGTTCAAGAAAGCAAAACCAAGATTACCAACTGGCTTGTTCTTCTTCTGTCTAACATCACTACTATCATTCACAGCAACTCTGAAACTACTCGTAAGGATATTTTTACCAAACTTGATACAGCTGAAAGAGAAGTTGAAGTCTTCATCAAGGAAATGAAGGACAAGTTCCTCACTACCAGCAAGACCAGTGCCGCCAGTAATGTCGAATCCAGTACTCAAACTTTAATCGTTAACTCTGTTAAGCAAACACTTGATTGTATTGATAGCATTCATACTACTTTGATCCTTCAACTTTCTGTCATTCGCGAAGTCATTAATCGCATTGAAGTCGAAGATATTGATACCATTACTGAACGCCTTGAAGCTGTCATCAACCGTACTCAAACTCGTGTCAACCACACACTTGAAACTGGTGTCGAGTTGGCCATTTCTTCTGCTTTTGAAGGCAAGGTCGTCACTTGGACTGAAACCGTAACTGTTCCTGCATCTTTCAAGAATGTTCGTGCTGTTGCTTATGACTTGGTTGGAACCGTAGTTGATTACCACAAGAATTTGCAACAAGTCTGGAAGAAGATTGTTACTCCCAAGCATGATGTTGTTCTCTCTACTCTTGAGTTCAATGCTTTTGTTTCTGACTGGTATGGTGCTTACACAGAAATCAAGCGCGCCAACTTTGCCAACAAGCGTTTCGTCGCTGACCATGTTTCCCTTCATGAAGCACTTGTTCATATCTTGCAACGCTATTATGTCAAGGACTCTCTTACTGAATCTGAAATTGAAGAATTATGTCAAGCTTGGAGAAGTGTTGGTGTTCATGACGATGCTGCCATTGGTATCCGTCGCCTCAAGAACCAATCTTTAGCCAAATATGCCACTGTTGCCATCTCGGATACTTTCTCCACTCAAACCATGATTAACTTAGCTCAAAACAACTGTCTTTGCTGGCACGCTCAGTTTTCTGCTGAAATGTTTGCTCACACTGCCAGTGAATCTGCTTCTGAATCCGTTGTTAAGGGAACTATTCAACTGCTTGGTCTTGAACGCGCTGAAGAGTTAGCTGTTGTCAGTGCTAATGCTCAATTAGTTGCTGCTGCCAAACAACAAGGTTGTTATGCTGTATTGGTTGAACGTGAAGAACATACTCATGCTGAACACAAGCAATCTGTCCAATGCGATATCAAGGTAGATGGTCTTGACGTTTTTGGTGAAAGTGTTCAATCCTTCCTGGAACATGAATCCATGACCAAAGTCTGGAATGAAAAAGAAGCTCCTGCTGCCCCTCGTGTTTGGGTTCAAAAAGTCAAAGGTTTTTTCAAGCAGTAAATTAGTTTAGTGAATTAAATATATTTTTATCCAATAAATCAAGTATCTTTGATATATCTCCATTCATATACTTCTATTGTTTGATCTAATAAACCTAATACAAGCTCATCTTGTCCATCAGCATTTACATCACCAAGTGTAATAGCATGTGGCCAATCTGAGGTTTTGATATGATACACTTTCTAAAAACACATTAGACTCACGAATATAGACTCAACTATATTACCTCGCCATTTTGGTATACTAAAACTTCATTTGAATGTCCTACACATAAAACCATATCTGTCTCATCTTCATCGAGTGTAGAGGGTCGAAATTTGATGACATTCGTAAGACAAAAGCCTACTTTAAACCATTGAAATATCTAGCATGACATGAGTCTTAATTGGATCCAATACAATATATATACCTCAAAGTCAATCATGATATAGACATAACCATCTTGCCCTGCCAGTAATACTTGCTGTGAGTCTAGTTTTTGGGATCCTGTTTTTGCTTTTTTGTTTACTTGAGAGATATTAAATCGTTTTAGACTATCCACAGTCAAGAAATTTCCTGAACAGAGCTATATCTTAAAGCTAAGTAAAGCCATGAATGAATTCAGTACACTTACTGAATTAATCACACTAGGAGATCGAATTGTCTGTATTCGCTCGCCACTTTGTATAAAATGAATGAGTGGCCATCCATCACATACCAACAAACATGTCATGTCTACTCCAAATCTATCTTGAAGTGTAGTAGATAAAGTACATCGTATGGAAGGTGATTTTCGACCTTTCTATCCTAACATTATTTCAAGGACTTGAGAAACTAAACTTACTGTTCCAAGCATAGCTAATTTAACAGATTCTTCTGCAATATTTATTTTCCACAAAGCATCATGCTGTTGAAAACTTGTGATAGTCCCATTGATATCGCCTGCAATAATCTCACAACCTCCAGCTACAATAGGATATGAGTCGCCTATAAAACAAATTTGCTTTTTTCCTTACCCAGGTCATGGTGAATGGTAATATCCGTGATAGCAGAACCCAAATCACGCTTACTTAGGATTTGCTGCCGAGAAAACAAAGTGACAATACCGTCACAGTCACCTACAGCAAGATCCAGTGCACCAAAGCCTGTCAAGTCGTGTAGCTGAATAGACTGAATAGATCCGCCCTTTGTTTCCAATAAACCTTCTACAGGCTAGTTATTTGAGTATAAGTGCGACAAAAAACCAATGAACTGTGATTTACTTTTGTTTGATTCAAGATCATGACACGACCTGCTGTTGTCCCGATCAGAATATCGTTTTCTTCACTCAGTTCTTCTAAAAACGGTTTTCCAACAGCCAGACAGTTGATAGAATCAGATAGATTACTAGACCATAGCTTATAAAAACCAGGTAGCATGTTCATTTTTTTTTTTTAGATAAGCTGCAAACGCGTATTTTGATGAAGTGTGCTTAAAAGCGGGGTTTGGGCTTCTTTTTCATCCAATCAATAGTGTTGCATACGCCTTCTAGTTAAGGATCTTATTCAGGGCAACAAGACTAGCTAAGAATAGCACACTTTTAGATCATGTTAACTTCTTTTTTTTTGCTTGTAGGAAGTTGTAGTACATTTTGTTGTCAAAATAATGTATGTGCTACATGTCAAATGAATATCGGATTTTCAATGAACAAAAGGATAAAAAAGGCTACATGGACACAATGGCATTGTTCTTCTTTCTCATGGTAGTCGTACATTGGCATGATAATGCACCAATGTAAAAGAAACTACGCCAAGTATATAACCGTGTGTTCATTCCCAAATAGGTCAATGTGCTTCTGGACTTTTGCTAACAAAATATCATGTTGCACTAAATTAAAGTTTTCAGCTTAGAGGTATAAAATATGTCTGCTCCTAGCTTTTCTCTCTCTTTTTTTTTTATTTAAACTATATCTCTTTCTCTTTATGTCAGAAAAAGCTGGAAAAGCGACAAAGAGAAAGACTTTATTGTCTGAACTAGGTATCAAACCAGGTGAAGCACCTGTCAGTTCAACAAAACCTACCTCAAGAGCAACAACTGTACCTGCCAGCCCTACAACAGTAAAGACACCCGGTACAACAAGGGCAACCACTACACCTACTCGAAGAACCTCGGTAGTAAAGCCCTCATCACCTTCTGTTTCACGATCTCGCAATTCAGTCGCACTCAATCCAAGTCCACCAACCTCCACACAGAAAAAAGCGCCCTCTACCATTAAAGCAGATCGTGCCACAAAGACGCCACCTTCGCCCACCTCGCCTAGCCCAAGACGTCGATCGATTGCACCCACTACTTCAAGTCAACGAGCAAGTAAATCGCCCTTATCTCGAAGAGCGTCTGTCAATGTAAGCCAAGCAGATGGGTTTGGTGTCGGTCCTCAGAATAAGCGAGTATCTTCCCCAGCTGGATTAGAGTCTCTTGCGGAAGTCCAAACAATGAAAGAACAGGTACAGAAATGTGATAGATAATGCATAAATAAGAAAAAGGAGACATTGATTCAATGAATGTATATATATATATATATATATACATACAAATTTAGTTAGCTGAAAAAGAGCAGCAAGTAAATCAATTGTTGGAGAATGAAGCTACTTTGAAATCGAATGTAAGTAAGCAAGAAGAAGAAAGAAAGAAATAATCGGGAATTTTCCTGTTCTAGAATGAAGCCAAAATATCTGCTCTTGAAACGGAATTGGAAAATGTCAAACAAGAGTTGAGTTTGGTAGTATAAAAATATGGCAAATTCTATGAATTAAACACATATCATAGGCTTTAGAGAAAGAAAACAAAGATTCTCCAGAGCAAAAAGAAGAAGAAGAAGAAGAAGAAGAAAAGAGGCAATTGATAATGGTAAAGGAAGTTACATTTAAAATAGGCGCTTAATACAAGTCCCTTTTTTCTCGTTTTTTCTTTCTCTTGGTAGGAAGCGGAAAATAAACTCAAAGAAACACACAAGACACAAATGGAAAATTTGCTAGCAAGCCAAGAAAAGAAATTGGAGTCAGAACTATTCGCTCTAAAGACTGAGTTATCAATTGAACATGAACAAAAAATTCAGCAATTAAAACTACAATATGATGAGCAGACTGATCAGACAAGAAAGGAGCATGAACAAGCTTTATTGGTATGCTTGCATGATATAGAAGGGAGACTATGCAGCTGACAATTTATATAGACACAGAAACAAGAGTTTGATCAAAAACTGGACCGAGAAAAGGAACATTTTGAAAGTTACAAAAATGAGCAAGCATCGACAATCTCTAAACTCAAAGACCAAATCAAACTGATGGAAGAAATGCAGACAAACAGTCATGTTCGTAAGGTTCAAAAAGAGCTCGACAACACTCTTGCTTCATTTGAAGAACATAAGCGTCAATCACTGCAAAATACAGAGGCTCTTGAGCGTCGTTACCGTGAAGAAATTCGTCAGTTACAAAATGGTAGTGATGATACAGCTGAAGCATGGCTAGAAAAGACTCGTTCTGCTCAACAAAAACTAGACCAGTTACATGACCAACTTCAACTTAAAGAACAGGAATTAAACAATACTATTGAAACACTTAAGACAGCACATGAAGAGGAACTTGATAAACTGCATGAAATCTGTGAGAACAAGGAAGCACAGATTGAAGAGCAGTCGAGCCAGATTGAAGACTTGTCACTTCAAGTCGAAAATCTACAAAACTCTTTAGAGGCTGCTACTGTTCGTTTAGAACACACAGCCAAGTCCTCACCTACAACTTCGAGCGGTAAAGATGATATTAACAATCCCAAGCCAAACCCTATAAAGGACATCCATCAAGAGTGTCTTAAGCGTATTGATGATAAACAGAAAGAAATTGACGAACTCAAGTCAAGATTGATTAATCTTAAAGAGACACAAGAGCTACAGATTAACCGTCTAGGCCAAGAAAAAGCAAATGCACTCAAGACAATTTCAAGTCTTGAGCAAAAGTTAGCAGCCACAACACCTCCTCAATCACCCACAAGACCTAGTAGTATGATTCTTAGTAGTGATGTGACTGGTGAAGAACGACTAGTCAAGGTTGCAGAACAACATCGCAAAGAGATCAGAACTATGCAAAACCAATACCAAATGCTGGTTGATGCCAAAGATCGAGAGCTAGAAGATTACGCTTATCGTATAAAGGCTTTAGTTGCAGCTAAACAAAAGGCCATTGAAAAAATGCAGCTTGAAAATAAGGTTTCTTCTGATCGATATGACCGAGAGATTGAAGAATATGAGGTATGATTGCCTGCTTGATTTGCAATAAGTAGAATTGAAGCTTTTGTTTAGGCCAAAATTGTCGAGTATGAAAATCAAATTGCTAGGTTGCAAGACAAAGTGAAGCATTGGGAGACATTGGCACACAACAATGAAGTGCTTTTGGAAGACATGAAGAAGGATTGCACAGCTCATAAAGATGAGAATGCACAACTTGTAAGGTATAATCATATGAAATGCTATTTGTCTTTATTATGCTTTTACAGTATTAAGTAAAATATACATTTAGACTTGTGAATCAGTTGCAATCTGAAATACGCATTCCCTGCTGAAGAACTCGACCTGTTATCATATAAAAACACATGCATATTAAAATATCATATTATCCTTTATCCTTTTTGTTTTGTGTCTTTAAGAATAAAGAGGGCTTAGTGGAATGAAAGTAAACAAGTTAACAGCTAAGCATAAATTTATGGAAATTGACTGCATAAAGGGCAAATTGTTTAACTGAGTTAAAAATATTCTATCATACATTTGTTCACTTTTCTTCTAGTCTTACTTACTCATGAAAGGCAGCATTGAGAAGGGCACTGTAGTCAGGGTATTAAATATAGACAATGCCCTTTTGCGAAAGCACTAAACTCTCTTTCTCTTTTGAAAATAAAGGTTCCTGCTCAATACGTTTCGTATTCACATACTGTCTTTGCCTATTGTAAGCTTATCGTTCCATACTAACATATTAACGCGTCTTCTTTGACCAGCTGCTTTCTTTATTGCACTTATAATTGGGTGTTATACACACTATTATAAAATTGTACAGAATGAATACTTTGGGTTTCCTCAGGTACATATCTATTATCCTACACTCTATCTTACATATAAAAGGAATGGCTTCCAAGTGTCAGTGCGACCACTGGCGATCGATATCCTGCAAGAGCATTATTTCAAATCTTGATTGCCTTGACTTCAGGGCCTCGATTTGTACTTGTCGGTCTATGGTATCTGTATACGACTGTTTCTATCAGAACATCCACCTTGTTCTTTGGCAAATTTTTGTTCTTGGTGGGTATGGTACGTACTGTTGCTTGTGGTGGCTGGGTCTATATCACTTCAACAGACGATCATCAGACACATGATGTGGCCATGACAATCTATCTTTTATGCACTTTACCTTGGCAATTAGGCGTTTTATATACTTGTTCGAATACAGATACAGTAGCTATCAAACGAAGAAGGATGTTGACCATGACTTTCTTTGGCACATTGCCTCCTATGATTTATTTCTTTCTTCAACACAAGGTGTATCGTGTCCCTGGAGGTAAAAAAAAAAAAAAAAAAAAAAAAAAAAAAAAAAAAAAAAAAAAAAAAAAAAAAAAAGTGCATTAGGTACAGTTGACTTATGTTCTCAATAGCATATACTATTTATGCGTTCTTTGAATGGTCTTTGATCATTTACGATGTTGCATTTGATGCAGTCACAGCCTTTGATTTCAAACGACTTGAACTTCAGATCATTCAACGTAAAAGCAAGCATGAAATGGCAGTATAAAGCGTTTATTAGAAATAAAGAAAGACAAAAATAAAAGGTATATTACAATCTAAAGCGAAAATCTAGGCGATCAGAGCCAACATCTTTGGTTGTCTCATGATAGACTTGTTGTTCTTCTTTTGTCATGCTATTCCATTTTTTACTACGAATTCTGTTGGTAATCACATAGCGTGCAAATTGAGCGAGAAACATGAAGGCAGTGATGGCTTGTAATGCAATGTTGATCTTATTACCATATCGGTAGCGAGGTGCATCACTTACTCTGTAGATTTGAGAACCAGGCACACCACAGATATTGGCGGCACCAATAACTGCACCTAAAGCAAGTGTGCGCTTACCAATAGGGGCCAAGTTAGAAGACATCCAGGCAATTTGCATACCATGCCAAGAAGGATAAGAAGCAGTGAAAAGAGCGGCTACATAGAGACTCCATCGATTGGTATTGTCAGGTAGTAATTCAAGAGCAATGAAACCAGCCATAGCCCAAAGAGTACCAATAAGAGCATGAAGTGCAACGTAGCCATAACGGTCCGAACTACGAGCAATGATAATAGAGAAGATAAGGCCAATAATATAAGAAGGTGCAGTTAACAGGTTACTCTCTGTGACAGTGAAGCCAGAGTTTTTAATCATGGTAGGCAAATAGTTTTGAATAGGTGTCAAGGTCATCATGCCAACAAAGGTAATAATCAAATGCGTCCAAAGCTTGGTATCTAAAAGAGCTTGCTTAGCATCTGTCCAGTTGACAGGACGGTTTTGTTCTTTCTTTGTTAAATCATCGCGGATAAGACGAGTAATAGCGATTTTTTGTTGACTTTCAGTGAGCCAGCCATTTTTGCCACGAAGACCGCCTGCTGTCTTGAGAGGATCGGCAGGTAAGTAAAAGAATGCCATAAAACCAACAAGATGTGTCATGATACCATCGATTAAAAAGAGCCATTTCCAACCTTCAAGGCCGGCGATACCTTTCAATTGAAAAATACCTGACGAGATTAAGCCAGAAAAAGCAGAAGCAAATGCTTGTATACCCCAAAACCATGCCTAAATAAACATCAATGATTAGAATGCATGCTTGTATCTATGGTCTACATACCAAACGAGTCGCTAATTCTTTTGTTTTGTACCAGCCAGTTAAATAGGTAAGACAAGCAGGAATAAAGCCAGCTTCTGTCACTGCAATAAAGATACGAACAGCCATAAAACCACCAAAGTTGTGAATCAGGACATGAGCCCAAGTAACAATAGCCCATGAAGTCATCAAAATCGGAATCCAGCGATGAGCACCCACACGTTTTACGATTGCATTAGAAGGCAATGTAAATAGAGTAAAAATGAATGAATAGACTAATGTACCCGTATTGACACCATCATTTGTAAAGCCTAGGTCAGCAGCCAGGTTGTCAGAGATAGCATTGGCTATTTTACATGTATCAGCTCTTATTCATACGATCAAGAATAACTTACATATATTAGTACGATCCATATTGAGTACAAAAGTCATGGCAAGAACAAAGGGCATCAATTTAGTATCGAGTTTCGTGCGCACTTTGTCTTCTTCTTCATCTGTCCATTCAAGTGTTTCATCATAGCCGTCATCAGATATGGTTTCTTCGTCACTAGAGCCATGATAGTATCCTTTCTTTTCAAGCACATTTTCAGTAGTTTTGACTACTGATTCATTGTCATGTTTTGTCATTATAGATAAATTACACAGAGACAAAATAGCAAGTCTTTATATATACACACGTAGTAGAATTAATATGGGGGTGCATAATGTCGTTCAGGATACACCATCATAAAAAGCTATTGTGCAATTTGTGAGCATTCATAATCTTAAGAATGAGTGGCATCATTCAAGATGGGTTATGATTGGGCAATGGATCTTTTGCTTTGACCCTCTCATTGCGCAATTTCTTTAGTGCCTGTCTCTCTCCCTCTCCCCCCCCCCTCTTTTTCTTTTGCTTTATACTCTCTATTGAACACTGCCAACTACATTCAGTCAATTCAATGTCTAATAAATTATGTATGAAGTTTTTAAAAAAAAGACTCGTTTTTGTTCAACACTATGCTTGAACAACACTGATAAGACAAATAGAACAATGGCGCAATATTAAGATTGGATTGTAACCAATTTAGTGACACATTGAATGGTATATTTTATGCTTTAAAAAATAGATGTCTATTATGATTCCTCTGTTGGACTCGTTGAAATGACTGCATTTGCATCTGAATCCGAGTCTGGATAGAGAGAAGATTGAGTGGTATTGATGCCTTCCTTTGCAGAATCTACAAATTGAGCCATAAACTTGCGTCTTCTGTTGTGCTCATCTATCATATCTTTATCTTCAATAGGTACCAAAGAAGCACCAGGCATACTAACACGACGACGAGATAAAAACATCATTTCATCACCACTACCAGCATCACTTATGTTACCATGCGTCAAATCTTGGTTCTCAAGATGTTGAGATAGTTTGAGTAGTTCTGATTCTGAGCGTGAGTTCTCTCGCTTGTTTTTATGAGCTATACGAAGTGCTCGACGTGCTTTTTCAATAGAGAATTCAATACGCATTCGATTTGAAATCATGGATATTTTAGGCCATGTACGCAACTGTCCTGAAAGCATCAACTTCTTTAGTCGCTCTTCATCAGGATCACGCAGAATATGGAACCAGTCTGAAAGACCAGTTTTTGGCTAATAAACGTATGAGTTTTGTATACAGAGAAAAAAAAAAAAAGAAAGAGAGAGAGAGAGAGCTTACCAAAATAGTGACATTGCCATCAAACTTTTGTAACCATATCGAACTCCAATCTTGATCATGTACTTTAGGCAATAATTTTAATGAACGTAATACCTTGAGCCACTTTGCCAAGTCTAATTTGAGCATTTGTTCAATAGTAGAAGCCAAGAAGCCACCACGCCATCCTCTGCCCTGAAGATGAGTGACGGGTCTACCAGGACTTCCTTGATTGGCATAAAAGAAGACATGAACGTGAGGATTGACTTGACTAACAACAGTATAATTTACATTAAACTGAGTGTTCAACGCAAGTGTAGGAATATCTGTTGACAGACTGCCATCTTTATATTTGTGTCCATAATTGTAAGGTACGAGGTGGTCTGATCCTTTTTTTTTCTGCATTAACACAACGGAGTTTAAGATCTACGGCAAATAGTCAGTCACAGAATGTACCCCTTTGCTTGACTTACACCAGGAATAGCAGCGGAAGCAAGGATAGCACTCCAAATAACACAATTAGGTGCTGTAATGTAGTTGAGAAGTTTTGGAGGAGAGTGTGGGTCATAAGGAATCACAGAGACATTGAAGATACGACCTGTTCTTTCATAAGCTTCCTTAAAAGTGATCGAACCTTTGCAAAACCACATAGCTTCACGGCACCATTGTTCTGAGTCAAACACGGCTCCTGTCTTCATGAATCGAATAAACATTGTCTTCCAACTGTCTTGACAAATTTGAATTCGTTTAGCAAGTGCTGGGTTGAGTATTTCGTTTAATTCTTCATCTGTGCGTGTACATACAATAGCAGACATCAATGAACCTGCACTTGTACCAGTGATAATTGTAGGCAAAAGACCGCGATCCAGTAATGCTCTAATGACGCCTAAATGATAATAACCAAACCCTGCTCCTCCTGATAAACAAAATGCTGTGCGACCGTAGTTTTTACTGTATAATTTGAATGCAAGTCGTTTTTCTTCAATTGAGATATGCTTACTCCTTGCTAGTGTATCAATGGATTTCGTCACTATGACACGATAAGACATCCATTCACCTTTTGCATCTCTTTACCTTCTTCTACGTATTCTTCCAAGAGTGATTTGGTGCCTAAATAAGTGTTGCTATACATGCGTCCATTTTCAATACCAGCAAAGTTCTGCTTCAGACAGACATAGAGCACATCCATTAGATTAGTGGCATCTTCAGCTGTATCACTTGAACGGTACTTTTTTAAATGTCGGACTACTTTCTGCAACAATCGATAATCATAGTAAGCATAGGGAATAATTTTTTTCCATTCGTCTTTCTTCATATGTTTATCAAGTGCATCTGCTGCTTCACACCATTCCTTATAATTCCTTGACTCTCTCAGCTTATCCCTTAGTCTCTTCTTTTCACCTCGCCTATTCAAGGAGTCAATGACAAGGATTTCCTTTTTTAAATGACTGTGTTACCAACTAAACACATTTTCCCAAACTCGGACGATTTGACGTAATGAAATATAGGCTGTTAATTCAATCAACATGACAAAACCAATCAAGATCTAATCCTATCAGTCTATCAAATGAAGCCCCAATTTTACTTACAATCAAAGGGTATTGCAATAAGACATGCGATATACCTTTAGGTTTAGCGGATTCTTGTTCTTTGAGTTTACGTTTACTTTTAGGTGTATTACTTCTAGGCAATGCATCAGACCAAGCAGAGATATGTTCAGCCTGGTTGACAGCTTCGTCAGGTACATCGCGTATTGGATCGTACCGTAATGCCCTCAAAAAATCCTGAACATGCGTTTCATTCACGTAGTTTGTGTCAAGTGAAGTTTTTTTATTCTGCTTGGATTCCAACTGTCTTGTGCCTGAATTATCTGCTGTCTTCAGTATTTTATTTGTTGTTTTTTGGACTGCTTTATCAGAATTCTTGACCATTCAAAAAAAAAAAAAAAAAAAAGCAAAGAAGAAGAAGAAAAAAGACCTGATTTCATATTCATACATATCCTGCAAGATCACCTGATATGGACTGCTTTTGGATTCATGCTAAAAACGGGTTTTATTTTTTACAAAAAGAATTTAGGAGAGCTTGATAGCCTTGGCATATCGATCTGCTCTATCAGAAATCCTGTCATAAACAGCATAGAATTCGTCTGTAGCGTTTAATTGATGTTCAGCATCAACCACTGCGCTTTTCAGTACATCATCTTGATACTTCATGGTCAAAGAAATGGACTCAACACACATTTTAAACTGCTTTAATGTCTTGGTGGTAGTATCATGCAAGAAATTCAAAATGTGTTCCATATCAAACAAACACCACTCAAATGCACCAAGGCCAGACAACAAATTGTTTTTCTCTTGATGAGTATAATCAGATACTTGATAAGCAGCATTGACACCAATAGCAAGGGCACCACTTGTTACACCAAGAGAAGTCCAAATAGGATACTGAAAAATAGCATTTGCAGTATCCATTATGGCCAAAGAAAGACTGGTGGTTGTCAAAGCCTTAACTGCTTCTTTTTCTAAATCTGGGAAAGATGCTGTCTGAAACCATCGATTGATTTCTTGAGCCACAATGCGTTTACAGGCATCCAGGCTAGGAAGCACTGGATGTTGCTTGTCAAACATTTGGATTGTGTTTAAGAGTTGACTGCTGACCATCAATATTTTGTGTGCATCTTGACCCTTATTGAACTCAAGATGGATGAGTCCCATTAAGCCTTCCCTGATGGACATTAACACCGCTTTTTGTTGTTCAGAAAACTCTTTCAACTTGCTGAGATACTCATGATATTCATAATGAATTTGATAGCCTTGTTGTTCTAATGATTGAATAGGCGTTCTTTTTCTTTTTCTAGACAAGACAGGTCCACCATGACTAAACAACACATTTTGTATCTGATCCAATTGATCCAAGAGTTGATTGGTTTCTTGTAAGAGCTTGTTTTGAAGCAATTGTACTTCTTTATTGATTTCTTTTAAGCTTGGAGGCATAAAGAGAGAGAGAAAGAGAGAAAAGAAAGAGTTCTCTCTTTTGATAAATGTAAGCATGAGAAAAAAAAATAATTAATCAAAATCAATTCCAGTTTAAAACAACTGACAAATATGTCTTCTTTATTCAAAAAACAAAAAGGGAGAGACTGATTTAAGCCTTGTTGGCAGCCTATAAATAAATATATATAAATGACACATTTCCCATAAATGTAGTTTCTTACCTTTTGGAATCTGAATCTGGGAGGAGGAAGACGATTACGACGGTCGACAGCAGAACGGACACGGACGACACGAGCGTGAATAGCGCAAGAAACACAGTAGTGAAGCTTGACATACAACTTGGGGATAGCATATTCTATACCATACTTAGCACAAGACAAGATACCACTCAAAAAAAAACTTACCCTCATAGATGGAAGCTTCTTGGAGATCACGGACAGCAGCAGCTTCAACCATGTTACGGATAGTGAAGCGCTTGATAGCCTTATCCTTGGGAACGCAACGGTAACAGTTGATGCAACGAACAAACTTGTTGTGACCACGACCGTGCTTGTTACGTCCGTTGTTTCTTCTCTTGCAAGTCTATTATAGGTGGTTAGTTTATGAGAGGTACATTCAAGACACAAAGCGTAAGAGAGAGAAAGAGAAAAAAAAATTCGTTGTCATCCATCTATCCAATCCGTGTCTTGACTTGTTTGTTATTCGAATCCGTATCTGTTTTCGTCCCTCTTCTCTCTTTTACACTTTGATGTGTGATGTATAAACATACCATTTTGATTGATGAACGAAGAAGTTGAGAGAGAGTTTCTCTATTTGTGCCTATGGGCTGTACTTTAGGGAAAGAAGCCTTTGTGCAATGGCGACTATATCTCCGCATTTCGGCTCGAGTAGAGCTCGGATCCCGGACAAAAAGTAGTATCCTCGATTTTTTTTTCGGTCACTTTATAGTATTGCTAAAAACTAAAGCCAAGATAATGGGTGTATGCTAGCATTGAGTCTTTTATCAATCAACTACATGTCATTGCTGTTCATTGCTTTGATTTATGCAATTTCTGCTTTACTGTATGTTTTGATAGAGCTGTCTTGAAAAAAAAAAGCTTTTTGAATAAGCAATAACTTGTTTAGAGCCAGCCAGACATCTCTTTCTTGTTTCTTTTTGCAATATATAGACAAATTACCAGCATCTGACTGCAGGATAGAGGCCAGAAAAGCTTCATTCTAAAGCAAATAAATCATTTACTGCTAAATAGCGCAAACATTTCCTTTAATTTAGATATAATGACGAGAACTGGAATCAATATGTTTTAATCTCCGCACACAGCCATCCGTGACCATACTACTTTGATGCCATCGTTACACCTTAAGGTCCCTTCAAGCTTATCAAATATCAGACAAGCATGAGATACATAAGTAATGTTTACATTATTTTATAAGGAAGAGCAAAGAACAGAAGGGAAATACAAGAGAGAAATAAGTTAGTAACAATACTAAGTTGTGATTGATGCAAATAGTAGCTTCATCAAGTATTCTACACAGTTTACAGTGTTCATCAATTACGCTTTGGGGAACTTGTTCAAGAATGGAAAGCATACAATTTTGATTTCGAAAATCATGAAAAGACATCCAAGATTTTTTCTGTTTGACTGTATAACCTTGGTACTATTCAAGCATTGGATCGTCTAACTAAAGTATAGTAGCTATCTAGAAATTAAATTCAAAGTGTACAGCCATACCTGGATCCATTACTATCATCGGTTGGACCGAAACAGTGTTAGTAAGTCCAGATGTATTGATATAGTTTAACATTGTCGGGTTTCTTATAAGAGTAGCATAGGTAAATGTGCTTTGTTTTGAAAAGAAACACTTTGTTGTATTATGGGAAGAATGTTTCAATTCAATGTCGTTAAGACCATCTTTTTGACTTTGGTCATTCCATAACTATACACTCTAATAAACCCTAACATGGTGAGAACAGCAACAACAAAGTAGGTCTTGATATAACAGTGGCATCAGAACAGCCGTCCTATGTTGTAACAAACCCTTTCAGACGCCAACTCGCGGAATTTTAAAAGTCCCCCAATCCGGGTAGGTAAATCAGCGATATCTTCACCTGTAACTTTTTCGATAGATCTCTCTCTCTCTCTTTTCTTCTCTGCACTAACCTCCCTTTGTCAAACTAAAGATAGAGAGCACGATGAACAGCAAGCAACCTCAATACATACCTGTCAAAGTAGGCAACAAAAAGCAAGCTATCACGCCAAAAATCAAAGCGCCAAAAGAAGAAACGCCACTCCCCCCATCGTTACAGTAAGATTGAAAAAGAGAAAGAAAGATTTAATAGCTGATGCTTTAACTCTTTTAGAGAATATGTTGAGAGTGCCTTGTCCAACTGCTTAGTAGAGAACAAGCAACTTGTGGAATTACAGCTAAAAAAGATTATCACACAAGCTAAAAATACAAACATGTTGGACATGATTGACTGGAATGAACGAGATTTGCCAAGGTAATCAAGTCTTTTTCTACTTTACTTCCTCACATGTCTTTCTAGTGGCTGTACAACTACCAAAAATCCTAATGCTGGATCCCTTTTTCATAAAAAGTAAGTCATTCAACAATGAATGACACTAACATTCCATATAGACCAAAAACCATTGTATCTAAACTAGGTCACATTGAGTTGACTCCAGCCGAAGAAAGAAAGAGACAAATCAGAGCCAGGCGATTCCAAAATGATAACTTACCATCACCTCCTCCACCCAAGAAACAAAAGAAAGCTATTACACCTATTGTTTGGAATGAAACAGACCCTAACCAGGTTATTGTTGGCACTAGTTCTAGTCTAGAAAAGCCTTATTTTCGTCTCACTTCAGTAAGTAAACCTAAAGAACACAACCCATGCTTACGAGATACATAGGCTGCTGATCCTGCGACTGTTCGTCCCTTGAACATCTTGAAAAAGACATACAAGATGCTTCGTTCAAAATGGAAGGCAGAAGCCAATTATTCTTATATTTGTGAACAATTCAAGTCCATGAGACAAGATTTAACTGCAAGTATGATGATGTTTACCAATAAAGTCATGACTCATGATCTTGTAGGTTCAGAGAATACAGAATGAGTTCACCGTCATTGTCTATGAGACACATGCTCGTATTGCACTTGAAAAGGTAAACCTCTTATTATTCAGGCAATGACTTACTGGGAATAGGGTGATATTGGCGAATACAATCAATGTCAAACACAATTGAAGTATTTATATGAGCAACATATACTTGGATGTGAAGACGAATTCTTAGCTTATCGTATCTTGTACTTGATATTCTCTCAAAATCAATCAGGTAATTGTGTTATTGACAAGACCATCTTATATAGTGTATGTAGACATCAATGCCATGTTGGAAGAGATGTGTAATGTTGGATTAAAAAAGCATGCAAGCTGTGTTCAACATGCACTCATGGTAAGAACTTCATTGGCCAAGGGAAATTACCATAAATTCTTTCAGCTATACCAAGAAGCGCCTAATATGGGTGGGTATTTGCTGGATCAATTTGTTGGTAGAGTCAGAATAGAAGCATTGCTTGTCATGTGTAAAGCGTAAGTTTAAATTTGAATAACTGAATGTGTAAATTGATATTGATATAGTTACAAGATGGGTGTGTCACTTAGTTATGTTGCTAAATCACTCTGCTTTAAGGACATAAAACAACTGGTTCAATTCTTGAAACAACATCATGTTCGAGTATTGCCTAACAAAGACAATATGCTTGATACCAAATCTGCTTTGCCTATCTTGTTGGCTGAGAGTAAGAACTACAATAAAGTCGACATCAAGGGACAAATTTAAATCAGTCACATATAAAACTCGATATTTTTTTTTCTTTTTTTTTTTTTCTTTTTTCACTTTTTTTTCGCATAAATCATCATGACAGAAAAGAAAGCAGAAAGTGGTGTCTCTATTGTGAAAGATCCTGAAGAGACAACCATTTTAGATGAACCTATTTGTAAGTAAATATATGCTTCAATCATGACTTATCATATGCTAGTCCATCCACACACGTTGACTGCGCTTGTCGTTTTACTGGCACTTATGTTCTATGCTGCCACAAGATCAAACTATGAAAACACAGCAGACAATATCAAATTGGGCTTATTGGCTTCTGTGGCCTGTTTTGTGTTTATTGGGATGCTTCAATTCCCCGACGGTCCTTTTGTACGTCCTAGTAAACCTATCTGGAGAGCTGTCCTTAGTCTAAGTGTGCTTTATCAACTCTTTTTGGTCTTTTTATTGTTTCTGGTAAGTCTTGATTTAATCCAGTGATGTATAGTGACTGTTGAATAGAATAAAGATGACGCTCGTTATTTCATGACGTATTTTGATCCAAGTTTAGGTGTGCTATTACCTGAAAGATCTTATGCTGATGCTTGTAAACTTACATGGGATAACATCAAAGTAAGTAGTCCTAATGTATGTAGGTATCATTACTAAGTCTCTATAGAACCAAATGGACGTATTTGTTTTAGCGCATGCACTTGGTTGGTTCGGTAAGGCTTTGATTCTCAGAGATTATTACTTTTGTTGGATTATTTCGGTTGCTTTTGAATTATGTGAATATTCTCTGGAACATCAGTTAAATAACTTTGCAGAATGTTGGTGGGATCATGTAAGTAACCATGCTATCTAGTTATGTGTGTGTTTAATAGACTATGTATTAGTGGATTTTGGATGTCTTGGTCTGTAACTGGCTCGGTATTGCTGTGGGTATGAAATTCTGTCAATACTTCTCTGTCAAGGTGAGTTATTTCAGTAAGACAAGACTAGGTACTGATGTATTCTAGCAATATTCTTGGGTGGGATTTAGACAGATCAAGACAATCCGCGGCAAAGCAAAGCGTGCTGTACAACAATTCACACCTCGAGAATGGACACAATATACATGGAAAACAACAAGTTCACCTAAAAACTATTTTGGTACCTGTCTTTTATTGATTGTGGCAAGTAGAAATCATATAGAAAAGGAGAGGGAAATATTGATTGTTTCATAGTTTTTGCAATGTGAACTCAACTGCTTTTATCTTAAATACTTGCTTTGGGTACCACCAGAACATCCTCTCAACACATACCGTCTGATTCTCTTATTCTTGTTTGCACTTCCTGCTACTCGAGAAGTCTATCAATATTTGTCTGACAATACCACTTTACGTATGGGTGCTCATGCTTGGTTGTTGATTTTTAATATCATGACTGAAACCTTGATCTGCCTCAAGTTTGCTGAGAATGAATTCCATACACCTGCCCCTTTTGTTGTTAAAGCAGGTTGGTCTATTGCATTTGCAGTTGCTTTTGTTATCTTTCCTTTGTGGCGATTTATTATTTCTCCCGTCAAGAAAGTGGAAGGAGAACAGATTGTTATCAAGAAAGATGAATAGACTCCATCTTTTTTTATTATTATTTAATAGACATGTTTATAATTTAATGTAATACAATTGTATTATATTTTGATTATCCGAGTTTGTAAAGTGAACCATAGGCGTTTAAAGAAAAAAGAAATAACTTGAAAACAAAAGAAGGAAGCCTGTGGCTTTGACACTAGATCCATCTTCATCGTATAGATAAACGACTTCACTTTACATGTGTGGTATTATGCAACTGAGTTTGCTAAATGATATGTGTCTTTCTGTCCAATGAAATGAGTGCCCTGAATTTACCATGGCAACCAAATCCTTTGTATTATTCGAGTATCTGATGAGGGAATCTTTGTATCTATTTTAAATAGAGCTTATTGCTGTTGCACTAAAACAAACAAATTGAATCTATTTTTATATATTTGAATATGGCTATTAAGGAAATCTGTATCTATATATCACAATGATCTACTGAGTCATGTCGCTGCATTCTTACTGCGGTGATTGACTCATGCTATTGTATTTTTCAGCAATTAAGAGACAGTCTCAGAGAAAATAAGAGAAAATTATTGGATAAAATAAGAGAAAATTTTAGATCAATTAAGAGAAAACTGACCAATAAAATAAGAGAAAAACACAGGAAAAATTAAGAGAGAGAAAAAGGGGCAATTAGTAGAAAGCACTTTTCTCACTATTATTAACAAAAAATGGATATTGACTATGATATGAACGAGATCTCTCTACGCGACGAAGATATTGAAGCTGTACCCGAGATTATTGTCAGTGTAATGTCGATGATGAGAAAGAAGTGGGAGTATAACATCACTGCATCAGCCATGGAGTTAGATGAAGATGTGACGATGGAACTGAAGGAAGGGCACGAGGGTGATGAGCCCAGTAATAGCTCGGACGAGGAGGAAAATGAAGCTGATGTGCAGAGTAGTGAGAGCGATTTGAAAGAAGAGAAGCCTCTCAGAGACCTGACTGAAAAAAAAGACGACGCTAGCAATGCTAGACGTATATACACTCAGCAGGATATCAACAAGCTTATTGCTCTGTTAGTTGAACAGGTACCTATAAAGGATGCAGCTTTAAAGACAGGAATAAATGAAAAATCAGCCTACCGTTTCAAATCGCAGTGGCAGAAAACTGGGGAGGTACCTCAACAGAAGAAAAGAGGACGCAGAATGGGAACTGTCTCTGAGCTTACTGAGAAGCACTCGAAGTTTATTATCGACCTTGTTGATGAGCGTTCAACTACAACTGTAGCTGGAATACACGAGTCATTGATCATAGAGTTTCCAAGTCTCTCTGCAAGCCCATCCGCAGTATACAGACATCTTAGGACCAGCTGTGCACTATCTATGAAGAAGTTGGAGAAGATTTCAGTTGCTAGAAATTCAGAAGAAACTTTGAAGAAGAGAAAGGAGACCATCCTTCAATGGCTAGCTGATAGAGAAATTGACTTTGAGAACAATTGCGTATTTTTGGATGAAGCAGGATTCAATCTTCACATGACACGCACTCGTGGCTGGTCTAAGAAGGGAGCACCTGCTAAGACAACTGTCCCTGCTTCAAAAGGCACTACAATAACCATCCTTGGTGCCATCTCAAGTGCCGGCGTTATTGACATTTCTTTGAGAAAGCCAATAATGGTTTCGAGAGCTAAGAAGAGAAGAGTAGATGGTAAGGTTGTTACAACAACAGCCAAAGTTGGAACAAGGGCCGAGCATTATCTAAATTACTTGAGTAATGTGATGGATGTTCTTGACCGAAACAACATGAGGGGTTTTTACTTGGTAATGGACAATGCTCCCATACATAAGCCAGCTACAGTAAGAAATTTGATAGAAAGCAGAGGCTATAGGTGTGTATATCTTCCACCATACTCACCATTCCTAAACCCAATTGAGCTATTCTGGTCGAAGGTGAAGTATGGTGTCAAAAGAAAACCTTTCGAAACTGGTGAGACACTCACACCCAGAATCATGGATGCCTGCTCCAAGGTAACCAAGAAAGACTGCCAAGGCTGGATCCACCATTCCCTCGGATTTTTTGAAAAGTGCTTAGCCCTGGAGAAAAACTTATAATGAGATTAAAGTATAAATAAGCTTTCTACTAATTGCCCCTTTTTTTCTCTCTTAATTTTTCCTGTGTTTTTCTCTTATTTTATTGGTCAGTTTTCTCTTAATTGATCTAAAATTTTCTCTTATTTTATCCAATAATTTTCTCTTATTTTCTCTGAGACTGTCTCTTAATTGCTGAAAAATACAATATATGTTTCTTGCAGGAAATCTAAGCCACTGAATTGAATGACCTTACCTTAATTTTTTTTTCTTTTTTTTTGGTTTCTTTTCTAGATTCAAGTTATATGCGTATTACGCCTATTATAACTTTATTCGTACGCTCTTCATTTAAAAAATCATTCCATTTTACTCCCTACAAAGCTCATCGACACTTTCTCAACGCCATGTCAACTGAATCGACTGTCAAATCAAGACAACAACCTCCATGGCATGTTCCTTCTGCCAAGACAGTACCCACTTTAAAACTCCAAAACTCACTTACCAAATCAAAGGTATAACTCCCACTTTTTTTTTGATGCATAAACTGACTTGAGTTTCTAGAATGAATTTGTGCCTAGAGATGGCAGACGTGTCACTTGGTATAACTGTGGTCCCACCGTCTACGATGCCTCTCATATGGGTCATGCCCGTACGTATCTCAGTATGGATATCATTCGTCGTGTACTTGAAGACTACTTTAAATACGATGTCTTGTTTGTTCAGAATATCACTGATATCGACGATAAAATCATTTTACGCGCTCGTCAACAATACTTGTTCGAAAACCTCAAGAAGGAAACAACTGCATTAGACCAAACGATCATTCAACAAACAGAAGAAGCTTGGCTAGAATATGCTAATGCCAAACTTAAGAAGTTGAATGCCACGCTTGTCAGTTTGGCAACTAGCAATTGGACTGAATTTGCTCAAACGATGACACCCGAAGAAGTTGCAAAGGCTGTTGTCTTGGATGAAAAGTTCAAAATGATCTATACTGCTTTGGTAAGCTTACTCATTGCAAAACCATCAACTTGTTTTTATTTACTTGGCTTAGGATACTTCTTTTGCTGCTATTCAACAAGCCAAAGCTAGTTTAGACAAGGGTGACAAGTCAAAAGAAGCTGTGGATACACTTTTGATTGCTTCTCAAGATATTTTATCTGTCTATCTTGATGCTAGAGTAAGCCCCAAATAATGATTGATTTTACAAAACATTGAGCCTATTTACTTTAGAAAGGAAACCAAGTCAATGATCCTAAGATTTTTAGAGAACTTCCTGCTTACTGGGAAGCCAAATACTTTGAAGACATGGAAGCCTTGAACGTGCGTGCCCCTGATGTTCAAACCAGAGTGAGTGAATACATTCCTGAAATCATTGACTATGTCCAAAAGATCATTGATAATGGTTATGGTTATGTTGCTGATGGATCTGTCTATTTCGACACATCTCGTTATGATGGCCACCATGGTCATCACTATGCTAAGCTTGAGCCTTGGTCCAAGGGTGACACTGCTCTAATTGAAGATGGCGAAGGTTCTTTAGGCAGCAAACTTCAAGGTAAAAAGAGTCCCAATGATTTTGCTTTATGGAAGGCTTCTAAGCCTGGAGAACCTGTCTGGCACTCTCCTTGGTCTGAAGGTCGTCCTGGCTGGCACATTGAATGTTCTGTCATGGCCAGTGCTGTCCTGGGCGAGAACATGGATATTCACTCGGGCGGTGTGGATTTAGCTTTCCCTCATCACGACAATGAATTAGCTCAAGCAGAAGCTCATTTCGACTGCAACCAATGGGTCAATTACTTTTTACACGCAGGCCATCTTCATGTCGAAGGCCAAAAGATGAGTAAGAGTCTCAAGAACTTTATCACGATCAATGAAGCACTCAAGACTTACACGGCTCGTCAGCTCCGTATCTTCTTCTTGTTGCACCAATGGGACGCCAAGATGGACTTCAAAAAGTCAAGCATGCAAGAAACAATTCAATTGGAACAGATCATCAAGAACTTCTTTGATAACACTAAGGCGCTTGTGTATAAGGTAAACCATGATGGCTCTCGTGGAGCTACTGTCTTGGCTGATGGGTCCATTACACATCGCTTTAGACAAGATGAAAAGGACTTGCTTGCCTTATTACAAACCAAGCAAGATGCTGTTCATGCTGCTCTTTGTGATTCTATCAATACACCTGTTGCCATGAATGAAATTATGGATACCATCAGTGCCACAAACAAGTACATGGCTGCTCAAGGTGCTAAAGGCGTCAATACGCATCTTTTAACCAAGGTCGCTACATGGGTGACTCACATGCTTAAGATCTTTGGTGTTGCTGATCAAGGTATTGATATTGGTTTTGGTGCTGCTGTTGGCCATGAAAACTCAGGTAATACAGAGGAAGTCTTGATGCCTTACTTGAGAGCACTTTCTTCTTTCAGAGATCAAGTCAGAATTGGTGCTCGTCAAAAGGTAGAGCACACTGAATTCTTAAGACTCTGTGATTCCCTTCGAGACAATCAAATGGTTGATCTCGGTGTCTCTTTGGACGATCAAGAAGATGGTACTGCCCTTGTCAAGCTTGTTTCTCGCGAAGAATTGATTCAGGCCCGTGAAAAGAAATTGGCCATGGCAGCAGAAAAAGAAGCCAAAAAAGCTGCTGCTGCTGCTGAACGTGAACGAAAGCGTTTAGAGAAACTTGAAAAGGGCAAACTTGCTCCACAAGATATGTTTAAGCAATCAGACGAATTCTCTAAATTTGATGACCAAGGTTTCCCTACACATGCAAAAGATGGTGAAGAACTTACCAAGAGCAGAAAGAAGAAGCTTCAAAAGGAATATGATAATCAAAAGAAGCTTCATGAAGAATACCTCAAAGAAGTTCAAAAATAAAAAAAGAAATGATATGATTTATTATAATTAAGAAAGAGGAGGGGGAGAAGGGATATATTTACAATGAGTTAAAATGCAGTATTGGTTTAGAAATCAGCGTCTAAAGTAAAGGTCTTTTCAACAGGTGTCTTGTTCATGACACCAGCACGTTGATAATCAGAGACACGCTTTTCAAAGAAGTTGGTCTTGCCTTGAAGAGAAATCATGTCCATAAAGTCAAAGGGATTGGTAGCATTGTAGATCTTATCAAAACCAAGGGCAACCATAAGTCTATCAGCAACAAATTCAATGTATTGGCACATAAGTTTAGCATTCATGCCAATAAGATTGACAGGCAAAGCATCAGTCAAGAATTCTTGTTCAATACCAACAGCTTCAACAATGATACTCTTGACGCGTTCAGCAGAGGGTGTCTTTTTCAAATGAGAGAATAAGAGACAGGCAAAGTCAGTATGAAGACCTTCATCACGACAAATTAATTCGTTAGAGAATGTCAAACCGGGCATAAGACCACGCTTCTTGAGCCAAAAGATAGAAGCAAATGAACCAGAGAAGAAAATACCTTCCACAGCAGCAAAAGCAACTAATCTTTCAGCAAAGGAGTCATTACCAGTGATCCATTTGAAGGCCCAGTCAGCCTTTTTCTTGATGCAAGGAATGGTTTCAATAGCGTCAAAAAGCATTTCCTTTTCTTGGCTGTCCTTGATGTAGGTATCAATTAAAAGACTGTAAGTTTCAGCGTGAATGTTTTCAATAGCGATTTGGAAACCATAGAAACACTTGGCTTCAGGAATTTTGACTTCATCACAAAAATTTTGAACCAAGTTTTCATTCACAACACCATCAGCACTAGCAAAGAAAGCCAATACGCGAGAGATAAAAAAGCGCTCGTTTTCGTTCATTTTGTTCTCCCAATCATGTTGGTCCTTGGATAAGTCAATTTCTTCAGCCGTCCAGAAAGAAGCCTCAGCCTTTTTGTAGAATTGCCAAATCTATTAAGTGTAAGTTAAAGATCGCGTTGAATAAATCTCATTTGTTACCTCATGATATTTGATAGGGAATAAACAGAAGCGTCTAGTGTTTTCTCTGAGGATTTCCTCTACTTCGCCATCGGCAGGAACTTCATTCAACTTTTTGATTTGGACCTCGTTCAAAGACAACTTGGACAATTGAGCGGTAGCTTCAGGAGTAGCAGCAGTAGACATAATTATAAATAAGAAAAGGATATAGATATATATAGATAAGAAAGAGAAAAAACTGAGGAGAATTCCTTACACTTTATATACCTTTTTTTTTCTTCTTTACGTGACTGGGCGATAAAATTTTTAGTTCGCGTTTTTTTTTTATTTATTTACGGTAATATTTGTTTTTAAACGCGTAGCATTCTTTTTACGCGTTTTTCTGTGTCACCTATTTGTAATCAATCTACTCATCTTTAGGTCATCTTATTACCATTGGCTAAAGACAACTCCTTTTCGGCATGACAAACCTATAGTTTTTTTTACGCAGCAACATTCTTCTTTGATAATTTTACGCGTTATTTTCCTTTTGGGAACATACAAGATGATTTTATCTAGTTAATTATACAAACCAAGATGTTCTCATTATTGTCTTGCGTGAATGGAGATAATGCTATTCACTTTGTTTTCGAACCGCGACTACTCATGCTATTCTGATCCCCCCAATGTCTTGTTTTTGAAGAAGCTATACTTTTATACAATGTTTCCTACATAGTTTTCAACATCTTTGATGATGGTCCTTAAAGCAAATGAATAGAATCCTAATTTAGTGAGCTGAATTTCATTTTATTTTATTTTTATTTTTTTTCTTTCTTCTTCCATGCCCACATACGATCGAGACTTTGAGATTGGTAACTTACCTGAAGGTTTAAATGTAACTGAGTCCTTGGGTGCTCCTAGCCACCTGAAAACAACGTCGCTTGACCTTAAACAGAACATAAATCAATTTGGTTTAGCAGGCAAAATATGGCAAAGGTATCTATTCAATAAAAGATAAATCACTAAACACACAAAAATAGTGCATATACCCTTCAAGCTTTATTTTCTAATGATACCCGAGAAATAATGGTGCCTACTAATCCTATTCCTGAATCTTATTATACACCCTCTGAACAAAGACCATATCATATCCTTGAACTAGGTGCAGGCACAGGCTATGTTGGCATTGCACTTGCTCAACAATTAAAGAAACCATGCAAAGTCTATATTACTGATCTAGAGCAAGTGGTGCCTCTGATACAAGAGAATGTTGACTTTCATTATAAGCCTACGCATGAATCTGCCGAAATTATTGTCGACAGACTTCATTGGGGAAATCGCCAAGACGCCAAAAGACTGTTGGACCAAGTCAAGCATTTTGACTTGGTTGTTGTCAGTGATTGTGTTTACTTTCCTGAATTATTTGGCATATTATTAGAAACACTATTAGATGTGTGTGATTCAGGAACACGGGTTGTGATTGGTTACAAATGTCGTTCACTCGAAAAGGAAGTTGGATTCTGGCAAGATTATTTTGGTCGCTACTTTGACTATGAGCCTGTGCGTAAGATAGAAGAGAAACAAGAAATAGGTGATTTCTTGGGTGCAGAAGATCAGTTGTTTGTATTTGTTGGACAAAAAAGACCGAAAAATCAAGTTAAATCTGCAGATGATACATTTACCACCTTATTGTTTTGTTCAATGGGAATTTAGCCCAGGTTACATTAGTGTATGTGTGCACACAGCTAATTTAAAAAACGTGGATAAAATTATCAATTAAAACTTCTCTTTTTTTTTTCTCTATTTTTCTTTTTTTTTTTTTCGCTTTTCTCCTAATCCCTCCTCTCCCTTCTACATTCTTTATATTTCCCTCTTTCTCTGTACTAAAAATGACTTTTGAATTTGGAGGAGAAGAATCCCAACCACAATTTGCATTTTCATATGCCGACGAATACACTCAACTCTTAACCGAGTTACATGAAGTTTACTGCAAAGATCAACCTCAAGATGCATTACAATACTGTGCTAATTTCTTTAACCGAAAGTTAGAAGAACAAAGAGCCTCTTTTCTTCGAGGACAACATAACTTTGGTAATAGAAGCATGACTTTAAGATCCCAAATTAATCTGTTACTATTTAGAAACTGAGCATCATCCTTTAGCCGAAAATGGAAGTATATTTGAACAAGAGCCTACTTTTATGGACAACAGTTTCAGTAACCACTATGATGAATATGAAGAAGATGAAATAGACGAAGACGAAGACGAAGAGGATGAAGCTAGAGATAATTTCTCTACAGCACCTCTTCATTTGTCCATTCCTACCAACTATAATCGAGGAAGACGTACCTCTGTAAGCGCAGAATCCATGGCACCTTCTTCACAGGGATTTGTAAAGAAATTTGTTGCAAAGACACCTGAACAAATCGAAGCCATCAAAATTAGTGTCAATCAAAACTTTTTGTTCAAGAACTTGGATGAAGAACACCATCAAGATCTAGTGGATGCTATGGTCGAGACACACGTCAAAGAAGGTACATCCATTATTGAACAAGGCGGTGTAGGTGATTTCTTTTATGTAGTTGCATCAGGTACATTCGATTGCTTTATCACCAAAGAGAATGAGACCACCAAAGTGACTTCCTATGAAGCTGGAGGTAGTTTTGGTGAATTGGCGTTAATGTACAATGCGCCTCGTGCGGCAACTATTGTGGCTACATCAGATGCTGTCTTATGGGCTTTGGATCGCGTTACATTTCGAACTATTTTGATGGAAAACACTTCTCGCAAGCGTAAAATGTACGAATCTTTTCTAGAAGAAGTGCCTTTGCTTAAATCACTCGAGCCTTATGAGCGTCATAAGATTGCAGATGCTTTAGAGTCTGTTTACTTTAATGATGGTGAACATGTTATTCTGCAAGGTGATGTGGGCGATCAATTCTATATTATTGAATCAGGCTCCGCTGTGTTCTATAAAGTGGACGCTAATGGAGATCAACAAGAAGTCAATCAATTCGAAAGAGGAGCTTATTTTGGAGGTAATTTGACATGTACAAATACAGTACTAACAAAACAGAGCTTGCATTGTTAAATGATAGCCCAAGAGCAGCCACTGTTGTTGCTAAAGGTAGATTAAAATGTGCTACTCTTGGAAAGAAAGCCTTCACAAGATTATTAGGCTCTGTTCATGAAATCCTCAAAAGAAATTCGGAAAATTATCATGCCATTATCAATCAACAACAATAGACTATACATTCATTTTTCCTTATTATTTTCCTTAATCTCTATTTGTTAAATTCAATTTATAAGCACATAATAAAAAATAAACACTTCATCTTTCTGCCTTTGGAATGCTGTTGTGTTGTCTTTGTTCTCCTTTAGATAACCCCCCCTTTCTCCTTTTTTTTTTTCTTTCTCCTAAGCGTTGATGTATCCCTTTTTTTTTTTTCAATCCCTGAATAAATTTCTTTTTGTTTTGTTTTTATCGTTTCTTTCTCTTTTCTTTCAACATGAATACAATGTCTCCTATGGAAATGATGTCTCTCCCTCACGCAGAATCCATTGCTTCACCTGGCACTGGTATTGCTAATTTACCAAATCAACGTCACAAGATTGTTGCCAAGAATGGTGCCAATTTTACCCTCATGGTCTGTGGTAAGTACACATCCATAAGCTTATAACATATATATTAATCATAAACTAGGTGAATCTGGTCTTGGTAAGACGACTTTTGTCAATACACTCTTTACTTCTACTATCAAGGAACCCAAGAACCTCAACAAAAGACGAGTCAAATCACCTTCCAAGACTGTTCAGGTTCAAATTACAAGAGCAGGTAAATAAATCATGCAGGACATTCCTTTCATTCTTACACTCTAAAGAATTGGAGGAAAAAATGTTCAAAGTCAAATTGACCATCATTGATACTCCTGGATTTGGTGATTATGTCAACAACCGCCATGGCTGGATTCCTATTGTTGACTTTATTGATGACCAACATGAAAACTACATGCGACAGGAACAACAACCATGCCGTAAAGGTGTTATTGATATGCGTGTACATGCCTGTCTTTACTTTGTTAAGCCTACAGGACATACGTAAGTGCTATACGCTAATACAATGTTGCTTATTCTGATTAGTCTTTCTCCTTTGGATGTTGAAGTCATGAAAAGACTAGGCTCCCGTGTTAATTTGATTCCAGTCATTGCTAAGGCTGATACACTTACACCTTCAGATTTAGCTAAATTTAAACAAAATGTAAGCTCCTATATACACTCCTATTTATTTTTTCTTACTCCTTATCAGATCCGCGATGTCATTGCTGCTCAAAATATCCAATGTTATTCAGCACCTATTGAAAGTGATGATGAAACAACCACAAAGCGCAACATCAATATCATGGCTGCTATGCCTTTCTCTGTGATTGGATCAACACAAGATGTAATTACTGTAGATGGACGTAAGGTCAAGGGCCGTGAATATTCATGGGGTGTTGCTGAAGTTGAGAATGATGACCATTGTGACTTTAAGAAGCTCAGAAGCTTATTGATTCGTACTCATATGTTGGATTTGATTACTACAACAGAAGAAAATCATTATGAAAATTACCGTCAAATCCAGATGGAAACACGTAAATTCGGTGATCCTCGGTAAGACAATGATAGTAGCATGTATCTGTCGTTTACATTTGATTAGTGTTGAAAAAGATTCCAATGCTAAATTTGCTGAAGAAGAAGAACAGTTGCGCAAGAATTTCACTGAAAAAGTCAAGTCTGAAGAAATGCGTTTCCGTCAATGGGAACAACAGGTATGTTTCTTTCTTTCTTTTGTATGGAAGGAGTTACTCATCCACTTGCATAGTTGTTGTCTGAAAGAGATCGTCTCCATAAAGAATTGGAACTTCAAAACGAACAAATCAAGGAAATACAGTTTGATATTGAATCATTTTATAATCAACGTGATTCTCCTCGAACCATTCGAAAGTAATTTAATAAATTTAATTCAAACTTTTTGGACAATGTTGTATTAGAACCATTACTTGTGCTAGAGAAACCTTCAATACAGATTTTCTGTGAGTATGTATTTATAGTACCATTACTGATCGAAATCGATTCGTACTGTCTTTTAAAAATAAAACTATGCAAAATTTACAAAAAGCATCAAAACAGGGGTTTCTTTTCTAATGTTACGTATTTTGTCAAAGATGACTAAGAAACACCTGTTTTGATTGGCCTATGAATGATACTCTATCAACACAAATTTCGTATTTTTTTTTTTTTTGTTTAGTCATAACATGAAATGTAAGCGTACATTACGTCTATAAATTGATTATTCATCGAGATCTTTTTTCTTTTTCTTTTTTTCTCATTTAAAATAGCTACTTCTCGACTTCAACATATTCATCATTGTTTAACGATGCCTCCTGTAAGCAAAGCAAGTAAATCTTTATATGATTATATCGTCATTGGCGGTGGTTCGGGTGGTATTTCGGGCGCTAGAAGAGCTGCAGGTCTTTATGGTGCAAGCGTAGCCATGATTGAAGCCAACTCATACTTGGGAGGTACTTGTGTGAATGTGGGCTGTGTGCCCAAGAAAGTCATGTGGAATACCGCCTCTATTGCTGAAGCCTTACACCAAGCCAGTGGTTACGGATACACTGTGGGCCCCTTCAAATTTGATTGGGCAACCATCAAGCAAAAAAGAGATGCTTACATTAAGCGTTTGAATGGCATTTATGATACCAATGCACAAAAAGAGCATGTAGAGCAGTTTTATGGTCATGCCCGATTCACAGACCCTCATACGCTCAGTGTGAAACGCGAAGGTGCTGATCCTGTTGAACTCAAGGGTAAACATATCTTGATTGCCACAGGCAGTGAGCCTATTGTTCCTCAAGTACCTGGTGCTGAATTGGGTATTACTTCCGATGGATTTTTTGAGCTTGAACATCAGCCCAAGCGAGTTGCTGTTGTAGGCACAGGCTATATTGGTATTGAGTTGGCTGGCATTTTTCATACGCTTGGTTCAGAAGTCACTATTTTCTCGCGTACAAAGCAAATCTTGAGAAAGTTTGATCCAGTCATCAAGGACACTTTGTTAGAACATATGCAAAA